AATGATATTTGTTTAATATTGTACCTATTTTCCTGTTTTTCCCATTAATTCGGAAAACTCCTGGAAAAATCAAAAAATGACTTTCCTAAAGAACCTACCTAGCCAGATTTCTTTTTAAAAAAGTGCTATCATTATAAATCGGAGCGAAATTGCTGGTAGAAAGAAAAATGTCCACAAAAAAAAAAAAAATCGTAATATTATATTTTTTGTTTCGTATTTTCCGTTTTTTTTTTTTCGGTTTTTCGCATTTGATGAGGAAAATCGAAATATGGCCTTCTTACCCAGAGTACCTACCCACGCCAATTTTCTTTCAGAAAAGGTGCTACACGTAGAAATCCGAGCAAGTCTTCTGGTAGAAAAGTTACGCACAAATAAAAAAAAAATAAACATCTTTGTAAAACTTCGCTCCACTCAGAATCTAAAATCAATACTATTATATAATTTTAAAATAAAATTTTAAAGTACTATTCCAGTTTAAAATATTTATAAACTATACAATTATGTTATTCTCGTCTCATTGGCTTGGCCACATACATTGTGTACTTTCAAATTAAAATACTTAGTCATTTCAAATTCCAATATTTTTTTTTAAACCGAACCTCTATCTAAATCAGTCTCATGCCCCCCTCCCCACCACTCCCGCCATTATAAAATCATTTGACTATCACTGATTTCAAGTGCATCCATTTAACACAATGCCCTTGTATTTTAAAAACTACGGAAGATACGGCGCATCTCACTCGAGAAAATGCAGAGAACAAGCAGTTTATGAATCGAAGAAAGTCTGTCGTTTCTCAGTCGACTTCGAACTTCTTTCTGCTATAACAGTTCTATTGACAGATTCCTTATTCATTACATAACGACAAAATTAGGGTTATTTCTACTATATGAGTATGTAAGGGAAAGTAGAGGGCAGCTCTAAATATTTTCTCCACTTCATAAAAAAAAAACATTGAATCAGAAAAATATACCAACTTATAGAGGATTTTAATGCTATTACTGCGTCCGCTGTGAAAAATTACGAAAAATCCAATATCTCATTGCTCATTGAAACAGTTGACCAGTACTAATTCAGCACTAAATCTTGGTTGATTTTTGTGCTTATTGTACCTATATGATTATTTATTTTAATAATATTGTATACCATTTTTTTTTTTTTTTTTTTTTTGGAAAATAGAAACAGTTTACACATACCACACATTTACAAATATTGCGGGAATAATATACGAAAAACAAATTAGATTATTGTATCGTATCGTCAGTTAAACACATGCACCACCTATTGTAATGTGTAAAATAATATAGGCGTAGGTATACTATATATTATTGTAGGCATATAAAAAGTGAAATTTGGAGGTCTCGCCGTATTTAACGCCAAACAATGGATCCACGATTGCGTTTGTATTCGAAACTCAAAAAATAATACGCGTAGCATGATGAGAATTGGAACTCTCGTGCGTGGAGATTTTGTAAAAAAAAAAGTTTTAAAAAACACACATCTATATAACCAGACACTTTCGAGCACATGTACACTGAGGTAAACTGACCGCTGGAACTTGGTGTGAAAACAGTATATAGCTATATATATAATATTATCCGTGCGTATACATATAATAGGTATATAATACGTGTAATATAGGTACACGCGCGTATGTGTTCTTTAAAAATAACTCGTTTCCGAGAGATTTTTAGAAAGAAAACGAATAGTATGGAAGAAAAATTTAAACAGGAAACGTATCCGTGTCAACTCGTCGCAGGTTTTATTAATATGTTTTGTGTCATTATATTAATACATATACTATATATGCGACGATAATATATTAATATCTACTTACCTATATTCTTTTTTATATGTATATGTGTGCATATGTGTACAATAAAAAGGTAGGTCAGAAATTAATAATAACCCAATATTTGAATAAAACACGTTTACGATTAAGTATACTATCACAGTGATTACTTAACGATATTTCGATGAATGAAACAATGTACCATTATTATTATTATTATTATTATTACTATACAGAGTGTCCACCATATTCTCCGGATTTTTACATAGGTAAGTAGATACTATAGTAGGGGAATCAGACGTCCCGTTTAAAACGGGATTGTTCTTTTTTGATCATCATGTCCCATTATCCCGACAAACTTCCAATGAGACGCTTTTTATCCAGATTTTAGAAGATGGTCCCGTTTTAATTCCATTATTTCCATATAATTGTATTAATTTTTATGAAAAAAATATCAATGTCTGAAACAAATATAAAACAGTTACTTCTATTTTAAAAATTTGAAATCAAAGTTATAAATAACAGATAACAGTTTTCGTGGAACTTACGTCGAGTCCCAATTCCGATAATAATGAGACATGTTATATGCCAGATGTGACCAAATGGTCGATCACAAAAAATTTCAAAGTCGATTGTGTTAGAACTTATTTTTAGGCTACGCACACGAACAACATTCTGGTTTCGTATGTCGAATGTTTATCGTTCACACAGTCATTTCTACTCCAGTATTGTAATTTCACTCCGTTAATTCGGTTTCTGTTGTATTAAATTTATAAAAATGTGTTTAAAATTTAAAAGTTTTAAATTAATTAAATTTATAATTTATAAGTATGAGTGCACACAAAAAACCAAAAACGTATCGTTTTCATAAAAAATGGGAAATAGAATTTTTTTACAATGCTGAAAGACAAATGCATATGTTTGATATGTCGAACAACAATCTCCATAACAAAAAAAGGTAATCTAGAAAAACATTTTAAAATTACCCATTCAAAATTTGATATTGATTTTCTTCCTAAAACTGAAGTACTTAAAAAACACAATTAGAAAAATTGAAACTTTAAATTGATAAATAACAACTGATATTTACTAAAATCTGAAACAGTAAAAATTGTTTCATTTCGGATTATTCACGTATTAGTCAAGAATAAAAAATAATTTCAAACCGGTGAAATAGTAAAGGAAGTTTTTTTAGAAAGTGCAGATGCTTTATTTGAGAACTTCAAAAATAAATCAGAAATTTTATCAGCTATAAACGATTTACAGTTATCTCGTCAAACTGTAACTAGATGAGTTGAATCTATAGGAAAAAAATTAGTTGAAATATCAAAACAAGACATAAATGAATGTGTTTATTTTTCACTTCAATTCGATGAATCAACAGATATTACAGATACCGCTCAACTATATATATTTATACGACTTGTTTTTTCAAATTTTAATTCAAAAGAAGATATATAATCTCTATGCAGGGCCGGCTCAATGTGGTAACAAAATAGGCAGTCACCTAGAGCGGCACTTATGTAGGGGTGGCAAATTTTGAATGAACCAATTTGATTATTATAATATAATATAGTATGCTGAATTGTATGTTCATTGTTCAAAAAAAATATACAAAAATAAATATGTAATAACTAATAATAATAATATAATATTGATACTTCGTTTACCGAAAACGCACCAAAATCGTAATACTGAATATAAATAGAACTGCGATAACGATACATGCGTTAGTCGACCACAGACGATCAATGCACGTTCTTATCGAGTTCTTATAGAATTATTATTCAGTTGGAAAACTGTAATAAGTCTTAAAGGTCGTTAATAATTATGCAAGAATGGTCCTTAATAATAGTTTATTAATATTATATTAAACGTGTATTATCATGATGAGTTCTTTTTTATAACTGATGTCTATCTGTTTTAAGTAGGTGTCAGCACCAGCTAGTCATTAATTATATAGTTCAATAGACTCATAACAAAAACAACCGCCAATGACACAACGGCATTTAGTCCCGAACTTTCAGCCGCCCGCCTGATGCGTAAATAGTTTTTGATGTAGAGTGATAGTGATAATGGATTAAGTGCGTGAACGTATACAATTTTATTTTTTTATAAAATAAACTTAAATTTTGTTGGATTGTCACGTTAATATTTATTGAATATGTCAGAATTGTCAGAACAAAAACGTATACGGTTATCAGGAGCTGCATATCGAAAACAAAAATTAAAACGTGATGAAGAAATTTAAAAAACTCAGGTTCCTTTGAAAAATATTTGAAAAAAAAAAATGAAGTTTTAAATAATCCAGAAACACATTCTAACATTATTTTAGAAGAATCAAAAACCTTGGAAGTTACTGACAGTTTAAAAGAAGTTGGTAACTCAGAACAAATTTCCGAAAGCATTGACATTTTCAATAATGAAATAAACACAACTTTGGAAGAAAAAGCGAGTTTTAAATCTAATGAAAATGAAAAGAAATGAATCTGACCCTAGGACATGGCCAGAATTTGTTTTCAGATTCATTACAACTTCAAGTAGTAAAAACAGGTCCCATTAAATCAAATAATGATTTCAACTATCCTAGAGATGCGTTAAATCGACGATTTCCAATTTCAATTTTAAGTAAAGCATTAAAAAATGGTGAATTTATACAACGTACGTGGTTAATTTATTCTGTTAAAAATTATGTTGTGTACTGTTTTTGTTGTAAAATATTAAGTATTGAAAATTATGCACTAACTAAATTTGGCTGTAATTATTGGAAAAACGTACACAATATAGTTAAAGAACATGAAACAAGCAAAATACATTTTAGTTCTTTAAAAAAATGGATGGAACTGTCTGCTAGATTAAATAGCAATCAAACCATAGATGCTGCCCATCAACGTGTATTAAATAATGAAACTCTGCATTGGCAAAATGTACTTTAGTGTTACATGGCAATCATTGAATTTCTTGGTAAACAATGTTTACCTTTTCTAGATACAAACAATGTTTTTTACGAAAAAAATAATAATGGCAATTTTCTCGGACAGCTGCTGGTAAAATTTGATAGTGTTTTATTAGAACATGTTCGCAGAATTTAAAATAAGGAGATTTATCATCATTATCTAGGTAAGAGGATTCAAAATGAAATTATACATTTACTTTCTCGAGCAATTAAAAATAAAATACTTGAAAAGTTAAAAAATGCTAGGTATTATTCAATAATTGTAGATTGTACAACCGATAAAAGTTGAGAACCAATGTCAATAACTATACGGTTTGTCGATATTAACCGAGATACAAAAAAAGTAGATATTTGTGAAAATTTTCTTGGATTTATTCCGGTTGATATTACCATAGGTCAAGAACTTACAAATGCAATATTGTCAGAATTAAGAACAAATAAAATTCCAATACAAGATATGCCAGGGCAAGGTTATGATAATGGCTCAAATATGAAAGGTCACCATTCTGGTGTACAAAAAAAAATGTTAGATTTAAATAGTCGTGCTTTTTTTGTACCATGTCATGCTCATACACTAAATTTAGTTGTAAATGATACTGCTAAATCATCAACTGGAGCAAGCAAATTTTTGATTCAAATTCAAGCCATATTTGTATTTTTAAGTGATTCTACTCATCGATGGGCTGTTTTAAAAAAACATAACACAATTAACTTTAAAGTCATTAAATGAAACTAGATGGGAGAGTAGAATAGATGCAATAAAACCATTCAGATATCAAACAGGTGAAATATTTGATGCATTATACGAAATAAGTCAGGATATATCTTTTGATCAAATTACCCAATTAGAAGCTAAATCTATAGCCAAACAAATAAAAAATTTTAACTGTGTGTTGCGTTGTAATTTAGCACTCAATTTTAAATCAAATAAATCTAGCAAATAAAGTGTTACAGAAAGTAACATTAGATATATCTGGCGCAGAAAATATTTTATCTGAAACTATTAATTTGTTTTAAAAAAATTCGATGTGATAAGAGTTTTAATAAATTTTTAAAAGATGCCAAAACCATAGCTCTTGAATTGGATATTGAGGCTTCTTTTACGCAACAAACTTCTATACGTCCACGAAAAAAGAAAACAGTGTTCTTTTCTTATGAACAACCAGATGAACCCATAATTAATATAAAAACTAAATTTAAAGTTGATTTATACATTTATAATATACTAGACGTAGCTCTCAATTCTCTCAAAGAAAGATTTGAACAATTACATAACCATTGCGATAATTTTAAATGTTTGTATAACATAAATAGTCTAAAAAGTATAATGAAAGATAATATTGTGGAAAATTGTATGGATCTTCAATTGCTACTATCAGAAAATGAAAATGTTTGTAAATCTGCCAAAGAAATGACAGATGAGTTAGTAGCAATATCCGGGTTATTAAAACCCAACAGTACCCCATTAAAATTTTTAAAGTTTATTGTAAATAATAACAATTTTGCACGAAATGTAGCTGTAGCACTTTGCATTATTTTAACTATGCCTGTGTCGGTCGCATCTGGTGAACAAAGCTTTTCCAAATTAAAAATAATTAAAAACTATTTGAGATCTTCTATGAATCAAAAAAGGTTAGTGATCTTGCTACAATTTCTATTGAAAAAGAAGTAATGGAAAATCTGGAGTTTAAAAATTTACTGACGGATTTTGCTTAAGAAAAAGCTCGCAAAATTAATTTTATTTAATATATTTTTAATTTTGTAATTATATATTTTTTAGGTAAAGAATAGGTAAAAATATTACTTGTTCTATTTCATACCCAACATTTATTTTAATTTTATTATTATTATTTTATATTTTATAAAGAAAACTGAGGTCAGTCAAAACCTTTTTTTTTTTAATAAAACGAAGGTTCATAGTTAAAAATGAATGTCTATTTTTTATTTAACCCCCTCTCCTCTTAAAAAAATTAACTATTGCATAGGACAGCGTAAATTAGATTTGCCTAGGGCGGCAAAAAACCTATGGCTGGCCCTGTCTCTATGAAAAGTACGACACAAGGAAAGGATATTTATCAAGTTTTCATTAATTTCGTCAATAAATCAAATTTACCTTTGTAAAATTTAGTTTGTATTACGACCGATAGAACTCCATCAATGAGAAATAAAAATAATGGTTTAATTGTTTTGTATAGAAATGATAATAATTTTTCAAATTATTTAACGTTCTATGTGTTGAAAAATATTGAATATAGGTAGTATAATGGACATTGCTTTTAAAATAGTTCACAAAGCTTACAAAGATGACTTTTTTAATTACAATTAGAAGAAAACAATTCTCAGCATTATCATTTATTATTCCACACTGATATGAGATGGTTAAGCCGTGGTAAATTTCTAAAAAGATTTCAGTGTTTACTTCTTCAAATTATAGATTTTTAAAATCCAGAGGCGATAATTATGATCACTTATTCAACAAAACATGGCTTCAAAATTTAGCTTTTTAAACAGACAAAACAGCTCATTTAAATACTTTAAATGTTGAACTTCAAAGGAAAGGTAGGACAATAATTGAGTAATTGAGTTCTATAAATCGTTTTAAATCAAAATTAATATTACAAGTCACAATTAAAAGAAACTAATTTAAATAATTTTCCAAACTTAAAAGTTTTTTTGAAAAGCAAAAATGTAAAGTTCCAGTGGAAATATATTGCTATGAAATTGAAAAAGTGTACAATTGAAAGACTATTGATATTAAAAAATTACAGCCGATTATTACATGTATGTCTTTTCCTTTCTTCGAAGCAAACAATATTGAACATATTTCTACACAAATAAATAATTTGTTTAATATGGATTCCATAAAAATTGAATCTGAGATTATTAATATTAAATCAAATATATTTCTCAAAACTCGATTTTCTGAAAAAATTGTATGAATCTACTGAGTGAAGAAAAATATCCGTATTTGAAGAATATATCTTTGCAGTTGCTTGCCTATTTTGAATTTACATATTTGTGCAAAACAGCATTTTCTCACATGAAAATAAAAAAACTAAATACCAAGCTACACTTCTCGGATGACCATTTGAAACAGAACCTTCAATAACAGTCAACTATTCGCCAAATTACGATCAATTGGTCAACGAAATGCAATGTCACTTCAACAATGTTCAGATCAACAAAATAATATGTTAATTAGACTTTAGTAATTAATTTATATAACTTTATGTATATTAATATATATAAATTATATGCATATTATGCATATTATGCATATAATGCATATTAATATACATTTTATGCAAGTACGTTTCTTAATAATTATAGATATTTTATAATAAAAAGAACTTTTTATGAAAGTCAATCTTTGAGTCATCTTTTTCAAGATGAAGTATATTTTTAGTAGATCGCGGTCCAAAAAAGTTTGGCCGCCCCTGGGAGTATGCCATAATAATAAGTTATACTACGAACTAAAATATATATTACATAATATTATTTATAAATTTACAATCAATTATATTAAAAAAATATTATAAATATTTAAATATATTAAAATATAATATATATTGATTCATTTTGGACTTAGGTTGACACTCTTGACAGTCTATCCGTAAATTTCTCTTAGTGAAGTCTTATTATATTTTAAAATTGACGCGTATCTATCTAACTTTTTTTAACTTTTAAAAAGAATACTTTCCCAAGAGACGATGTAGTTTTAATACACAATTAAAAACACAGTTCTCTTTTTTAAAAAAGCCGATGAAATAAGGAAAGTTCTGTGTACAGAGTTAAAATCTATATTCTCAATCAAACATAGTAGGATATCAAATATCAAACTGCACTCACAAAAACGTAAACATGTATTGGCCGTGTCTAGCAGTTCTAATAAATTAACGTCATTTTTTATCAATAAAGCAAAATCTGGGCTATCGGATGAGAAGAAACATATTACGACAGAAGATGATATGTTTGCCTTTCATATTATAATGCTCAATCATTCGTTTTGCTCTATGGATTGTACCTACATCCTCAGTTCCTCACTAATAAAGAAAATTAAAAAATTGTCTTGTGCTCAAATGAAATGTGAATTGATTAGATCAAAAGTAATTATCGCTTTTGCAATGAAACAAGTTTTAGAAGAGTTTAAAAATAATAAATTTGCAACACTTACGGTAGATAAATCAAATCACAAAAATCAAAAACTTGTACCAATTATTATCAGATATTCTAATCCACAACTAGTACAAATCAAAGTTTTGGAATTTGCAAATTTACAAGATGAAACCACGGATATTTTTACTAGTTATATAATTAAATGTTTTGAAGAAATACAACTTATCCAATAAAATAATTGCTTTTCGGGTGATAGCTGTAATAAAAATGTTTTTTTCGATTCTCAAAGAAAATTTAAAAACTAATATTTCAGGAAGTAGATGTGCGGCTCATATCTTATATACCACAATGTAAACCTTTACGGATAATTTGCCAATCGAAATTCTCCATAGAAATAAAATACTTCAATATTTTCATATTTAAAGAGTCTGAGTGGAGCAATTCAAAGAATTGTGATTTTTTAAATATCAAGTTCAAAAATATTTTGAGTACTGTTAAAAACACGATGGCTATCTTTGTTACCAACACTTACTAGAATTATATATTTATTCCAGGCATTAAAACCGTATATTTTAACTCAAGATAAATGTCCTACAATTCTGAAACAGTTTTTCGATAACCCTATTTTCCATTGCATGATTATATTTTATTCAAAGCCAATTTAAATTAGTTTGCGATACAAAAATGAGAATTAAAGGGAAATTATTTCAAAAATTAAAGTGTGTGAAGAACTGAAAGTATTATATGGAAAAATAAAGAAAAGTCATAACCAACAAATTAGCTTTAATTATTGAAGACCTTGATAAAAAAAAGACACGCAGCAAAAATAAGGTTGATGGTTTTTATAGTGTTCTTATTTTATGTAAAAAATGGAGTTGTCAAATTGAACCGTTCAAAATTTTTCGTTGGACTCAAATATTAAATATTCCTACTTGGGCAGTCGTTCAAGAAAGTGTTAAATATTTATTTAAAAATAATAATCTCAACCTGGATTGGAATGTAAAAAAGGATAAGTTATTTGAGGAATATAATCATGTAGTGATACAAGTTAAAATTGTAGAATGGAAAAATTGTTCAAAAAACGTCACAGAAAAAAATGGTGTGATGTATTTAAGACACTAGAAAAAAAAATGAAATTTCTTTCAATTTCTCAGCAATTATTGAATACTCATTAGCTATTTCTGGAACAAACGCATCTGTAGAAAGAATACTTTTAATAACAAATTTATTGTGGACAGATGAAAAAAACCGTTGTAATGTCGAAACCATTAGATCGATAATTATTACAAAATAGCACTTTAAAAACTTCTTCTGTTCACAATTTTAAGAATTTCTTTTGTAGCAGCCAAAATTATTAAATTCAATAAGTTTTTCAGAAAATTACGAAAAAAGAGTGGAAAAATGTAGAAGAATGTGTAATTTCTCTAATTCCTGTTTAAAAAAAATGTATTGTTTAATTACAAACCTGAAAAAATAAATTTGTCTAATTGTTTAAAAAACTATAATAGTTTTGAAATGCAACATTGATATAATACATTCATATAATGAATAATAAAAAGAAAATATTCCCAGATATTTAAACATTTATTATTAAATTTAAATTACTCAAAAAGTGTAAAATATTAAGAAAATAATTGGAACTTTACTTTCTACAGTTGTGTGCATATATGTGAATGTATATGGATGAGAGTTTTTTTAGCAGGAGGGGTTTTTTTGGGAGGGGGGAAGTAACAACAACTATCCCGTTTTTATATTTTCTTAATATGGTCACCCTATACTATAGTAGAATAAGTTTTCATGCGGTTTATTGTAGAAAACGTTCTTTCAGGAGTGGAAGAAGTCAGTTAATTAATAGTAAGTTTTTTTTTAAAAGCAATTGGCTCATAACTGAAATAGATGAGTGGGTGAGTCACCAAATAAGTTGAAAGCTAATAAACTAGTTCAGAGATGCCCTTAATTTTGAGTATTATACTATTAATTTGCATATGAATATGATAGCGCCTATTTAAGTTAATTATAGGTAGATCAAAGATTTTTTTCTGTTATAAAAATTATTTATTAAATAAATCCATATTTTAGGTAGGTGGGTCCTAATTTATTTAGAACAAGTCAACTTTATTAAATACTTTTTTCATGCTCGGGATTTATGAGTCACGATGCTCCTGCAGTGAACGAAAGTCCTAACGCATGAGGCCGTTAAGCCATACTCATATACTATCAGTCAATGACAAGGGGGAGCAAGGGATCATTTTACAGGGTAAAGAATAACGTAATAAAACAGGTACTCACTGAACTCTGAGCGGATGTTCACAATCAGTTTTATGAAAATTTGACTAAGTTAAACTTATAAAGAAAAATAAATTGAACAGTTTTAATAAATATAAAAAAAAAAGGAGCTCCAACTCTTTGATGTTATAATGTTGACTGCTGTTCGTAAACTGACTAATTACGGCATCGATCGACTCAACAAACCGCTCCGTTGACAATCGGCGCGCGCATACGGTTTCTCGCAGTCGCATTGGCAGAAGCGCCCGAGGTCTCCCGAAGCTACTGCGCTTGCGCGTTGTTCAGCGTGATCCGTTACCGCGAGTTGGAGTGGAAGATCGGTGGTCACCGTGGAACCATTCAGGTTTCGGCGGTGGGCATTAAAGTGGGAATCGGCGGTCACCGCAGAACCAATCAGATTTTGGCGGCGCGGGTTGTTTTTGCTTTTGTTTTTCCCGTGCGCGGGACCAAAGGGGTGTTCAAAATAATTGGGAAAAATCACATTTTTTTTCAATTAAAACTCAATGATTTCAATATCTTAAATTTATACGTCATATGCTGTCTACCATAAATATTGATCCAATATAATATAAACGACAAGAGACCTTTTTTATTTATTTTTTAATCTAGTTTGGTAATAAGTATTTCGTTTTGTAATTTTTCTGGTAGTTTTTGTGATAATAATTGAGAAAACCCGGAAATGACGAAAAATAAAAAATGATAAATTTACAGCGTTAGGATTCCTTTATTTTAAATTGTACGGCTTATATTTTTTACAAAAAATGTTTCTCCAATAGAAAAACAAGAAAACGCCTTTTTAGCTTTATTTTATCTAGTAATTAACTAAGAAACTCGTTATTTGATGTTTTGTTTTTGTTTTTTTTTTTTAGTAATTGAGCAAAACCGGAAAATATGTTGAAAGTACTGGAAAATTTATGAAAATAATTCTTTTACTCTTTTAAGTTTTATTTTTGTAATGTAATTCAGTTCAAAATATTTGTAGAGACTTGACATTTTGACAGAAAACGTATATTTCCTTTTCTAGGCGTGGTAAAATTTTAAAAACATTTGAACTATTTTTGAACTATTTATAGAAATTTTAAATTTTACGTAATTTTTATTTGAGAAGTACACTGTGGCTAAAATTGTTAGACTAAACAAAGATGTTTGCAAATTCAACAAAAGGTTCATAGTTGGTATTTGTAGTCAATAAGAAAAAGCTGAGTAAATGTAGTATTTTTCTTTTTTATAAAAATTTTAATATCAAATTTTGACCAAAATCATAAATATTACGGCGTTTCAAAACATGTATAAGGAAAATCTGCTCAAAATCGTTTTTCGTTAACAGTGATTAATCATTGTACACATATACCCATAAACTCTCCTCTATATCCTACCTTTCTAAATTCTCACCTACAACAGTGCCCCATCGTGTGAAATATGTTCACTTTTTTACCACTATCAACGTCTTCGATCAAGAGCATCGACGCTTTACGTTCTTCAAAGAATGAAATTCCGTTCATTATGTTCAGCTTCCCGATAAATTCTGGAAGCCATTGCTTGACGTTTCAAAATAAAAATTGTGTTACGTATTTGGACAAACGTGCCGATTTGTGTATCTGGTGTGTATTTGACATTGGATGAGATACCTACGATGAGTATATAATTATTAGAAGAAACTTAGTCGTCGTCCAACTGTCACTGTAAATTGTGCACCATATTTTTGGTTGTCAAGCATTTGACCGATGATTGCTTTCGAACCGTGTATAAAACGTAGCTTTCAATTTTCCAGAACGGAATTCTAGGTGGGAGGAGTCTCCGGTTATAATGCCAAACGGTGGTAAATGCTTATAGAGTATGCGGGATAAAGAAAACGATTTGATTTCAAAAGACGAGGAATATTTTCAAGGGGTAACACTTAGTAAAAAGTCTGATTTACTTGAATTCAAGTGACGTCTTCATCCCGAAACACTTCTTTCAATAACGATACGCTGTTTTCGGGTGTGGAGCGAAACACCTAGTTTAAACCGTAAACTATTACACACTGAACCAGGTACGTCATATTCGTTCGGAAACTTGTCGAGAACTCTGTTACCTATAATATAATCGAACGTGAAACATATTATTAGGTGAGTTGTTCGACGATAACAGTTATTCGGGTTGCTTTTCATAAACTCGTTCTCGATTGTGTTTGTCTTGTTTATATTTCTCAACTTCGACGTGTTTGTGTTTCCTGCAATACACTGATACAGTAACTAAATTATTTTTTATTTCCATGTTTTAATACTTTTGCTGTTGCAGTATTGACTGCAGTTCATTAAATGAGTTGATTTCGCCACAGCGATCAGCCTTGTACTTTTACGCCGGCGGTTTTTCACACAATTCGCATCTCGGGTAAGCCACTGTTGTAGACGAAAATCCAGAATTTTTTACAATTATCAACCTCACTGATCAACACAATATTATCTATATCCTGTACATAAAAGTTTAATTTGATAATTTAAAAATTAGCATTTTACAAATCTTTCCCCAGGATAATATGTATGTCCTATTTTTATTGAATAAAAAAAAAATCAAAATTAAAAAAGATGGACATACTTTACACGTGGGTACAGACACTGTTGTAGGTACAAATTTGAGAAGGTAGGTTACAGTAGGGAATTTAATGTATATTTGTAAGCATAGATAAACTATTACTTGTGAAAAAACAATTCTGAGCGGAATTCAGTTAATAGTGATGCTTTGTCAACAATATAAATGTCATTTTATAATAAAATAATTAAATAGGCTTTATATATTTTCTTTAATAATATTTGTTTAATATTGATCTGATTTTCCCGTTTTTCTTACGATTTTCCCATATTTTTTCTCGGTTTTTCATATTTGCTGGGAAAACTCTAGAGAAAATCAAAAAATGACCTCCCTTTAAGTACCTTCACAGTCAGACAACTATTTATTTCATTAATAAATTATTGTTTATAAATGTTACCGTTGAAATTTATTTAAAGTACGTACCATATATTTTGACAACTTCGTCAGGAATTGATGATGTTTCCTGAGCATTTGTTATACTTATTTTTTGATTTCTGTTAAGATAATTTAATGAATGAATTTTTTTAACATAACTTGAATGGTATTAGAGTTAATTCTTGTTGTAAACTCTTTCTATGAATTATTTTTACTTTTTTTTATTAGAAATTTGGCTTGAGTGCGAGGTTTTGTTTAGGGCATTATTTTTATTATGTATAGGTCTACTGTTCTCGTCGTTCCATCAGGGAACCTTGGATTTATTATTGTAGTTTATAAAACTTCTGGTTGATATTTCTGCTGCTGAGATTATTATATTAATTAATGTTTTAACTGTGTTTTCGATATTTAATGGTCGTTACGTTGAATTTTGGTGATTTCATCTTCTACAATATCGCTGAAGGTTTAGGTTCGATTAGGTTCCCTTCCAACTAAAACTACCTTGACGTAGTGGGGAGGCTCACGACCAAACGGTCGTGCTAAGTGGCCCCACAAAAAATATTGGTCTTAGTTATTGAACCAATTGTACTACCTATATTTGCTTACAACACCAGTCCTTTACCTTGTGGTATTTTGAACCTACGGTTCGGTTACTCAGAAATACCCGAACATTTGTTTTGCAAAACCATGTCGGGTAGGTTACAGAGAAAAAATTAATTAATTTTGTTTCGAAAAATAAAATTAAGTGTACTTAATGTAATTTTTTTTTTACAAGTTTTAAAATAAATTTTAACAATAGTCGTTAAAATATTACGGCCTTTCAAAACACGTATAACCGAACTTCGTTCCAAATCGTTTTTCGTTATTAATGGTTTATCGTTGGTTACAGGTATTAATTAATTAACTTTATGTACCCCAACTATCCACCTATAACAGTGACCACATCCGTCCCCAGTATCCACTCTTTTTTATTATTACATATTACGTAAATTCCCATACAAATAATATCTATTGATTGATTTATTTTGGTTGAATATTTATTAATTATTAAACCTTTTTTTATTATTATTATTTATATAACTTTGATAGTTGACTAATTTGTCGAAATGATTGTCAATAATGCATTTATTCGCTATTTAACTATCGTTGAATAAACTTATTTAGCGAATTAAGACCCGTTGCCCACTAATGCGGTACTGCGGAGGATGCGACGTGGGCACATAAGCAATTATTAATAGATAACAAATTATACCGTCTATCATATTAATATTATAATTAATGATGAGGACTATCGAATAGTATTCGATAGTTTGCATAAACTACAGTATTCTACGTCATTGAACGTATATGTTTAACTTAAATATTAAAAAAGACGATAATATTTTTAGCTAAAACTACTCATTGGCGTATTTTGGGTTTTTTTTGGGGGGAGGGGATTGTCCCAACTCCTGGAAAGCCTTTTTCTCCACAAATATTAACATAGCATCATCACGAATTCATATCTGATTATAATAATACACCTTAAAACCTTATAAGTGGTAATTTTCTTGTGAAAAAATCTTAGGATTGCCACCTAAATTTTTGATTATAATAAAATTATGACAGAAATAAAGTATAAATGATTTGACTTAATAAGTTAAAACTAATTTAACACTTAAATTTACTGAGTAATTTCTCATATCAGTTTTATTAATTTTGTATATTCGTATATTCACAATGTTATCGTGTAATACACAAAAACCTAATATTATTATCGTTTGGTAGTCTCAAATTATTATTAATCCATGATAGAAATTTTCAAAACAGTTTTAAAATATTTCGTTATTCGTCAACAATATTTTGCGACACTTCAGTAATTAATAGAACTAGACAAAATATTAGGGGGTTACCCCTAATACAACCCCCTCTCCTAAATACACCACTGCATTTTCCCGTTTTTCACATTTGATGAGAAAACTTAAAGAAACTCCTATTTAACATGCGTAATTTTACGATAAATAGTCCGACCTCTCTGTAGCCTAAACTAGTCGACTAAATAGTAATTATGTATCTATTTAGATAGTATTATGGTAACATTAATAAATTATAGAATAGGGATGTAAATATTCATGTTGGCATTATATTTTTATTTGTAGTCGTAAATATGAGTAGCCGCCAAGCTAAGTTAAATTATTTCTAATAAATAATCGCACTTCATCAAATACAATCATAAACAATTTTTATAATATTAAATTTAAGAAATTACTTAGCCCCTTTTTGATATCACAAGTCTTCTAACTTGAGTTTTTTTTCCCCTTAGCGAGGTTTTTACACGTAGTTGACTGAAGGTATTGTTGGGATTAATGATAAAGAAAAACAAATTGTGAAATATTATAATGAAGGTATGACATTTTTAGTAGATACGTGTTGTTTACAATTTTAACTTTAATATTTTACATTATACCTATCATACTCACTCAAACACATTATTATGAGGAATTCACCCAACTACACCGATTTTTTTTATGCGGAAAAAAAGTAATTCGCCCAAAACTGAAACAAATAACTAGTTTTGCACTGCAGCATCTGGCAATACCTATTTTTTATATTCTCTACCATATTGATTGGCAATCACATAAGTAATATTATGTATGGCTATGCTTAGGGTACTTAGCTCTTTCGATATTATAATTCATATTTAATTCAATTTGTTGAATTATATTTTTACATATGCTTGCTGTTAATGTTCGACGCAAATTGTGGTCAACAATTCGTTAAAAGACAAACTAACAAACTCTAACATAATACTATTTATCTTATTAAACATGTCACGTTTCTCGTATTGTACCTGCCGCATAACAAAAAAAAAGTTATAGACCATTTTCTAGAACTGAAATTATTACAAATATTATAATATAGTTAGTAACCTATTAAATATTCCAAGCAATTGTAATTAAAATTACCATAACGATTAATAGAAGACATTCATTTTGATTTTTAACTTTATTTTTTTTTAGACAATTTAAGAAATAAGCAGCTTTAGAATGTTACAATAATTATTTGTTATCACCCTTAGTATGAAGACAAAAACACACGACAGTTTTGAATTTCATCCATGATTAAATAACAATCTATATTAAAAATTCCATTAATTTTAAATATTGTAGAGAAATATCAGGGAACATTTTCCCTAATCTTGTGAATCCCATGTTAATAATTTTTAATTATCCAATTAACTAATTTTATTTTTTTTTATATAAAAATACACAGGTATTACAAAAGGGATTGATACTTTCAAAGATAATGAGTGTCGTATACAGTATTCATCTACATATATAGTAACTCAATAGCCAAATCTAGTAACCTTCACAATATTTTAATATGTATAAATTATTCTCATCATTGTCTATCTCTTCTTGACTTCCCGTATTGATTTCAAAAACAGTTCCTAGGTAGGTACTGTTTTTAACTACCTATAATAAGTTAATTATTAAATCTGTTGACACAGTTCAAAGGTAATAAAATCAAACTCCAATGGTTTCATATAAATTATTTCAAAAATTTACAATTTATTATGAAAAAAAAAAATGTATTTCATTAAATTATACTATATAACTAATAGTATATTATGAGGATGTATTACCTTTAATAACTTATATAATTATATGTGTATATACATACATATTATATAATATAGTTGTATACATGCATAATATTATATAAATACATTTATAAACATACATAAGAAATAGGCATGTATAATTTAAAATGATCGTATCGTGAATACATATATAATAATAGTAATTTATTGTATATGTATACATCAATGAAAAAGTCACAATATTTTTAATAATGCTGGGCGACCACAGCAAAATCCACTAAACAAGGTGCCAGAATTACTCGATCGTTCACTTAGTGAGATATAATAATTAGACATTTAAAGACATATTGAGTGATCTTCTACTCGCAGATAAGTTTCACAAATTCAGACACAATCAAAAAAAATTGTCTCTCTTACATATATAGCTTGACAAAATTTAGTAAAGACATGACAATCGTGTGCAACGACTGAATAAATTATAGTCCAAATGACCAATTTAATTTTAACTGCGCACCCTATTAAATTCATACATTAAAAAATGCTATAAATATTATTAATTAAATCATTATAGAAACTATTAATATTAGTTTTTAAAAATAATAATAAATAAATACCTATAGTAATAAACAAACTATTGGATTTGATAAGTGTACGCAAAATAAATGGATATTTGCATAATAGAGGACAGTGTAAAAAAAAATATGCTCATGACTGTTTCTTTTAAATTAAATTTTATTTTTTTTTTTCACTTTATTTTGCGTACACATGTTTTTGACATTATACTTTTCAACTTCTGCCATGTAAATTCCAATTCCCTATATTTCTGATTTAAGTATAAATAAATTCATTATTAATTATTGTTATCATTATAATACATAATAAATAAATAAAAAAAAAAAATAAGGAAAATTTCTTTTGTAAAATAAAAATATTAAACATTATTTTAAATTTTTATTTAGGTTATAAGAAAATAGTATCATAAAATATCTACGAATAATAAGGACATGACATAGTAATGAATATACATAACAAAAATCATTATTGAGGAAATCGTTTTTAAAATTAGAATTCCAAACCAAATAAGAACACACTGTTAATAAAAAATATAATATATATAATATTTTTCTTTTTTAATTTAATTCTGTTAGAGAATAATTTTTAAAGCCCATTTACTATATGTGACAACAAAGTAATTTTATTTATGCATTTTTTTTTCTAATACTTATATAATTCAACATTGAGGTTTTCTAAAAAAAAAAAAAAACCCTTAATTTGTTATTATAACTTATTATTTTGTCACGCATTCCAGAAAGCAAATTTTAAATAAATTTTTTTTTATTTTTAATATTATTATTATTATTTTTATTATTATATATACATATATATATATATATAAATATATATAATTGAGAAAATAAAAATTAAAAAATACCTAGAAGTGCAGAAAAGAATTCTAATACAAAATACATTTCTCCACGCATTTTTAGACCCTACTGTTGTTAATAAGTTTTTTTAAAATATTTATGGTTTGAAATCTTATAATACCATACAGATATTCCTTTTATATATATTTTTTTTTTAGAAACAAAAATTAATTTTATGTTTCTTCAAGATGTTATTGTAATAGGTTATACAAGTTTAAGGAGAATCTGCATCAGGTGCAGAGGACGAGCCATTTACTACAACCTGCTGTCCATTAGCCGCTGCTGCAGTGCTATTAGACTTGTTCTTTGCTGGAGACTTGCTTTGTTGACCTTTAGCTCTTTGACCTTTAGCGGGTTTGTTGTTTCCATTACTTGCGTTAGCATTATTAGCATTTCCATTATTGGCTGGGTTTGACTGAGATCGGTTACTCAAATCAGCATCCTTGCTAAAGTCATAATCCCCTAAACAATTAAAAATTTAAATGTAAGTACAAATTAGTTAAATTATAAGCTATTTATATCTTTATGGTAAAAGTAATTCTTATAATATTAATTTCCTTATCATTCATGTTAATAAACAATTGAAAAATATAAATATTTATAAATATTCTGTTAGCATCATGGTACCTTATACCATAAACCAGTCTTCACAACATATAAATTCATGAATTGTATAAAAATTGAAACATATGGTAATTATAATGTACAATACAATATTGTATATGATAAGAATGTGCAACAATAATATTGTCTTTATGTTGAAGTCACCAAAAAACCACCCATCATATCAGAGCTATAATAACATTTAAAAGGCTCTTCTATGAGTATAAAAAGTCTATGATTAGTATGTATAAGCAAATATAAGTTAATTGTAAATTGTTAAATAAAATATTAATACATGTGCTTTTGTTCATATGTACATTGTTTTCATTACCAAGTTGGATACTACTATTTCGAAGACTAGAATTTATATTCAATAAACTCACGCATTAAAAAAAAAAAACATGCAAACATACCCCAAACCATATAAACCACAACAAACCACTGATAATGCAAATGATAAAATGCGTATTAACTCCAGTGAATATAAACTCCACTTAGAACAAATTTCCACAAAAAAAAACTTGTTCTTTTTCTTTTTTGACTCATACAACAAACATTACAATCCGTGCTTAGGAGCAAACATATATACAAGCTTGTTTTACAAATTTTACAAAACTTACAATCTGTAATATTGTCACTAGTAATACCACCGAGTTTAGAAGTGGTTGAAGATTCACCTTGAGCAGCAGCTATGGCCCGATTTCTTCGTTTTTGACTGCTTTTTGACTTTGGTACTTGGGCATCCACACTAGATACAGATTCTAACGCAAAATAAAATACAAATAAAGAAAGAAGCATAATGAAGGAGAACATGAATAATGTATAAAACCTTGAATTCAAAATCTAACCTTAATTGATATAATTTTGAATTTAAAAAATTGAATATAGTTCGCAATATATTTATCCTGAAAACCCTAAATTATCAATTTTTACTTTTTAGAATGAGATATTTTAAAAATATTTCTTTCTATAGAAAAAAAAAAATGTATAATTAGGAATGTTCTTTGGGATTTATTATAATCTTTCATACTAAGTAATAATAAGGAAAAAACATACATAACTAAATAGTTCTCCTTAAAGACATAAAATCTAAAATTTACAATGGACAATTAAACAAAATAGTAATGATATAATGTTGAAGAAAGTAGTATTAATAAATTTATATATATATATATATATATATAACAAAAAAAAATTTAAAAATAACGTAAAACTGAAAAAGAATATAGATTTACGATTTCTCGTTTATTAAGTTGAAATAATAAAGTTTAGTTAAGTTTTTTAATATTATAAATTCATTGATAATATTAATATTTAGATAATTATTTAATATCAAAATTTCAAAATCTTATAATTAAAATACTTCATTCAAATATATTTTTATTATTGACATGGTATTTATCACAATTTAAATAATTAAATTATAGAGCTAATAAATTTTTGTTCAACAACAGGCAAATAAATATATATATATATATATATATATATATAAGTAATTTAAATTAGAAAGTAATTATTATATTAAATTTAATAATACACAAATATAAATTATGTAAACATATCCATAAATGTTAAGTTTTAAATATAATATTTAACTTGATATATAAATTGTTTAATACCAAATATTATAATTAAATAATAAACAATACAAAATAATCTCAAATATCAAACCAAGCAAAATGTGAATCTATTTCTAACTATTCATAATCAACAAATAATTACTAGTATTTTACAAACTACTCATATAATTGATGTTTCATATTCAATATAATTGCACTGGCAGATCCAAGTGTGAAGTGTGCACAGATTGTATAATAATTACAATTAACATTGGTAAAATATCCCATTTTATACATTCATATTTAATTCCAGAGAACTGAGAAGTTTAATTTTTGTACGAATTCGGTATTTGAAATTAAGAAAATCGAAGGTGTGGTGAAACGATTCTGGTTATACAAATTCTGGTTTTGAAAATAGCAGTAATATTTAGGATTTAAAAAAATCAAGAATTCATAAATTTTTTCTTGGTTTTCCCTATTTAATAGGAAAAAAAGAACCCCAGTCAAATTTCCTTTCAGAAAAAAAACCGCAATACTTAAAAATCAGAGCAAAATTTCTGATAGAAAAGTAAGTTATTCAAAGAAAAAATGAACATTATTTTAAAACCAATAATTTTTTCGTTCCACTCAGAATCAAAAACTAATTCTGTATGTTATTTATCGAAAAATTAAAATTTTAATAGTTACACTAAATTGTATTATTATTTTCCCATAAAAATGTTTATATCTTACCAATCACCAAGTGCAAAAATAAAATTTGAATCTACTAATTAATGTTAAACCCTAATTTTTATATTCTACTTGCATTATTTTATTTATTTATCCAACATTAGAATATTATATACTAAACTTTTAAAAATAATCAATCAAACAGAACAAACAAACAAAAGCACATAAAAAATAATGAACTCATTTTATTATATACCTCGATCACCACTATCTTGAGCATTGTCAAGTATTGTATGTTCATCATCAGCTGTTCTCCTTCTTTCATCAGTTCGTCTATTTCCACCACCTCTATTACCCCTGGGAGCTGAGGTATTACTACCTGGGCCTCCACCACGACGTTCTCCTCTATTCATACTTGGTTGACCAATTGATCGGTTGTATTGATATTGGTTAGAACGTTGAGTAGGTGGTAGTCTATCATCACCACCATCCTGATGTTGAGTTCTATTATTATTACCTGTAAATAGAAAAAGAAATATATATATTTTCTTATATTAAAACTGACATTATTATAATAATTTAATTAGTAGCTTCATTGATGCATAATATCATGTACTAACCGTTGTTGTAAAAATCATGTCTTGATCCTCGGCCACGGCCTGAAGTTCCTCTAGGTCTGCTATTACCTCTTCCCATAGAGTTACTCATACCATTGTTCAAACTCTCATTATCAGCATTAAAGTTACTAAAATAAATAAAATAAAAGTTTTAATTTAATACCAAATTATAATATGCTGATTTATGAAAATTATAAGTCATGTAAAAGGTAATCTAAATCAAAAAGGGCTGGTAGTTACTGAAGAGAGAGGAGATACTAGGGCATGTAGAGTATAATAAATATGAAGAAATGGGGAATGTCTACAGTTACCAGGAATAAAGTGTAGAGAAATATCAATTATTACAATATTTATTTTTATGTAAGAATGAAGAAATAAATTAAATTAAGACATTTTATAATGTAATTATAAATAATGTCTGTACTTCATTTACATTTATAAGATTATTTATAATAGCTAATGATTGTATATTAGGATTTAATAATGATATGAATACAAAATTATCATTTTAATAATCATGTAGATAATTGGAAATAATATTTTTACTAATGCCAGATTACATTTAAATAGTTAATATGCAAAACAAAAGTATGTATTAACTAGAGATTTAGAAACAAATAATATTTAATAGAAAATATGATAATTTATTTTTACTTTATCAGGATATCTATAAATACATACATGATTTAACATTGCATTTTAAAACGTGCTTTCAAATAATACATATAAAAATAAAATAAAATATTTTAATTTACTTTTAAAATAAAACTAAACAATTAATTTGCATATTTTTTATAATTTTAAGATTATACTTCTAATATGTATTTAGTCCAATTAATTTCAAACTACTTTATTTTTTCTACAATTGAGAAGTTTTGAAGGTTAATATATAACGTACTAACACAGATTATATAAAAACTATTTTAATTCTTTCATACTAGGTGTTCTCTACATAAAACTATTATAAAGGATCATGTTTCCATTCATTTACAACAAAGCCAAATACCTGTAGCTTTATTTTTATAAAATATAATATTTGTGTACAATGGCAGAAACAAGGACTACGGGGATTAAAGCCTCTCCCTCCAATGTGCAGGTATTAAAAATATGACTCATATTATATTATAAATATATAAATTATAACTTATATCAAAAATACATTTTTAAAGCATACAAATAGTGAAATTTGTTTAACCTTCTCCCTTATCTATTTCCTAGATCCACCCCTGTATTTGTATAAGTTTGTTTATACCTAACTAAGAAACAAGATATAAATATAAATGTATAATACACTATTATAATACTACAGGGCGCTATCAGATTTTTAAATATACTTTAAGTTGCCCCGAGTCAAAAAAGGTTATGAACCTTTGATATATATAAGATTAAATGAATTAATACAAAAACCATGATCATTTCGTTAGAAATTGTAAAAATAAGATGTTACTCTCAAAGATAAGAACAAAATTTCTGGTAGAAAAATTGTAAATAAGCACATAACAGTAAAACCAATACATTCCTTTCTATAATTAGAACCTAAAAATAATATTTATTTATTTATATTATTTTATTTACAGACAAAATTTCCTATTTCATTCATAATTTTTAAAATATCCATACAAACAAAAAAAAAAAAACTGAAAATTTCAAATGGCTATCTATATCATATCTATCTCAAAATTGACCAGAATTATTTAAATATGGAACTACTTCTAAAAAAGGCAAATACAATAATATTCAATACAAATTTCATCTCTTCAGAATTATTTCCAACTCAATAACAATGAAAAAAAAAAAAAAAAAAAATTAAATGTAACAGACTGCATTTTTCCGTTTTTCTATTTATAAAGAAACTAGAAGGAATATCACAAGTNATTTCCTATTTCATTCATAATTTTTAAAATATCCATACAAACAAAAAAAAAAAAAAAATTAAATGTAACAGACTGCATTTTTCCGTTTTTCTATTTATAAAGAAACTAGAAGGAATATCACAAGTTGAATTCAGAGTTTTTGTCCACTGCCAGGAGGTATGCTCTTATTCTGAATAGAGTAGTTAGTTATAGTTAGTTTTAAATATTACATGTAATTTAGTGTAATAGAACCTATTCTATTCATACCATAATGGATGATACAGTGTATCAGACACAATATAAAAGGTACTAGAAACAAACAGCAAAAATATATTCTGTATACCACGGTATTGATTTCTGTATATTGTAGTATTATAGTATAGTAATTAGTTTTATTATGAATTTGCTGTTATACAGATAATTGTGTTATATGAACGACAATTTATTGTTTTGGCAATTATTTCCAATAAGTATAGCTATTGATTGGGATGGACCAAGGACCATTTTTTGGTGGCATTATTAAATTTTTTTTATAATTATTTGATGTTTATATAATATATAATGATACACAGTTTTGATAACTTTGTAATAAATATTTACAAAATGTATATATTATGATTGGTTCCCAATATTTTTATGGTGGAACTAATGTGGAAAATAGGGTATGTTCTATTATCAAAACTTGTATACTTGCTAACATTTTTTTAATCACATTTAATTCACAAAAAAATTAGTATACTAGCTATCACAGTAAAGATAGCACAATAACTAGTATCATGCGATGGGCTTTAAAACATAAATGAGAAACAGAATAAATTAATATCAAAGATTAGGTATTATTTAGAATGTATCAAAAATATCAACTAAATAATGCTAACCAGAAATTTAAAATGAAACACCATTTCAATGTTTTTTAGGGGATGAATAAAATATGAAAACTAAAGAACAATATTTGTATTTATCTGGCATACAAGGTTTTTTCTATACTATTCATCAGAAACTACAGATAGTTATAGTTACAAGATATACCGTACCATCTTTATAGTAAGATGTAGTAATGAAAACAAAAACTCTTAGGTAGTAAATATGCCAATTATGAAGTCATTATTTTAGTGTTAAAAATAAATTAAAGTATATTACCGATCACTTCGCCTTTGCATTGTATAATTTGGAATCATTGGGTGTGGGAAAGATGGTCCAGTACTATGAATACTACGTAACTCTTGTTCCATTCCCATTTTTTCTTGCCTGATTTGTTCGAGTTCCTATAAAATATATTCATGAGTAAAAAAAATATTTAAAGATGCATGATATATATGAATAATATCAATACTTTAAGGTGCTCTAAATGATATTCAAGTAGAACTTTAGCATTAGAAATGCTCTCTACTGTGCCGACAAAAACAAAAGGAACTTGACCCTCTTCACGGGGAATGGTAGGTTGTGGCTCATTATCACCTTCAATTTTTACTCTGATCTATAATAAAAATATATGATTCTTATTATCGATATAAATACATAAGTATAAACAATAAACATACCACGCCACTTTTGTCAACAATATCTTGTATGTTACGGCCATTTTTACCTATTACTTTTCCAATAAAATCTCTTGGAACTTGAAGAAATTCTTCTCTGTACTCCAAAATACCTCGAGCCTTCATTACAGCTTCTTTATTCTAAAACATAATACAATTATATTTTTGAAAAAATGAATACATATAAAAATCAACTCACTTCTCCGTAAATTTTAAAGATGCCTGTATGTTCATCTAATTCAATATTTGTAATACCATCAACCCTGCGTGCTTGTTGGATGTTAACACCATGAGCACCGATGGCTAAACCCATAAGATCATCACGTACTTTGAATTCATCTGTATAAGATGATGATGTTATCTGTAGCTTGGAACTTTCCAGTTGTCTGGCTAACTCTTCAGTCTTCTTTAACAACATGACCTTTTGGTTAAGGTTTCTAAAATGCATGTCAGCTAACATCTGTGCCCGTTTACTGGTCAGTGGCGAACGGGATATTACACTTAACACTGACTGATCAGAATTATATAAGACTAGAGATGCACCAATTGCTTTTTGAAGATCTTTATGAATACCATCGATTTTAGCACTAAAATAATACAACTTGGTTATCATTCAACATTATTTTGTTTGTTTATAGCAATTATTGAAGTAAAAAATTAAATACATACGATTCACGAACATCTTCAGGTACTTCAATATCAAATTTATAAAATGTTTCACCATTTATGTTTGCATTTGTATTCCTGCATCTGACTCGATCTGCATTGACTATTTCAGTGATTGGTGAATCAAGATATTGGACAACGAACTGGGATGGTGGAGTAGTGATAATTTTTATCACTGCTTTAAGCCATCCATAGCAAGGATGAGGGTCTCTAACTGCTTTTACTTCAATCTCTTGGTTTTCAGTAAACTCTGTACTTTGGCCATCAGACAAAGGGAGACGGACGCTGGTACAATTAAATTTAGTTTCTGGATACCAACTAAAATCATAAAAGTTAAATATAGTTTATATGAACTATTGTGTTATTTAAATGTGATGATATGGGTATAAGATTTGTATTTTTTATCTCTGATTCAATAAATACCAATTATTGGCATTTATTGTAAGCAAAGCAAAATTAATCTTGATTCAATTTCAATGATCAATACAACATGTATTAACAAATAAGAATATCTTTTAAATTATCCGTCAAACATTACACATAAATTTAACTGCAGTCTAGAGTTTGAAACATTTTTTTTAATCTGTATTAATAAATTTGTAAGGATTTATCATTGCCATAAACATTTAACTTTTAAAAATAAGTAAATAAAGTAATATCAATAACATTAAAATAAAATAATACAAGATTATGAATTTAATATGAAAACTGTTTATTATTGATAACAAATATAATTATTTTTTAAGAACAAATATTTCCCATAACAGAAAAAAGAAAATGTATTATTGGTTATTTGTTTAGTGATTTAAGAGTTCTATGTTATAAAAGTCAATATTTTAAATAATAAATTAGAATAACCAAGATAAAACTAAATTTTTACAAATATTGTTAAAAGTTTATAAATGCTCATTTATAACATTTTCTCAAAATGCACTTTCCATCATTTTTGCGTATGTGATGTTATTCATACTCTGTTCATCGAGGGAAGACAACTGGGCGATAACCGAAACTCATCCATTCTCGCACATTGCTACTACTATTCCAGTGTGATTGTTTTGCGTAGTCACTGCTGACAGCAATATTCAGATTTCAATAAATAAGAATAAGTGTATTGTGGTGTATTCTCTCGATAAACAGAGTACAGATAGAGCATACTCTAGTATGGATATCACAAATAGAATTTGCTGTATCGATATTTAAGTGTTTTTGTAAACGCTCAATTAAAAAAAAAAGAAAAGATGGTAAATAAATTTAAAAAAGGTTAAACCATACATAAACTATTGTTTTTGGGCTCTCCCGAACAATTTGGTTTTTGTCACACACATTAATATTACCTAAGTAAATTAACAAGAATGAAATCAATATTTTAAAAATATTTGTTTTATATACTTATATTACCATTACTTAACAAAGGTTTTGTTTAATTTTTAAGATTTTCATAATAAACATTATAAGTTAAATAGTACTTTGATTTGTTTAGCATTATATAGTGATAGTCACAAAAATAATTCAAGTTATAGTAAAATAAGTTATAAAAGTACCTACTAAATACAATCATGGGCATACATTATACATTTATTGACTTATGAATTAAATTGAAAACTTAATTAATAAAATTAATTAAATGGCTATAATATTTTATAATGTAGAAGTAGGTAAAAAAAAAAAAAAGTATTATCATTTTATTAATCAGTTAAGTACAGTATTGTGATCAATAGGAAATAAAATATTTAACCAAATAAACAAATTAGATACAAATACAAGAAATTATATCACTTTTGTATTATATATTATTGGATAATACTTACTCATTAGGAAAGGAAACCAAAACTTCATTTTCCATGACACCCGTAACAACACCCTAAAAAGTACAAAATTTAAATTGGTTCCATATCTATATATTATATCATATATGTATATCATCACTGTCATATCACATGATTAAATTATTTCAAAATGTATATTGTAGATACATTTTAATTTTACTCAAGAATGATATCTTTTTGTACATACAAATAGATAAGACATTTAAGATGGTTTAGATTCTGGGTGGTGCAAGGAATCATTGGTTTTACAATGATGTTTATTAATCTTTTTCTGGGAAAATCTTTTTACACCAGCAATATTGCTCAGATTTATAATGATAGCACTTTTTCTCAAAGGAAATCGGACTATGTAGGTATTTTAGGGAAGTGATTTTTTTTAATTTTTCCACATAAATTGGAAAACTGGAAAAAAGATATAATATTAAAGGTGTGCAGTCATGAGGTGGGCTTTATATTATAAATAGAATAAATAGAATTAGATGATACCTTTATTCTAAAAAAATTGATAATGTGGATGGTAGGTACTTTTAAACCAAATTTATAGATAGTAAAAACAACATTAACTTCTTAATTAATGTTAATTTTAGAAACTCAAGACAAAAATGATCGCGGTTCATTAATTAAGTATTGATTATTATCAAAACGATTATTTATTAATTTTAATCAAGAAAAAAATGTAAAGTGATACGCATTGAATTAAAAACATTTGATTTAGAAAGCATTTACACCTTGTTTTTTTTGTCTATTAACCACATAGCCAATAATACCAATGACTATAATATTTAACGTATACAATTTATATATATGTAATAGATTAAACTTAATTAACAACTAATATTTTCTTTTATCAATTCAAAAAACAATAATTCACCAAAATTATTTTGTGCTTGAATTCAGTCAAAATTGTAAGACTTTAACCTAATAATAAATAATAATACCAACAGGAAGAAAAAAAAACTATATTATTTTCAAATATTGTTATTTTTTCTGAAAACCTAACCTAATATAACCCAAACATATTTCTAAGTATATTTCATTTGATATTCCATAAGATAACAAGATAAAAATTAAGTTATGAATAATAATTTTTAATAAATAGTAGTGGAAGAAATTTATATTTTATTTGAATTCTATTATAGCAATAATCAAATTATATAAATCGAGGTGTAAATCTATATTTAACCAATTAAAATATCATACAATGGAGGAAAAATCTCATGATTCATACCTTATACAAACATAATATGATAAATAAAAATATATTATGGTACCTAAATAATAATATATTATATAGGTATAGCCAGTGTATAATTTTCAAAAATTATTTTGCTTTGAAATAAATTGTTATTTAAATATTTCATATCAAACCTAATTAGTAATTACATACATTAATTTTACAAAATCACAAGGTTTTATAAAGAATAAAAAGTAATATGACATTATTATGTCATAACATAGACCTTCTTAATTATTTATGTGTTTATTTTTAGAATATTAAATCAAACATAAAAAAATATTTAAATGTATAAATGTAAGGTATGTATCATATGTACATGAACATTATTTAATATCAAATTGAAATATCTAAGCTGGCAGTTTTAATTATGGTACTTAAAAGGAAAAAACCAAAATTATTATGTATGTATATAATAAGTGTTCTAAATTTCTAAAGTTGGTTTTTGATAAATCCAATTCTTAAGATAAACAACTAAGTTTTTAAATGCTTAAAATATTATTAAATTGATGAATACCTAGATAGATGTTTGTATTAAAAATATAAATCATAAAAATAACATCTAGAATTAATATAAAAATGGTAAGACTATAGATTATAATAGAAAATGAAATCTACCAATCTATCTATATTAAGATTTTCATAAACCTATCCAATTAGTCAAAACAATAATTTGGTTTTAAACTCGATTATAAAAATAATTTAAACACCTTTGTATGTGTATACACTGTAAACAATTTAACACGCGTGTTTTAATTGTAAGGTTCAAACAACGTTACAATAAATGTGTTAAATTCTATTTATTCTGGATTTTGGTAAGATAAATTACAATTTAACACTATTTCAACATTTTTACTGAGATGCCAATATTTTAATACCTAAATCAAGTATTACCCCAGACTGTATAACAACTGTGTGAACTAAACAATCAACATAATTTACCTTCCAGAATATATAAAGAAAACTCAACATTAGCCTAAGTCAAGTTAAAATAATAAAATCTACAAATATAAAATATAGTACCTATCACCAAGGATGTTGCAGCGTATAACAAATAATACCAGTCAACAATTTAATCTGACGTGATGTCAATTGATATGACCAAATTGTGTTTTCATTTATGAAAAACACCATTTAAAATAGAATGAAAAATTTGATGTACCTAAGAGTAGGTAAATACCTACGTTCATATCAATTATAATAACGGGTATGCTGAGGGGGACAAGACCTCAATGAAAAACAAAAAAAGGTTAAAACGTTGAAATAACCTCTTTTCAAGAACATTTTTCCGGAAGTAGAAAATAACTCAGGACCCAGGCCGAGGAAAAATATGGGCGTTTCAGGAGATCTGCACGCGGCGATAGCCACGACAATGGCAAACGTGACGGGAAAAACCGGCAGCGTCCGCGACCATAACCTATTAAATCGCACACGGGTGGGTGCGAACGAACTACGATGGGCCATACCAGACAAAATTCGACGTGCGGCAGCCAACGATCTGCCGGTGGTATCATCTATCAAATCCGGTACATATTCGTTTCTCTACTACCAAAGTACAATACTCACATCGTAATAGGCGCCGTTCTCTAAAAGCACCTCAACTTTAAGATCGTCCATAGTCGTCACAGCTACTGTCGAGTTGTCCGCGTAGACGATATTGTTATTGTTTGTGATGTTGATGTTGTCGTCGCCGTTGTTTGATGATGATGGCGATGATGTAAAGAGACGTGACAACGACTTCAAGTATACGCGAATACGGCAGCGCCCGTGCGTGCGTGTGTACCGGCGGTGTTGTGGTGTATTATGTACACCGGGATTTTCGCGTGGATTTTTTTTGCTTCTTCACTATTATCCACTCGTGCGTAATATGTGTGTGTGTGTGTATGTGTGGAAGAGAGACAGTGTATACACAAATCAGTCAGCGACGCAAGTCATAAGTACATATGTGCGTGTGAGCGAGCGAGCGACGAGTGTTATTGGACGCGCGCGCACGAAGGTGGTGACGAGTGTGTGTCCAGCGGGGGAACTACAGGCTGCTCTGCTACTACTGGTGCCGACTGCCGGAGTGTTACTGTCGCGGCGGCTGCTCTGCTGCTGAGCGGTCGTGGCTGTACCTGACTTCCTGTAAATGCGGCGATGTAGTAACCAGATCGGGACAGACCTCGGTCCGGCCGTTTGGGCGAAAAAAATATTTAAATTTGAAGAAAGTCTTCAACTTGATATTAAGGCGATAATAACGAGACGGTAGTCTTCGCTCGTGTCGTAATATTGTGTCGACGTATTACGTGAAACGGTCGTCGATCGTTGGCGTGTTAGGTATTAAGGGTGTGTGTTTAAGTATAAGATAACAAATAGAAAAAAAAACCGTATATGAAACAAAAATCTAATATACCTAAATAAGTGTATAAAAGTTTCCGCGAGGAAAAAATAATATTAATCGTGTGTAATGTTTTATACCGTGCGTCGCGTTTAAGCCAATCGGAAAGAACCGAGCCGTGTGCAGTGTGACCAGCCCCGTTGACGCACAAAATTTCCCGCCGATGCTTTTTATCAGCTGCTGTCGGTCGGGGCGAAAATAAAAATTAAATACAATAAAAAAAAATGTAACTCTCTTTGGAGGAGTTCCCAGTTTGATTAAAAGATTCGTTGGGGTGGTGTGAATTCATTCTTACAATATTACCTATTTTCTCCTCACTCTTCTGATCTATTGGCTAATACAGTGGCGCCTATCTAAGACCCGACAAAACTCGAATTCGCAAACGTGACTATAATCGCACGTGCGCGTGTACTCTATTGCTAAAAGATTTTATGGTAAATTTGGCAGTACTTCCATTTTGTTTTATTTTCGCGCAATAAAAACCATAGTTCAATAATGATTTAATTTATAAATGCAGTTGGAACTTAGAAGTCGTGCTGTCGTAGAGTATTATAAATTATAAACCAGGAATTTTTTTCCAGATATATGTTTTGCGTGGTCAATTTTATAATCTTTGCAAAAAGTCACTCACTCAAACTTCATCAGAAGTTTTATTCAAAAAACTTCAAAATGATTTTTTACAAAAATCGTGTTTTTGAATTTTAAATACCAACAATTTAGATTTGTGAACATTTTTTTTATATATATAATCAGTATTTTTAAGCTCAACGTTCTGGTGGAATCATAATTTTCCTACCTATCGTACTTTTTGTGTTATTGTTTATAAAACCACGTAAAACTTAATTATACAGTTGTTTCAAACATTTACATATTAAAATAACTCAAAATTGACTTTATTCTTCATTCAGTGTGTAATAACATAAAAATATTCCTACCCAATCAAAAACCATGATTAGGGTCATGGTTTTTTTTTTTACTAAATGCAAATTTTTAAAATAAATTTGTAATTATCTACCTACGTTTTGAGTAATTAGTTAACAATAACATAAATATGAGGTACGACAAGTAAATTTTGATTTTACCAAAATGTTGAGCATAAAAATACCAACATTTACAAAAAATATTTCAATTTTTAACATTTTAAAAATACGATTTTTGGAAAATCTATAATTTTCAAATTATTTGACCATAATTTCCAATTTTTTTTTTTTTTTGTTAGTGCCTTCAAATTAAATATGCATAAACAGGCATTTTAGAAAAAATCCAAAAATTTGTTTTAGCTCACAAACAAATTTTTGGATTTTATAATTTATTATTAACATCATAAAACACCAAATTATTTGGTGTTGGGTTGGTGGTGCTAGTGGTGAGAAATATACATATCTAGTATACATACTAGTATTGTAAAAATTATAACTATAATAAAAGTACTATGAATTATGTAATATAAAGGGCCTAAAATACATCTGATTTCAGAGGACACATTTCTTAATTTAATTGTAACTTTTAACAGGTTTCCATAGCAAAATTAAAAACCTGTGAGGGTTGTAACACCCAAAATTATTCACTCTTTTATATACCGTTTACCTTACGCATTTTTATTATTTATATAACGTTTGAACTAAAATTATACAAAATAAATATAAGTAAAAGTTCAAAATATTTTACCAATAGTTACATGAACACATTTCATCAGAACAGTAACACTAGGTATAATAAGCTGTCGTCACAAAATTTGGGATCACCTGTTTACCTATAATACCTACATAGTATATTTATAGACACAAGTTATAATCGTTATAATCAGGATTAAAGCTAGTATATCTTGGTAATATAATATTTACTATCGTCGACTATGGTTATAGTTAATGGTATATTTGTATAATATTGATGACAAGAAAATTGTTGTTAATTCATATTGAGATTAACAAGATTCATTTGTGTTGAAATTCCAAATGGTTTTTTATTTCTACATTTAAAATTAAAAGCTGTCAGATAAGTATTTTAAATAACAATTAATTGCAGAAATAAGTACGATAAGTAATTATATATAGTTACTATATTTATTTATGATGTGATCAATTTATTACACGGTATATTTCCAATTTTTCTTTATATTCCTGATAAATACAAATTGCAAATGTGGATAATAATTAAATTATATAAATATAGGTACCTACATAGTATTACATAATTAAATTCAATAAATATTTGATGTTTACCTCACTACCTATACTCCAATATAAGATCCAAAAAAGACTTTAATCAGTTAATTCACATAATACAATATTTAAACGAGTATGTACCTGCCTATGTTATAATATTGAGTAGTTACTAAAGCCCTTTACGTTCCTCAATTTTAAAGCCCATATCCACTAAGGGCCTTGGAGTAGCTGGATTAATAAAATTACTAGCCAAGGGTTAATCCATTCTCGAGATCCTCAAATTTTACTAAAAATTTAAACAAATTTGGTTTTAAACTTAATGTTTATTTTTACTTAGTTATTTTTAGATATGATAGAGATTTATTTATATTAAGTTTTTAATAGCTATTATTTTTATTATATTTTTTTATCAGAAAACTTGCTCCAGATTTTAAGTGTAGTATGTTTTTTATTCGTTATTGGATGGCAGAGAACTCTGATGGACAAAATATTGTTACCAATCTAATATTCAAACAACCAGGCTTCGATCTGCCTAAATAAATTTTGGTGACTCTAAATTGCTTTCAGACCAGCCATGGAAGGTGTAATCACATCATTTACAAATGGAAACTATACATTACTTCTTCCTGAGACTGTGGATACAATACACAATCTCCCATACCCAATATACCAACTGAATGCCTGATCTGCACTTTCAAAGACACTCTAAATGATATTCATACAGCTAATAGAGATGTAGTTGATTGGATACAAAATCTAGACATTCATTTATAATTTATAGTTTTAAATATCTCCTAGCTACAATAGCTACCATGTCTTTACGAAGTTCTTAATATCATTATTACTGTTAACATAATTTTCATTATGTATAGATTAGCTTATTTTATATTATTCCATTTAGTATATCTGTCTGTTAGTATTTATATGTTTAAATTTTTTGCTCTACTTTGTCATACAAAATATAAATAAATATATATATATATATATATTCGTTATTTAAAAAAAATCATCTTGTTTAATTAGTGCAATAGATTTCCCTTGTTATGATTATTGGGAAACAGGAAAATGTACAGCAAAAAAAAATTTTGTTTTTGTTGAAATTTGGTTAAAAATAATCGTAAACATACAATTTTCAAAACATTTTGACAATTTTTAATTATTTAAGTTATATTATTACAGGGATATCATTTCAATATTTGTTAGGGTAAGGTATAATAACATATTCAATAAGTATAAAACTAGATTTGATTTTTTTTTATTATTACCTATTATTATAAATAAAAATAAAATCTACCTTTTTGCCATAATTAGAATATATGATAAATGAATATTCAGTAGATAACATTTTTGATGGAAGAAAACCACCTAGAACTAAGTAGGTATTTAAAAGCAAAACACTTGAAAGTTCAAATTTAAAGTATGATATTCATAACTAAATTATGGATACCTAATAGGTTAATTCTACATTTGTGTTTTTTAAAAATATAACTCTGTTGTGAAAATTTGTTTAAGATAAACATCAGTTAAGAGCTCAGATTTAAATCCAGTAATAAATCAACATGTCCTTTTATTTTATGTTCATACAAACTTTACAAAATCATTCATTTTTAAAAACAATCTATGGAATTTTTCCATGTGACTGCTAAAAATATTGTGGGTTTAAAGATAAAACTTTTAGTACAATTAATTGATTACTTCGATTATGAAAAAAAAATTTAAAGTGATATCCATAGAATATAATTTTATAAAAAATCATTAGAATTTGTATAAGTACAGTTACTTATACAAATACAGTACAGTAGTATGTATGTACAGTAGTAACTGTACTTTGGGGGAGGACTGAACCTCAGAAAAAATTTGATGAACAAAATCACAGCCCATATTTTTAAACTTTTCCCAAATCCCAGGACAGAGCTCCCGTAAAACAATGGTAAAAATAATTGATAACAAATTCTAAACTTATTAAAATGAAAAACCTACTTAAACAAAAAAAAGCCATACATGTACATACATAATAGGTTATCTTTAGTTTTTTAGGGAAAACTATTCGGGAGTTTGGGACTCAGTCCCCTTACTATTATGCCTATATGTATAGATAATACACACCTATAATTTCTATTACTACCATGCTAAGAAAATAAGCAGATAAGTATCTTCAATTTTTATCAAAAATTAAATATTGATTTCAAGATGTTAAAAACTTAGTTTTGTACCTTTTTTTGAAATAAAAAAGTAGTATTATATCCAATATTTAACATTAAAAATGAACAATTGAAATTACAAAAATAAAGAGGAAGTCCTTAGTTTTTTTGAAACTAAAAGCAAAATAACATAAAATCACAATTATAAACAAAAAACAGGTAAGCAGTATGTAACATGGAATTACAGTTATTTCGCTAATTTTTAAGGCATTTTAAATATGTAACTAAAACAACAGTATATCCATATTTTAAATCACTACAATGATTATAATACATTGTATGTACATTTAGTTTAGTGATAGTAACTTAAGAAATTATTTTTTTTTCTTATTTGCTTTTATTTGTTTAAAGTAGGTATTTATAATACATTATTTAGTTTATAAACTATTATTAAACATTATTCAAAAAATATTATAAAATAAATATGAAATTATATTATATCATTTTCAACTTAATTATATAGGTATTACAGAAGGTATGTTACCTGACATCTATTATATTGTTAGATTCATGACAAAACTAAGATTCCGTTTTATATTTTATGACTGTGATAGGTGCGTACAAGAGTATCCACTATTGCAATACCATTAATTTCATTCAGGTTTTAAGTTATAATAAGGGTATTGTAAGTGGGTTAGTACTGATTTTAAAATAAATCAAATAGTTTTATTTGTCAAAAATAATTATGACATTAAAAAACAAAAAAATCAGCTGGCGGCAATGGTACGAAAAACAAGTTGGCCCAGAAATGTTTTAGTCTGTTTAGGTTTTATGCACAGATATAATGTATAAAATGACTAAATATGATATAAGTAAATCTGACGCTTTGGAAATCATAAACCCAAGAGGGAAAATTGTATTGATTAACTCATGAAATATTTGTTTATCCATAAGTACCATAATGATTAATAAATAAATTGTGTGGTCATTTGAAATCAATATTATCATATAATAATATATTATGGCATATATAAATATAACTTCATAGAAAAAAAAAACAGTATTCCCTTAGAAATTAATTAACTGTTATTTTATTTCCGATAGTGCTTAACAAATAAGGTGTAAGTCCATTTTAATAGACAAGGAATAAACAAAAATATTGACAAGTTCATAAAGTCAATTCTATGACATAAAATTACTACATAGGGGTCTATTTTTAATGTTAATTATACGTGGTGCACAGATCAGCTTTGTGTTTAAAACTATTCAATTGATTTTTATGACATTTTAGTTAGATGGAGATACTATTTATCTGCTTAGCACAGCAGCATAAACTATTGTTTATAATTTACAGTTTTATTCTAAATTAAATAGGTAAGTAGTTAAAATTATTAAATATTTATAAATTATAATTAATTTTATTATGAAAACTAGTTTTTGGATAACAAATAAGTCATTGTTTTTGATTTTTATAAAATTAATGCATTACCAAAAAAAAAGTATAAATATATGTATAAACATTTCAAATTATTTTAATATTCTATAATAAACAAATTGTGAAAATATTTAAATACATGTAATACATTATTAAAAATTACATTATAATTTTGTTCGTAAGTGTACACTTACAAATTTATCGCACAATTATAGCAATTGAAACAAAATATTAATGCAAATAAACATTTTCTAAAGGGCAGTGAAAAATTTATTACATGAGAATAGAGGACCAAATTTAAGTCATTTTATCTTTTACTTGAGGCTGATTAGTATTTATTATCTAGAAAAGTACTGAAATTTATTTGTATTTTTTTTTTTTTTTGCTATCAAATTAAAAAACAACAGCTTTATTGTTTAAAGGTTTTAAAAACACTAGTCAGTTAACCAGTCTAAAAAGTTATATTAATAAATAAACAATATAGGGAAACCAAAATAGAAGAAAACATGGAATATGTTTTTAGACTTGCTGAAGAATTTATTTTTACGTTATCACATAATCTTAATAAATGCCAAAAATAATTGTGAAGTAAAAATATTATGATTACACCAACATTATATCTTATTTAATTTAAACTCAAATGCAATGATCCCATTAATGTCTCAAGAACATAAAGCTGATTTTTCTTGTTTAACTGTTTTTTCTCACTAAAACAGAAATAAATTATTTACTTATTATGTAATAATAAATAAAAAGGAATTATTATTTACCTGTACATGTGTTCAACTCGTTTTAATGACAATGTAGCAATTTTCTTAAATGTAGCTTTCTTGGTTTGGTTACTTTTTTGTGTTGACATTAAACTACGAGCTGTCTAAAAATTATACATTTTTTTTTTATATACACTATAATTAAATGATTACAATAGTTTTTTATTTTAAAATATATATTTTGTAATTAAATTTAAACTTTCAACACATTTTTTTCTAAGTTTAACATCTATATTACTCCACTATTAAGTATTAAATTGGTGGATTATTTGATTTATTGAGATTATAACTGACTGCCCACCCTAACTCTGACACATTTATATTTGTGTACTTAACAAAGTTTGACACTCAACGAGGATAATAACTTTATTCTCTTAAAATACACATTTAATTCACATAAAATGACTTAGTTAGTATACATTTTAAATGAACATTATATATTTATTCTTACCAAATATAATCCATATAATGCTCTGACATTATTAGGATTCAAAAGTATAGCATATGAATAGTGAGCACGAGCTAATTCAAAATTGTCTGTACCTCCCTAAAAAATATATTTAATACAATAAATCATATAAATATATATAATTAGTTTAAAGTTTATAATTCAATACTTGTGTGTATCGTATGTCAGCATGCCGTTGATGATATAAATGATTCTGAGAATTATGTAGAATCATTTCTTCCATGCAATATGCAGATTTTGCATATTCCCCTTCCAACAAGTATAAATTGCTCAATTCTTGCCAACCTTCTTGATCTACCATAAACCTATTATTAAAATAATAAATATGTTTATTACTACCTATTATAAATAAATAATTAATTATATACTTTTTAAGGTATTCAACAAGTTCTTTTATTGCTTCAATATTCTGACATTTAGCTTTTAATATTGCCACTTTATGTCTTCTGGTTTGGGCATTGGTTTCATCTGCCTTGATTAGTTTATCAAGAGCTTCTAATGCTTCATCATATCTAATATACATAATATTTGTTGAATATTTAAAATTCTCTTTATAAAATTTATTACTACACAGATATACATTATGAAACAGTAGGTTTAAAGATTTTTTTTATTGCGTATGGCATGGTATTGGTGTACAACAAAAAAGTAATAACGGAATGTAATAAAAAAAAAAAAATTCAATGTAACATGATTATCAATTCATTTAATTAATTAATTCGTATTCTTGAAATACTGCTTGTGAAATATTATATACATATTTTTTTTTTTTTTTAATTTAATAAATATTATTAAATTACTTTTCTTCAGCTTCCAATATTGTTATAGAAAGTCTCTGCACCCTCAGACTGTCAGGGAATTTATCACGAAGCATTTGTAAACAAACTTTAGCAATATCAATACGATTACAATCACATGCCGCTATTAATACTTGCTCCAAAACTAAATAACCTGTAACAAAACAATTTTTTTGTTTTAATAAAATTAAAAGTTTTGATAATTTATTTTTTAAATTACTATGAACATACACAAAAAATGCATTATAAAAAATATGTTCTAGAATAATGGGAACAGGTGCAGCCACTGTTATAGATAATATAATGTATATCTGTAAGCAACAATAAACCATTTCTTAAGAAAAGACAATTCTGAGCGGAGTTCAGTTGATAGTGAGTGGTACTTTGTCAACTATATATGTCATTTTATAGTAAAATAATTAAATGGAATGTATATAGTTTCTTTAATGATATTTAATTAGTGTTGTACCGATTTTACCAGTTTTCTAATGTTTTATCCTGGTTTTTCACATTTGATGAAAAAACTCCTGAGAAAATCAAAAAATGACCTTTCTTAAATACCTCACTAGTGAAATTTCTTTTCAGAAACATTGCTATATTAAAATTTGAAGTAAAATTACTGGTAAAAAAGTTGTCAACAGAAAAAAAAATTTTCCCGTTTTTCGGTTTTTGAATTTGATGAGAAAACTCCTGAGAAAATCGAAAAATGACCTGTCTAGAGTGCTTCCACATGAAAATTTCTTTTCAGAAGAGATGCAACACATAGAAATCTGAGCAAGTTTTTTGGTAGAAAAGTTGTGCACAAATAAAAAAACAAAATAAAATCTTTGTAAAACTATAAGCATCTTCGCTCCACTCAGAATCTAAAACAAATGATATTATTTAATTCTTATTAATGTATTTATTGGCTTTGTAGACAATATTTATTAATTTTAATAAGTCTTAAATTCATTAAACGATTTTGATATAATTATTTAATAATGGTTTGAAACTTTTGGCTTTCAAATTTGTAATATTTTAAACACACATGATTTAATAATATTTATTTTACGGAAAGTTAATACAAATTGTTGAATAATTAGTGTATATTATGAATGATTTCTATATACAGTGAAACCATAAAAAATGTCCGTTATTGACGAGTATTTTCGTAAAAGAGTAGTCAGAAAAAAAAAGACAAATTAAAGTATTAAATTATTTTAAATTTTAAAGGCAAATCCTATCTTTAGAGATAGACGTCTGAGACAGAAAGTAGTTTATAATACAGTTCTATCTTAACCCAATAAAGGTTTTAAGGGAATTTCTCTCGGTAGAATACCAACAAATGTCATAAATTGAACAAAATTATTTAGAGGTATTTTGTGGACAAGCTACATGTTATCTTGAAATTAATTGATTTATGTCTTATACTTGCATAATAATCTGTATAATATATATAATGTGTAAACTTTATACAGGGTGGTTCTTATACTAAAAACCTTGTTTATATTTTTTTTTGTTTTCCTGGATGCTTTCCCCAGACCAACCATTAAATTTCCCATCAGAAAAGTCCCACACTGAATAATCTTTACGTTTTATATGTATTTTTGGTTATTTTCATGCTTGCAATTAACTTTATCCTTATTATCATACATATAATATATTATAATCGGTATTCGAAATGGACTAGTGATGCTGCTGTGTGATATTTAAGTATAATGTACATGATACACATTTGCAATATATTTGATTTTGAACTAATATTGTTCCCTATTATCGAGGTATTAACTTAAAATATTACTGTCCATGTCTGTAATAGAGAGAGTCCATTATAGACAAGTCAAAATACATTGGAATGCCTATCTTTTTTCCGGAACTTTGTTATTATATCCGTTATGACAGTTTTCACTGTATTATAAGTATTATTAATTATTATTATGATAACATAATTAAATTTCTGCTTAATTTATTTTTTTTATAGTCTGAGCTTAATGATTTTTAAACAAAAAAACTCTTACCTAAGTTATTCTACATTGAATACTCAAGTATAATGACATAAAACCAGTTTTTGATAAATACATGATTCAAAAAAAGACAGTCTATACACAATTCCTAAAAAGCAGTCAGTTTCCAAACCCCATAAGTTTATTAACCTTAATATTTAAAGCATAATAACTCAAAATTATACATAAATATTAGATAATATTGAACAATTTGAATTTTAGTGAATATTAAACGCAAATAGGAAAGAAAAAAAAACTCAACTAAGCCCACCAATATAATGAATATAATCTTTAAACATAAAATAATGTTAAAATAAAATTACAAATTATATCTATAAACACCTACTATATAATTTTTATAATGATTCTATAATTTTACTGATTTGTATTAGGAAATTAATATTTGTATGTATAGTAAATTATTAATAGAACTTACGATCATTCCCTAATTGTTTAATTTTATGTTTAACACACGATTCCCATAAATTTAATACTTCTTTACTCTTTCGTTCATTATCTTCTCTGTATTTCTTAAGCGTTTCTTGAGCTTCTAAAAAAAAAAAAATAGTTATTAATGATCCAAGTAGCATTTCTTAAGTGTAAGGCCAGTTTTTAAAAATGATGCTGCGAAAATGAGTACACAGTGTCTGTCAACATTAAAGAAAAACATTTGACGATTAAGCAAACATATTTTAATGTTCTGGATATTGAAAACTTTCACATAAGTTTTAAGTTGGATTTTTAGACTTTGAATTGTGATCAGTTTATAGACAATTGTTGATTTTTATGCAACAATTGAAAATTACCTTGTTTGTATAAAGCATTTTCAACATTCAGAATCGGTTTCTTATAAACAAGGATTTTAAAAATATCTACACGGTATATGAACTGTGCTATTGAACCATTTAGTCAAAATTTGTTACAATTTTATTTATCATAATTTGTATTGTTAAGTAAACAATGTATTTTACACATTTCTAAGAATGTGTAAATATACAGATTTAAATTAAATGGTACAATGAAAATGATTTATATTACCAGTCTGCTCTCATAATTTTTTTGAACACAATGTAAATACGATCATCTAAAATATTATGTACATCATTTCTTGTCAATGTTTCCGATACCACAAATAGTATGGCTATTAATATAGAAGCAGATAGGTATGATTTAGGATTACAAGTAGACAGGAAATGTACACAAATGCCCAAAAAACTTTTACATAATTTTTTCTCAATATTGTAAATTATTACAATGTAATAAACACAACAACAGTTATTATACAAACATTTTAACATTGAACTAACCGTAAATATACAGTTTATCAATACAAAAATCGATGTTCAAAATCGGAAAAACAGTGCACTGAACCATATTTCAATCATTTTTTAAAGTATCGATAATATAGAATTTAAACCTTATATACAAAAAATGATACTCGAGGAAACAAATGTTACACAGTTATGTTAACTAAAAACTTACCACTTAAATGAACCATATTTCCAATCTGAAGTCGTAATTAAACTAAAAAGTAAGGCAGGGTCAAGTAGTCAACTCTAAACTTAAGAGTTAAATTTTAATTAATATTAAAACAAAACTAATTGAAATATTAGTTGCACAAAACCAATTGGCAATGATTATGTTAAACTATAATAATGATTAATGGCTGAGTGATAAAAATTTAGGAATACTGATAATGACGTGCAGGACGATAGTGACGCCGTTGATATGCATAATATGGACAATGACTTGCTAATTTGAAGATTTTAGACTATCGGAAATATCGAGAACAAGATAGGTATTAGATAATAGACACCACATGAATACCACGGCTATAGATAAACTATATCATATAACATATCTATAGCCGTGATGAATATTGAATACTAAACTTCACACGTTTCCGTTTTGTTACGGATAAACCATTAACATTATTTGTTCAGTATTTAGAAATTTGTTTGCTTATCTTTTACTATTGATTATAAAGATTATATTATAATATAGAAAAAGATTTAAGTTAACCTTTAGGTTCTTGGTAAATAATTCAAATCTAAATTTCGTCAAGCTGAAATAAGAAACGGAAACAGATAATCCAAAGCTTATTTAAAAATCAAATTAAATTAAAATTGTTTTATATATGTACTTACCACACATAATACACACCTATCCAAACACTTTTGAGCGCACTTGTTTAAAAATTAAAACCTACGTAACTATATCAGTAGATAACAAATACTAAAAATTTAATTTTCTTTTCGATATTAACCAATAACTATAATATAGTGATAAAATTTAAATATAACACAACAAAACGTCTGTTAGTGGAAACCATCACAATGAGGTACAGACATCACCTTCCCCAATAATTTGCTTCATTTTAAAATTTGCATTTCTTCCAATTTCGAAGATAATGAAGTGAGCCTCAATTTTGTTCTGTGCACTTATGTGTTCTTCATCATACTCATATATAATAATGTTAATATTATTTTTGTTTTGTATATGTACTTAATACTTATAGATATGTAGATATAATAAATAAAAGCTCATTCTTACAATATATGTTTTAACCTAGAGGTTCCCTACCTATGGTCCATAAGATATTGTATGGTGGTCCACTAGCAATGCCTATAAAATTTAAAAATATTTAATTTTTCCTTTGGGACATAACACAAATATCGACAATCATATATAATAAAGGGTAAACTTTAAAATTTAAACTTAAATAAAAATTTTATCGGTATTTTCCAGAATATAATGGTTTCAAAACGATAGGTATCCGAAGTATGATTCAAAACCCTTTTATTATTAACGTCGATGTGGTACCTGATCATAACCAGGAAAATGTTGGTAGTTACTAAACTTTTGAAACTATAAGGATACTTTTGAATCTTGCATGCATATCGAGTAGTTTTGGTGTAAAAAAACAATTGCGTGTCCTAAGCTTTGACAAGTCACATTAAGATATTTAGTGATATTTTCAACAACTTAGTTGTGCGAACTACCCTATATTAAAAATAAACAAAAAAACTGGTTGAACGCCACTAAAGACATGCGCGTAGCTTTGATTAATTTTCTCCCAAGAAAATCTTTGTTATTAAAGAAAATTCAAGCCCAAAAATCACATTAAATTATTGATAATTTTAAACTTTTCTTAAAATGAATTAATTATAAACATTGTTATAAGGATTAACCTTTAAGGAATTTCATTGTTTTTTATTTATTTTATAATCTGAATTCTAAAATATGTAAAAATAATTTATTCTTATTTATAAGAAAAATAAAGCCTGAAATTGAGGTGGTTCAAGACGTATCAAAATTTCTTTGGTTGTACTATAGTGTCAAAAAGGGAATTACTGGTTTAACCTGTGGTTAAATTTACCACAAATCAGTAAAATTCTATTGACGAATATTGTAAAAACCAACCTAGAAATACTTTTTGATAGGTAAGTATTTTTATAAATTATTTTCAAAAATTTATTTATTTTTACCTTAATGATTATTTTAGAATCACATAATTTGTAACTTAAAAAAAAATTAAATTATATTTCTATGTAGTTGGATACCCTCCATTCCCAAAACTAAAAATGTTGTTCATATAAAATCTTTGTCAGTACCATGACATTATATTATAAAATACAAACTTACTTTATATATTAAATCTTGCACATAGGTACATTAAAGTAACAGAGTTAAATCATTTGAATACAAATTTTAGGTCAATTATTTCCCAAAAGTTGATTATATTAATATTATTATTTTTTTTATGATTAACTATTATTGTATTATATGAAAATGTAGCTTTCAATTAATAATTTTAATGAAAAATATCATCAAAATATAATTTCTCATGATATCCATTATTAAAATATTATTTTTCATTGGTTATGATCTATTTGGATATTTATTTTGTTTTTATTAAATTATTTTTTATCATAACCAATATTTTGTATTTTGGAATGAACCAACTCATTCATTATATATTTCTTAGGATAAAAGTAATATTTTATATGTAACCCACTGTAGATGACATTAAATATTTTATGACATGTACTCCTACGTCATAATATATAATATAGATAATAATAATGTTTGCCACTTCAATATAAACCATTACAATACTGACATTTATTTAGTATGTTTAGTTTTACTTTTGATAGATTTTACAAGGTTAGATAGTTCTGGATTAATAATTGATTGCTTTAATTTCTTTTTTGGCTGAACTTCAGTATCAACCTATAAATGAAAAATAATAGTTATTATTATTATAAACTAATTTATTCAGTAAATTGTCAATAAAAAAAAAATCATATCTAACTTTTTCAGAATCATACAGTTGTCTTCTAGATGCTTTTTCACAAATAAATGCCTCCATGCCTTTGGTTTTTTTGAACTTTGGATCAGTAGGGTCAATATTAAATAGATGAGATGTATACAATGCAGAAAATCGATCATCTTTTACATCAACCTAAAAATTATGAAAATGAATAATTAACATATAATGGATAATAGTTTATTAAGAAAACATTACAACTGCATGTTTTTTCTCCATCTTACACACTATATAACAAATATTCCTTTAGCAGGAACAACATTTTGCAGTTAATTTTAATATTTTAGTAAATTTATCTACTATCGAATTTGAAAATAAGAACATTCTGAACAGTTATGTTGATTTTTTTTTTTTTTAATATTTTAATTTGAAAACGAAATATGAGTGATATACAATTTAATAATGTTTATATCTCATTTAATAATAAAAATATAGAGAAAAATGAGATGTAGTTGCATAAATAATGTTCTTATCTTTAAGTAGGGGAAAAAGTCAATTGACTCTAATATTAAGATTAGTAGAATAAAGTTGTCCCTGCTGAACAAACAAATCGTATACATTAGTAAGACAGAGACAACTCAAGTGGATGCAGTGTTCTTTTAATTTTATTAACATACAGAGAAAGTATCATCAGTGTCTTTTTGAATTATATTTTTCTTATTTTTCTTTTTTTTGGAACTTTTAGTTTTTTCTTCTTGAATTCTTTTCATATTAAAATGATGTTTTTCACTTGGTTCTTCATCCATTAATAACAATTCTAATTCAGCTTGTTGTTTATTTAGCTTACTTTCATTCTCTGAATCAGTTTCATTATCTTTTGTCATATTTAATTCTCTTTTTAACTTTTGTTTTTCTTTTATTTTCTCTCTCTTTTTCTCCATCATTTTCTGGAATGGTGTTAAATTTTTCTTTGATTTTTCATTAACTGATTTTTGTACTTTTTCTTGTAAACCAATACCCCATGAAATTTCCAATTCTGTATCTTTACTAGCTTTTATTTCTTCTTCTTGTTGTATATTTTGTAATAATTCTTTATATTTGTCAATCGAATTTATTTTAGAACCACTATCCTCTTCATTCTCTTCAAATGACTGTTTAGTCTCATCATCACAACTCTCATTTTCTGAACTAAAAGCTACATATTTCTGTAAATCATTATCATCGATTTCACTTTTAGGATTTGTCTTAAGTTTATTAACTAATTCATTGCGCCTTGGGTCTGTCTCGTCCCATGTAAGGTTTACTTTAGCTTGTTGTAAGGCAGTTGTAGTAAATAAGTGAGGTTTGTATTTAATCAAATCTGGTAATTTATCACATACCTCTTTTGGCTCCTGTAAATAGTATGTAACATTAATTTATAATTAACAACTATTACATATTATAAAAAAACGATAACAAATATATTATATTAATGAATTTGTGAACAAGTTTTTTAAGCTAGCAAGTGTAAAAATATTTTTTTTTTTAATTAGTAATTATATAATAATACCTAGTCATTTTACATTTATTTTATTTACTTTTAATTATTTATATTTTATATCTCTTTCTAGACGAGTTCAAGCAATTTTCTTTTTAATAAAATGCATTATACCTCAATACATGTTTATATACACAGGGTGATTCACTAATCATGCTCACTCCATATTTTTTGGTTAAATTTTGCATATATTTAAATTCTAAGTTTTGGAATTTTAAAGTGTAGCTAAAGCCAATATTTTTGAATAAATAAAATTGTTTACAACATATAAAGTGAATCCAACTGTAGTGATATCAACTTTGGATTTGTCAAATGAGAACCTATACTAAAAATTCGGAAAAGACAAAATATTACTTAAAATAAATTTTGATGGTGAAATTTTTGATTTCTGTCAACCCCTTAACAAGATATTTCACTTTAAAGTTTAGGTAGGGAGAGTAGCAGAGTGTCATTTATGAGGCAGCACAGAGCCGGAATTTTTTTAGTACTCTACTACTCTCCCCCTAAACCCCTAAACTTAAAACAAATATATGAGGGGGTTTCATTGCAAAACATACTTTATCCTTTTTTTCTTATTTTTCAGTAGGGCAAATTTACTATTTAAGATTTTTGAATTGGTGTAGACCACACCTAAGAGTATTAAAAAAAACTAAAAATATTCTGGTATTGTTTATAAATTCATTCTTTTCTATTTAATGATTTTTATTGTTTTATTGGGATTTAAAAAAAAATTTTTTTTTTGCAAAACAGACCTTTTCTGGAATATATAGGTTTTGAATTAAAATGGAAAAAATTAGTTTTGCATTAAAGGATATCTTGGAAATGGAACATTTTGCAGAAAACGCAGCTTTTTAATTATCATTTTTTTAAGAAAAAATACTGTTTAAGCTAATAATAATGGCACCGTTCAATTGTCCATACAATTTATCATAATAATTAATGTACAACATAATTTCCTTAAAAATGGAAAAAGCATGTTTTGCATTAAAGCCCCTCATATATATATATGTATATAAATGTGAAATGTTTTGTAATTAGTAATCTCTGAAACTGCACGTACAATTGTTATGTTGTATTTTTTAAATTATATTGTGGACAAGCTTTTAAGCAATTAAGGTTATTGAAATCTTCGATTGATAAACTAACCAAACAAGTAGAAGTAGTAGACCTAATCTGTAGTAGCTTTGACTGGATAAAAATAATAAATTATCAGATATTTTTTATAACATAACAACCATATAATTAATTTATATAAGTATGAAAAGAAAATGTATTTTTTAAAATTTAAGAACAACAACCCTTAACTACAGTGATAATGATGGAAATTGAAATAGAAAATCCAAGGGGAAATGTTTGCAATGTTTGAATTATACATTTGTTTGGCACGGCCAATACAGGGCAGGACAGCTTATTATGAAACTATAATAAATTATTTTTTTATAAAAGAGAATACCCATATTGTGTTTTAAATTCACACCTAACAAATAATTACTTGATCAAACACAGTATCATCAGGTACAAATCTTAAATCCAAACGTGTAGCACTACTTTCATATTCTAAGCCATCACACTCTGTATATATTTTATTGGCAGTTTCTGGAGAATCACAAACAATAATAGCATAATAATACTTTAATCTTGCTAATTGATATTTTCGAAGTTTTTCCATATGGAATTTGTTACCTTCTTCTTCTTCCTAATAATAACAAAATAAGAGAACAAAAACAGTAATTGGTTTAATTTGTAAACCTGGTTAAATATAGGTATTTGAATCTCACTTGGTCACTTTCATCAGATGAATCAACTATCTTAGGGTTACTAGAAATAAGTTCAGGAGGTCCTGTAACTTCTTCTTCTTGCATTCGTTTCATGCCAAATTCGGATGGATAAATCTTCATAAATATAATAAAGAATAAAATATTTTAGAGTAAAATGTATACTTTTTTATTATTTTATGTATTTACAGTTATTGTTTTAATAAAGCCATCAGTTGGTAAAAAAGAATTGAATAAAATCATTAAGTCAGTAGCCTGTATTCTATCCCAATCCATATTACACAATGCTAATCTAAATGTTGCTTCTTCAATATTATCAGCATCTTTGTCTAGTTCACCCCAACCATGTTCTACATTTTCTGTAGGAAATTAACAAAACATGTTATAATTTAATTTAATATTCTATACTTAATTACTTAATAATTAGATACTTACCTTCTTTTTCTTCGTCGGTAGATGTATCATCATCTGACGAACTGTCAGATAGCAGTACACCATTGCCTCTAGCATAATCTATTGTGTCTTTTAGATGACAATTGATTTCTTTACTGATTATGTTTTTTTCATCATTATCTTCATCATCAGTGAAAAGTTGTTTGTCTGTTTCTTCAATAATATCATCACTTGAATTTTGTTCAGAATTTGTAACATCATCTTTTTCTTCATCAGATAAATGATAGAATTTTTTAAAATCTTCAGTAGTAGAAGTATGTAGAGGTCTTCCTCTTTTGTCAATAGTATATTTCACTTTGAATTGTTTATCATTGAATATAGATTGAAAACGTTTATCAATCTTGACTTTACGTTCACCTTTAGGTATACGTTTAAATTTAGGATCAACAGCAATCTTAGAAAATCGTTTATCCATGATTATATAAAATAGTACGGCACTTAATTTAAGTGACTGCAGACGACAAATTAAGATATATCTTAATTCTTCATTTGTACTACAAATAGTTCCTTGACTTCTTCAAAAACTGATAAAAAATAAAAATCGTAATTTTACGGATGTTTGCTAGTAATATTTAATAAGAGAGCTCAGTGGTTCTCAAAATGCGTGAAAATTGAATTGAAGGTGTTAAATAAGCAATAAATATGCAATAATGCACGATGTGAAGCGCAAAAAAAAAAAAAGGTTATGTAGTAGTATAACGTCACAGTAATCAGCCGATGTGATTTTTCAATAGCCTTTTTATTGTAAGTTATACAGATCTATACAACAGAATACTCATTGCTTTTTTTAAAAAATATTATAGATTTGTAGTGAAAAAAAATAATATTATTATAATTATCATTTAAATAGTTTAGATAAATAAATAAAATACATACATACATAAACATTGGTGTGGCATTTCCTATAGATCATATTTTAATAATTTTTAGAATCTAAAGAATATTTCATAGTGGTTTTATAAGTGTTACAATTGTATAAACATACTTAATATAATAATATAATTGTTCATACTCAATTTCTTTAAGCTATTCTTGGTAATGTTAGGTGAGATTTGGGAGTCTTATATATCAAATTTAATTGATAAATTATGATGATAATATATCTAATACATAAAAATTGTATACATTTAACATTATATGTGATTTACATACTATCACTAAAGAAAAAAAAATGTAATTAATTTAAATAGTTGAATACCTAGATATTATATAAGGTGAAAAATAGTAAGACTAGTTGAATAGATTTGTATATATTTTTTTAATTAGGTAACTTAAAATGTTGGTTATTATTAATTTGTTTAATTTTGTATGGCAATTGATTATAGATATTTATTCCTCTGTATATTATATATAACTATATTAATTAAGGTCGTTTTAGGCTTACATAATGTAAGTTTAAAATTGTTCATATTTCATTACACTGATTCAACCTTTTTTCTTCTAAAAATTTACCTAAATATAATTTACCTCTATCAGTGCACTATAAGCTAAATTTGCTACCAGTATATTCACAAAATCATAGTTGGATTTTTGCTAGTCTTTCTAGTAATTTAGACATAGCTAAAACTAATGATATTGGTCTGTAATTTGTAAGCTCTGTGGGATCACCTATTTTATAGATTGTAGTCACAATTGTTTGGTTATATATAAATACATCAGAAAAAGAGCCTTTTTTAAAGCTTAAGTTTGAAGTCTGAATCATTTTTTTGTAAGCAATGGTTTATCGTTGGGTATACATTAAATTACCTATAACAGTAGCTGCACTTGTTGAACTAAATACTCTTAATAAGCAATGCATATTTAAATTGTTCAACTACATGCGATAATTGTAATGATTCAAGTTATAGTCTTCTGTCTGAACAATCAAGGCAGGTAAGTTGTATATTTTGGATTGATTTGAATTGATAGTAAACCAAAGAATACATTTTTAGAATGATTCAATGGCTAATAAATAGTCATAGAAATGACCTGCAATTTGATGCAAACAAATATAATATTATACATTTCAAATTATGTTCTCTTCATTTTGAAAATCAAATGTTTTGCGAATCTCAATGGAAATGATTAACAAAAACGGTTATTTCATCGTTATTTGGTAATCATTTTAGATTCTGAATGAAGCGAGGAATGTATTGATTTTCAAATGATGTTTATTTTTTTTTTATTTCTTTAGACAACTGTTTTAACCAACAATTTTGCTCCAATTTACAATGCTAGCACTTTTTCCAAAAGACAATCAGATTGGGGAGGTATATTAGGTTGGTCATTTTTTGATTTTCCCAATAAATGGAAAAACATTGGAAAACTGGGAAAACCAGTATAACATTAAACAAATATTATTAAAGGAAATATATAATGCATATGTAATTATTTTACCATAATATGACATATATATTGTTGAGGAAGCAACACTATCAACAAACTCCGCTAAGAATCATTTTTTTTGGTTGCAATGATTAATTGTTGCTTACATATATACATTAAATTACCTATAACAGTAGCTGAATTTTTCCCCATTACCCTAGGACACCTTTTTTTAGTCATTTTTAGGCCAACAGGTTAACAATATATTATTCCATTTTTTTAAAATTTTTGTTTACCTATTTTCTAAAGTATAAATCATGATTAAAGATATATCTTTAATAACAGTATGAATGTATTCTCCACATTATACCAGACATAATAATGTCTATGCATTACACACAGCACAATGATAGGCCTTTGATAAAATCCATGCTGTTGATAACGGACAACTAACCTAATACTATACATTTCTTTACCGAGTTATGAAAACGTTTTTACTCCGTTGGTATGTCTATTATTCATTGTCATATATAAAGTTAAAACTTTAAAAAGTCTATCATCTAAAGGAATTATATATTAAATTTACAATGTCAACAAGATAAGGTCGGTTAAAGTAGATTTAATTTATTTATATGATTAACTATTGTCATGTACAATTTAGGATATTTTTGATTATGTGAAAAATTAAAATTTCATTAGAAAGTGGATCTGTTAGAATTTTGTTAATATTCGTTATTATATTAAAAATCAATTAATCTTTGATGATTGCATTAGTTTCGCTGTCTCTTCTTAATATTATTTTAAATTTACAACAATGTTTATTATAATATAATAGACATATTAATATATTAAATTACATAACTTTTTTTATTATATTTGATATTAAGTTGTTCATTTAAAACAATATGTTTATAAACTAAAAAAAAAATTATTTATAAACCATAATTTTGTAACCAATTGAAATTATAAATATATTATATTGATTTTATATACATAAATTTAATTATTGTTTTTAATGCCAATAAAAAGTAAAATAATTATAATGTCTAAGTTAATAACTTTAGTTTTAAAATATTTTATTGCCAAAATAATAATGTAAAGATAATCTTAATTTTCACTCTCCTAATGTTATTTATTGAATATTAAAATAAATAGTATGAATAAAAAACCCATGAAATAATTTTATACATTGACAGTATTTATAAGATTTACTTAAAATTTAAAATCAATCAAATCAAAGTCATTAACTTAAAACATTCCACATAATCTAAGGGCAAAATATTGACATAAAAAAGTCAACCTTGTGAAACTAGGCTTTATATTTTAGTCAGATTGGATAACCGTAAACAAATTTAGAAAACTTGTTTTCAAACAATTATGAATATAATAATACAAAATAGAGAACAAAATTAATAAATAAAATTATAATTAGGTTTACATTAAACATTATATTTTATTTAAATTGGAGTTAACATACAGGATTTGTTCTTAAACCATGATCAATCATTTTATTTAATAATATAAAAATTTAGATTTTAATATTCATTACTTTTTGCCTGACTTTTTAATTCCGCCACCAACCATTGGACCTTTTTGTGCTGCTTTGCATTTCAAATCATTTAATGCTTTTTGTTGTTCTTTTAACTTTTGTTTCATCTTAAGATCATCTTCATCAAGTTCTTTATTTTCTTTCTTGGGATTTTTTAAAGGCTTTTTCTTTCCTCCTTCACGACTAGACATAGCGCTGTGAGAATATAAAATTATAACATTTTCATTATATAGGTTACCTACCTAATACTGAGAGATAAATTTAATTACAATGAAACCTGTCTTAACACCTGTATATAACTGACAAATTTCTTAACCGACAAAATAATATCTTCATAAAAAAGATAGGCATTTCAATCTATTTCGACCTGTCTATAACAAACTCTTTCTATTACGGACACGGACTTTAATATTTTTCCTTAATACCTTGATAAAGGACAACTATTTTAGTTCAAAATCAAATATATTTCAAATATGTACACTGTACATACATACCATACAACAGTCACTAGTCTATTTCAAATACCAATTATGACAGATTACATACAGAATTATCCAGAAATATGTATTAAAGTTAAAGAATTTACAGTTCTTTTTTTTTATTGCTTCTCCATTATAGTGTTATACATTTGTCTCTGTTTTGATTTTAATTGATTCTGAATGAAGTGATAAATGTATTGATTTTTTTTCTGCAAACAACTTTTCTACCAGAAATTTTGATTAAATTTTAAAGTGTACCACTTTTTTTAAAAGGAAATTTTATTGGGGTGGTACTTAAGAATGGTAATTTTTTGATTTTCTCAGGGGTTTCCGTAATAAGTGGGAAAAATGGAACAATTAAGAAATGTATTATTTTCAAATTTTAAATATTACAGCCTATCAAAATATGTATAACTGAATTCCGCGCAAAATTGTTTTTCATTAGCAATGATTAATTGTTGCCTCATGATATACATTAAATTTCCCTTCAACCTTCCTAACTTTTTACCTACAACAGTGGCCCACCAATCGTGCAAAGTATGTCAGCTTGTTTTTTTCTTTGCAAATGCCACATCTCGTACCTGTCTATTACGGATAATTTGTATGGTTCCGTAATTGTCTGTTACATAGATTTCACTGTATCTTCAACTTAAATAGACATTAATAGACATATATATATATATATACACATGTACATTTATCTTTACATTTTATTAAAAATAAATCCGGTTGAAATTGTCTTTTGAGATGGAGGTAATTTCCCAGTCAAATTGCCTTTCAGAAAAAGTGTTACACTTGTAAATCAGAGCAGAATATTTGGTAGAAAAGTTGTTCAAATAAAAAATAATAATAATAAACATCATTGTAAAATGATAAGCTTCTTTACTCCACTCAAAATCTAAAAAAACTTTTTTTTTTTTTTTATTAAAAAATGACTTTTACAATCTGTATATAAAAAAAAAAATACAATAAGCAAATATGACACACAATTTATGACGGGAAGGGACAATGAGAAGGGAAGCTACCAGTGATAGGACCCTATGACATTACACCCCTATTTTTTCCGGCATTTTTGCCAACTAAAAAAAAAACCTATATTTAAAATAATGAACAATCAAATTACAGTGAAAATAAATAATTCAGCAGTAAAGTAACCTTTAATAGGAAACTAACATAAAATATAAGATAGTAGAAGAAAATGAAATAAAAATTCTTAAATATAATAATTTATAATTTATTACAAATAACTCAAATTAACAAAGGTATTCGTATGGATTAGTTATACTTATAACTTTGTAATAAAATATACTTACAGGTGATTTGAAAGGAATTGATTTAAAAATAACTATAATATTGTAGTAAAAGATAAATACTAATAATAGTAAAGACTTTGAAGATTGAAATTAGAAGCAAATACTATAGATTATATTATACTATAATTATTAAAATACTATAGACTATACATAATTTTTTAGAAATAAGAATATATAATAAATTAGATTTGGATCAATAACATGTATTAATTTACTGTGAAGATAGCAGGAGCCAGCAATAATTTATTGGTTATATTTTTAATATTTTAGTGCGTACGTAAGAAGTTAGTAACGAATTATGATTGCGAATTAAAACTAAACAAAGAAGTTCAACAATTTTATCAGTTTGACCAATTTATTTTAATAAATTATTTTGACTCGGATTTTGAAATCCAATTAAACTCGACTACGACCACGATTATAATATATCTGTGACTAGGTGATCAATACGACCATGATCTCCAAGATGCACAATACCATAGAATAACACTATGATAAAAAATCTATCTATATGTAAAACCGAAAAAAAAGCATGTACCTTCCGCTAGCAATATTTGATAAGAAAGTCCAGTGGTTCCCAATTTTGTAGACAATATTGCCTATACAACTCCTAATTTGTACTTAATGGTTTAATAAGTTGTACCTAATACCTAAAAATTATTTTTTAACCAACCCTATTACCATCTAATTTTTTACATATGTTGCCTTTCCAGATCTTGAAATTGTTCAAAATGTCTGTTTATTGCTTATCTTACTTTCGAAAAATTCTATTGCTGTTTGAAAAAATATTTCTATATCAACATAATACCACACAAATATTGCCTATGTTCAATTCTAAGTTTTGATACATGTTTGCACAATTAATTATAAAATAATATTTTTATTTTATTCATTCAGGGACCTAGTTCTTACCTATAATTTATTAATGATAATTACAAGTACCTAGTTTATATTCAATTTTATATTAATTATTAGATATATAATATGACATGGGAATTGTAATTTTATGAGGATGTGAAGGAGTTATTTTTAAAGGTATTTTTGTAAACAAATCTTACCAAATAAAATCAATATATTTCTTTCTTTTTACTGTCTATAATATATCTAAGGCTTTCAGTATTTATTTAAGGTAACTATAACTTAAAAATTGAATAATATTAATATTTTTTTTAAACAAATAGGTAACTATTTGTACAGCTGTATTGGCCAAATATACATTATGATTATTTCATAATATTTTCAAAACTTATTATAAATCTATAAGTATTTTGTATACCTACATAAAAATATTTTATTTTTTTTTTTTTTCAATTAAATTTGTCAAAACTGACTTGTACACCATGAAACAATAACTGTTATAGAATTATTTGACGATTACCTATTCATTAAATTATTAGTACAGCAAAATAATTATGAACAGTTTTTTTTTTTATGTAATAATATAAATTATAATCTACTCCAGTAAACTATTGCTTGTGGTGGAGTAGAGAGTTACATTTAGATATAATGATGAACTTGATTTTATAAAAAGCAATAATTAAATAGATTAAATTTGTATGTTAAGAAGTAATGTAGAAGACAAATATAGAAAAAAAGAATATAAGATAAAAAAGAAATACATTAGATAATTTATGCAGTGATATAAATAAGATTAAAGAATGCAAAAAGTCTAGTACTATAAATACATTAATAGATATAATATTATATATTATACTGATATTAAACAACTGAAAATAACCATTTATAAACCAATTTTTTTCCATTTATTAAACCAGAATGAATATTTTTTTTAAACAAGTTGATATTTGGTTGAAAAAAGTTGGACCATTAGAATCAACAAAAATTACCCAAAAGATTTTTGTGTAAATTTTACTAATAAATCATAAGCTCTATGCTCCCGTTTATTATCAGAAAATAATATAGTGTCTTTAGATTTAATGAATTTTTTATTACGAATAATATTGTATTTTTTTTTGTATATGAGTCTTATTGGCAGAGCACCTAAAATTTTGTAATTATTTTTTGTTGAACCCTCCAAAGTTTTTTTATTTAAAATTATTCTAGTGTGTTATTTTGATTTTGTTGTAGAATATTTATATTTTTGTCTTTAGCGCCTCTCCAAAATAGAAGACTATTTTGTAAAATTGATTGATAAAAAGCAAAATAAGTGTTACGTAAAAATTGAATTGATAACAAATATCTAAGTTTAAAGAATTTATATATTATTGCACGTAGTTTACAAACTATATTTTTTATATGTACGTCCCATCTAAAGTTATTATCCAAAATTATACCAAGATAACGAATTTTGAATATATTTTTTATTTGTATACAAGTTTGAGGATAACATTGCGTATAGATGTTACAATAGTGAATTATCAATGGAAACCCGTAAGTATTACATTTATTTATTGAAAAATGTATATACATAGTTTTATCATAATTTATAGTCAAGCGTATTTTATTTAATCATTTATAGGTTAGGTTTAAATCTTCCGTAGCTTTAAGATATATTTACACACAGCAGTGACGTGACAGTACCGTGACAGTACCGTGATTTCTCCGACGAGATAAAAATATTATATTGGGATTTCTAACGGTATAATATATAATTTTAGATTTTTGTTCACTCTCACCCGATACGTGACCGTACCGTTGTTTTGTGATTACTTGTCGCCGATATTTTCAAATTTCACGGACGTGTTTTTCTAGTAGTTTTGTAATTTTTCGCAGCTTATACCATAATGAATGACGAAAAACTTATTCAATTGGTGCAAACGTATCCCGTTTTGTATGATTTATCTCATGCGAAATATATGGACGCGGAATTTAAAAAAATTATTTGGAGTAAATTAGCAGAGGAGTTGGAAACAACTGGTAAGAAATACATTATTTTTAATATTAATATTATTACTAGAGTACCTACGGATGTATATGCATTTAAAATTACCAAATATGCACTAAACATCATAAAAATAGGCAAAATTTTAATAGTATTATTTGATTTATTTGAACATGAATCAAATTTATATCTAGGTTAACATTAAATTGGATGTATACAAAACAAATGTGTAATTTCATAAACACCCGAGACCGTATTTGGAATAGCAATAAAATAGAAACTGAGATTAAAGCATTATTTTATTTTAATTATAATTATTATAATGACAAATTTTGTTTACATATTTTTAAGATTGTTAATTATATTTATACAATGTATTTTGAACTATAAAATTTTCTTATATCTAATTATTTTATATCCAAGTTAGAGACCCAGCTTCAGTATTAAAGTACTCATTGAATATTTACCTTACTCCCTTTTCCTTAAATAATACATCATCAAATACAAATTTGCGTGTATTTTCAGTTAAATGTAAATAAAACAAATTTAGAAGCATTAATATTTTCCATTTTAAACTAACCTCAAACAAACGGCGAGACGTTCTCTTGGTGTGATGGCTTTTCTCCAGTTTGTGTCTTGTTTTTACAGATGAACTTCCAATTTGTTTAATAGTAAGTTGAACGAATTTTCCGTCATTCTGAAGTACTCAAAAAACTTGGTTCCATCATCCATTAGTTCTTTATACAGATTACAAAATTCCTCTTCTGTTGGCCTATTCGTCCATGCTTTATGGACCCTCATTCGTTTTTCACAACTTTTTTTTCTTCTTCTTCGTCCAAAATTAGAGAAATCATTATTAGCTTTAATAGCTTTTCTGAGAACAAAGTCATTTTTCCCACGAACTATAGACTCAATAACGAGATGAAGCACTGACCATTGTGAATAGAAATGACGGCCGGTAGAATCCCGGCACTGTCACGGTACTGTCACAGTACTGTCACGTCACTGCTGTGTGTAAATAGACTTTTAAGGTATACATTATCTCAAGAATTGTCTGCGAATAATAGGCAGATATTATTAGCATACGTTACTATTTTGCCATCGATTTTTAATTTACAAATCGTATTTATGTATAATATAAATAGAACTAGCCCTAGCATACTACCCTGAGAGACACCTAATAAAACACCTAAAACTTTATTACCATTGTCTAATTATTTGTATATAAATTGTATTATTTCATACAATGCATTTTCCGTACCTAAACTCGATCTGAAACCATATTGGATTTTTCATAATAGTTCGTTTCTTTCTAGATACGAAATGATTCTTGACTTAATGATTTTTTCAAAAATGTATTAACATATATATGGGTCTATAATTATCCATATTTTTATTGTCAACCCTTTTATATAATAGTTTGATCAATGCTAATTTAAAATTATCCGGGAAAATAATATTTTTAATACTTAGTTTAAATATACGTATGAACAAGTTATCATATCGTATCCTGCAGCGGTGTCGTCTCTACAGTTATTTATAATTGATTGTACCTCTGATACATCAACTTTTTTTAGAAATAATTCATCGAATGATTGCGCATCTAGATTGTTAATGACATTTAAATTAGTTTGTGCTACCCGTGAATTTATTACCCAAATTTTTACCAACGTTTATAAAAAAATTATTCAATAAGTTTGACATCCCAATTGGATCATCTGCTATATTTATTGTAATCATTTACTTTTAAAACATCAGTTTTATCTTTATTTTTATAGATGGTACCTGTCACTTCATTTATTAATTTTTCCAAGTTAATTTAGGACTATTTGACACTGTTTTAAATTTTTTTTCATACAAATTGATTTTTGCAAGCCTTCAATTTTGTAAAATTATTTTTATATTTTTATAATAAGTCGCAAGTTTAATATTATTTGGGTGTTTCTTACATTTTAGAGAAAGATATTGCTTACGCCGTGCGAAACATAACAAGCCTTTTGTCATCCATTCCTTTAACTGTTTATTTTAGGAATTAACAGATTTAGAACTAAAAGAAATATAAAATATTATATTTTGAAGTATAGTAATAGTAATATAGTAATACATTAATTTACCGAGCTACATTCATATAATTTTTCTTTACTTAATGTTTTCATTTTATCATGGATTTATTAATTTAACAGAAATTGGAATTGATACTATTATAGAACAGTGGTCAGTGATATCTCTTAATAAAACACTTGCACTTATTTTATTGAAAGTATTAATATTATTAATTTAAATGAACACATGATCTAAGCACGAATGCTGCTGACCCTTTGGTAACCTCGTAAAAATATTTATAAAAGAAAAAATGCCGTTAACCGATAAGAAATAAATATAATCGTTATTATTTATGTGGGAACCTATTATGTTAACACTAAAAAGTTATCATTTTATTCATTAAATATTATCCTACAATTGACAATGATTAGCTGTGATAAAGATAGCCTTCTACTATATCAGTTGTAGTAGTATTTAAGATTATTTGTTAAAATTTTGTATTATTAAAAGCAATATTGTAAACAACTACATTGCACATATTATGAGATTGTCAAAATATTGAATGATTGAAATTTACTAATTTTCATACTCAGCCACTCAGCCATGATAAAACAAAATACCTATAGTAATAAGAAATATCTAACAAATGAGAATTTAAAAATAATAAACATAAACATTTTAAAAAAAATGTCCAAAATTAATATTAATAAATAGAGGTAGATTCATTCTCTTTTTCGACTCATTCAAGGGATAACGTGGAATGCACAAGGGTGTGCCATTCAAATATGTTTTAATGTATAAAACAATTTTAATCAATATCTATCAATTTATTTATTCTTGGAATTAGAAACAGGAACTTTTCATTCACTGTTCATATCTAACAACTGGAATTTTGGAATTTAAACAATAATTGATAATGGATTGTGCTTCACATTTTGAAACAGCTGAATACATTTTCTGACCAATAAATTGTTATCACACATAATAGTCTAGTCCATAAATGTATAAAACTTAGTAGTTTTATATCTATGGTCGTCTCCTTTTTTTTTTCCTTTATCACACAAAAACGTGTTATTTTTTCCAGTTTCCAATAAAAATCGAATAATTATAATTTGTTTTGTAGATGAACCACAGAATGGACACCGATTAAAAGATGGGCATCACAAATATTATACAAAAACATTAATAACAAAACATTTTTTTTTTTTACTAAACACTTGCCTTTTTCTTTCAAATGAAACCTAGATAGTTTGAAATTATAGAACTATTACCTCAAATTCATCATAAGATACTCAAAACTATTAAGTAGGTAATTATCTGTATCTATAGGTCTATTATAGGTGTGTACAGTATGACATGTAATGTAATGTATATTAAATTTATTATCAATATAATATTTTTGATTGCAATTTGCATACACAAATTGATATTAAGGTAACCACTGGAAATATAGAGGTAAATAATAATGCATATATTATGAAAGAATTGCTAGTTTGAAATTTAACTACATTATGATAGTTACAACAAAATATTATGTTTATTAAAATTAGGTACTTATACTATAAAACCTTTTAAACGTTTTTTAGATTGCAGGTAAAGTAAATAGAAATGTTATTCTTACCTATCATTATGAATAAAATATAATGTACATAAATACCTACATCAAGTAGCTAAATAGGAAACTCTGTACTTAACTACCAATAGTAACCAATCATGTATTATTTAATACTAACTAACTATGGTGGTAATATAAATTATAATTAATAAAATAATAATATTTAAAGTGTGTTTAAGTACAAATATTATGATGTACAATTTATAAAATTGAAAATACTTTTTTTAATGCATTAATCAAAGCCATAACATTTACAAATAAGCAGTAATCACGAATCTCTAATTAAATGTCTACAAATAATTTCCCAAGCTGGTTAGATTAGATAAAATAGGATAATATTCAATGATTTTTTTTTGGATTTAATATTATATATTTAGGAAAATATATAATGCATACATATTAATTAAATAATTATTTTACCATAATATGGCATATATATTGTTGATGAAGCGACACTATCAACTGAACTCCGATTAATTATTGTGTACAGATATAAATGAAATTTCCCTTTACTATCTTCCCAACTCTTCACCTACAACAGTTACCCATTCGCATGCAAATGTCTGTCAAATGAATCAATGATATCTTCATACTTAAACATAAATAAATAAACAAACATACATTTTATTATTTTGAGTCTTTTATAATTTTGAATTTAAATTCATAAAGTTTATTTTGACATTTTTAAATGCCAAGTTGTTTTGTGTATGGAAGAACAAGGAATAATGATGGATACAAAAACTAGAACAAGTATACTTGATTTACAGATTTCCAAAAAAAAAAAATCTATAAGAGACAAATGGGATGATTTTTTCATTGAAAATTGTTTAAATACACAAAAAATTAACAAGTATTTAAGTGACAAGTGGTTATGGTTTGTTATTTAATTTCAATTATTACTTATAGAATTTAAGAGATGGATAGAGATAATATATTTAACTCCAAAATATCTTTTTCTAAAGGTTTAAGTCCAATAAATTATTGAAACATTAACTTAGTTACAGCCATATTTGAAGAAATGTCTATACTTGTACTATACTATTATACAATATACTTTTACTTCCTTAAACTTAGCTACGGCCTACTATTACTAGTATTAGTTTATAAATCTCAAGGCTCATATTATGTTTATAATACAATATATTTAAAAGTTTAATCTCATAGAAATAAACTTATGTTTTACATAATTTGTTTCACTGAAAATGGTCACACATCTATGTCCGGGGTTGACTATGTGGCGTCATCTATCTTTGTATATATAAACATGCTTTGCTCATTTAATTAAACAGATGTCACATTTTATTAGTATTCCACTTCTTTCCCTCTGCTAAAAGTTGAATATTTCATCAATCGGTTGACAGATAGGTATTAAACATTTAACACTAATATGTATTTAAACTAATACTCCATATATTTATGGAATTTTTAATATAGGATCTTATTTTAAAAAACGATATCGCTACCAGATACTCCTTAAATATGGAAAATCTAAGTATTTGAAAACAACGGCTTTAATTACAACAAAAATTCTAAAAATCAGAATTTAAATCAAAAAAACGGGGTGAGCATATTTAGTGAATCACCCTGTATACAAATCAAAAATAAATCCAGATGTGTTATGCAAAACTGAATGAACAATAACATACCTGAATCTGAATTGACGATTTGAAGTCTAGAAGAAAACTTATCCATCTAAATAAAGGATTATTTCATTTAGTGGTTCAATAATGAAGAATGTTTTATTCGCCACATTGACAGTTCTTATGTATTTAATAAAATAATGGATGATATTTTGAATGATGTACATCTTGGGTTACCACGTGTTGAACATAAAGATGCTATTGTTTCATATTCTATAAGATATTTATGAATATGCGCATACGATAGTTCACCAGGCAATTAAATCAAAACAGTAAAAAAAAAAAACAAAGAAAAAAATATTTAAATTCCGCAAAACTTGATTCACTTATATTATTTTTACTCAATCACTTTTAGATTCTGAGTGGAGCGGGGAATGTATTGGTTTTACAATGTTATTTTTTTTTAATTTAATTTTTTTTTTTTATGTGAACACTATTTCTACCAGAAAGCATACTCCGATTATTAAGTATAGTACCTTTTCTGAGAGGAAATGTTCTTTGGGTGGTACTTTAAAAAGGCCATTTTTTGAGATTCTTATTAATATTCGAGATAATGAAGAAAACCTCGGTCTTTAGGTTAAAAAAGATTGAAAGATTAAAAATAAGGTTGTAATTGGTAACCGTTTTTATTTATTTTTTTTATTATTTTGATCTTTTTTAAAGAATCAATGTTGTCATGAAAACGCATATTATTGTAAACATTTTACCATAATATGATATATAGTGTATATATACACCATATATTGTATTGTTTACAAAGCAACACTATCTACTGAACTCTGCTCAAAATCGTTTTTTATTTTTTTTTTTATTTTATCTTCCCAACTTCTCATTTACAATAGTGGCTGCACCCATGTTCGAAGTATGTCCGTCCTTTTTTTTTTTTTTTTGTATTGCATAGTAATTTACTTGTTCGTTATTCATTATAATGCATTAATTTAATTCACGGACATATGCCAATATACTATATAGTACATCATATACCTATACAGTTGTGGTTTAATGTATTGCAAAATATTAAAATCGATAGTTAAACAATCTGTTGACATATTCTCAAAATGCCACTTCTGATATAGAAAGTGCCATAGGCCCCATACATGTTCAAACATTTTGCACAACAGAGGCTGTTGTGCAAACCGTTGTATAGTGTATAATGTTGTTTGACGTGTTGCACAATTAGTTGCACGAAATCAAACATGTTTGAAATTAATTGTACAACGAGTGGGCGTTGCGCAATTATTGTATCGTGTATGGAGTTAGTGTAAACACGTTGCGCAACAACAACTTACTGTTATCTATAATATAAATAATAAATAACTGTTATCACGTGGAGGTATTTTTATTTGAGAAATAAAAGTTTATATTACAGTATAAATGAAATAATATTACAATGTTAATGTTTATAATTTTTGTTTTTATGTATAGACGTGTAGTTAACAGTTAAAATGACGACAAATTTTATGAATAACAGAGAATTTTTGATTGAGTTCATTGATTTATACCGTCAGTTGCCGAAAGTTTGGAAGGTGAAAAGCGATGCATATAAGAGTAGAGTTTTGAAAAATTTAGTATATGAAAAGTTTGTTGAAAAACTAAAGGAAATCGAACCTAACGTTGATAGAGAAATTGTACGGAAAAAAATTAATGTAATTAATAGCAATTATTATAGCTAAACAAGCTGCGGTGTCAGGTGGCATGTTTAGATAATAAGTGACAATATTAATTACTCTTTAATTTATAACTGATAACAATATAAAATATAAAATACAACGTAATAACGTTTTTGTGAAACGTTAGTTCGCGCTAATGTTTGAACGTGTATGGGGCCTTTCACATAGCCATCCCCCGGACCGTCTACAATAACGGCACAAAATTTCTGAATATTGGCCACATAGAATGGTCGCCAGACCAATCTATGTAGTTGTGGGTGAGAGTATGTTTTCCAGCAACTGATAAGAAGAAAAGAAATAAATTAAAATCAGATTAATCAATCTTGAAACTTTAAAATTCCACCAACCAATCCAATAATTCATGTATTCATCATTATAATAATAATAATAATAATAATAATAATAATAATAATCTTTATTACGGAATAAATTTCAATTTACAAAATTTAGTATAAAATGACAGATACATTTAAAAATGTAAGAAAAAAACAATAAAATATATATATAAATATTACAAAAGGAAGAATATACAACATACAACATACAACATTTGAATATTAAAATACATTATTAAGAAAATTGATTGACGAGTGAAAAAAACCTCTATTATTAATAGTATTGGCGGTTGACAATAATATGTAAGAGGGAGATATGAAATACTGGATAAATAAAAAAGAGATTTATATCTTGCATTGGGTAAATTAAATTTAAAATTTAAAAGTCCTAATAATTCCGGGCAATCCGCAACGTTATGTAATAATTTGTATACAAACTTTGTATCTAATAGTTTATATCTATTATCCAGAGACATAATTGTGAAAATACTATGTACACTACCATAGCTAGTTCTCTGTACATTATATTAAAAGCATGGAAATCGTAAAATTTGTTTTTGATTTTTAAAAGACAGTGTAATTGATTCAATGACCTATTACGTCATATTAAACTCACATATACTCAAAATGAGAACGGGACTAATGAAAAGTATAATAGTTTTAGAGCTTGATCATCATGGAAATCTTTACACGTACGTTTAAAGAAAACCTAAATAGAGATAGTGTCTTATTTGTTATAACATCAATATGGGAGTTAAAAGAGAGCTTAGAATCAAAAGTAACATCTAGATCATTTATTTCGCTTACTCTGGTGATTGTACGATTGTTTATAGTGTAGTCATAATAGACTATATCATATTTTAAAGTAAAAGAAATAGGTTTACATTTTTCTATATTTAAATACATACCATTGTCTACACTATTTATTAAAATAGTTTAAATCATTTTGAAGAAGTAACGTATCATTATCACAATAAATTTGTTTAAATAGCTTCAAGTCATTTGCTAGCAATAAAAATAAAGATTGTTTTATTTTACAAGATACATCATTTATAAAAAACATAAACAATAGCGACGGTAAATGGTTACCCTGCGGAACATCAGATATAGCATATATATTGTTTGAAATGAGTTTTATGAGTTAGAAATGAACGAAACCGTGAGAGAAGCGGGTCGTAGAAGACATACGAGTTTAGTTTTAAAATTAATAAATTGTGATTTACTTTATCGAATGCTTTTCGAGGTCTGTATAAATGATATCTGTTTGAGTTTTTTTTAGTGTACAATTTAATAATAAATTGTTTAAAAACACATAAATTGGTAATTGTCGAACGTCCTGCACGAAAACCATGTTGCTAATTTATTGATATATTTTTACACATAGGCATTAACTTCTTATTGGACGGTAATTTTGTCCACAGTGAAATACCAGGGCTAATTTGAAAGCACACTCTTTTTAAAAACTAGGTGAAATATTATCAGTACTAAGAGACGTTCTCAAATTTATAGACCAAAACTCGTTAAAAATATCACCTAATTCTAATATAACTACATTAATGAGCCAAAATAACTTGTCGGAAAATGAGAATTAGATAAATTTATATTGTTACCTTCGTAAACAGACGAAAAATACGATTTAAATAAGTTAAAAATATCATTACTATTGTTAGTCTTCTCACCAATATATGACATTGAACAAGGTAATTGGTTTGATGAGTTTTGTGGTTTAAAAGAAGAATACAAATATTTCGGATTAAAATTAACCAACTTTTGTACATTATTAATGTAATTATCATAGTCACGAAGCCTCAAATAGTGACACTTTTTTCGTAGTGATGTAAATTCTAAGTATGAAATTAAGCTATTCAATGATTAATAAACTCGATGCGCACACTTTTTTTGTTTTATTACATTTTTTTAATTCTTTACTAAACGAAACAGGGAAATTTGATTTAGAAATGTATAATTTAGGTATAAAAGTGTTCAGTTTGATAGTCATGCTTTGTGAACAATAATAGTAAAATAATTAAATAGGCTTTACATATTTTCTTTAATAATATTTGTTTAATGTTCTACCGATTTTTTTGGTTTTTCTACGTTTTTCACATTTGCTGCAAAATTTCTAAGAAAATCGAAAAATAACCTCTTCAAAGTACCTCCTCAGACAGATTTTCTTTTAGAAACATTGCTAAATTGGAGCAAAATTGCTGGTAGAAAAAGTTGTGCACACAAAAAAAAATCATTATATTTCAGTAATATACTTTGACATTTTCCCTTTTTTTTTTCAGTTTTTCATATTTGATGAGACAACTCTTGAGAAAATCGGAGAAAAATTTTGAATAGAAAAGTTGCGCGCCGATAAAAAAAAATAAAAATAAAAATAAACATTTATATTTTGACTTAAAATATAATATTGTAACAAGTAAATTGTTGTAATAACCAACAAATGATACACGTAATTAGGATTAGAGTAGATATTATATTGGCTATTGTTATACATCGCATACATTTTGCGAGAAAAATAGAAAGAAGAAAAGTCTTCAGTCATACAATTAAATTAATGCTGTTGGAACCAGATTTAATTAACCCCAAAAAAGATTACGACTTATGGAAATTGAATTTTCGACACATTATTTCGTCTTTCTACAGTCAGTGTGATTTTGTCTCCAGCAGATGCTACCAGCGGCACTGTTAGACAACAATCTGAATCATCCGTCCTGGTGTTATTAACCTATATTTTGAAGGATCGATTAATTGAGAAAAAATAGTATACAGCTAATGATATGAATAAGGCAATATACTTGTATTATATGGTCATAACGCTTCAACATGCCACTAAGGTCGGCTGGTCCGCCTTTTCGAATGTTGTTGACGAACACACCTCTCTCGTACAATCCGTCCGATATACTGAAACCGAAATCTTCGTATACCGCGTCTTTGAACAGAGTGATCTGTAGATTAGATACAAGACAGAGAAACGCTATAATTAGTTAGGTAGATACAAAAGACATTTAAGTACCTATAATTGGAGCCCTGTTTACGAATTTTGGGGATCGGGTGCTAATTTTTTTTATAGGACCTTTAAATTAAATTATAATTTCAGATTTTTCTTTTATCCAGTACTGTAACTAAACAATCAATTATAATATAAAACGTTTCTATCTCTATCTTTTAGATTCTAAGCGAAGTGAGGAATGTATTGGTTTTACAATGATGTTTATTTTCTTATTTCTGTAGACAACTTATCTATCAGAAATTTCACTCCAATTTTGATTACCCTTTTCCCTATTCCTCCGGTCTACACTTTAAACTGTTATAACTCATAAACGGTAAATTTAATATTAGTGTTACGTATATCAACATTTCTAGAAAAATATTGTCTATTCAAATCTGTGTTCAAAAGGGAAGGGGTTTCCTATTTTAAAATTAAAAGTAAGTATGTACTAATTAAGGTTTATGGAGCCGGGGTAAAAAATTTAAAATCGTTTTAAAATAAAGCTTAAACGATTCAATAATGATCAGTCTGCACCGGAGGCAGCCGGGTGACTATCGACACACGTTTGTTAATACAATCTCCGTTGCCAAAAGTGGGCCGTCCGAGATCATCCCACGCTGGTACCCGACAGTCGGAACGTGAAAAGACCCCCGAACATACTAGGGGCGTCTCCAGACCTCGATTTGGGGGGGGGGACGAAATAATTAACTTTAATATTAATGATTGGTAAGAAAATACGGACATACTTCGCCCAATGGGTGGACCACTGTTATAGATGAGAAGTTAGGAAGGTAAGATATCGAGGGAAATTTAATATATATCTGTACGTTAACTGCTTAGGGGTGTGTTTGGATCAATTCCATGAGGAGGGAGTGAACAATTTTTACTCTTGAATACTACCGCTTTGGTCAACAAAAAGTTAAAACCTATAGGTCTAATGTCATTTTAATTTGTATTAGCTTAGAAGCAGTGGCGGTTTAATGGAGGGGTCCGGGGGGTCTGGACCCCCCCTAGACTCCGAGTTTAGACTTTGAATTTATTTGTCATTGAAAATTTTTTTTAAAAAAATGAAAATAATTGGCAAATTAATACGAGTTATAATTCTTTTTTTATACACTTTATATATACATTACATAGAAAATATTATATTATGCATAATATATAATATTATATACTTATCAAGTGGGAACAACTGAAAAAAAAAAACGGGAAAATTTAAGGAATAAATCAGTAAAATATTACGGTCTATTTTTTCTGTGGACAACTTTTCTACTAGCAATTTTACTTCGATTTACAATGATTGAATAATAACACTTTTTCTTAAGGTAAATCTCATTAGGAAGGTAATATAGGGAGTTCATTTTTTGATTTTCCCAGGAGTTTTCCAAATAAATTGGAAAAACGGGAAAATAGATACAATATTAAAAAAATAATACTAAAGAAACTATATAATGCATATGTAATTACTTTACCACAATATGATATAGTATTGTTGATAATGCAACACTATCAACCAAATTCCGTTCAGAATCGTTTTTTTTTTATTAGAAATGATTAATCTTTACTTAATGATATACATTAAATTAAATATAGCAGTGACTGCACCCGTCCCCATTATCCTAGGAAAGCTTTTGAATTTTGTAAAACTTAGGTTAGATTAGATTATGTAATTAAAAAAAAAAAATATTTTTTCTGACAGTGAAAGTTGGGCAATTTAAATTAAATTAATGCATGATAAATGGGAAAATATTTTTTTGTGTTAAATATATAGGTAATATCAATGGACCCCTTCTCCCAAAAAAATTCTTAAAACCTCCACTACTTAGAAGACTGCAGATATATTATACTAATGCAGTACAACACAGTTAACAATGCACAATGCAAGTACACAATGTAGTAAAACAGGGCAATTTAAAATTTAAATTAATTTTTTTCACATTAAATAGATAATAATAAATAAAAGTTAGATTACTAAGTCTGAAATATATTTATTTTAAGCAGCCTTTTTGCAAGCAATTTGATCAATAATATTTTCTATATTATTGTTTTCATTTCGATGAATATTTGAAAGTGATAAGTCAGTTAGCTTCTGTTCAAATTTTTTTTTACCACAATGTACGACTTTTAATAAACCTCATGTTAAATTCTCAAGCATTTCTGTTTGGTCTAACAATTTTATCCACAGAGTACCTACTGAATAAAAATTACGTACAAAATTCGCAAAATTAAAATGTCTATACATTTCTCATACATTTGGCTTTGTCAAAAAAAGTCAAATATAAGTTTTCTGTCCAAATTTCAAAGCCTACGAATATGTTTAACTGAATTACGATAAAAAATAAAACTGAAAATAATAAATGCATTTTTTCATAAATTTTCCCGTTTTTCTTACGTTTTATCCCGGGTTTTCCTAATATTAATAATATATATATATATAAAATTTCTTGGAAAATCAAAAAATGACATTCCTAAAGTACCATCCAGTCAATATATATTTATACATTGAAGCAAGATATTTGATAGAAATTTTTGTTACAGTATAAAAATAAAAAATTGTAAATCCAATAGGTACATCTTTCGCTACACGATTATTTCCACTTAGTTTTCCATATAATTCTATCTCATCCTTGAGAGAATATTTATTGAAATTTATAAATGAGAAGTATTTTATTCTCTTTTCAATTAAAGTCTTTTCAAGATCCGTAAACATCTTTATCGCATTGATTACGCCTAGAACGATCAAATTAGTATATAAAGGGCCTTTATTATGCCGGGGCCCGTGGCCGCAGCCGCTTAGTCCCCTTCTAGTTAGGGATCTGCCTATAATAATAATAATAGGTACTGATTTTTATGTCACAGCTATGACTATATAGTGGCATGTTAGTTAAATAATTAACTCCCGTATTATATAAAATGTATAATATTCAAACGATATTGTCGTACTTGGAACAAATCAAAGTCCAGGAGACCGTCCCGATCTTGATTTTCGGCTATCTTGAATATACTGTCGATATCATAGTCGGTGTGCTCACGTATATAGTACGGCCTGAGCGTGCCACCGAAATAGTCGCTGTCGAACTCTGGCACTTTACGCTGGGCGCTCTTAGACCGATGACGCAATACAACCCTTTCGGGCGTCGGTTCGTGCAAATTGGGTGCTGACCGGGTGGTATCTGATTCGATGGCTGAGTCATCAGCAGTGGTTGATAGCAGCCCCACGCTAGTGTAGAATGACCGTTGCTGCGGCCGGGATACAGTGATCACCACCCGGTCATCCGTGTTTTGCAACTGTGCTATGGCAGTGGATAGAGGTGCCTCGGACAAATCGGCGCCATTGATGGCCAATAACCTGTCGCCTACGTGTATGGCGCCTGTCCGGTCGGCTAGACCACCTGAATAACGAAAAAAACGCATGTTAAATTTATTTCTAGGTCACTTTATACGGTCGACCATAAAAAACATGGAACGCGGATATTTTGTATGATCGGCTAAAAAGGTAGAACGCAGAACGCGGACACTTTGTACTATTATATACATAATATATATAGTGCCTATACTCAGTATATATTCATAATACATATACTATATTATATATAAAGTAAATAAAAAGCCCGAGTACGACATGTTTGATACTGAGGATGGGTCATTTATGATCAATCCAACAGTTTTATTCACATAGTAGGTTCCTATCAAAAATTATACATTTATATTACTCTATTAATAGCTCAATAGTGGCTCAAATATTTCGACAATTTTACCACGTCTAGGAAAGACCAATATAAGTTATTATATAGTTATTATATATATAAGCCAATATACATTCCAAATTTCAAGTCTTTACAGCTGTTTTTAACCGAATAACAACAAAAAAATCTATCAAAATTAAAATATCTATAAATAGCTAACATTTTCCGGAAGTCATACCGTAAGAAATTATATCTAAAATGAAACAAAACAGGTCTTGTCATTTTTTAATTGGAGTAATATTTTTGGTAGAAAACGTCGTCCGTAATTATTTATAATAATAAAATCGTGAAATCGTACTTTTTTTCGCTTAATCACTTGTATTTCGAGAATTAAAAAATGACCTCTCTAAAGTACCTTCCCACAAAAATTACCTTTTAGAAAAGATGCTAAGGCTCTCACCAAACTTCCCACTTACGACTCACCTCATTAGCTCTTTTTATGTAGCTATGTGTTATATTTATTTATTCTATATATACCATGTATATGTACAATATATGCATATATATATTATGTAAAAAGTGTCCGCGTTCCGTGTTTTAAACAGTAGATCGTATAAAGTGACCGTTTACCGGTATATTTAATAAATTTAAGGTGATCTAATAACTTCCCATGCATTTGAAACAATTTTTTTTTTTTTGGGAGGGGGGTTGAAATTCGTTATTAAGTGATATAAGCTTTTCTAATCAATCCCTAAAAAAAATAAAAGTTTATAATGTTATATTATTATATTATATTTATCTATTATTATATACGTAAATTTCTATTTTGTTATAGGTATCAATTTAAAAACCTTAAAATAATATCCATAGTAATTGCAGCACCTAAAACAAGTAAAACATGAACGTTTTTACACAGCTACATAAATTCGATAAAACCAAAAACATTTTTACTATTATTATTTTAATTTATACTGATATTTTTACTGTTATGACTATAATTATAATTTTTTTCGTGTACATAATAGCTGTAAACAATAAAGCCCTTAATAATATACCTAACCTAACCTACTTGATTATTATCTAAAATCAATATTCTATACATAGTTATAGGAGTACTAAATATATTATCTATAATTTAAATCAAATTATTTTGACATAACTAATGTAAATAAATATTTCATGAAAGACAAATTAGCTGCAATTGAATCTATAATAAAATATATTTTTTTCTCAATACCTGGTGATAGTTCCTGTATAGAAATTGGTAACCGGGAATCTTCAGATCCAGTTATAGTAATACCCAAAGGTTCTCCTTTTTTATATAATTCCACTGTGTATTGAACCAAATCATCTTCGTTTTCACAATCATCTAGAAATAATAATTCCAACTAAAAATTATTTGAATTTACAATCTACATTCTATAAACTACAAATTTAAATATTGTTCATAATCTAGAAATAACATGTATAAATATTGTTTCATAAGCGTATAATGCGTATTAGTATGTAGTACATATTAACTGTGAACTGCGTATTAATTTAAAAAAGTATACACAAATGACAAATGTAGTTACTTATTAGCTGGGCTAGGATTTGTATGCAATAAAAAAACTATAAATTATGCATCTTATTTACCAAAATATGAAAAATATGCATTTAAATTTTTATAAGATAAACACAAAAATATAGTTACAAAAAAAATATTTATTTATTGAAATACATCAGTGATTGGCTGTTTATCTTAATATAATATAATTGAGAAATAAAATACTTTAGAAATAAAATTTATAATTCACATTTAATAGTGGAAATAAAAATCACAATAATTTTACTAAAATCACACTGAAAAATAAATGGTGATGCGTGGACAACTGAACGATCTGTACTACGCAGCATTGTGTGTATTACACTAATACCCGATAAATTATATCTTATCTTAGATTTTATATTGACCTACATAGTTTTATTAATTGTGTTTATCTTTCTCCGTCAAACTATTCAATATTTTATCGCATACCTATTGTACCAAAAAAAACAAGTTTTATACTTCAATCAGTAGGGCTAGAATTAAATTCGAAACATTAATATTAAATTATAAATATTAATTACGAAACATACTATAAAACATGCATTTTTCGCATTCTTATAATCCAAATATGCAATAATATTAATTTTATTCAATATATGTAATTATATGAATTTTATCCAAAATATGCAAAAACATGCAAAATAAAAACACCACCATTTATCTCATCATGAGGTGATTCGTGGACATTACTGACAAAATCAATAATCAAAAGTCGCAAAAAAAACATGCTGTTGCATATAAATCCTAGACCTGCTTATTAGTTATTTGAATATAAATTCAGTAAAATAAAAATTAAAAAGATGAACATACTTATGAAAGGCCATAATATTAACGATTTTCGTTAAAATTTGATATTCAAATTCTTATAAAAAAAAAAATTCTTAATAACACTCAATTTTTTTTTTTTACCACAAAACACGACTTATAATGAACCTCTTGCTAAACTTTCAAGCATTTCTGTTTGGTCTAGCGATTTTATCTACATTTAAACCTAATCTACCGAGTACAAATTACGTAAAAAACTTGCAAAATTAAAATGTCTATGAATAGTTCAAAAATGGCTAAAATGTTTTGAAAATTTTACCACGTCTAGAAAAGACAATATTATCATTAGGTTTAAATTTCAAGTCCCTACGAATATTTTCAACTAAATCATAACAAAAACTAATACATTTCATACATTTTCCCTTTTCCAATTATAATAATCACTTAGCAAATCAAAAATTGACCTTGATTCACTCAGAATCTAAAATACTATCTTTAGTTTTTCAAACTAAGTACCTTAAGGTATTAAATTAATTTTGAAAGAAGGTTTCGTTTTCTGTATGATCAATAAATTGTCTTCATTATCTTCTACTGTCTTACAAACAAAATATATATACATATACGAAAAATTTGTACTTTGAAAAAATGGAATATTGATTATTTATTTATATTAAACTGAAAAAGTTTACAGGTTTTGGAGTAGTAGATACTACTAGATTAGTCATAAATATTTTATATTAAATAGTAATTTGGCAACATTGAAAATAAAACAGTAAATCACATGCTTTATGAGTATGCCAAATTGTTTATAATTTTGTCGTCGTATTAGCTTAATCCCCCTATAATGAATTTAATATATGCACCTGTTGTAGTATTTGAAGTTCGCACACGTAACGTCACCACTTCTCCTGATCCCTGAAGTATGTCACTTGCTTCTTGTCTTGTACAATCACTCAATGATTTATTATTTACAGCTAATAGTATGTCACCAATTTTTAAAGTACCTGATCGATGAGCTATAGAACCAGGTACGATTTCTGAAATACATACTTGTCCATTTCCATCATCTACATGAATACAAGTAATCAATATTAGATAATTAAGTTATAATTGGTATAAATTTGTGTATACTATAATAGTAAGAATATGTTATTCATGAAGATAATGAGAATTAACTACTTGTCAACATTTTTGGAAGTAGAACATGTTATGAATTTCAAATACTGAAATATATTAGTTTTCCTTTACTATTTAATGTCTACTTATTTTCTGTATTCTACATTAAGAAAAGTAAAAATGTTTTATTAAAATAAGTGCCCAGCTTTTAATTATGAAGTACAGTTAGATTTACTTGTTAATAAACATTTGAAATTAGGTCAGGGATATCTTGTTACGCAAAAAAAAAAAAAATTAAGAACTAATACGCAAGGAATATAGTAAACGTTTCGTTTAGAAAATTAATCATACTTCATAATCATGTGAAATAAACAAGAAAAACAATTCGTAAGTAAATCATTGTGCAGTCCACTTATTATAAAGTTTAAAAAATAATATGTTTTGTTTTAATAACAAATCAGCATATCAGTAGTTTATAATTTAGGGAAGGTATAAAGTATAAGAGATATAAAATAAGGTGAATAATTAATCAGTTATTTTAAGAGTTTATATGTTCATAATAATAGTTTCCTACTTTTGTACTATACCTAACGCCTTTTATAAATTGAAAAACTTATCTAGAGTTTAACATTTCTAGTGTTTTATAAAAACAGAATTGCAATCGAAACAATAAGTAGGAATATTCTCTATAAGATTTAATAGACCTGATAAAAAAAATCTTTTTATATGTCTATTTAGTATAAATACCTATAAAAAAAGGTATTTAAATATGAATTATAATAAATGCTTACACTTACCTGTTATCGTTATTCCTAGACTTCTGTAATCGTTTTTCACTAATTTAACAGTGAATTCTCCAGACGTGGGTACAACAGAATCTGTTATATCAAACTCGACCTTTATGCAAGCATTTTTCACTTCTGGTCCTAAAAATTCATGAAAAGGTTGCTGAAATAAAGGCACAAAACTGGTGCTTTTACAACCATTCACAGACAGTATACGGTCACCCACTTGTATACAGCCAGTTCTAAAATTTGAATTATAAAATAGGTGTCTATTAGGTAATCACTAATAAGTCATAAAATGTATTAAAATAATGATGAAGTACCTATCAATAGGTCCACCTGGTTCAATAAAACAAACGATAAGTGTCATGTTATTTGATCGAATGTCCATTCCGAATCGACCATTTTCGTCAGCCATCAAAGTTAATATAGTATAATCAACTCGCACCACATTATCTACATAATGTATAAAATAATAATAGTAAAAAATATACATATAATACATACAAAATTGTTTATACACATTAGGGTTATTAGTTCTTAATAAGATAATCATTATTTCAAAAAGTACTAATTTATTGGCTATCTTTCTTTTTGGACAATTTAAGAAATAACTAGCTCTAAAATGTTACATTCCCGTTATTTTTATGGCTAAAATGTACTTAAAAGCGCCTCTCACTTTTTTTTTTAAGATGTGTTATTCGCAAGTCTGTATACAGGACGGGGTTTTAGGGATTCTTAGAAATTTTTAAACTAGGTTTATATTTATAATGTGATAAAGATTAACTACAAATTCATGTATTAAACACATTTTAATACCTCTCCCCAAGTTATTGGTGGAAATTATATATTTTAGCATTAAAATGTATTCAAACTGAATCTATTTATTTTTAATATAAGTTGGTTTTTGAAAATCAAAAGTGAGTATAGTGGTTTCACTCCCAAAAATAAGGATTACAAAAAATAACGGTTATGTAACATTTTAAAAAGCTAATAATTTCCAAGATAATAAGTGACACTTTGAATATTCATGTGATTGAAATTGTACGTTACAGAAATTTTGTTGTATAAATATGTAATAGAAAAAAATGTATAATGAAGTATTATTAAATAGCATAATAAAAAATTATATTTAGGCGTAAAACTTTTTAGACGACCTTTTGTAGTCAAACTTTAAAATTCCTATCATAATCTATAGATTAGATTCTGAGTGGAGCGAGGAATGTATTGGTTTTGATGATGTTTATTTTTTTTATTGTTCTCATGAACAACTTATCTATCAACAATTTTGTTCTGATTTACAATGTTTACAATAATAGCACTATTTTTAAATGCAAATCTAACCGAGGTGATACTTTAGAGAGGTGATATTTTGATTTTCCCTAGAGTATTCTCAATAAATTGGAAAAACTGGGAAAAAACATGGGAAAACGGGAAAATAGTTGAAAATATTAAACAAATATTATTAAAGAAAATGTTTAATGCATATGTAATTATTTTACCATAATATGACAAATATATGAATAGGCAACGCTATCAATTGAACTCTACTCAGAATCGTTTTTTCATTAGCAATGGTTAATCATTACGTACAAATTTACATTAAATTTTTCCTTTACTAGCTTCTCAACTTCTCATCTACAACAGTGGTTCACCTACGTACGAAGTATTCCTATCTTTTTTTTGTTCTGAATATTAGTGGTCGATAAACATGTTTTATTTCAAAACTCTTTCCTTTAGATTGCTTTTAAGTTTTTTAAAAGTGTATAGCACATGCGCGCAGCACGCCCAATAAACTACTCTTATTATCTATGGTTGCATTGTGTTTAATGCACTTGAGTGTCGTATGATAGATAATCTTATAAAATTTTAATCGTTCTTTCCTTTTCATTCCTTTTAATCATTCTCAAGGAAAGAGTTTTTCACTAAAATATGTTTTTTGATCACACAAATTCAAAATTTGGTATTAAAATCCGAATAAAATAATTAAACTCAACTTTTTCTTGTAAACCACTAAGTAGGTATCACTTATTATGAACCTCATTGTTAAGTTTTCAAGCATTTTTGTTTGGTCTTACACTTTTACACACAGAGTAAGTACATACTGAATAAATATTACGTAAAAACTCGTAAAATTTAAATTTCTATAAATATCTCAAAAATAACCCAAATGATTTGAAAATTTTACCACGTATAAAAAAAAGCAAATAAAAATTTTCATGTCTTTATGAACATTTTGAATTGAATTACAACAAAATCAAAATTGAAAATAATAAAAACATTAAAAATAAAAATAAACATCATTGTAAAACAAAAACCAAACTCGATTATCTCAGAATTTAAAATATCTTTATGTGAGGCTTGTAAACAAAGTGTAGAATATTATATGAATTTTAAAATTGTAAACTTTTTTGCTCCCAAAAAAGATTTATCTAAACAATTTTAAACCCACATATTATTTGAAATTAGTACACCTTAATACAACTTTTTTGTTATACGTTTTTCTCATTTTGGATATTTATGAAAAAATTGCTATAACATACAATTTTGATCACATAGTATTCATTAGTCATACCAACTTTGGGAATGGTTTCATAATATAAAATGAAAAACCTATCCTTGTGTATTTTTTTTTTATTTTTCATTTTTAATATTTAACTATTTTTCTCAATATTATTGTTTTATTGAAAACCTGTAGATGGGAAATAGACATTTTTTGACATTGAGAAACATACTTAACACGATTAGATATTTCCATACTTTGGAGTGTGGTGCTGAGAGTTTTGGGATGCCAGGTCTATAGATATCATTAAACCTGTCAAATATAGACAAATTGATCAGGTAGACAAATTCGTCAGTTTTAACTAAATTCAAAATTGATCAAAATAACTAAGTACCTAAGATCTATACTTAAAAATTGACCTATGCAAAACATAGAATAGAGCTTTAATTCTAATGAGACCATTCCCAAATGTAGTGTAAACAAATCTGAAGCATCATGAAATATTCTAAGTTGATTTATATTGTGTGACTTGTGATGTTCACAATTTGATGAAAATTTGTATGAATCTTACGTGTTTCCGTGGGTTCCCAACCTGTCGATTCGATGGGGTCTTCATATACAGAATATAATTGTTGACGTGAATCGTATGATGAACAATCTAAGAATACAAATGTTAACGAGAAATGTAGACAATTAATAGAAAATAAAATAATAAAGTAAAAACAAAATTATTAAAATATTTATTACTCATAAATAAATAAAGTAAATAAATATATAAATAAAAAATTTATATCGTTTGGAGTATTATGACGAATTTTTAATTTGAAATCGGTCGTATAATACACTTATCATAATATTCCCGACAACGCATTCATTGATTTATTTTATTTTTATGTACACATTTTTTATTTATATATTTATTTACTTTAATTATTAGAATATAATTTTCACATTGGAATAGAATTCTAAATACTTTTAAAATTATATTATTAGAAACCAAAAATAAACCAGTTTTTAAAATTGTTGAAGATGCCAAATTAATTAAATGTACCAATATTTGAAATATTTTAATTTGTCTTATTCAATAAGATTAATTTAAGACTAAATATTCACTCCTAGTTTATTGAATAGTTAAAATAAAACATACCTATTTATAAAATAATTATTTTATTTAATTAGGTAATTAAATTATACGTAATTGACGTTAGATTAAATGTGTACATGTAAAATATTACATTCGAACTTATAAATAACTAACTATAATTGATACAATTTTAAATGCACATTATATAAGGTAAAAGTATTCTTTTATAATAAATATTATTATAATTAATATTATAATAAAAAAAGATGTTTTTTTGTATTCTCTAAAAGTAAACTTATTTGAAATACTTTTGAAGTATTGCTGTAATTACTGTATTCAAAATACCATTTTCAAAAAAGTATTACAATTATTATTATTAATATTATTAATACCTACTCCAAAAACCTTTTATTTTATATACATATTGTACATTAGTATCATTAGTATTAGGTAGTTCTTATTTTGATAATTTCGAAATTTCCTTCGGGACATCCTCTATCTTGTGCCGTATAATAAAAAATTATATCCTCAAAGTATGAAGTCATTTGTTTAATATTTAGTGAAGGCGCACAACGTTTTAATATTTAATATCAAAAAGATTGCATGAAAACTATACAAATAGTGTACAAACGACTATAGATCATTTACAATTAATTTTTTTAAATTAAAACAAAAGACCTATTTCAATCCTTAATTTTTTTTTGATTCTATTTTATATTCTAGAGACAAATACGTTGAGTTTGACGAGAATTTCTAGGGGCCAAAATTAAATTCGAACTGTCATGATGTTTTTCGTGTTATCCAAGGTTAGGGTTATTTTGATTTACGACACGGTTGTACTTTATTAATATAAGTAAAACCATAATTTTAATGTAAAAATAGTTGGTAATTTCATAAAGAAATGTTAGTTTCAGTTGATTTCTGAAACTTTTGAAAAATCGAATTCCCATGTTGGTGGTATAAATACATTAGGATCTTAGGAATATAAATGTTGAGATAATTTCACTAACTTATCAGCAGGTCCGTCTGGTCTGACATACGTTAAGATCATACGATTAATAATTTGCATTAAAACATGTAAGTTCTCACTTTTCATTTGAAAAACGAAATTTGATATTGCCACCGTGTTGTAAAAAACCAATGTATTAGAATATGAATTTATTTATAATTTAACCGTAAAAATGGCTTTAACACTGAGCATGACTGAAAAACCAGCCTGTGCATTTAATAAAAAGGTCTTAATGAAGGAGAATTCCTCTCATTCACTCCCGTTTATCTATTTTCATTGATATCATTTATATTTTTATCATTAAATATTAAAACGCTATGCGCTTCCACTAAATATTATCCAAAATGCTTCAAGTTTTGAGGATATTTTTTTTATTATATGGTACAAGATGGATATATGTTCTGGAAAAAATTTTGAAATTTGCAAAATAAAGACCACCCTAATATACATATTCATATAAATAAGTACTTTCAAAAAATATTTTATCTGAACATTAGATGAACGTAGATGTTTATTTTTAGTTATGACATATTGTATTAAACGCATTAATTAAATATACAATTAGAATTCTAGCTTCTTTTTGCACTTACATTCAGCATGTATTAAGTCTGTGGTAAATGCTGGTATTATTTCTAGTCTGAGCGTGGATTGGGTGCCTCCACACGTTCGCAACAGCTTGTATACATCGCTGGCCGCTGTCCTTAGGCCGGCCACCCTTGTATCATTAACAGCCACTATTTGGTCACCCGGAAATATGGCACCACACCTGTAATTATATATGATGTATAGTTTTAAATAAAACACAAAAAGTCTTCTATACTACTATATGATAGATCATACGTGTTGATTTAGATTTATATGGATTATGCGGTCTAAAATTAACCATTCATATTTTATTAAAATTCTTTGGTCAGTATTATTTATTCATTTTATGGTGAATAAGAACACAAAAAATGAACGAAAATTCAAATAAAATATTTTTATTTTTATCTTTAAAATTTACCTAGATACCGATATTAAACTTACCGTTCAGCAATACTGCCAGGCTTTACGTGGTCAACTACAACTGCGCTATTATTGATCGTATTTGTTAAACTTAAACCCAATTGGTGCGGTCTAGGACTTTCAACTTCGACTAGCATTGGGCAAGTCGCATTGCCGACTCGTTCAGTCGCAGATACTTGGTATCGGACGGTCAACCGACAAGCTCCATCCGACTGTCTAAGTACTGCATCAGCATCTGCTAGTGTCAAGCTATTCAATGACACACCATCAACTGCTAATAAATGATCACCGACCTTAATTGTTCCTTCTCTAAAAAAAAAATAATTCTTAGCATTATTGTTATCAAATAAAGGATATTTTGTTACAAAAACTACCTATGCTAATTAAATTATTTTTTTGCAATCTACTCTAAAAATAATAGTGTAAAAGTATTTAAGTGAAAATCATTATGCTTTTTTAGATTCCGAGCGTAGCTTTGTAGTTTTACAATGCTGTTTTATTTTTTTTTTCTTCTAGTCTGTGGACACGTTTTTTCCCAGTAAACTTGCTCCGATTTTTACGTGTAGCAATTTTTCTGAAAGCTTAAGTTGTCTAGATGATACTTTTAAAGTGGAATCTTTTGATTTTTGACGCCATTTTTTAAATAAAAGCACTTGTGGGAAAACGTACAATATTACGATTTTATTATTTTATAAAAATATAGACAACGTTTTCTACCAGAAAAAATAATTTAATCGAAAAATCACAAGAAACCTTTTTTATTGAATTTCTTAGGGTATCATTGCTAAAACTTTTGAGTCACTTTTGAGCTTTTAAGGAATTTTAATTTTTGAGAAATTTTGCTGTAATTCAGTTATAAATACACGTAGAGACTTGAAACTTGGTAATAATACTTATATTGAACTTAACTAGACGTGGTAAAATTTCCAAAATCATCAGACGACTTTTTTTTTTTTTTAACTAACGTTTTGAAATCAAATTTAAACTTAGAAAAATAACTTTTTGGTTGGGACCACGTATAGCTTATTAATTATTTGTGGATATAAATTTTGAGATAATTTCACTAACTTATCAGCAGGTCCGTCTGGTCTGACATGCGTTACAGTCAACGGTTTGCACATATCTGGATCTGAATGTGCACCACCACGTAATACTATTCCTAGACTGCCTTCTTCCCGTTCGATAAACACGTCGATAACTTTGTGTTTCACATATTGATCTGATGAAAAAAACACGTTTACTAAATTATGTGTTCTTATTTTCAGATAGAAGATTTTGAATTGAAATAAGTAATAACAATTAAAATATAAGACCTATACCTACTGGTTCGTAGTTAAAACTGTCTACTGTTACGTTACGAACATTGTATTTTTTTAAAACAAATTATAAGAATATATACCTACGTATCCCATATTTATAATTTAAAAGTTTTGTACCATGCGTTGGTACGTTCTGCGAAATAACTTAGGTATATTTTTTACGTCCCTTTCAAAAAAAAAAAAAAAACGGTATTAAAAATTTCAAAACCTTTTCCTCTGTACAGTTATATATTAGATATAAAAACAGATCAATTGTAATATCTACTATTCATCTCTTAAAATTATACCTACTTCATCTTAAATGAATTGACTGAGGCAGCAATAAAATAAAACATATGACTCAAAATAGTTATAAAATATTGTTTTAAGAATTTCCTCTACAGGTGTACTCTACTATATGCTATTAACACAAACGATAATTGCATTTACTGCGATAATTTTAATAATTAGGCTCCTATGTATAAAACATTCAACGTTTTGTAAACTGTTGGAACAGTAATGCTGCAGTTTTCTTTAAATTAAATATATAATATTAAAATTGCAACAATTAAAAATCGTACACTGGTCCGTGTAGATACCGGCCGGCTCGTAAATCTTGTGCTTGGACACCATTCGTTTGTCTTCAGTTTTCTGGGTCGAACACACCTTATCCAGCAACCCTGAAATGAAATGTTGACAATACGGTATTTACTACTCGTGCAACATTGCTGTTATTGAATCATTTTGCATGTCATCGTAGATATAGATATGAGCTGCTACTCTAACGTATTATCATTAATCGGCTGCTTACATTTGCTCGTGGACTTCCGGTGCAGGGCGCCTTGCTTCGGAAACGTGTGTTTCTTCGGTCGGAGCGCGGACAACTTTAACGACGAAAACATTGCGCCGTCGTCATGCTGATTATTACCGGACGATATACGGTTCAGAATCAGCTCGATAAGATGTGACGGCGCGGCGTACACTACTTACTACTCTATATTATGATATTATTACACACCGCCGTCGATGTCGGCGGCTCATACGGCTGAAGTTTAATTTTGGAACACACGACTCGTAATATACCGGCGCGTCAGCCACGTCCTTTCCACACCCGATTCCAAAAACACAAAAAGTAATTTAAAAAAAATAAAATAAAAAATGTACAAGAATACATTTACGTATCTGTCGTTAAAGTCGCTTTTTGCCAATAACTACACGAAAAATATTATTAACCTCTACCCGTATAAAACCAATCATGGAAATAAAAAAATATACCTATATAAAAATAAACAAATTGAGAATTCTATATTTGTTTATGTATACGTCGAAGGTCCAACGCTGACGCGTTCTACGGTGGGGGAGTTGATCTAATTATAGAGCGAAGGGATTGGAGACCGGAATAACGTGTGGATGCGTAAAGACTCATCTAGGTACAGTGACGTATGTTGATATAATATTCAACTATAACAAACTATGTTTTCAAATTAGAAATATAAAAATAATAATAATAATGACTAGTGACCCGATTTATATTTTCTTATAATCGATAATATCTTTTGTAATCACAAAAAGGCGTTAAAAACATCAACAAATCATTGTAAAAACACTAAAAAACATTTTAAAAAGTAAAATCGACAGAGGAGTTAAAAAGTTCCCCTCTAATGGCTATAATTTATTAAATTGAAATTCCCAACACAAAAATAATTAACTCAAAATTATTTCTTTTAAATAAAATCGTAAGTAAAAAAAAAAAAATGACTTTATTAATCATTTTTGGGATTTTAGAATTTGTATTAACAAGTTAAATCCGTTAAAGGGAGATATATTAAACCCCTTTATTATTTTTGCTTTTTTGAATATTTTTTAAGTGCTTTTATAAAGCAATTTTTACGATTTCAAGTGCTTTTTTGTGGATTTTAATAACATAAAAATCGAATGATAACTATCCATTGACAAACTGTATTAAAAATTCCATAAGTAGATCGAGTATTAGTTAAAATAAATATTAGGTAGTGTTGAAATTATTGATTTTTTGAATATTCCACTTTTAAGTTTGGGTTGGAGGAGAGTAGTGGTGCATTATTAACGCAAATGATATTCAACTACTCTCCTCTAACCCAAATTTAAAAGTGGAATATCTCGTAAATAGACCGACGGGAATTAAAAATTCCAACATTAAAATTTATTTTAACTAATACTCTATCTAATTATGGAATTTTTAATATAGGTTGCCGTTTGAAAATAATCCACTCTTCTCTCTTTAATGCCAAGGTGTTCATATTTTCATAGGTCTTCCTTCAAGTCCATTGATTCTTTCATTCTACGATGTTGGTTATGAACGGATTATCTTATTAAGTGTCCCATAATTTGTCAGCTTCTTGATCTAATGATAGATAGCAATAATTGTTTCTTTCATACTATTTGGAGAAATTCTGCAATTTTATTTATTTTCAATCCAATTAATACGAATCTTTTCCAGGATCACATTTCCATAGCTTCTAGTTTTGTTTTTATATTTTACCGGTTATGTACCGTTATATTGTATCGTAATATTTGACAGTTTTTTCTAGTCTTTAGATTAACATATTTGCTCGTGAGTACTATTTTATTTTGTGTGAATATTTTCTTTCCGTGGATATTCGGTATCTCATTTTTGCCAAACATCTGCTGTCGCTGGTTTATATGTATTTCCAAAATATTTATACTGTTGTAACCAATCAATTGTTCAGTTATCTAATTGTATGTTGACGATAGGGAATCTGCTCTTTTTACTTACTATCACTTTTAGATTCTGAGTGAAGCGAAGAAGTTTATGGTTTTACAAAGATGTTTATTTTTTTATTTTTATATTTGCACAACTTCTCTACCAGAGGACTTGCTCAGATTTCTACGTGTAATACCTTTTCTGAAAGGAAATCGGCGTGAGGAGGTACTTAAGGGAGGTTTTCTCAGGAGTTTTCTCATCAAATGCTAAAAACCGAAAAAAAAAAACAGGAAAATTTACAAAATATAATAAATATAATTTACAATTTTTTTTTCTGTGAATACCTACCTTTAATACCAGCAATTTTGCTTCAACTTTAATGATGGCAATGTTTCTAAAAGGAAATTTCACTAGCGAGGTATTTTAGGGAAGTCATTTTTCGATTTTCTCAGAAATATTTATTCCCGAATTACAACAAAAAAACTCCCGAAAATTTTAATTATTTAAAAGCTCAAAATTGGCTCAAAAGTTTTGGCAATGACGGCCTAGAAAATTAAATCAAAAAGGCAATAAAAAAGGTTTCTTGTGATTTTTCGATTAAATTATTTTTTCTGGTAGAAAACGTTGTCTATATTTTTATAAAATAATAAAATCGTAATATTGTACGTTTTCCCACAAGTGCTTTTATTTAAAAAATGGCGTCAAAAATCAAAAAATTCTACTTTAAAAGTATCATCTAGATAACTTAAGCTTTCAGAAAAGTAGCAACACTTAAAAATCGGAGCAAGTTTATTTGGAAAAAATGTGTCCACAGACTAGAAGAAAAATAAATAAACAGCATTGTAAAACTAATAGCTCCCTTGTTACGCTCGAAATCTAAAATGGGAAAATATTATAAGAAATGTAGTTATTAGTTAAAATACATTACGTCCTTCTTTTTCTATATGCACAATGTTTCAAAAAGGAATTTTCACAAAAGAGGTACTTCAGAGAGGTCATTTTTTAATTTTCCCGAGAGTTTTTCCAGAAAATTTAAATAACCGGAATAAAATATATGTAAATCGGAAAAATCTTAGGAAACTGGGAAAATTGGTACAACATTAAACAAATTTTATTAAAGAAAATATTTAAAGTCTGTTCAATTATTTTACTACAAAATGACATATATATTGTTTACAATGTATCAATCACTATCAACTAAATTCCGCTCAGAATCGTTTTTTCGTAAGCAATGTTTTATCGTTGCTTACAGATATAAATTAAATTCCCGTCTACACCCAATGAAGTATCTTGGTGAAATTAAAAAAAAGTTAGGTTAAATCAATAAAACATTTATTAATAGACGTAAAAAAACCGTTAATTGATGTTACAAACTAATTGTGGTTGTTTCAACAAATTTATTTTTTTTTTTTTCCATGGACAAATTATTAGATCATCGACTTATGTCGAATCACCGTGCGGCGACCCGATAAGAAGTCCTTCACGAGATTATACAAGTCTGGCGGGTTGTCGAAACAACGCAGTGCTGCAAGGACGGACGGCCACCAAGCGTTATCGAAGGCACCCCGAATATCGAGGAACACAACGGCAGCGTACATGGTAGACACGCCACGTACCGTAGCGAGCAGTACATTAATCGCGTCTTCCACTGAGTGCTTCGGCATGAAGCCAAATTGCCTGACCAACAGGGGGAAATGACTAGCAAGGTAATCTCGTAGCCACCCGTATACGAGTTTTTCAGTTTTACACAAAACCGGTAGCAGACTAATCGGGAGATATGTAGATAAACACTATACAGTTTCTAATCATTGTTTCTTGGTCTTTTTTACAGTAGCATAGTTATTCTTCTGTCTCTCCAATCTAGACCAGTTCTTTTCAAGGGGGTTATCAATAAATTGCAACGTACGGTGTCAAATACCTTTTTTAGATCGATAAACCCTGTTTATATATTCTTGTTCATGTTTAGTCTTCTTTCAGAAATCGTCCTCTAAGATAGAGTAGCTTTCCTAATCCCCATTAAATTTAAACTAATTGCCTTTCTATTTGATTAATATTCAAAGGTATTTTTGAAACCTGTATAAAGAGATTGATAGCTCTATGATTGTTATATTCTGTAGGATTCCCTTTTTTGAGAATAAGTATATGTACTTTGTATAAAATCGTTTAGTGTTTTACCTTCTTGGTAAGTTTTCCTACTGTGTTAATACGGATGTTTGATAAATTACTAAGTAGAGATACTTACTAGTACATTTTTTATTTTTCTGGCTAAAAAGTAAAGAAGTGATAATTTAAGAATATGTAGCTATATAAATAATAGATTATAAAACAAGTTTAAAGGAGAAATATACCTTTCTAATCTTTCCCCTTAAATACACCACTGAACATTCTACTTAGAAACATAATGAGTTAGAGCTAACTGAATGGATTATATAGCTATGCTTCATATTCACAGAGCAATCGATGTTCAAATTGAAGTATATATTTAGTCCATTCATTCGATTTGGAATCATTATGTTTAAATGTACAAGCGTCTTTTTGGAAAATACAATACCAACAAAGTTGGGAAGGTAAGATAAATCTCAGTCCTTGTTGATCCACCATCCCATTTCTTTATGCCTGCGCACGACGATAGATCATTGCTAACGAAAAACTTTGTAGGAACGTAGAGCGTTGCATTTAAAGTTTTAAATCGAATTTATTATAAAAATAAGTAGTAGATAATTAATAATTATTATACCTAGCTACTTTAATTATAATATTATAGATACTTATACTTATACAAACGATTTCATACAAGTTTCAATGTCAAAAGACAAAAATAACCTATTGTAATTAGTATAATAAACAATAATAATACAAAATTGAAATAAGAAATACAATTACAATGATATATTTAAGGCTTCAAGATAAATCCTTGCATACGAACTTCAATATTAGTTGTTGCGGTACGCTGAGTACTTATACCAAATATTTTAACGCACGTTATACGTTTAAAAATATACTTAAAATAAATCAATACGAAATCAATAATATTATTGTAGTTTAGATACCAGCAGCATTACATTTCGTGCGGTGTAGCGTGTTAGATTGATAGAGATAATTTATTTTAGTTTTTCACGGTCATTATAAATAATAAATCGTGACACAGGCACCTATTATTAACACGGTGGACATTATACTTTTGAACTTTGCAGTACCAATAATAGTCAGTGTCATTCTCCAGAGATATAACACCAACAATTATGTTTGATGGTCTGAAAGACGTTGGTAAGAGCAACACGCCCAAGACTAGGTTACTGAAGACTAGCATGCGCCACCAGCTCCAAGAGTTCTTTGATCACAGTACATTACACGGGGTCAGATATATAGCTCAAAGTGATCGACCACTTCATGAACGGTATTTATTACCTAATATTTAGATAAATATTGTGTTATTGTTCGTTATACATACATTTATTCCTTCGGATTTTAAATTATAATAAATAGTATGGTTAGTCATATTAACATTAAGAAAAATATCTCAGTTTGAAAAATTAATATTAATTATTGTGTAGCCTAATTGCAATTCAAATATTTGGAAATATTTAATTTAATATTATTTTCTTCAAATCACTTCGAAAAATACTAACATTAATTTAATTTATTAGGATTGTAAATATCTTAAAGCTCAGAGAATCAATTTTATTATTTTATTATATTAATATATATTACTGAAAGGGTGTAGGGAGCAAAATACTGTACGGCCTACTATGGTATACAGATTTTTGTATACCCTCAAAAAAAGGTCTGCATACGCCTATTATATAATCTGTTATACTTATACAGTATGTTGATGAACAATAATTATAACAAAAGTTGTTGAGATTGAATATTTATATGTTTTAAGGTTCATGTGGTTTAGTTTCTTATCCGTGGGCATAGTAATCACTTCAATCATTATAATATCACTCTGGGAAAAATTTCAAACAAGTCCTACGATCACCGGTTTAGACACTGATTTCCACAACTGGGAGGTAGAATTCCCAGCTATAACGGTATGTCCTAAACGACCAACATCTGATGAAAAAGTCTGGGAATATATCAGGAGGTAAATATATTTGTATTACATCATAGTTATCGTTTTCCAGTCAACACTAAATATCACTATATAATCGTACATGTACGTCTATTTATTTATTTAGGTAAGTATGCTTTTAATTATTTTATAGTAGGTATTTATTAATAATCTGCTTTAACTTTGTATTTATAAAACAATCATTGCAGTCTAGCACATATTGAGTTATGATTGAAATTAAAATTTTGTATCAACTCACACAAATACCCAGTATATCTACAACAGCACTTAGGAATCAGTATAAATGATATTATAAATAACAAGTATTATCTAGTTATGTAAACTATTTAAATGCAAGCGAGAGTAAAAAAAAAAAATAATAATAATAATAATAACAGAACATTTTAAGTTTAAAATAAGTTACATAATATAATTATAAAAATTATTTTCATAAGATATATAGATTATCATATTCATTCCAACCTATATAATATCTACTATTGCCACTAGACATTAGATACAAATATCATCAAAAATCTTTTTTAATAAAAATATTTTATTTTAATATTTCATCATATATTAATTTTATCGATTGTTCTTTTTTTTTTATATGTAATTTTGCCACTTTTTCTAGCTTTTAATCACAATTATATAAGAATATGCACGTAGCCTGTAGTCACCCGTCATCACACCTATTAATTAAATGATATAAATATATTATGAATAAAATAAGTAAGTGTACCCTTACAAATTTTTATAAAGTATATAATTATTGATAATTATTTATTTTGTCTAGTATATCCGAGAACAACACAAAAAACGAACGTATGGAGATACTTTTTAAATATATTACTGAAATAGCGTCATGCTCTTACGATAATTTAAAAAAATTCGAAAACTTTTCCAAATATGATTGGCTACCAAAATATGCATTTAAAGACATAGCTTATAAAGTAAAATTTTGTTTTATATTATATTATTCTCATTCTGAGCAGTGGCATGCATTTGATTTTCAAATAATTGTGGGAGGGGGTAAAAAGTTAGGATTTCCATCCAAAACGTCGATACTACTGATCGGTGCGTCATAGTCGTAGGTAGATGAAAAGTTGGGAAGGTAGGATACATAAAGTTATTTAATTTATATATATAAGCAACGATAAACCATCGATAATGAAAAATGATTCTAATCTAAATTCATTTTTTGATTTAAAAGGCCGTAATATATACGATTTTTATTAAAATTTGATTATAAAACCATTATGGAAAAAATTTAATAAAACGCACTCTACTTTTTTTTTTTTTTTTTTGAATACTAAGTACAAATTATAATAAACTTCTTATTTAATTTTCAAGCATTTCTATTTGGTTAAACAATGATATTTACATAATAACTAACTACCAAATAATAAATAAATAAAATCTACATAAAAACTAACAAACATAAAATGTCTATTTGATTTTCCCAAGAGTTTTCCCAGCAAATGTGAAAAACCGGGAAACCCGGGAAAAACGTAGTTAAATTGGAAAAATTGTTACAACATTAAACAAATTTGATTAAAGAAAATATATAAAGCCTATTTAATTATTATACTAAAAATTACATACATATTGTTGACAAAGCATCACTATCAACTGAACTCCGCTCAAAATCGTTTTTTGGTAAGGAATGGTTTATCATTGCTTACAGATATACATTAAATTCTCGTCAATATCCTACCTTCCCAACTTCTCACCTACACCAGTGGCTGCACCTGTCTCTATTATCTTGCCTTTCTTCTTTTTTTTTTCTTGAGTAATATAATACGACTTATAATGTTCCTCTTTTTCCCCTCAAATTTTCAAGCATTTCTTATAAGTCTAACAATTTTATCCAGTGGCGGCTCGTGAAGTTAAAAATAAGCGTTGCACAAACTAATGATTAACAAGAATTGACAATAATGTAACATTTTTTTCCTCGTTTATATAAAGGGATAATTTTTTTTTAAAAATATTTTCTACTGAATTCATAAAAAAAAAATAGATGTTAATTCTAAAGAGGAAATAATTCACTATGACTTGTAAAAATGTAAAATATATATATATATATTATGAAATAATATCAACCATTCAATATCAGAATACAAATGGAAAGACCTTAAAATTAAAAGTAGATTTTATTTTAAAAATTGGTTTGTAGTATTAGATGCATACCGAGTTGCATTGAATTTCTCGATCCTCCACTCGGTACCCATACATATTATACATATTTTATACAGGCATGCGGTGCTGTCACATTGTTGCGCACCGATTGTTGTAGGCATATTGCATGACTGTTTTTACTTTGGGAGCAATATTATGTTCACAACAATTCTTAATGAACAATTCATAACAATTAGGTTCTAAAAAGAATTAAAAATATTATTTTCATAAAATGGCATGTGATATGCTTGCGTCTGCGCACATTGTTGAATTCAGACAGTTTGTCTGGAGGAGGGGGGGCATTACTAAAATTATAGTCAAATTTGTTTAGTTATTAATTTAACAGATGGGCAAACCAAATTCCAGGAGGCTACCGCCTCCTCTGTCATATACCTGGATTCAACACTGCCAGCGCACCTACGCACGAGCTGTCACTGATTTAATCTACAGAATACATATTTAATAAAAATTACGTAAAAAACTCGCAAAGTTTATAGTTTAAGATATATCTATTAATCCTGACAATTTATTTGTTATTTATAGACGTTTAAAATGTTCGAGTTTTTATAGATTTTGATTAAAATACAAAAATATAGGTATACCGTCCCATGCATCGTTCCACTTAAAAAATAAATAGTAGAGGTTCTATTTAATATTTTAATATTAACTACATTAAAGCGTACGCTAAAATTTCTGAAAAATTAGTTAAGATATTACAAAGAGCCCTGATTCTATCCTCCAATCATACTTTAACTGTTACTAATTTTTTATAAGTTGTGATAAATATTAATCACAAAAGTTCTATCAGAACTGACAAATACTAAAATACTACCTATATAACATATTAATACCTTTATGTATATGTTTATTATATACCTAATGACTAATAGATGCATATTTTTTATTTTTGATCCGGGGGATTTATCTTAATAACCCCTTTTATGTACGCCACTGGTCGTAAATAAATTCTTAGACATTGGCGCCACTGGATGTATAATAACAAATAATTTATTTTAAATCGGGCTGTTCTTTCACGTCTATAGGTAGTATTCCATTGTGAAGACTTATTGTTTGACTGTACATTCAAAGGCGAACCGTATAATTGTTGCACCGAGTTCGTGCCAGTGTTCACGGAATATGGATTTTGTTATAGTTTCAATTCTGAATATGTTATCGAAGACTGGCCGTGGTAGGTGTTTATATTAATAATATAGGCCCCATACACAATCCCAGATTAAGACATTTATAGGCTCCAAGACAAAATTTTCATCGAGGCTCTGATTGAAAGACTAATAATATACAATTTTAAAAAATGGTTACTCTTCAATATTTTTAACAAGAAAAATAATAATAAATAGTATAGACATCATATAGATCTCAATTTAAAAGCTAAATGCATTATTTAAATAAACAAATATAATTTTTAACAAAGTTACTAGTAGTTTCTACCATATAATAATACGAATAAGTCATCATCAGGCAACGCAAAAATATTAAAAAATCAAAGTACAAAATTAATATGGTTAAATTCATACATAAAGAACATACTGTGACAAAAACTGAAGCCCTAGGAATCTGGTGGCCCGATGGCTATGTAACTGGAGGCCCCCCTTGATCTGGGCATGTCCATCATACACGATCAGTCTTAAATTTTAATCAATGTGATTGATAATCAATATTTATCGTGTATGTGCCAGTGGATCCAAAATTGAATTTTGGGATGGGCTCTTAAATTAACTATCTACAAAAAAAAAAAGACGTCCTAGGATAATGGGGATGGATGCAGCCATTTGTACCTGTAAGCAACGATAAACCATTGCTTACAAAAAAAAAACGATTCTAAGCGGAGTTCAGTTGATAGTGATGCTTTGTCAATAATATATATGTCATTTTAAAGAAAAAAAAATAAGGATGCTTTATATATTTTCTTTATTACGATATTTCTTTAATGTTGTACCGATTTTTCAAATTTCCCTAAGTTTTTTCCGTGTTTATCCCAGTTTTTCACATTTGCTGGGGAAACCCTTGTAAAAATTGAAAAATAACCTCTCTAGAGTATCTCCCTCGTGAAATTTCCTCGCATAAACACTGCTATCATTAAAAGTTGGAGCAAAATTGCTGGTTCAAAAGTTGTGCACAGGAAAAAAAAAATGGTAATATTTTAGTAATATATTTCGTATATTTTCCTGTTTTTTTTTCGATTTTTCAAATTTTATAAGAAAACTCTTGAGAAAATCGAAAAATTACCTCTCTTCAATACCTCCCTACACCAATTTCTTTTCAGAGAAGGTGCTAAACTTAAAAAAAAAAATAAATATCTTTGTAAAATCATAAGCCTCTTCACTCCACTCAAAATCTAAAAGAGGCGATACTGGAGATGGGTGCAGCCGTGCAGGTGCAGGGTACAGTCACTGTTGTAGGTAGAAAGTTAAGAAAGTATAGGACACATAAGGTTATTTAATTTATATCTGTAAGCACCGATGATAGACCATTGATAACTTAATTTTTTAATTAAGTAAGATTGCTGATAGAAAATTTGTTCTTAGACAGACAAAAAAATAAAAAACAAAAATCAGTGCAATGAATACATTTATCGCTCCTTATCACTTTTCTTTCCTGATAATCTTGTATTATACCGTGTTTGTGTTAAATAATTAACTATTTGTGTAAGTAAAACTTTTGTATAATCTATAGTCTGGGGGGAGAGCAAGGGCTCTGAACCTCTTTAGGATCCACCACTAGTATCTATGTAACGAACAATCTATTTATACGACTGATGAATTTCAAACAAGTTTGAATTTCATCATCAGTCAAAATCTAGGGAAGACAGACTGTATGGGGCCTAATAGGTGTCTACAAAGTTAATGCTGTCATTTCTTCGGAATAAATTTCACCTAATAAACCTAACCTAACCTACCTACAATTGTTGAATTGATTTTATTTACAGGAAACCAATTAATTATATAAAATCAGAAAAAAAATTAGTATACGAAACAGATAATAAATTGACGATGATTTTTAACATGGAAAACGTAACAAGTAATCATTTAAAGGTAGATGCATGAACAAATTAAAATTAATTATAGGTATCTGTTTACAACTATTTTTCCAAATAACATATTGTTTTTTATTTTTTATTACAACGCCAGATATTCATACACAATAGAGACGACATGATTATCTTGGACTCGTTGCCGCAACACCTATGGAATAGAAGAATAGCCAAAATACTTTTTAACAGCAAGCAGACATATACTACAGAAGGCGCTCGTCAGTTAACGATAAAGCAAAGGAAATGTGTTTTTCCGGATGAAATACCGTTAGTTACGAATTCATTTTACACATTCAGTGCTTGTATGATTCAATGTCGGATGGACGCCAGCAAAAAACTTTGTGGATGCGTTCCATGGTTCTATAGTAACATCAGTAAGTATATGGTGAAATATATGCTTAGGTAGCTATATTAATTATTAATAAAATTGAATTCCCTAGGTACGTAATTTAATATTACTCTGCCAACAACTATATAATTAGATACTGTTTTACTTGATTTTTTTTCTCATACTATCAAGGGTGAATCTAGGACAATATAACGCGGGAGAGGGGATTTTTAAAATGCATATATTGTGTGACTATGTTAAAATTATTATATTAATTATTATAGGTACGCATTTATGATGAGCCAAATGATGATATGCGTATACATAACGGTGAATGTCTCACTTCCTGGATCCGCCTATGCTTGCCATATTCTTCTTATTCTTCTTTGCCTTTATCCCAACTATTTATGAACAACTACCCTCGTCCTAAATTTCCACATCGCATACCTACACCGGTTGTCTTCATATCATTCTCAATCGTATTCAGCCACCTCTTTTTTAGTCTTCCTTTCCCCCTCTTTCCTCCTATGTTTATTTCCATAAGAATTCTTACTGCTTCAGATAGGTACTTTTGTTTTCATGACATGCCCAAACCATCTCTTCTTTTTTCTCTTATCTTGTTTACTATTGAAGCTACGTATATCTTTTATGTACCTACTCATTCCTTACTCTATCTACTCTTGTTACTTAATCATACACCTAAGCATACTCATCTCTGTTACACTCATTCTGTTTTTTTTCTATCAACCACTACCCAACGTTCCGAAACATACAATAGTCAGTCTACGTATTATTATAATATATTTTACCGACACTAAATAGTTGAAATGAAGGCAAAAGAAAAAAAGAATGTAAATATTTTATTGACAACATACCCTTTTTATACACAATAGGCATGTGTATAGGCATATATTATCTTTATCCGTATATCTATCATCCGTCCGCAAGCAAATTGAATGAGACAGCTGTCTGTTAAACGTGAGCAAAGTTATTTATATCACTCTTTCCGTCAAATGGTTTCCGGTAGGCCGTAGATGACTCACTAACCACGTGAGCTTGATCGATTGTCAGAAACGGACAGAGCAGAGTTGAAACTGAAGCTCATTTTAGTTAGGGGTGAACTGTTATCATAGGATACTGAAAACTAATCTCAGAAACATAAAATCAAATTTTATAAATGACCCCAATTTAACTGAAATATAATCAGGGGCGTAGTGGGAAGCAAATTCAGACGGGGAGCTTCAAATTTATCCAGGCCATCCACCATTTAACAGTTAAATCACCAAAAAAATTGTTTTCGTTCCGCTCGAATTACATTTTAAATCCTGGGTTGAACAAAGAGAAGCTTATAGTTTTACAGTTGTTTGTTTGTTCAACTTTTCTACCAGTAATCTTGCTCCAATTTTTGAAATGTAGAACCTTTTCTGAAAGAAAATCGGTGTAGTAGGGAGATATTTTAGGAATGTCATATTTCGATTTTCTCAAGTTTTCTCATCAAATGTGGAAAACCGAAAAAAATGGGAAAATATAAGAAATATAGGTATAAGCTAAAATATATTACGGCCTTCTTTTTTTCTGTGTACAACTTTTCTACCATCAATTATTCTCTGATTTACAATGTTAGCACTTTTTCTTAAAGTAAATCTAACTGGGAAGGTACTTTAGGGAGGTCATTTTTCGATTTTTCCAAGAATTTTTTTAGCAAATATGATAATCCGGGAAAAACGCAGGAAAATCGGAAAAATTGATACAATATTTAACAAATATTATTAAAGAAAATATATAATGCCTATTCTATTATTTTACCATAATATGACACATATATTGTTGACAAAGTATTACTATTAACTGAACTGCGCTCAGAATCGTTTTTGTCGTTAGCAATGGTTTATCGTTGCTTACAGTTATACATTAAATTACCTGTAACAGTGGCTTCACCCATCCCTATTATTCTAGTACATCTTTTTCTATTCAATTTTACAACCTTTAAATCTACACATAACTTTCTAAATAATAATTGACTAAAATATATTAATACAAAGAATAATATTTTTTTAAATTTATAAATCTTATCACTAAGATTATTTATTTTCGTAGTAATTAGTTCTGAGACTACATGTTACCCGGGTGTTTTATTGTAAAAATAACCAACGGACGGCCAGATATTGTTTTGATTTTATTTGATGTCTATACATTTTGTGTAATATTCTGTAATTTTATATGCGACGCTTTCTCGTTCTCAAACTACTATAATATGAGGCTATTCAAATGTAACATTATTGTATTAATAATATAATAATTATAATACAATAATTTCATAGTTTTTAAAATTTTTAATTTTTAATACAAACAAATTGTTAACACATTTACTAATTTTGTAATCGTAAATAAAATTGAACATAAAATGACCAGGCCACCAGGCCAAAATATGGTCCAGGCCATCTGGAAAATTCCTATTTCCAGACCGACCACTATGCCCGTGGGAATAATTGATCCAGAAAGTCTTCTGATTTGATATACATACCTATAGTCTATCTATTATAGGTATACCAAGAGCGGATCTACCGAGGGTAGGGGGACACAGAGAGCAACTGCCATACTCGTTACCAAAAAAACAAAATATTTATTATATTTGTTTATATGTGTAGGTATGTATCATACAAAATATTATCGATGTTTGATGCCAAAACAGTGTAAAATACAATGATCATAGAGAAATATATGAAGTTTTTAATTTTTTGTATAGTGTTTTTGACATAGGCATTAGATATTTTTTAAAAACTCTTTCTCAGAATACTCTTTGTTGCTGTTAGCAATGATCATTAAATTTTTTTTACGTTAAATCCGTTAGTGCAATCAGCAAAATTTCTAAATTACTTTCACTTTTTGAGTTGATTTTTATGTGATAAATGTGGAGTCAAATATCACAAATTTAAAAAAAAAAAAAAATGAAAAATTACAGTTCTGGATCCCCAGTGGCGTTCACAGGTAAATGGGAGGGGATTTTGTAAAATTTAAAAGTCATGAATAAATTGTAGACATTTCTTCTATGACTAAATAGATAATAGGAATTTAAAAGCCAGCAAACAAAAATTAATTTTTATTCAAACTTCAAGCTTTTTTTCAATTTTTTCAAAAATAATAAAATAAAGTTTATTTTTAAATATTTTGCCAAAACATAAAATAAATAAATATTTGTAGTCCTTATCCTAGTGAGCAATAAAAAAGAAACAGAATTTGATTATCTTTATTATCTCCAGAGGTATTACAATGGGTATATTTTTGTGGTACACCTGGATATAAAATCTTAATAGGTAATAACTATACTATAGCTACTCATCCAAAATGCTGCCAAATTTTATTTCGATTGACAAATTCTATGCTGCCAAGTTTCATTATCTTAAATGTTTTAAGATTTTACCTCATTTCAACATCAATTTTCATTGATTAATTACTTAGGTATACATATTTAATATTGTTTCAGATGGAATATATAAGTACTGTGATTTGGATGGTCTTATTTGTATTGGAAAACATCTCGGTACGTAGATAATATGGTATGAGTAAACAAAAAAAACTCATTCACATCCATAAATCAACCTATATACCTACCTAACTTGTAAAACTATATCATTTATTTTCAATAGTCTGTTGTACCTACTTGTATAAATTAAATATTCTATAAAAAATACTTTCCGCTCAACTTATTCATACATTTACTGCATTTACTGAACAGATTTGATAATTATTTGCATAATATACAGGACAATATGTTTTCAATTGCCTATATATAATTGTAGATACTGTATGATGTATGAATAATTTTGAGAATATTTTAAGTTCTTCTTGAAAAAAAAAAACAAAAAAAATGTTAAAGAAATATACATATTGAAAAAATGTATAGTTTCTATTAAAAACAAATTCCTGTTTACCTAAAAATACTTATTTATTTTTAATTAATTCACTTAAAATTTTTAGTGCAAATTACTAGTGGGCTTGCTTGTTCATGTGAATTGGGATGTATGAACACAGTTTATGAAGTAGAAAAACTTCAAGATGCTCAGTAAGTCATTTTCAATTGATTATAGCTTTAAAAATTGTACTAAACAGATTTAACTATTATAATAATAGGGCTGAGCAAATAGAAGAACCCTTAGAAATCAGTTTTGTATCATGGCCAATGGTAAGATATAGAAGAGAAGTATTATTTGGCTGGGTAGATTTGCTTGGTAAGTCACAAATAATGTACGTTAAACATTAATTTCTAAACACTCGCTGCTATTATGCAGTGGCTTTTGGTGGCATAGCTGGACTTTTTTTAGGTTTCAGTTTATTGAGTGGAGTGGAAATTATATATTACTTCACATTGAGAGCATGTTGCATGGTTACCAATAATTCTCAAGTATTAGAAGAACTGAGTCAAGAATACGAACATCGTGATACACCTATTATTGACTTAGGGCTAAAACCATTATGGACAGCTGATGAAAACTCAATAAATCCAATAAAACCTAATAATAATAATAGAAAAATTGAGCCATTATCAGTTTTACCTTATCTACCTTAAGTTTTAATTTTATATTGTAATTAAAATAAAAATGATTCAACTCAAGTTATACATAATATAAATTTATAAATTACTAAAACAAAAGCAAATCAAAAAATTGCACAACAATATTTTAAATAAAAACTAAAGTTCTAAAGGTTACATTAGTATTAAACTATAAATTCTCTATGTTCGACTAGAATATTTCAAATAGAAACAATTATTAACACTAAAGTTGGTATATAATGAAATTGTAATGAATAATTTTTATAAATTAATAAATGTTTATTAATCTCTTTGGATGACATTTTTCATTTGTTCATACACACAATTTGGACAAGCCGAATTACTGATATCTTGTAATGCTGATTGCACAGCAGCAGACGTATTGGGTAAATTTTCAAAATGTTCAACTACTTGCTTAGAATCATGACTAAATTGTTCATTTGATAAATAACGATGACCACAAGAATATACTAATAATGTATCTCCCAAAGATTCAGTATCCTATCAAAATATGGTTTTATTTATGATTAAATAGCATTTAACATTAGAAATGATTTTATAACTTTACTTGAAATTCTAGGTGCATGAATGGCTGTTGTTGACCAGTAAGAGTTTGAACTGAACATTTTAATAAGTCTTCAGTTTTAGTTTCTAATATTGGTTCTATCCAACCAGAACCTGGTGAACTAGTTACAGTAGCCAATAAATGTATTAAGTCTCTTTGATTTTCAGCTAAACAAAATTAATTTATAATATATAATAAAACAAAAAGTTTTAAACATGCAAAATCAATAACAACAATAATACATACGTTTATCTTGTATACTATTTGAAATAGATGAACAGAGTCGCATACAAAAATTAACAGAAAAACATCTGAAAATCAATTTAGGCTCCATAAATTCCATACTTAAATCATTCAAGTCACAAGCTTTTGAAACATTGTTACTGAAACCAATTAAAATTCATTGTTAAATATATTAAAATATCTACAATAAATAATCTACTATACCATAATAACAGAATTCCTAATGGATGATTCAGTTTGTCCCATCGATCCATTAACATCTGTTCTAATGCATCAATTGGGAAAGACTTGGTTAGCCAATATGTTAGATACTGAAATAGTTTTAAAATAATTATAAACAAAATTAATATAGTTATATTTAATTAATTGTAAATGTTTTAATAAATACTTCATGCAAAAACAAAATTAAATTGTCTTTTTGGATGAACTTGAAATAATAATCGAACATCTGAGCAAGTTTACTAATTCCAGGCCATTCTTTTACAATATTTTCTTCTGTAGCTATATGTGATGCAAACGGTTCTGGTAGAGATGTTAATAGCTCTCCTTCTTCAAGATTAATAGTAAAGCCTTCAGATGGTGTAAGAGGAGCTGCAGCAGGTTCTTCGTGACCCCCTTCAATATTAAAGCCGAACATTTCCCCATAATCTCTCGTTTCTACAAATGCTTCAAGTTGATGAAATAATGCTAAAGAAGATTCATTATTCATCAATCTAATTTTACTAATTGCTTGGTGATTTTTCATTTCAAGACACTAAAAACAACATCATTAAAGTAAAATTATCATATTATTTTTGAAAAAATAGTAATTTACCATAGACACAACAGAAGAAATATTGTAATAGGGATAAAACCACTCTATAGCATAATGTAACAAATAATCTATACCATGCAATTCACATAAATTATTAAGGTTTTCCAGAAAATATTCAACTGAAGGTAAGCCAGGAAAGTCCATTGCCCGTTTGACCTATAAAATACAATAAGATGATTAAATGAAAAAAAGACTGACATACTTTGCACATGGATAGGCTACTGTTGTAGATGAGAAGTTGGGAAGGTAGAGGAAAAATTTATTGTATATCTCTAAATAACGATTAACCATAGCTAACGAAAAATGATTCTGAGTGGAGCTCGGTTAATAGTGTTGCTTTTTCAAGAATATATGTCAAATTATATATTTTCTTTGATAATATTAGTTAAATATTGTATCTATTTTCCTGTTTATCCCATTTATTGGAAAACTAAAAATGACCTCCTTAAAGTACCTCTCCAGTTAGATTTCCTTTCAGAAATAGTGCTATCATTATAAATTGGAGCAAAATTGATGGTAGAAAATTTTTCAAAGAAAATAATAACAAACATCATTGTTAAACAAATACATTCCTCGCACCACTCAGAATCTAAAATGATTACATTTACATAAATTATTAAATAACTTACTCGAATTGAAAGTATATCTTTAATGTTTGAAAATGAAAATCTTAATTGTGGCAGTAAGATTTCAATTGGAGAGTCCAATTTATTTACAGTACCATGTTGGATTTTAATAACCTTATGAGTAGACTTTATCATAACCATTTTCCCATCCAATAATGTCTTTGCCAAGTCTTCTTCAGGAATCTTACCTAACTAAAAAAAAAATTAAATTATAGTTAACACTTATTTTTCTTCTACACCTTCATCTCAACTATTTAAGGTCAGCTACCATCATTCTAAACTTTCAATTGACTCAATTTCCCACTTCCCAAACATGAGCTGTCCCCAAATTATATCCAATTGCATCCAACCCCCTTCTTTTCTGTCTTTTTTTCCATTACAATTCTTACTACTTTAGATTCCTTTTTCCTTATGACATGCCCAAATCATCTAGTCTTTTTACTCTCATATTATCTACAATAGTAGAAGTTATGCCTAAGCTACCTATTATTTACTTATTCCTTATCCTATCTTCTTTTGTCACTTTGCTCATCCACCTAATTATTCTCATTTATGCCACATTCATTCTCTGTTCTATTTTTCTGTTGATCACCAAATACTCAAAACCACACAACAAAGTCAATCCCACTACACTTTTGTAGAACTTAACTAATCTAAGTTTTAATGGAATTTTCTTGTCAAATAAAAACATCCGACACTTCTACTTTATCTAACCACACTGAGACTTATGTTTTACATCCTCATGAAAGACACCATTATTTTGTACAAAAGATCCTAGGTCAGGATGGCAAACATTTTGATACACGTGGGTCAAATAAAATTTTTTTTTTATTTTACATGTTCTGTGTGTTAACAAATCTATTCGCTTGTTACATTATTTTGATTATTACATTTAAACTAAGGTGGATTTATCTACCTTGATTTAAACTTTACATTATTTACTGTAATATGTTAATTTTATATAGTACATCGTTATTAAAATAAATGTATAATAAAATATTATTAATTTATATTTTGAGAACTATCCAACTCATCCAATTTTCTTTGGCTAAAATTATAGTATATATTATAACGAAAAAAATAACACCATTATAATTTGTTTTTGACTATTTGTTTACCAGTTTCAGTGATTTAAGATTTTTAACATCATGAATGATGTTACAGATTCGTTCTCCGTGGCGGCAGCCATACATAATACACGTCAATATTTTATCTGTTATATCCTAATCAAATGTATATTTTATGGTCTTAATCTAACCTTATTAAGTACCTCATAATCTTCCTAGTTTCTATTGGTATAATTATATCATATTTTGGTTTAATATTAATAAAATAATACACCACTGTAATAAAAGTGCAACTGTTGCAAGTTCATATTATGTTAACATCAATATTTACTTTTATAACAATAGTCTTATCATTGTATTGAAGTTATAAATATCTTTATGATGCTAATAATTTCCTTATTTTGTATTAGAAGTAAACTAGTTACAGAGTGAAATATGAATGTGGTTCCTATTTGTTATTTATTGTAGTGCATGATTTAGTTACATAATCTAATATATATATATTTATTTTTTTTTATGACCCTTCAACTATATAGTTTTGAACCAACAGTGGACTGAGAACAGATATCCAATTACAATATTTATATTGTAAATATATTCAAGTCCTAATTCAAGTTTATCAAATTGAATATTATGTGGATTTATTAAAAATTGTAAGGTTGGTTGTAGACAACGAAACTGAACAAATCTATTAGAAAACAATTTACTTGTATTTTCTAATACATTAACCTATTTTTTTTAGTTATCAATTTTATGTCTAGTCAAGCTGACTATATAATTTACCAAATGATTTTGCAAAATTTGGAAAATATTTAAATTTTTCATTAGCACAACTGAATAAAAAAAAAAAAAACTACTAATCACACCTGTACTTTCGTCAAGACAGATTAAAAAAAAATTTACTGAAGTCTAATCTATTGATTTGTTATATCATCATATAAAGAATACAATCTTTAACAGTATTTCTACAAATAGACAAATCGTTAACATATTTTATTATTTCATTTGTATTGTTAAAATCATGAAACAAAATATTAGATGCATTTAAAAAAACATTTTTTAAGTATTCCTTGTCAAAAAGTGGTAAACCATTCTGAGCAATGAACTGTGCTAAATTAAACCTAAGAGCTGATAAATTATTATTAGGTTTAAATGCTACTTTAAAATTGAGCTCGGAGCTCCAGGTTCACTAAAACCGTAGCATAAATGCATCAGAAAACCATATATCATCAAACCCTCATGTGGTGAAATTATAATTATAACTAAATAAGTAAAACTATAGAACACTCACTTGTCCTTCATGATTGCTACCCCAACCCCAAAGTTTATTAGCTGTATCTAAAGCTAATGTGAAATCAGCTCCACACCTAACTTCTTTAATTAATGAACCACTTGTTGATGATGAGTCTACGATAACTGATGGTGGACCAACTAATGTTGCAGTTGGAACAAGTCTCTCGCGAATACCTGATACACCTAACTGTCCATCTAAATTAAGTCCCCAAGTATATAATTGTCCTGTTGAACTAATAACAGCTGAATGATGACAGCCACAACACATCTAAACATATATGGTGTTAAATAATTAAAATTTCTTAAAACTGAATAGATATAATTACTATACTTGAACAATGTCTCCTATAATATGAGAAGTATCCACAAGTGTTGGACTTAAATGTAATAGACCATCATCGGCAGTCAAAACATCAATTTCTGAATCATCTGTCTATAAATAAAATATGAATGAACAAATTCTTTACATTAAAGTGTGAGCTAACTCACTTGATCACTCTCAGTTAAAGCAGCTTGATTTCTGGCTCGTTTTTGTGTTTGTGCATGAAACCGGAGAACTTGTGGACTACTGCCCCAAGTATACAAACGACCAACATCACTTAGAGCTAACTAGATTTAAAAGAGCAAAAAATAGAAACTTTTATTCAAATTAACAATATCACATTTATAATATAAAAATGACTTGAAGTTTAAATATGATATATTTTTTCATTATAATTAAAATTTATTTTTAATTTTTGTTAAATGTATTACTAATACAAATAAATCAAATTTATTAATTTACTTTTTCAGCCCCAAAAACAACTTGAATAATATATATTATATAAGTAATTTGTACAGAGTTACTAAATTGACTGTATCATACAATTTTTGAAATCCCTGTACAATATACCCTAAAAGAATTTTATGTTACAACAAATTTCTCTTATAAATATACAAAATAGAGAAAATATATAGTGTAAAAGTTGTTCAATTTATAAACATTTTAAATAATTTGTATACATTTCTTTTACGGTAAACTTTTGAAATTCCTAAGAGAACCTATATTCAAAATTTCATAAATAAATTAAGTATTCGTTTGTTTAAATTTTGAAGTTGAAATATTTGATTTTCATCAACTGTTGACAAGATATTCTACTTTTTAATTTAAGTAAGGGGAGATTAGTGGAGCTCTGTACATCATACACCGGTATGATTGCATGGCATAACGTGTAGTGTTTGAATAGTGTTCCACTATTCTCCCCTTGACTAATTTAAAAAGTAGAATATACTATCAATGGTTGATGGAAATCAAATATTTCAACACCAAAATTTAATTAAACGAAAACTCAATCTATTTATTAAATTTTGAATATAGGTTCTCCTATACATTTTTTTAAAGATTTGCCCTCAAGCCCTCCCCCCCCAAAAAACAAAAACTATAAAAAAAAATATACACAAATTATTTTAGAGGTTTATAAATTGATAAACTTTTGTATTATGCATTTTTCTCCATTTTGTACACTTATAAGAGAAAATTGCTGTAACATAAAATACTGATCATCTTGTATAGTAAATAATATAGATATACAGTATATGAATATTTCAAAATTCAATAAGATAACAACACTATTAAATAAAAAAATTTTTATACAAAATAATTTACAACAAATAACATTTATTTATGGGGAAAAATAACAAAAAATTCAGTCTTGGTATTTGTTTATAAATCTGATACTACTGATGAATGTGTAACTTGTTGAATGTACAAAGTTGGAAAGGTAGAATATATAAAGAAATTTAATATATATATATATATATATATACACAACAATAAAAACTATTCAGTACAAAGTTTTGTTAAACATGTCTTAAAATACTGTAATTTTAACTTTACAATTTTCATTTAAATTTGAACTATGGTTTTTCTTATTATAGATGAAAATTAAAAAAAATTATATCCCAATGCACCAATTAGATAATAGATCACTAACTAAATAACTTGATCATGTCAAAATTTCTTGTAGAAACATTTTAATTTTAAAAAAAAAATACATATTATAATCAACCAATACACTTCTTACTATACACTGAATCTAAAAATAAATAACCATTTTGTTTCAGACATTGTTACATAGATCATTAGTCAATCAATTAAAACTAAGTACTTGAAAATAAATACATATTTTCAAATGTTTTTACACCTAAAATTTATTTTACAATTATATAACCTTATGATTTTACTTACATTGTGGAAATAGGCAGTATAAATATACTTTATTGGTTCAGGAAGTCCATAAACTGGAACGGGGCTAGTAATTTTTGATGTACTACCATTGCCTAATTGACCGAATGAACCAGAACCAAAAGTAAATACTTTTCCATTACTTGTAAGAATAATACTATGTGAATAACCACCATAAGCACTAATAATATTCTAAATATTTTAAAACATCAATTAATATATTTCATTAACTTGAAAAATAATATATATATACTTCATTTTCCAAAGCTTTTAATAGTTTAGGTTTTTCACAGTCATCAATTGCTCCATGACCTAACTGTCCATAAACACCCCATCCCCATGTCCACAATTTTCCAATTGTAGAAATAGCTAAGGAATGATATTGGCCAGCTGAAACACTGATTAACAATTCATCTGATAAGCTCTCCACTAACATTGGATATGGAGCTTGGCCGCGGCGACCTGTTCCTAACTGGCCATAACGATTTGATCCCCAGGAATATATCTATACAAATTATAACTTAGTTAAATGATTTTACAAATCAAAATTCTACTTACACCATTTGTTGTAAGTGCTATTGAATGGTTTCGACCACAGGCCACTTGAATAACTTCAACACGAATATAAACAAACCAAGAGACTGGATTTGGTGTAGCAGTTTTAGTCATATGTGGTCCAACACCCAAACAACCAAAGGATGAATTTCCCCATGTATAAAGTTTATGGTTGCGTATATGAGCAGCATGAGCCCAACCAGCTCCAAGACTAGATTTATGTTCTATCTCAGTTTCAAAATTGGACAAATTAGAAATAGGTTGATGAAAATACGATACAGATTCCATAAAATTATCCACATATTGATTTGAAGATAACCTGGATATTATCATGAGATAAGTAGTTAACCATTCTTTAATAGAATAATTAAGCTGAAAATAAATAACATAAATTCCAATTAAATTATCAAAAATCTAATATATATTTTATTATATACATGTTTAAATTGTATATGATTAATACTGAATTAGTATAAATTTAATTTAAAACCTGAACAGTTATATTATTATACTTACATTATTGTCTTGTTCAGATATGGATTCCGTTTCATTTTTAAATTGAAATACTTTTTGTAATATTGGTCGTAACGCTGGATTAGTTGGATCATAAAGTTTTTTAAGTTTCTATGAAATAAATCATGTTCAATACTTCTGATAAGAAAATGTTTTAATATAAATGTATATACTATAACTTACTAAAAGAATTTCTTTGGAAATATTTTTTAGATTTACTTGTACAAATTTGGAATATAGAGTAGTAAATTTATTACAAGCAACTAATACTTCTGTAAAGATTGACTCTGACACCAAATCCCAAAATCCTTCAGTTACTAAAATAATAAATAATTATATTTTAATGCAATTACCATTCAATATAATGCAAATGATTTATCAGAGATGAAATATTTTAACTTAATAATACAACATAATAATTATATTATTTAAACCGATGTAAAATATTTAGTGACTACTAAATGATGCCAAAATCTTTGTTTGCATAGACCACTATTAATATTTATATTTTAGATTCTGAACATAACGAAGGACTTTTTGGTTTTAAATGCTGTTTATTTCTTTTTTTTTTCTTTGTTCTAGTCTGTGGACACGTTTTTTTTTTAATAAACTTGGTCTGATTTTTACGTGTAGCAACTTTTTTGTAAGTTCAAATTGTCTAGATGGTACTTTTAAAATGTCATTTTTTGATTCTCAACGCCATATTTTAAATAAAAGCACTTAAGTGGGAAAAAATGTGGGAAAACGTACAATTTCAAGATTTCATTATTTTATAAAAACACAAATGATGCTATCAGAAAAAATGATTTAATCAAAAAATTACAAGACACCTTTTTGATTTACTTTCTTACCCTATCATTGCCAAAACTTTTGAGTCACTTTTGACCTTTAAGGAATTTTAATTTTTGAGAGTTCTTTTTTCTGTAATTCGATAATAAATACATGTAGACTTGAAACTTGGTAATAATTATATTGGACTTACCTAGATATAGTAAAATTTCCAAAATCATCAGACGGCTTTTTTTTTGTAATAAACGGATTTGAAATCGAAAATTGCAAAAATATTATGGCACTTCAAATTATGTATTACTATGAATCGTTTTTCGTCAAGCAATGTTTTATCGTTGCTTACAAATATAAATGAAACAACTTTATGTATCCTACCTTACCAACTTCTCACATACAACAGTGACTACTCCCATCCCCAGTATCAGCTCTATTTTAAATTGACCATTAAAGTTCCCCCTAAATAGTTGGAAACAGATACGAGAGAAGATAAGAAGTAGGTTTTTATAATTTTAGAGACTATATAGCGTCTGTTACTTTTGTATACTTTTATCTGTTCCCTATATACCAAATAATTCAATCTTGAGAATTAGAATTATTTTATAACCAGATTGAAGTGATAAAAGTTGGGTTGAATTACAACATGAATTTCACCATGTTATTATGGAAGAAGGGAGTTTTCTTACCTTTGAACACTCCCAAATAAATCCAGGGAGACAAACTTTTGTAAATCTATGGTGTTCATATTAATTAAAATAAGTATTATTTAATCAGTGTTACCAAAGTATGCTACCATTATGGGTTTAATTCTTGGACATAATATAGCCTATTTTGTTCCTCCTAAAATGATCTATTATTTAAAGCCAGAATAAATTCTGTCCAGTAGTTTTGTGTAATATGTGCATACACAAAACATGTTATACTTGTACTACCTATATTAGGGTAATTCTTCTTTGACTTATGGTGAAAAATGTATTTTCTTAACCCAAGTAATAAAATTTCAAATAATGTCCACATTTTTATTTTATTTATTTCTTCACTCTCTGTTTTCCTATTTAATACATAATTGTAATTATTAATATAAAACAAATTATTCTGTCATATTTCATATTCAAATACATAATAAAAAAAAAAACTGATGTTGGTGTAATATAAGGATAAACTTTTAAATGTTTTGCAATAGGTGACTATAATGAATAACAAAAACGTATAAACATTTTATTTATACATAAAAAAAAAAACTAAAATACTCCATATATTTTATTTCAATAGATGAATAAATTGTTTAATTTTAATTTGGTAAGGTAAAAATTAAGTCCTCAATGTACAAGCTTAAAATTTCACTTACAATCAATTTTTAAACTTATTTAAAACAAAATCTTTTTTAACATTAGTATAAAGAGTTACTAAGAATCTGAGTGTTTTACTTGATTAAATGACAGTTTCAAATCAGACATGAAGAAGCGATAACATATTTGAAAAATATATATTAGCAGGAGTTACACAAGGCAGATTCCTTGGATCTATTCTTTAAGTACTCTATAGTCTACTTATTCCTACTAATAATGAGAGATATATCTGCTGATGATCCAGTAATTTTAACAAAATCTAAGGATCAGTAGACTGTGGCTTTATTATTTATTAATTTAAATGTACTAAAATATTTCCTTTTAGAAAAAATGCTGTCATTGTAAATCAGAGCGATATTGCTGGTAGAAAAGTTGTCCATAAACATCAAAATAAACATCATTGTAAAACCAATACATTTCCCACTCCACTCATAATCTAAAAATGTATATTATCTCGAAACTACCCTTAAAAAATTTGACTTATTTGACTTACAATAGTATTGACTAAGGGGTTGTATTTGACTAGAAAACCCAAAAAACCATGAGTAATATTTTGAATTGGATAAATTTAAATTATTTAGTATCATGTATTGAAGGTCATATAAATGGTGTAAATAAAAAAAATGACAAAAAATTCTACAAATTGTTCTTAGAATAACAAATCATTGAAAAATGCAAAATAAAATGTTTCACCAGTCTCTGGTACATAAATCAAATTGTGTAATTGGATAGCATTGTCAAACATAACTCAAAAAAAAAATTATTTTGCATTATCTGGGCCCTATTTATTACAAATCAAATTAATACGAAAATTAATCTTAATAATGGACAATGGGCAATGGATGATGTTTTAAAACTAGTATCCAAACTATTCTAACTATTACCAAATATGAAAACTCAGGGCAAAACACTAAATAAATAAGGAACAAACCTGCTAGTCCTAATTCGTAAACTTTAAATATACATGTTATGTATTTAAAACAAAAATGTAAAAAAATTTAGTAAAAAATTACTTACAATGTAAGTACTGACTATCATCAGTAGATTGTTGATTCATTAAACTGACTAGAACTGTTATAACTTCATTATGTAAACCTCTTTCAACAGCTAAAAATCTTAATACATTGCATAAACGACTTTGACCAACAATATTGACACATAAAACTTCATCATAATGATTATTTTCTGATAATAAACGCCTAGATAATAAATTTAATAGCATACAAAAATTAGTTTTAAATTATTAAATATAGTTACAAAAATTTTGATTCGAGTCTTAATTTTTCTCGACTGGTTGCACGTAATAATTGCTCTGTATAGCTCATAACTGCTAAATTTGAAATGTGTAATCTTTCCAAAGCAGTGAGATCTCGTGGATGTGCTTGTTCTAAAAGTGTACTAACGAAAAGAACTACTTTATCTGTATTTCCAGAAGAAGCTAATCTAAGAACACGTTTTAATGGATTTGTCTGAAATCCAAAAAAACCAATAAAATACACATTTTGCATGAACATTTCAAATGATAACTTATACCAAATTTAAATAATAATATATTATAAATCATTAATTTACCTTTGATAATCGATAAAGGAGAGTAGCATCTTCAAATTTCCTTGCACTTAACTGTTGATCTGCTGCTCTTTCTAATATAGGTCGTATATCAACATCAAATGCTTCTGACAAGTTGTTTGCATGATCTAGTGCATTGTCCATAACATTCTTAAATATAATCTCTTCAGGTTTAATACTAAACAAACCATTAAATTTATGTTGTTTATATTAATTATAAAATTCTATTAAAGTTGGATTTCTTAATCTTTTTTATTAATGATGACATCTTTAAAATCTAAGAAATAATCAATACCTTGCCTAACTTAGCTTTTCACAGAACAGTGGTGCTCTATTATTTGAAATTTTAATTTTAAATAATAATTTAATGTATTGAGCACTAGGAAATAGGCAGTCAATTACAATACTAATCGATGACAAGTATATTTATGCCCTAAGTAATTTTAGATTCTGAGCGGAGTGAGGAATATACTGGTTTTTTTACAATGTTTATTTTTTATTTTTTTCTGTGAATAAGTTTTTATAAAATGTGACTGCAATATTACTATGGGGGGGGGATCAATTTTTGATTTTTCCAGGGGTTTTCATAATAATTCGGGAAAACCAAGAAAATTTTTAGGAAAAACAGAAAAATTTACAAAATGTATTATTTTCAAATCGTTAATATTATTATATTAAGAATTAATAGAGACATACTGAAAAACTAATGTTACAAAGTTGTATTAGGAAAGGTTAAATAAAGGAATACAGCTAATAAACCAGAAAGAAGATATAATAACACCTGGGATAATGTAGTGCAAGTAGTAATCAAAGATACAGGGGAAAGAATATTGGGAAACACAAACTGAAAAAAGGAAAATACGATTTGATGAAAATTGCAAAAGCTTTATAAAAAAATAAGGAATAATGCCAACCTGAAGCTGTTAGAGAATTCAAGTAACGAAAACAAAAAAACTCTAGCAAGTAAACAAACAGAAACAGAAAGAATCACAGAAATAGAAATCAACAACAAAAAAATAGAAGCTTTCTTTGAAATAATAAAAAACATAAAAACAGGTTATGGGCCAAAAACAACTATGATAAGAAGGAATGATGGAACCATTATACCAAATAAAGGTAAAATAGCGAATGAATTTAAAAATATGTTTGAGAAGATGTTGAATCAACCAGAAATGTAACAGTGAAAGAATGATTAAATAAACCAATGATACAAGAAATATAAAGGAAATAGAAATACTGAAAAATCTGAAGGTCCTTGGGATTGATGTAGTAATTCCTGAATGCCTAAAAAAGGAGGAAAGAAAATGATTCAACAATTTCATAAGCTGATCATTGATATAAGAGAACGAGAGAAGATTCCATAATCATGAAGGATGTCTGTCATATGCCTGGTGTATAAAAAAAGTGATAATTAAATGGATCCAATAAACTAGATAATTTCCTCTATTAAACACAATTAAACAGATTGAAACCATTTATTAAAGAAATTATTGGAGAATACCAGGCAGAATTCATGGTAGGCAAATTTACTATAGACCAGATTCATACAATAAAACAAGTAGCAGAAAAAAGTCATGAATTCAATAAAGACACACGTATTATGCTATATGTGGATTTTAAAGCAGCATAATTGTGATTCAAGTTCTTGTTAAATAATCTTAATTTCTAACTAGAAAGACTCCTAACTTCAGAATAAACACTACAGAAACAGTCATCCAGTCTACTCAAAGTGTGTAAAATATTTTTTAATTAAATAAATAATAATTTTAACTATAATTATTACACCACTATCTTATGATTTTTATAAAATTATGAAATACAATCTAATTGAAAGCAATTTTAATTAACTTAACATCAATTGATAATTAGTTAAAATCAAACTTTCCATAAAAAAACAATTTATAATATTTACCTTAAATCTAGGAAATATAATGTACAATTAGTTACTATTGCACATAATTCAGATGCAGTGTTATCTTTTCGGTTATGTTGCCGATCACACTTTTTCTTTTTATTGATAGTAGAACGGTTTTTACTTTTAGGAGAAATATTTTGAGAAATGTCTGCATTATCTTTTGTCTAACAAATAAATAAATAAATATTAAGGCTAAAAATTATTTTTCTTTGTTATTCTTACTTTTTTCCCAGATACTCTAAACATATCTAAAATAAACTCTCCTTTGTTAAAGTTAAAGGTACCTAGCAAACTTTTTGTTTTATCATCTTCCTACAAAAAAATATCCAATAGATTATTTATTATTAAATATTTTTATAAATTAGTAATGCTTTACCACATCGTTTTTAAGTTGACAAAGATTAGAGGAGTAAACACTCAATTTTGTACCCCCGTTTTCAGAAGTGAATATAAATTGGTCTGTGTATAAAAACTTTTCTAATTCACCTTCTTTAAATAGCTTATATACTATTGGTTGATTACTGTTAAATCCAGAAGCATGTACCTACAAATAAAAAAGTGAAGCAAAGAAATTAATTCAGTTGATAGAGAACTGAAAAAATAAAATAAAATATTTGAAAAATATATTTTACTTTGCAAAATAAATATTTTTAGATGTTTACAATATTAAATTATTTATTTCTTGTAAACTAAATTTTTTAAGATGTTTTTAAGGTGTTTAACGTCTCTTTTAATGAGCAATAAGACAAAAATGAATTCAGGCAAACAGACAGCCCATTAAAATTGATTTTTGAAATATTTAATATACAATTTAAAATGGACAACATTATTTGGACAAAGTTTTGATGTTTTATAATTCTCTAAATATTAAATAAATTCAATTCAATTAAGTCTTTTCCATTTTTTAAATAAAAAATACATCAAAAAGTTTATTAATGAGGCTGTCATCTAAAATATATAAAAGGTATTTATTTCAAAGACTGATTTTTAAGACTTTTTCATTTGTTTACTTAGAAATATTTTCAATACATTTCCTGTTAAAAAGACAGATGGCAAATACGACCGTACAACCTTAACTAAATAACTTACCAAAATATGATTGGAGCAATAGCTCACAAATGTTTGTTTACCATGGTGAATCTGTACACTAGACTTCATATCCACAACGCTAGCCAAGGGTTCAGGTGATGGACCTGTACTAGGACAAGAACGTCCAGAAGTAATTGTATCTGATGATAAACTCCGCTTGGGATGTTTTACTTCATTTGGCACTGAGAAATAACAAGATATATATTTTTATAACTGAAAAAATATCTATATTTCTAATAAAAAATACCACTTTGAACACAATTTACAACTGATCTTTGTTTCTTTGGTGCCGATAATTTTTCTATAAATAGTTGTCGTAGTCCAAGTAACCGGGCTCGTGTAGTAGGAAAATTAGATATGACAGGAACAATAGTGTCTATATTTAATGAGTTTGTTGGTCTAAAATAATATAATATAACAATTAGACTTTTCTTTTCCTCTGAAATTATACTATGTATTAACTAATCAATATTTTTTATCAAATAAAAGTATAACTTTTTTTTTAGGCTTTTTTTTAAATTGTTTATATTTAATATACAGTAAAATCAACCCCTAATGAAAACTTTCTAATACCAAAATTGTTTTGGCAACAAGGACATTTTTACTACTTCTCACGGGGAAAATATCAAACAATTAACATCTATATAAATAAAATATTTAAAATAATGACAACAAGAAATGCTCACACTTAATATAATGGTAAACTCATTATCGAATAGTAAGATAAAATTAGAATTATAACGAAAATATCAACATCTTGAATAAAAATGTTTTTTTCTATTTTATTAGTAAATGATTAGTTTTCAGTGAAATCAGTAAGTTAAAAGGAAATATATTGCCACTTCACAAATAATTTTAATTTTGGACTTCTGTGAACTTCCCTCAAAAAAACTGAACCTTAGGTAAGTTGCATGCAGGAAAAATGTGAGTTGGAAAAACTCTGATCACAGATATCATGTCACATAAAGATGAAATTTTATAAAGTTGGGGAACTATTTTTTTTCCTCATTAAATATTAATGTACACACCTGATCTTTTTTTAAAATGTATACAAGATTTACTCCCTTTGAATAATAGACAACATTTTGGAGATTGAGTATCCGCTATTCAGAGGCTTCAACTTATGTACAATAAACTGGTTAAAGCATTTATTGTTAATTAATTTATCATCTTTAACTAAGTTGAAATCAATTATCTACATAATATTTTAAAATAAGAAGAAAATATTCTAATATAAGGTTGTATTATAATGAGTGAATTTCAAAAAGAAAAAAGGAAAATAAATACATAGAAAAAAAAATTAAAAACTATTTTAGAAATTAATACTCAAAAGTATTAACAATAAAATAAAAAAATATTTAAAAAAAAAAATATAGTCTAATATTATATAAATTGTGTGTATAAGTTTCAATTTAATACAAATTTTAACAAATAAAAATTTAAAAAAGTAGTTGAAGACAAATTTTAAATCAAAACCAATCATAAATATACATGACCTAAAGAACACCCCAAGCTAAGTTTTTTCTTTATATTTAATCATTTTATTTGTATTTCATATCTTATACATAAAATTCTCTGGTTACAGTGTTTGTTAGTGAACTCCTCCAAAACACATTGACCAATTTTCATGAAATTTTTTGTGTATATTTGATAGGTCTGAGAATAGGCTGTAAAGTATTTTTTACCCTCCTACCACGACTCACGATTTTTTAATCGCGATTTTAGTATTTGTACGTATATATACACGAGCAATACCAAATAATTAAGCTTATAATATAATAAATACAATTTTTTTTAATTTATTTGTGTTACCTCGGAAACAGAAATGAAAAAAAATGGTGATTAATTGTTATTATAAATTAGTTGGAAAATATCAAGTGATCATCAAAATTGGTCCAGCTGTTTTTGAGTTATAAATGGTGTAACTAACCCGACTTTATTTTTTTTATATTCAATTTTTGTTTATTTAGGAGTTGCCAAGGAAAAGAAAACTATTATAATAATTATTATTACTACTATTTACACTATTGAAATTTCACAATAAAACACATTTAGTCTGCCAAAGGTGGACTACCCACTTTCCACCTATTTGTTTTCATTCAATTCTAACAGGGCCAAAACCAAAAATGAATATGGGTAAAATAATAATAAAACAAATTGGCACGGGCAATGCCAGGAACAGGACAGCTAGTATATATATATATTAAATTTATTCAATTATTATATAATAGAAATGTCATACTTAGATGCTTTATCATGTGCACTGTGTGGTTTTGGATTTAGCCAACAGTACCCAACATCTAAACTTTCAAGCAATAATTTACAACGGTCTCCATTAGTACTGATAATCTAGATAAATGAACATCATATACAACAAATATTAAATAACCATGGATATTCAATTTATCCAACAGCATACTTACAATCAACCAAACTGTATTTGAACAACATTCATTTAATATTTCTAAAGATTTTATAGAACATTTTACACAAGTAGATCCAAGACAAGCTCCAGTACGAAGGTTAACAAATACAATTTCCCCAATATTTCCTCCAACAATAGCAATATCACTATAAATTAATATTTAATATTATTCAAAAACACAAATTTAAAAATCACAAAATAAACTTTACCTTGAGTATGTAGGAACTATAGGTGTCCACCAAGTAACTGCGGTTGGATTTAAAGAACTAGTAGGTTCTCCAGGAGCTGGTCTAATAATTTTAACTTTATTTCTTCTATCTCCATCCCTTGGATCAAACATTTCTCGAACAAACACCAAATATAAAGTACAATCGATACCTAAAATAATAATATACACTTAACAAAATGATTATTAGGATTCATTTGGCACTGCAATTTTTTTAACATAACATCAGCTACCTAATCAAAAAAAAAATATATATATATATATTTAAAACAAAAAAAAATATCTATATAATACCTTGTCAAAATTATACAAGAACAAAATTATTTTTAAGAATATTCAGAGAATCATATCTAGCCAAGATCTTACAATATTCCATTTGTCAGCGCAAACTGAGTTATTTTTGTCATACATTTTTTTTAAGACAAACCTAAAAACTTCAATTTAGGACAAAACTTTTTAAATTTGTTTTCAAACAAAAAAAGATAATTTGATTATATTGAAAAACATAATTCAGAAAAAAAATATTACATTACAATAAGCCAAAATCATGACACTTAAAATATGCTTACCGCATACAAGTAATTTTTCACTTGTAGACTTAAATGCCAATGAAACAATTTTTTTCCCATCGTCTTTAGGCCATGGTAACCATTTGATTGATGGAGGGATATGATCACAGTAAAGTATAAGATCATTGCTGCTGCAATTTTGAGTACAAAAAATACAGTATTGTAATCAGTTTAGAAAAATGTGAAATGTTTACCTGAGTACCAATGCAAATATATTATTATTGTTTGTTTGAAAACTAACAGCATTTAATATATTTTCGACTTTCAACAGTTGCTTCAAATTTAACACATTTCCGTACAAAGAAGTCATATTCAACAAAACGAAGAAATATTCATTATTGATCGTATAACCGAAAGATTACTAGATAAGTACATATTAGATATTGTTTTTTTTATTTTAAAATATTTTATCAACCAGACATTCAAATAATCAATGATTCGTTATCATTCGTACCAAGCTTAGATCATATACTATGCTGCTATTGTATAACAAACGCGTACTACAAGTTTAAGACATCATTATTAATCATAGAGTAATGTCATTAACGAGTGTTAAGAGGACTAATGTCGCATGCGTATCAGTACTCGTCGCATATTTATCGTATAATCATTATAATTCCGCCAGACAGTGATGGTACGTCACACGTGATTATGTGAATTCAACCAATTGCCCGTGATATGAATTTACGCATGCGTATTTGTATCAACTCCCCTTACTTATGTTTACTTCAAGTATTAGTCAATAGCTTCATCTAGCTCTCTCTACAACTCAGTGAGGATTTTATGGAGAAGGGAGTCCAGGGGGGTCTGAACCCCCCTCCAGACGCTGATATATACATATATATATTTATTATAATTTACATAATGCACTATACACATTTATTTGATAAAATCGTCTGTCGTAATGTTAATTCCTAATATTCTGTTATATTGCGATAGTGAGTTTATCTGCGTATTTTTCCACTATTGGGGACGACACTATAACACAATTATTTATTACCTTCTATTAAAATGTAAATTGCATTAATTAGTTGACTGCCGACCTTTGTCACTTATTCTGTAATACTACGATATTAATAGTCGATAGCATTTAAGACGAAAATCGTGTGTATACGAATTTATTTTAGATTCCTCCAATGAAAACAACAAAAATAGTTAAACGTAGTTGAGCAACGAGACGGATTGAACACTACCATGCAGTGCATGATTTTTCAGAACTTTTTGAACTTAATATAGTCTTTCGATGAAATATCAGAATGGAACGATAATAATACAAGCTGAAAAGCACAACGCCTACAAAAATCAATCTTAGATGGAGAATTCATTATTTCATTATTTCATTATTAATATTATCAAAAGGTTTTGGATTTGGTTTATCCCTATCTAAATTTTGTAAAAAGTTGACATCGATTTGAAATTAACAAATAGATTAGTTGATGAAACTTTAGAAGAAATTAATTTTTTTAGAAATAATTCTGAAAAATCATTTTAATAAATATATACAGCTTCACTTGATTTAGCTGCAACATTTCAAGTGGAAATAACAATACTTAGAGTTATAGGAAGACAAGTACATAGAATGAATATCCAAAGTCTATCAAAGTATTACTGTATATCCATATTTATCCCGTACATAGATTTTTACATAACTGAATTTAAAAAAAAGGTTTGTCAATTATAAGATTAATAAATTTCAATCATTGTTTGATACAAAAAAAAATGAAGATCAATTTATTCAATTAGCCGATAATCTGGAGTAATAACAATTCGTTATTATCAACTGAATATAAATTGTGTATATAGTAAATATTACGTTTTACCACTTAAATACTTTTATTTAAAATATGCCGTTAAAAATCAAAAAATTACGTTTTAAAGTACCATCTAGACAACTTGAGCTTTCATAAAAGTTGCTATACGTAAATTTAAAACAAACGAAAAAACGTGTCCATAGACTAGAAAAAAATAAAAAAAAAAATAAACATCTTGTTAAAACCAGTAACTCCTCGCTATGCTGGGAATCTAATAATATAGTCATATTACAACATTTGGTAGATCTCTTAAATATTCTTCACATTATGTTTTGAATTTTTCTGTAATTCTTCATAAGCGCTTTTGGATTTCTGTGCATATTTAAAAATAATATTTTTACCCCTATCCTCCCAAATAAAAAATCCTAGGCATGTCCTTGGAATATATAGCCATCAAGTTTTTTGATCAGGGATCAACAACCTGCAATTAGCCACTAATACCTATTTGTGATTTTTAAGTAAAATACATGTGACATTCTTTACCGATCACCTATTGTAGTGATAAATTGTAATTTAATGGGTATGGGTAGGTATGTACTATAAAGTGAACTATCAAGGCATTCTACCTACATTAATAATATTTTGTTTTCAGAACGTCAAAAAGAAACTGTTTTTTTATTTATTTTTAAAATACAATGTGCTGTACAAGTGTTCAATATCTATAACTAAAAAAACATAGATTAATTAAACAGTAAAATATGGTATATTTTATTATTTTTTATAATGATTTATACAGAATATTATATATTTATTAATTTTTCTAAAAATGTGGTATAACTAAAATTAATTTTAATTTTTTAACTTGTATTAGTGATTTATTTTTCAGTAAATTATAAACATACAATTATATATCAATCAAATTTTTCTGCCTGTCATGTCTGTTCAGTAAATCCAATTTATAGTCTATTAATATGAATATTTAATTTGTTTAATTTTCTCATTTTATAGTATAAGATTAGTGACCCTAGCCACATTATATTGTTACATTTTATTCAGATATACCTAGATATTATCTTTAATATACTTATTATATTTTTATAATTTTACTAAGCAACACTTTAAATCTCTACTTAATGGTTATTAAATTGTTTATTTTTTGCACACATAATTTGTATTACTAGTTTTACATTTAACAATGAATTTCTCTTATTGCCTATTATGTTTCATAGAGATAATAAAATACTTTCAGGTTAAATTATTGGATATCATTAAACAAATAATTCAAAATGTAAAAGAAGTAATATCTAGTTATTTATTTATTTTATATTTTTTAAAAATAATAAAAATAACATAACTCAAATACAAAATTCATGTTGGGTAGGCAAGTTCAGGAATTATAAAAACTATTCAGTGTTTAAGTTGAACATAAACTGAATAATCTTATATTTGTATTAATTTACCCACAATTTAAAAATAAAATATTATATAAATTTTAATTGAGTTAAATTTAAAAATAATCAACTAAATATCAGTATATTTATTAACACAAATACTATAAATATTAAATGCAATTAAAATATTATAAAAAATATGATATATAGTGTCATGTAACAACATTTAAAACAAAAACAGTCTTTATGTAACTTATACAAGATTAAACTCTAGGTACATTAATACTATTAAAAGTCAAAATTAATATACTGGTTATTGCTTATATTATTCACTGACAGTGGATTTGTAAATAACAGTATGTTATTCATATAAAAACATAATTATCTTTATCTATAATAAATTAAAAATACAAATAAATCTCTAAAAATAATTTATCTTGTCAAAAATATATGTGCTATATATATATATATATATATATATATATATAGCACATATATTTTTGACAAGATAAATTATTTTTAGAGATTTATTTGTATTTTTAATTTATTATANCTAGATTTTTTCTATTTAGTACTATTTATGTAATTTAAAATGTAAATACAGATCATTCTGTTATTATATATATATATATATATATATATATATAATAACAGAATGATCTGTATTTACATTTTAAATTACATAAATAGTACTAAATAGAAAAAATCTAGTTTAAAAAATGTTTTGTTACACAAAATTATCATATTATTTTATAATACATTCATCAGTGGCGTGCCCATGAGTTTTCAATGGGAGGGGATGTTACAAATGAAAATCATGAATTAAGATTAAAATTGTCTTCTCTACCCAACTCGACTATGAGAACTGGTAATTTGAAAGCCAGATCCAAAAAAATGGCCAATTTTAATCATTAAAACAAGCTTTTCCTCAAATATCGGCTGAAATTTATGTTTCGATATTAGATTACTCATATTTTATTACATTTTTAAGCCAATGGGAGAGATATAACTCCTACCTCCCCTCCCTGGGCAGGCCACTAACATTCATGCATAATAAAATTATTTTATAATTTTTATTAACCAAACAATAGTTATAAAATTAAAATGATTATTCTATAGTAGTTTTTCTTCAAAACAAAAACCATAATATATTCATGATTATTATTTATTATCAGTGGCATGTTCAGGAATTTTCAACAGAAAATGAGATAGTAATTAAAGAAACTTTTTCCAAACTACTTAATTAACATGATAATGGGAATTTAAAAATCAGATCCAACAAATTAAAATGTTTGTTAAATAAAACCAGGCTTTTTTTTCATATATGAAGTATACACAGTAATACACAAGTAATACACAGGGTGTTTCATGAAGATATACCCATTGTAATATCTCCAGAGATACTAAAGATAATTAAATTCTGAGTTTATATTTATATTACTCATTAGGATAAGGACTTTGTAATCTTTAAATAAATATTTGTAGTGCTTATCCCAATAAATAATAAAAAAAAAAACAGAATTTGATTTTTTTTATTATCTCCAGAGATATTACAATGGGTATATCTCCGTGGGACACTGTAAATTAAATTACTAAATTTATAACACTTATAACTTCCTCCACTTGTGCACGCCACTGTTTAATGTAAACTAAATTATTACACCAGTATATACCAAGTACTTACCTACCTACACTCTAGTAATAATACAATATCAACTTTTAATTTTCAAATGGTTACCTATAATTTAAATTTTAGATGAACAAGTATAAAATTATAAAATTGTTTTTAATATAATTATTCAATACTTAATTTAAAACCTAACTAATGAATTATTTATTTTATTAATTTAAAGTTTTGATTGGTTGAAGAGGAAGTTAATAGAAGTTGTTAAAAAAAATATATATTTTTTTATTTTATTATTTTAATTGATTAAATGTAAGGTTTTTATAATTATCATTTTCAATAAATAAAGATGTAAAATTAAATTATGAGCTGTTGTTTAAAACTCAAAAGTTTAATTGTTTTAAAATTTATAAGTATTGATAAAAATATATTTATAATTCATTATAAAATTATACATACATAAAATAATGTTTTTTAAAAACCACTGCAACATTTCTTTTAATTTCTATAAATATCATATGGCTAATATTAAAACGATAACCACATAAAAAGCCTTCAGTGAAATAATGACTAATCCCGAATTATTAGTCTGTTTATAAATTAAATTTTATAGTATTAGGTTGTTATTATTACTATAAATTCAAATATGGAAAATGTTTGATTTATCCATTATTGTACTGAAAGTATCATATATTTAATACTTAAAATGTGTTTTAAAAAAATTTAACATAATTAATAAAATATTTAACAAATTACCAAATTTACTATAAAAATATGATATACAATAATTATTCAGTTAAAAACGTAACAAATATATATATAACAATAATACTAGGTAGTTTTATTAAAACATAGTTTTACATAATTGTATAGTAGCTGTCTTGTACTATTAAAATTAAATAAATAACGATTTATTTCCATTAATATAACTGGAGTTTGAATTACCATTGCTCCAAAATTTAGAACTATCTGTGTGTTGATATGTCATAGGCAATATTACACGTTTTTGATCTGTTCTTCTGGCATCATATTTAGCCTAGAAGAAATTGATTTAAATAAGTAATTTAATATTTATTAAATAATGATATATAAATTTCAATGCCGTCCCTAGGTTTTGCGAGGTCCAAGGCAAGACTGGGATCGAGACCTATGAATTCATAACATTTTGAAAAAATACATCAAAAGGGATGTATTGAAGGTTGTTATGCTATTTCTACAAATTCTCCATTAAGCATCTATTTGGTAACTAATCATTCTTCAAAACAATTAGTTCATATAAACTATGTTTCTTGTGTTTAACTATAATAAAATATGTTCAACCCTAAAAAAAGAAGCTCAAATTTATTTGAGTACTTGGTGTACTATTTCTTACTATTGGCGTTTATGATAGTATATAAATAAATAAACACACAACTAATTAAACAGCCTTATTTATATTATTTTTCTTTTGATAGTAAACAATTTAAAAAAAAATTAGGCAAAACCAAATATGATTTATATGAAATTACCTTTTAAATACTTAAAAATTCAAATTTACCTTGAAAGAGCTTCTACGAAAGATATTATAGGTCTATTTTGTGGCTGGATCACATACAAAATGACATAATATCAAAATTATTATATTAGGAGTAGTTCGAAAATAATCAAATATCTTATCATTTTTTATATATTGTTGCAATTATGGGCTACAGCGCAAAGATTGAATGTCGCAATAAAAATGTATTCTTGTCTTCTAAAAAAAATATTGTGGGTTAGTATAATTAAGCTGTTACACCGTTTTCACTTTTACTGTGTTCAAATATTTTATGTTTTTAAACAAAACAGCGATCAATTTTCAACAAAATTTACATTGCATGTTTTTTTCCAAGTTTGCACAAATTGCGAGGCCCTTGGCAAGTACCCTGTTTACCCTGCCCTTGGAACGGCACTGAAGATTTTATTAAATAATAATCCATCATATAATTTATGTATACCTTATTATATGCAATTACACCAAACAACGCCAATGCCATACCACATACATTATTTACAGTTACTGGATTTCCAATTACAAATAAAGATGCAGCAACAACAAATATTCGTTTTGATGAACTAGCAACAGCATATGTTAAAGAAGTAACCATTGACATAACACTAAATGCCAATATATTTTGTAACCAACTCAATATTCCATCAGTCAACAACAATCCCAATACTTTGTATGATTCATTATTCATCTAAAATTATTAAAATAATTCTATTAATCTAGTTAGAGGTTTTTTACTATGTGTTAATATTAATTTAAATTTACATTGAAATTTGAAACTGTTACTAGATGCCAAAAATCAAAATAGAGCCACACAGGCAGAAACATAAATAATGCAAGACGACCAAGTATATGTAATAGTCTTAAATGATGAACACCTGTATCACGGAGTACTTTTTTTGAATATATATTTTGTAATGTGTGTTGTAAAGTAGCTGCTAACGCACTCATCAATCCTATCAAATCAAATGATAACTCTGTGACAGATGCTATAGCAACACCAGCAATTATTGGAACTAAAGATAAATAAACCTAAAAAAATAAATTAGATTTGATTTTAAGGACGATCATTTTTCTCAACTTATAAACATCTTACTTTTAGACATTGTTTTTCACCAAGAATTATCCTAGACAAAATAACACTGAACAGTGGCATGGTTGCTTTTACTAAAATATTAAAAACAAATAGTATGGAATTAAAAATAATATTTTCTTTAAATATATTATATATTACCTGTATGTGTGTAAGAAACTGGCACTTTCCATAGACTAACATGTGTGAATACTGATCCAACAAACTTGCCAAGAGCAAGTGGCACTATTAATTTAAAATAGTATGGCCAACTAATATCGACAAACCGCCTCACACCCCACAAATTAAAAAATGGTCCTGAATAAATGGCTATGGACAAAAGCTGTACCATAGTCACTGTCATTGGATACGGAAATTGATTTAGTAGGGTCTTACCAACGACATTACTACCAGAACTAACTACATACCATATGCAGCACAAAAAAGCCACAGTAGCAACTTCCTTAGATGCAACAACCATAACTGAAATATCTCGATAATCTCTTAAGTACTATCTAAATGGAACCATACTTTTTTTGAAATACTGAACTAAAGTCAAGTTTATATAGTATATTTTAAATAATTGTAAAGCATTAAAAATACATAAGTAATATTTTCTAAAGCTTATAAAATATCGTTGCATAATTTAAAACAAATCAAATCTGTAGACAATTATTTTTATTTTTTACTTCGTGTTCACTTTTAATTTCATACTTGAATGTTAGATAAGATAATAGGTGACTGAACATAGAATGATAGGATTTGACCATGTGGCAAAATTGCTTCTTAGAAGAAAAAAATTATTTTAGCGCTAACTACGGACTATCTTAAGGTATATCTCATACTTACATAGATATTGAAGAATGGATAAGCCACGTTGTCTTATCTCACGTTATCGAAAACGCTTACTAACTAGATTTCCCAAAGTGCCTTTTTTTATTCCATGAATACATATTCGGCATAAATCTAGTTTAGCGCCCAAGTGATTTTTAGAGTTTTTTTTTTTTTCATAATGTGTGGTTTTATGTGTTCATTAAGAATATAAAAAAAAAATCAAGGCGAACGAACTTTGTTATGAAGTTATGAGGAAAAACTTCATTAAGTTCGGATTTTCCATTTCGCTTATTTCTTAGCTAAAATTTAATATTTAAAATTTTTTTTTTCAAAATATGTGTTTTCTTATGCTTAATCCATTCGTGTAATCAAAACTTACCTATCATACTTACTTTTAGTTTTTGTACATAAACCTTGAAAAATTGCATTTTTATAATTCATCCAAAATGTAGGGTCAAAAACTAACATTTCTATTACTATTATTATTATTTGTAGTTATTAAGATTTTGATAACAGTATTGTTTTTATTGAAGTCAAAATAAGGCTATCTGGCTTAGTTTTAAAGTTACAAACGTTCAGATGCGAAGTGTTACGCTACACTAATTCGGACAATTTTAATCAAAAGACTAAAAAGTATTTTGTTTTATTAAAATATCATTCAAATTAGATCAAATATAACATGTATGGAAGAAATAATTTTTTTAGGTAGGTAGGTTAGGTACATATTAAATTTAATATCAAATTATTATTTCAGAATAAAATATTGTTTTATAATTAAATACATTATTCCATATGATAATCCGGGAAAAATTGGGAAAATCAATACAATATTAAACAAATATAATGCCTATTTTATTATTATTTTACCATAATATGACATATATTGTTGAAAAAGCATTACTATCAACAGAACTGCGCTCATAATCGTTTTTTCGTTAGCAATGGTTTACCGTTAGTTACAGATATACATTAAATTACCTATAACAGTAGCTGCACCCATCTCTATTATCCTAAGACGTATTTTTTTTTCGGTTTTTTACATTTGATGAGAAAACTCTTGAGAAAATCGAAAAATGACCTCCCTAAGGTATCCTACGCCGATTTCATTTCAGAAATGGTGCTACACGTAAAAATCCGAGCATGTCTTCTGGTAGAAAAGTTGCGTATAGATAAAATAAAGAAAAAAAAAACATTTGTTGAACTATAAGCTTCTTCGCTCCACTTAGAATCTAAAATATATCTGAGATGCACCAAGGAACCCACTTCTTTGTTTTTTAAATTTTTTATCAATGAAGTTAATTGGAAAATATATTAGATTAGTTTTGATAATAAATCCAACATGAGTAAGTAGATCTATACTTGAATACAGTGAAACCTTTCTTAATGGACACCTCCAAATAGCGGACAATCTTTTGGGAACGAAGACATTTTCAACACTTACGTAAGAAGACCTCCAAATACTGGACACTCTAAATAACGAACATTTTTATGGCAAATCAAGGTTTTAAACACGCTAAAATAACTGATTTTTTCAATAAGTGTTAATTTTTTTCTTAAAATAATTTTCATTTATATTTTTACATACATAATAATAAGATAATTTTAAATAATAATATGTACAATTACTATTTGTTTTAAAATAATACAAATGTACATATATCATTAATATACATATATATATTCTATATTTATAAATGTTGTACATAGTTATTGATTTCTCAAAGTTATTTTCGAAAATTTGTTTCCCTCTAAATAGCGGACACCTCTAAATAATGATGAAAAATGTACAAGTTGATAATTAGTAGAGACAGTAGAGTTTCGGGTGATTCGGTGAAAACATTTTTCTGCCTAATTTTTGAAAATTTAAATACTTATTTTAAAAAAATATTTAAATATTAGAATGCAAGTTACCTACTAATGAACTTAGGTATTTGTGATAGGTAGCCATTACATAATATAACCTAGCATACGTGTTATTACTCGTACTATAATAATAATATGCAACTACTAAAACCATTTTTTTTTTTTCAAATCATGTTCCAGATATCTGGAACCTACAGGTGAATCTTTTCATTGTCAAAAATCTCAGTATTACGTTGAACAAATTTAATTAATACTTCAACCAAGAATGAAATATTAATTGAATAGTATTTTAAATTTTTATTAATATTTTCATCATATTTCGTCAAACCCCGATAACTATGAGGATTAAACTAATAATATTATTATTATTTATAATTAATTGTTGTTCCATCACGATGAAGATATTTTTGAAAATAAATAAAAAACACGTGTGTGTTAGATCACATTTGTGCAAGTACTTGAATTTCTGTGAACACTGTTTGGTTAAAAAAACAAAAATGACTGCTTCGAGACGCATGCTTTGAAAACGAGCAGACGTTGCGTTTAAACCCACACAAATTCTGCGTTTGGAACTTTAGACGCTGCTGGGAAAACGTACCTTCACTCTATCAGTGGAAAAATATTAATAGGAGCAAAATCGACCGTTGTAAATTTTAGATTAGAGCAATATTTCCGGTAGAATACATCGTGTAATCATAATAAAGCTAAGATCCCCACTGAGAGCGATTTTGAGTTTTTGTTTCTGCGATTTTACACGCGTGATATCCACTAGCGATATTGATAGTCCCACTGAAACGATTTTACATACGTTTTTGCATTTTTACATCATGCGTGTTGCTGGCTGAAAGTGCTGCTTTAATTGATGTAAAATTAAATTTGGTTAAGTACCGTTTATGGATCCACGAAATAAATAAGCATAGGCTATCTGAAGAAGAATTCCATACAGAGTTCAGTAAATTAAAAAACATCCGATCAACATATTTTGAGTACTGTCACATGAGTAAACCTACTTTTATATAATTTTGGAAGCTATAAGAAGTGAAATCAAGAAAGAACTACTTTTTCTAATATAACCAATGCGGAAGACATTTTGACAGCGATTAATTGTCGAATATCCAACTATTTTGTTTTGTTAGCGATTATCACGTGACACGTGCTCAGTGAGGCCACTAAATATGAATTACATTCTATTGTTAAAATCGCTAAAACGCAAAATCGCTACACGTTATCGCAAATTGCTCTCAGTGGCTTAAAAACAATGAAAATGGTAATGCCACGGCGCATCTTAAATATTTGCCGTTTTACCTATAATTTTCTCTCGAGTTTTTCCAAATCATATTGAAAAATCAAAAAATGACCTCCTCAATTCACTAACGAGAAAAAATTACCTTTCAAAAAAGGTGCTATACTTTGGAGCAAGTTTCTTATTAGAAAAGTTTTGTTCAGACACAAAAAAACCACACAAGAAAAAATAATTAAAACACATAGTTAAACCATTAGATCCCTTGCTATGCTTTGAATCTAAAAGTGTAAAGTCAATTAGCTATTTTAATAAAAAAATAATAAGTAAATGTTTTAGCGATTACAGCCTGCTGCGTAATTATAGGTACTTTTGTCTTAACTTTAAAAAAATAAATCACGAATTTAATGAAAATAAAGTTGATGTGTCAAAATTGTTAGAAAAACCTCATGTTATAAAATGGCAACTTACCTTCACATTTTTCGGAAACAATAAAATAAAATAAAGTTATTTTTTTAGTTTTTTACCAAAACATAAAACTTTAATTCAAGTATAAATACTTGCGATTTTTATAAAAAATAAAAATTGATTACCTTTAATATCTCAAGAGATATTGTAATAATGTGTATATCTTCGTGGGGTTTCTCATATTTAAATTATTTAATATGAGATTTGTTGATTTTAATAATATTTTAATATTTAAATAGATCCTATTTATTGTTAGTTCGAAAAATTAAAAACAAATCTATAAACACAATAATAATCATTAATATTATATTGATAATATAATACCCAATAGATACAATATGATAAATTTCCCGCCGACACTCACGGATAGGTGTATTACTTTCTGTCATTTATGACAAGCTAAGAGCTTTATGGCACAGAGACTTAGAGGTATGAATGTTTGTCATATTATTTGTCAAGACTTATTAAATTACATTACTTAACGATTCGTACTATTACGATTTGTGATTATTATTTTTCTGTAATATGACATATAATCAAATTATAAGTGTACTTAATATTAACAATGTTAAAGATCAAATAAATACTATAGATACAGACACAAAATAATAATTCAGGTTGAATATTTTTTTTTTGAATACTATATTGGAAAAGAATAGTAAGAATAATTTTCATTTAAATTAGGCATTGTAATACTATGTTACAATAATAGGTTTAAATGTTTAATGTCTAAATGTCTATATATATTTACAGAAAATAATAAATGTATGTAACAATAGTTAGTCACAGATATAAAATAATTTTTATATTAATATTCTTTGAAGCTAAATACTTCACATTAATATATATATATATATATATATATATATTATATGGTGTTATGGATAAATATTAATTAGATAATACAATTATAATATAAATATATCAATGTTTAATAATAAAAAAACTTAAATAAAATTGTTTTTAAATTTGTTGTATACCACTATTAATTATTATACAACAATTTTTAAAGACAGAAAATAAAGTAACCAATATAATTCAACATACAAATGTGACATATTATCACACTGAGTATCGATTCAAAAATATAGTTACTTACTATAATAGTTTAGAACTAATGTATTTGTTGCTGCATTGTAATTAAAAGTGCAATGATAATAATGGCAATATTTATTCTTAGTTTGGTTAAAAAAAATTATAAAGGTGGATCAGCCTTAACAAAAAAGAAATTAAATCTAAAAAAGATTCAATATTTTCAGCATAAATATTGTACTGAATAATATATTGTATATGACATTTTGCCCAGGTAATTTTACGTTGATGACTGGCGATTAGATTTTGAATGGCTAATTAACCATTGCAAAGTAATATCAATATTTTCTTGTTCTTTGCAAGATATTGAGTAGCAACAAATTTCTCGATCTTGAATTGCATTTAAGTTCCTAAATAAATTAAATAAGTAAAAATACAAAATATAATAGTAGGCATACAAAGGAGAAATGAAAAGTTCTACTAACATTCTTTCAATCAGTTCGACTTCATCTAGAGCATTTGGCAAATCCCTTTTGTTACCCAAAACTAAAACTGGTATACCAGCTAATTGTGGTTTATCTATCAAACTATGAAGCTCATTTCGTGAAGCTTCTATTTTATCGTTATCTGCTGCATCTACCATATAACTGTAATTATTAAAAATTAATTAATTTTTGATTTGAACTTAAAACATATTTTATTTATACTTACACAATAGCATTGACTCCTCTACAATACCTCTCCCACATAGATCTGAAACGTGGTTGACCACCGATATCCCATATTTTAATGGTGACATTGTTTTTAGTCACTTTACGCATATTAAAACCTACTGTAGGTATCATATCTTGACTGAATTGACCAGACTAAAATTAAAATTAAATTAAATGTACATTTTAAAATAATTTATTGTTAGAAAAGTAAAAGTCATTTTATATCTCATTTACAAATGAAGGTTATACTACAAAACAATTAAAATTTAATTAATTAATTTAACCTAAACTGTTTGCTTGATTTATTTACTGAATTTCTATGACTCAGTGTTCATAAATTTATATAATAGTTACTTAAAATGTATGATTCAGAATATAACTATATAATCGATAAGCATAAAAAAAATAAAGTTGCAAAATTTGTAGGCACAGATAGGAAAAATTATTACTATTCAAAATAATAAATAATTATAATATTGGTTTTAAAATATTTTTAACTGCTTTATTTGTTAATTATCTTAAAACCATAGAACTAATAGGTATAAATACAAAATAGAAATATTTAATATTACCTATTATTATTAATTTAAATATTAAATAGTTAGGTACAAATATCTAATTTTAATGAGAGATAATTTACTTGAACTGTATGAAAAATTCTGTAACTACAGTGGTTTAATTTATTTCTACCGCATAAGGCCATGCCAAAAATACTGATGCTAAATACAAGCTGATAATTAACGTCTAGTTTCTATTATATTTTATTAGCTAGAAAACGGCCTGCAAAATAACGAAAAAAAAATTAAACTGAAATTTGTTTATTAGTTTATGTCAACAAATATCTCTTTTAATTATTTTATGATAAAATTAAAAATTAAAAGATAATTCATGTATTTTTAGTATGATTAAATGTTTTTATATAGGAAGTTTGCATTTTTCATCTATATATACATATATACCATTATACAAATTTGAGTATATATTTAACACATTTATTATACCTAATACAAAGACTCACCATATATTATACAGTAACTAAATTAATATACTTTAGATTCTATTTCCTAAAGTTGAGAAAATATAGAAACTGATAGTTTAGAATTATTAAAAAGAGGCTTATTATATAAATTAAATATTTTAATATAACTTTATAAGAAACATATCAATAATAATCATCATTAGTAATTTGTCATAAAATGACAAGAATGCAATAAAATTAAATATTGTATAGATGACAAAACCTTGTCATTGGGTGTAGAAAATTCTCAAAAGGCACAACGTCTTATTAAATTATTAGACATTTCATTGCAAGCACACATTTTTTATGCATAGGTTAGTCTATTATTATGAGTATCTACCATACTATAACAATATTATATAACTTGACATATTGTCCTTAACAATTTTAAAGTTTTGATTACCTAATAAATAAGATAATTTAAAATAATGTATTATATTACTAAGTAAACGTCTTATATTCAATTATTATTTATTTATTATATATATACATTTGTATACATTGAAACTTCCCTTATTACATTAATTTAATAATCAATGTATTTAAATGAAAAAAAAACAAGACCATTTTTACATATTTAACTGAATCTTTTATAAATTAGAAATTAATAATTACTAAAATAACTAGGTATCTAGAAAAAAATATTTTTAAAATATAAATAATACAAAAACAAATTTATATTAGTTATATAAAAAAAAATTATACAGTTTAATGAAATTCGTATTTACTTACAGCAATAACGTGCACAAATGTAGTTTTCCCAGAACATTGTAAACCAACAAGGGTTAGCTCCATTTCTTCAGTCCAAAATTTACTTTTAATCCAGTCAAGTATCCGAGTAATTAGGGCCATCATTTTTTACCGGTCTTTAATGAAAATTTTCTCTGTCAATAATTAAGAATTAACAAATAAGTCGAACAAAAGGAGTCAAAGCAATTAACTTGAACAAATTGACGTAGCAGTACAAAACTACAAAGGCATTAAGTAATCAAATATTGTTAGATTTAATATTTTATCTAAGGCCATGTTCAGCCCTATGATTATCAATGTTCAATAAACAGCTGTTAGATAAGAAAAAATTATCTTTGGAATTTGGTCCCAATTTGAATAAACAAATAATTTAAATAAGTATTATTGAAAACTGTAATGTATTACCTACCGATATTATAATTAATAATGTGGTATATTACTTAGACAATAATATTCCAAAAAAAAAAAAAATTATATTGAGTTATAAAATTTATTCCATATATTATTATATTCTATAACTAAACAAAGATGTTTATTAAAACTTTATTGCTACTGTTTCATTAACAATCGTTTCCCTATTTTAGTAACATCATAGTAATGACTAACGATAAACTAAAGATTATAAATTTACAAGATATTTACTTAATGTTATTACTCAAAACGACACAAAGTAATAATTTGTATGCTATTATGTTTCATATAATTATTGTTTTCAACTATTCATAGGTGCTTACATATAATAGAAGCAAGTAGATCTCTGGAAAAAAAATTAAAATTTTAGTATAAATAATATAATAATATTCAAAATTATATGAAAATAATACCTATAAATTTAAAATTATAGTTATGTAGTTTTCATTGAACTCATATATTATGATATATGAGAGCATATGACAGAGTTCAATTGTAATTTTAATTAATTAGATAACTTACATCTTATAACTGATTATATTGTACTGTAATTTTAATTTTTGATAGCAAAAGCATTTCAGCATTTCTACTGGGAGTTTTTAATGCCTATTGAACAATAAATTTTCAATATCCCTATAATATTACATGTCATTATATTTCAATAAATTGAAAAATAATTAATTTCATGATTTTTTTTTCCGTGTACCAGAGCGTGATTATTTATAGATATGTATTGCTAATAGAATAGTGAACTATGTCCCAAGAATACTCAATACCGCAGTAAAGTGTGTAAACATCCAAAGGTGTCAATAAATACTCATTTAAGGATGCCCAAATTTAGAGAAAAACACATTCGCATTCTTGAAATCAGATTTTTTCATCAGATTGTAGACCTATATATACAGAGTGATGAATCCATCATAAGACACTCATTATCTCTGAAAGTGTTAACTTTTTTCGAAATTTGTCTTGAAGAACATTTAAGAAACAAGCGGTTCAAAAATTTAATATTTACATTATTTTTTGGGGGTGAAAATACTATCTACTTTTGATTTTCAAATGACAACCTGTATTAAAAATTTCAGAAGTAGATGGAGTAGTAGTTAAAATACATTTTAAATTTCCGTCAATTTGTTGACAAGATATTCCACTTTTAAGTTTGGGTCCGAGTGTATTGTTTATAAGTTTGGGTAAATTCTTTAAATATCGTTTGCTGTGCCGCTATACAAATGATGCTCTATTATTCCCCCGACTCAAACTTAAACATGGAATATCTTGTCAACAAATTGACGGAAATTAGGGCGACAAAAAATAATGTAAATATTAAATTTTTGAACCGCTTGTTTCTTAAATGTTCTTCAAGACAAATTTTGAAAAAAGTTAACACTTTCCGAGATAATGAGTGTCTTATGATGGATTCATCACTCTGTGTACCATAAATTAAGATAATTACAGTCTGTCTCCCGAGAGATCGGGCTACTCGTCAACCAAAACCGGTTACTGCTGCGCATTCCCACACCGCTCGAGTCACTTTTAACATTTTACACGTCACACGGTATATGCGCTGAAGCAGCCCATTCGTTCGACAGACTGTAGTTAAAATATCTACTAATGATTCAAATCATGATCTAAACCATAGGAATTTACAGACTCGTATTTTTGAAAATTGTTCAATAGTTGATCTGTAGAGTATTATTTAAAAATGACTATCCTTTAGGTGCTAAAATTATGTCCAGTAGCTAACGAGAAAATGTAGTTGTGTCAGGTTTAGTGTGATCAGTATATTTTTTTAATATAATAAATTAATATGCTTTTGAGTTATCACGCTGTACTTGCTAAGAAATTGGGTAGACCCAGTAGTTATTATATTGGAGTTATTATATTTTTTAAATGCTCATCAGTTTGATTTCTGTCAACTCTTTGATAAGAAATTCTATTTGTAAGTTTAGGTTAGGAGACTAGTAGTGCATTATAAAAACGCTGCACACCATTTCACCACACAAATTATGCACTACTACTCTCTCCTTGACAAAACTTAAAAGTGAGATATTTTATCAACAGGTTGACAGAAATCAAACATTTTAACACCAAAATTTATTTTAACCAATACTCCATCAATTTATGAAATTTTTAATATAGATTTCCATTTGAAAACCATAAGTAAGTAGTGGTTTTACCACCCAAAAAAAATAAAGATAACACAAAATAACAAATATGAAATAATAAAGCTACTTGTTTCTTAAATTTTCAAAAAAAAAATTTTTCTGAGTCATCTCAGTTAAGTGAATTATCTAATATTTTTTAAATTATAAACATTTAATATTTATGAAAATAGAGATTGAAGGTTGAAAATAAAATTCCAGAATTTCGTATAAATTCCATGACTATTACAGGTTCTCAGAAACAGTAATAACCATGGGTAAGGAATTTTCGTTAAGTTCTGTTTTCTTGCTGAACTAAATATATTATTAGTTGTATGTTTGTAAAATCTATAGTCTTCTGCATTAGACAACCCTAAGTATTGAGCTTTAAAAGTATGTAGTCCTTTTTACATTTCGTCAGATTTTGATGAGTGAATGACAACAACTCACTCTGCATATAAGAATAGTATGTTTTAGTAGTCAATTTAATACCTTATAATTCATATGATATATTACAGCGATTTTGAAAGAAAACAACTCACTCTTATTATTAAAACATCTATACTATACATTTACATAATATTTTTGACTAATAATATTTTAATTAATTATGGTAGTTTTAGAATGGCAGCAGGGATTCCTTAAAAATTTTAAATAACAGTAATGTAAAATAATTATTAGGATTTTTACTAGGTAGTTTGTCTCTTGTTTTATATACCTTATAAAAGTGTTTTGGGGTAGTCCTTGGTCAGACTATGCTTTTGCTTCAATCTCATAACTTGAAAATATTGAGCAATTTTTCTAGATGTTTTATGTCCAAATCAATCATTACCATCAAGCTACAAAAGAAAATGATAGAACCTAAATAAAATCATATACTAAAAATAACATTAGTTATTTGTTTATAAGAACAATGTAATCATATGCATTTTGTTGAATTAGATTAATCGAAAATCAAATAATATAATTTAATTTTTCAAAACACTTTTATTAATATTAAAATTCGCACAAAAATATTAAACTTTAAATTCTAAACAATTTATTTTACAGTAATAATACATACCTATTATATTTAAAAAAATTTACTTATGTACTTTAATTGAAAAATATCTGTATTTTTACATAATTATAATTTTTTTGAAATAATATTTAATTTGTTAAATTACTAAATGTACAAACATAAAAAAGAAATATTTCTTTATAGACTTATGAATATAATATATATTATTCAAAATGTATAAACAGCATTCTAATATAACTAAAATATATTACATTTTTTAAAGCAATCTGATCATTATTAAATATTAATATGTAACAAAATTTATATATATATTTTATATAAAATTATAAATAATTATTATAAAAGTAATTAGCTTAATTGTATCGTTTCATTTCAATTGAAAGCAATGCAATTTTAACAAAAAGATAATGGAAGGAAAAAATAAACCTATTTACACAAAAACACTATTTTGGTGTTTTTTATTATACATTTTTATATTTTACAAAAAAAAAAAAAAAGAAAAGATATATACATATATGTATAATATTTACATTTGGTTGAGTTTTAATTAATTTAAAACATAATTGATTCATACAAATTTTAATCAGTTAACTTAAGTGTAGTGTTTAATGGCTTGATGTGTATTGAAATCAAATATTTAATCATACTGGAGGAGGTGGTGGTGGGGGAGGTGGCTGTCTAAAAAACATAGATGAAAAATATGCTTGTGATGAAGGAGTAAAAAGCTTTGGGGGACCATTTTCGTGAATAACGGTTGATGGTAACAATATATCCTCTTTTGCGCATGAATAGAGTTGTTCTTCTGAACGATGATAATATGGATCTGAAATAAAAATTGAATACTTATAAATTATGCGTTATAATTGTTTAATTATTTAATTAAAGATTATCTATCTATAGTTTCTTTAATAAAATTTGAATTATAATTAGTATGCAAGGTATTTTTATTTTATCATGATCCAGAGATTACAAGTGCAGTATTTCCTTTTTCCAATCATGGAATCGTCCATCATTCCAACAGAGAATATTTTTTAACACTTATTAACAAGCAAATTTTAGATACACCATTTATGAGTTATAACAATTTTATACCCATTATAGATAATAAGCATTCTATTCCCTATCCCTCAAGTCTAAATTTTGAACTGCTACAATTTTTAAAGGAAGGGTTTATTATTCGAAAATAAAAATTTATAATGAACCAGAATCAATTGGGTTCAAAATCTTCAGTTCTAATAAAAATTAAGGATTATGATAAAAAAAATAAATCATTCTATACATGTAAAAAACAAATAATAAATGTATGTTAGACGCATTTGTCAGAGAATTAAAATAAATAATTAATTTGTTTTTATACCTATTTGTTCATTAAACTGATTAACCATATCCACACCCATATTGTTTTAGTATTTATCAAATTTTTATAACTGTAAAGTATAGTTATTTTCAAAATTCTTACATCGTGAATGTTCAATGGGTGTGAAATCAGGTGGGGACAATCTGGGATGTCTTTTTGGTAAATCTTCAGTGATGTTGACACCAAATTGTCTCCTTAACCTATCATTTAGATTTTCCCATTTGGGTTCTTCTTTAGAAACACTTGATTCAAATATAGATGGACCAGACTTGAGTGCCAATTTTGACTCCAATTCAAGTGATTTAGCTATAACTTGTTGGGTTATCTCTTCATAAGCTGCAAGGCTTGTATTGGGAGATACCGAAGGCGATGGTCTAGTCGCATCACTGGCTCCTGATTCAGTTTCTTTTTCTTTAGTGACAGTAGCTTGTGATTCTTTACGCCGTCTATATTCTGATATTGACAACTGAAATACAATTTTAATTTAATAATTAAACTATGTATAGTATAATATTAAATATTCAAAAATTTATTATAAAACTGTCTTACCTTGCGCTTAACTGGTGGTGGTGGTGGTGGTGATTGCGGTGAAGGTTGTAATTGTGGTGATGGGGGCGGAGGGGATTGCTTCTTATGAACAAAACATTTTTCGATAGTTTCTTTTGGAGCATCATCATATTTATGTACTGCTAAATTAATATCAGCAGTATCTAATTGATAACTTTTCATTTTATTTGAAACTTCGATTTTAAGTTTTTGAGTCTTTTTTGATAAAGTATTTAAAATTTCTTCTTTAGATATCTGAGAATCATAATTTTGGTTTTCAGAAATCATTTTAATATTTGATTTATTGTCTAGAGAGGGTTCTGAGGAGCTTTCTTCATCAGGTTTAAATTCTCCCAAGAACGATTCAACTAAAGCTACAGTATTAGATGACTTTTGTATGTCCATTAACGACACATTCTTATTCTGCAACAAAACAAATTATTGAATTAGTAATTGTTCAATTTTTATTATGAACTGTAAATAATGATTTAATAAATACCTTAAATATGGCTAATTTAGAATCAATAGAAGCAATATTTCGTGATGCTTGCTCAACTTCTTCATCTTCAATAATATCATCTTCCACAAAACTTAAATGTCCTGAACCAGAAACTGTTGGTGATGGACATTCAGACATGGATTCTCGGGCCATTCGCCGTTTTTTTAATGGACCAACTTTTTGATCTCCATTATTAATTCCACCTGAATCTAAAAAGAAAATTATACTTTTAAATTAACACCATGATTTTTTTTAATAGATTCAGATTAGGCTGCTTTAGAACACATTAAATATTTACCTTGTTCACTAATAGCTTGTTGTAACCATCGTTTTTTTGCACAACCAACTTCACCTAGTTTATAGTCTTCACTTCCCGTTGGAGAGTTGCCTTCAGATTTCACCCAAGAGTTAACGAAATCCTAATTTAAATACATGTTATATTAAATAAAAATTTAAATAAAATAATTTATTTAAAAACATTACTTTTTTTGTATTAGGAAATTTGAATCCCGGAGCAAGTGGTCCAACAGCAGCTGCTACTAACATACAAGTATTAGATAATGGAGTTGGAAGAGTTCCTTCAGAACCACTTGCATCTTCACTATCTATCTTATTGGCAGGAGTGTTGAGTAGATTTGAGTGAGGTGATCGCCGTAACATTGAACGAGAAACAGATGATTGAGTTGATGGTCTATGTTGGAAGCGTACTGAAAATTTACAACGATTTTGAGCTCGTTTCCTAGATAACAAACGTCCTTTACGGTCATCGTTATCATCATCGTCATCATTGTTATTGTCATCTTCATCTGATGAACTATTATAGGAACGAGAAGAAATAGCTGCTGCTCTACGCTGTGGCCTATTTGTTCTTGTTGACTTGGAGCGACCAGTTTTATTAGAAGGTCGTTGTTTTCTTCTGAGAAAAATAAATATTTATCAAGAATTATTTACCTAACTTTTATTTTCTCGATTTTAAATAATAATAAAAAAAGAGATTACTCACTTTACAACACCTTTTCTAACTCTGTTTCTATTTAGATTAAGAGGTGAAGAATTATTGAAGTTATCTGTTTCTTTATGTAACCGTGATTCTTGTTTTCGAGCTTCTTTTTTTTCCATTCTTTCAAAAGCTTTCATAATTGCAACCATTTTTCGTTCTTCTCTAGACTGTAAAATAAATCTACAGTTAAAAAACATTCAATTAAGAAATATTCGTAAGGTTAAACATTTTATTTTACCATTTCATTTAATCGTTTCACCATTTTATCGTTGTTGTTGGACTTATGATCAAGAGGTTCAGGGCTTGTTTCAACCTTTTTAACAGGGCTTTTTGGTCGACCTGGCCCATTAGGCTCTTTGTTTTTAATAGAAGATGGTGGTGATGGAGTTTCACATTTGGAAGTTTTTCTTTTTAGTATTCTTTTATTATTAGACTTCTTCATATTTCTTTGTTGTCTAGTTCTTTTATTTCTTTGCGGTTTACTATCATCATCATCATCAGACGAATGACTGACAGTTGGATCAATCAATGGAGACAAAGAACTTTCTAGTATGACAGAAACAGGTGGTGCTGTTACAGGAGAAATTGGGTTCATAGCTGTGCATTTTGACGGATCTCCACAATTGCACCGTTTAAATGGAACTGCAGCTTGATGACTTATGGTAATTTCAGAATTTTTTTCAATATATTGATTTGCCACTATATACAAATGAATAGAACCTTTTTCGATGTAATGCTTTAACTAAAAATAAAAAATGCTATAAAGTATGTTACAATATTCTAATATTCTTTTTATTTTACCTCTGCATTTGGTTTACATGAACGTCGAACAAAACGGGCGTCATTGCCATACGTACGGCAATCAACACAGACTTCTATATCGCAGTCTGTAGAAAATCGTACAACATAAAAAAATACATAAGGATCTGTTCGATTTGGTATTGGATCTTTGTATGCTAATGATCCAGTCCATGTAAATTTTCCTCTCACTTCAATTATTGGTTGGTTGTTTGCCAATACTGAACTACTGACTAGCATCTGTAACCATACATGTTTTATAACTTATACTCCAAAAAATTAAGTTAAATAAAAATTGCATACTTTTATCCCACTAGGAAGTAATGATATTTTAGTCCTACTTATGGGAATTTTAACAGGGGTACGAATTTCACCAGTTATAATAGTACCATTAGGTTTAATTGATGATAGCCTAGCACGTAATTCTTGAGAATAATGATTAGTAACTGCTTCTTCGTATTTATCAATCCAATTTCGCAACTGATCAACAGATTGATCAATATTTGATTTATTATGTTTGTTAGGTTTATCAACTTTAAATATTTTTGGCTCGTCGTCAGATGAATCAATCGTCTATGATAAATAATATCAAATAATTTATATTATTTAAATATATTTAATTATTAAAAAAATATACCTTCTTTTTTTGTATTTTTTTTTCTTGATTAACTTTTTTCTTTTTGTCCATTGCTGCTAATCGTTTTTTTTCTAAGAGCATTTCTTTACGTTTAATCAACATTTTCTTGCGTTCTTCAGCTAAAGCCTTTTTTTCAGGAGTCATTGAACACTTTTTTCTTGGACCACTCTGTGGTGGACCATTTTTTCGCCGTTGTTTCATTTGTGTTTGTAAACCTGGCTTTCGTTTGGGAACATTTTTTTGGCGGCTCTTGTATTTTTTTCTTTTATTTTTAATATTATTACGATCTATTGGCATATCTGAAAAACATAAAATACATAAATAAATATTTTATAATGTAAAATATCAAAACATCATAAATCAAAATTTTGATTATAGACACTATATTTTTCTTCCCATTATAATATCATAATAGTATATTTCAAGGCATTTTTTTTTATAAAATAAAACACAAAAGCAAAAATGCGTAGTTACTCAAGTTCTACAGTTTATCTCTTCATTGGGAATTTTATTAAAATCAACTTACAAGGTTTTGATGGTTAGCAGTTACAGTATATTACAGTACATAATACATGACTACTAACTTATATTAAAATAATTACAGAAATATTAAAAAGATTTTCCACGGATAAATTTATAAATTGTTAATATGTTTTAGTGAATTATACTTAACAAAATAAACTATACATTTATATGGTCTATTTTGTAAAATGAGTGGAACTATAACTATCCATTAGAAATAATTAAAAAAAATAATAAAATAATTGGAACAATCCAAGATTCATTTTTATGGATTCTAATAATCATGTTAAATATCTATATTACATTATTTATTATGTCAAAAAAAAGGCATATTTTTGTTATAAGCTACTTCAATGCACATTTCATTATTTTCCAAATTGGTTTTTTGATGATGATTGTTTTGTTACAAAAGGAAAATAATAAGAAATTTTATTTTATATTTTTTGAACATTTTAGTTTTAGAGGTTCTTTTAAACATTTATAGTTGGAATTTGAAACTTAATTTACATAATAGTGAGATTTTTTAAAATTGACTCATACTACTCAGACAACAACTTGCTCATTTTTTTTTTTTACAAATTCTTGTCACTTTATTTATTTTTAATCTGAAAATTATTAAATCTATTATGGTTAAGAAATATATTTTATTGCAATCCACAATTTCAGATGCAATAAACAGTGAAATCTAATAATTATGGTTGTTGATCCTATCTACGACCAGGAAATACGTTTTTATTTACTTAATGAAAAGTGAATTAAATATCATAAATAATTTAACAATTTCAGTTATAGCTATAGGTAATTTGGATTTGTAGATAAGAAATATGGCATATGATGCGAATATTATCTATAATTTTTTAATTTTTTTTTTTTTAACAAAAAGCCACAAGTGTAGCAATTTATTAACAATTTAATGATGCAACTAGTATGTGTTCTTAATTTCAAAATTATAATAATTGATGACAATTGGAACAAATTCAGCACCTTAAAACTAATTTTACATAAAAATAAAATAAAAATCTAAAAATGAGTACGGGGACCTAACTGCATGTATGCCAAAACAATTATATAGGCATTAACCTTAAAATTAATTAATCATTTATTTCTTTCAATTTACAAAATATACTAAATATTCCCCCCTAACCTCTAAAATATTCTAAAAATGTAGTTCACTTTTTTTACTCTCCTAAAACTGTATAAATTACCAGTAATTGTTTAAACCTAAAACCCAGATTTCTAATAATAATTAATAGCAATATTAACATTATTAGTATTTTAAATTCTCAATATTAATTTAAGTTTTAGTTTAAATTGAGTTCAGTTGGATTAAAATTTTTGTCTAAGTTCAGCATGAATACTACAAGCCAAGTTGAAGTTTTGTTCTGTCCCAAATAAATGGGTTCAACTCATTTTTAATGAGTTATAAACAATTATATTACCAATTTCCGTAGAGATATCAGAGTCACTAGAATGTGTTAAATGTGAAGCTGATGCCATTGATATTCGTTTAGCCAATTTCATGTGTTGTAAAGCTGCCGCTGCTTCTCTATTAAAAGGTCTTGGTGAACAACGTTCACATAAATATTCTTCAGGAAGATTATTTCTACTTTCCAATACACAGTCAACATGTTGCCAAACTCTGTAACATTGATTCAAAATATATAAATTACAATTTTAGAACCACCTATTTGAGAAATAAGGTTACTTGGAAAAAACAAAAAATACTGCTGAAAACTATCGGTGATATTTGGTGATGAAATTGAGAGATTAAATAGAAAGTACTTGATGGGATAAACAAAAAATTAAAATATAATCCTATTGTTAGCTAGAGGAGTACTGTGATGTTCTGGATTTGCACTGTTTCTGCAATACATGATTTCCGGGTATTTTTACATTACACACTTGAATTAGTATAGATTCGTCCCTTGTTTCTTCACCATAAATTGAATATAATACGTTAGTTCTCAAAAACACAAAGTCAATCTAATTAGGTTTTTACTAACAATAGTTTTATACCTTTCTACAAATGATAAAAAAAATAAAAACCAAGAAAAATTACTGCAATAAAATAATTTTTTGTTCAATATTAACATAATACAACAATTATTAAAAAATTGATAAAGATTAGGTTAGCAGAAGATTGTAAATTGTTAAGAATATGATATTAGCTCATTTTGATTATTTTTCACTCTACTAGGATTTACATAATTTCTCTTTTATATCAATTTTTCAATGAATGGTATCCACGTACATATTCAACACAGTCTAACTCATCGTTCAATATTTTATGGTGTAATTATCAATAGAATTTTAAATTAATTAATTGCTGGAATAAAAAATAATAATAAAAAACATAATTTTAAAACCAATACATTCCTCGATCCACTCAAAATCTTAAATGGAAGATTATACTTGTACATTTAAAACACTTATAAGTTAATTTCATTGTGAACTATTAACTAAAGATGAATAGCATATATATGTTTATGATTTTAAGTAACAAGTATACAATTTTTTATGATTATGCTCTAAAAAACACTTAAATATGCAAATACTATAATAGCATAATAAAAATTGTTTACTTAAAAAATCATATACATATCACAGTAACAAATACTTACAAACATTTATCACAGCTTATCATAAACCCATCATCATGTTCCATTTCACTAAAATATAATATAAAAAAATGTTGATTTAACTATTTTTCAAAATAATATTCATTATAACTCTTAAACATTAACATTATTTGTTTACTCACCAAATACATCTTGTTATTGCAGGTTCTTCTGATTTGACATTATCTTTACCTTCAGCTACAGCTTCTGGTGCAGTATCAGTTTCTTCTCCTTGACCATCAAGATCATGATCACTTGCACTTAATTCACTTTCTATTTGAATTGGTGATTCACACTTAACCAATGGTTGCAGAGGAGATTCAGTATTTGTTACTGGCACATTAATTGGAGTATTTAATGGCTTTTGGATAACTAGATTATAAATAACATGCAATTAAAAATGTAATCAATCATCGAATATACTAAATTATTTTTATTTACCTCTATTATTATTAGTTACAACATTACACTGAGGAGTTTGTGTTTGGGAGACTGTAGGAGATACAATACAAGATTTACCAGCACTGAGATTTAATTTTGGCGTCGATCCATTAACTTGTTTGTTTTTTCGATGGTGTGTTACTCTTGGAATAAAGCAATAATTATGCTCAACTTTAATCAGCTGTAAATCAAGAAAGTAATATTTTTATTTATGTAAGTTTTACTATAATAAATTTATAATTTAATTGTGCATTTATGAAATTACATCAACTGGATTTTTTGGGTCATATAATGGTTTAAGATCAGTAATTTCCAATATGTCATCATCACTTGTACTATGATCTTGTTTTAACACAGTGCTAAAATAATAATACATTTAATTATTGTACTATATGCATTAGATGGACATCAAATAAATACAAATTAAAAGTTTATAAACCTACTTAGGTCGGTTTACAGGAACAACACGAGTTCGTTGATTATTTGGTAACCGATTTCTAGATGGCATGTAGGTCATTAACATATGGGGTGTTAATCCAACTCGGTTGTAAGGTAATTGTGGTGAAGCCACCGGGGTTGAAACAAAAACGTTTTTTCGAACAGATTCCATTTGTATGGAACTGGTATTTCTCTGCTATAAATAAAAAACAAACAATAATATAGTACTCCTTCTTCTCTGTCATCTAACTATTTGGAGTTAACCATCCTAATTTTAAATTTCTATTTAACCAGATCTCCTATGTATCTATCTACTACACGGGCTATTATCATATAATTCTCAATCGCATCCAACCATCTCTTTTTCAGTCATTCTCTCCATATCTCTCTACCCGTTTCCTCCTGAGTTTATTTTCATTACAATGCTTAGTGCTTCAGATTCCTCTCTCCCGATGATATATGCACAACATTTTCTCTAATTTTCTCTACTATAAAAGCCACACCTAAGCTAACACTTATGTAGTTATCCCTTAAACAATAATAAAGTAAATTACTTTACTAAAATAATATACCTGTGGAGATATAACACAAAAAAATAATACAATTTTTACCTGATAAACAGGTATATGTTTGAAGTGCTGGTTTGGTGATAGTATATGATTGGCACTGGTATGATTGAGCTGTAAAGGAAACCGATGCATGGTGACTGGTTGATTTGCTGTGCGGACCACAGTGGTACGTGCATGGTGATCTTGTGTTTGACTGCGAGATGGTGTCATCTGAACAATAAGACTGGGTCCTGAAACATCCTGATTGGACATAGGGCGGCCAACGGGGATAGTCAACTGACCAGAAACAGCTGAACCACATGACACGCGACTCGACCCTACAAGAAAGTAAGCGGCGCTTCCCGGTGTCCTGACACTACCATCCGATTCCATCACCAACTAACTTTTGCTCTATCCTATAAATGAAAATCCAAATTAAATATATTAGATACCTTATACAAATGATACCATTTAATGTTAATTTAATAATACATTTATACTCAATACACATAGAGGACAAAATAAGCATTCATTTACTAACAAACAATAAACACATTTGTTTGTAATAATTTTGTTACATTCAAGAATAAATCCATATTTACAAGCGTTAACTATTTACCCAATATTTTTCAACTAAACTTAACTTTTTTTAGATCATATTATACTGGTAGATTGTCTGTTATTTTCAATTAGTCAAATTTAATTCAACTAATACTGAATTAGTTGCAACAAAAAGGAATATAAAATTTTTTATTTCAAATGGAATAGACACCATTTTTGAATCAACAAAACAAATTTAGTTATAAATTATTATTTATTACAAAATTGTGATAACATTCTTAATTGAACTACTATAGTATTAGGAAGATTATTTTCCTTTTTATAAAATAAGAAAACCAACAAGTAATAAGATTGGATTCTTTAATAGACAAATTTAAAAACATTAACAGACTGTCCATATAAATTGAATATTACGCTTATAAATAAATATAAGATAAATTATAATTATTAGGTTTAACTATCTTCATTCTTGAAAATAAATTTAATTAATATTGTGTCATTTATACATATGAAACTAAGATAATATCAAAAGTATTATGTTTTCAAAAAGTTTGATAGTTTAGGATTTAAAATTGTCTAGATACATTTAGATTAAACATGATTACATATACCTATAATTGATTAAATTCAAATAACTCTTATTATTAGACAGTATGTTTTCCATTTGTTCACTGTTTGAACGACAACACTGAAAAGTCATTTTTTAATTAATAGTACATAGAAGATCTACCTTAAATGTATTGTTAATTACATTTATATAATAAATAGCACAAATTAATGCACTATTTACTTAGCCATATCATATATTGTTCAATTAAGGCTGTAGTTAGACTGGGTCCAGAAAACTAATTGAATAGTCCAGTCCGGATCAGATATATTACACAGAGTTTATAGATAAGTCCAGCCCCGGGTCAGTGTTTTTTACTGGACTACCGGGCTCTGGAATTATTATACATGGTACTTAATTATTAACTTTGGCGGGTAATTCATATCTTCTAAAAAAAATAATTTTTTTTCCGCTGCGGAATAAAATAATTGAGAAAACGACAACGTCGGAATGTGACGAAAGAAAAACTCATATCTGCTATCGAATAGTGATGTCGGAGAGGGGCGTGAGGAAAATGCGAAAGGACAACGTTATGGGAAATAATTGAAGGATATGGGCCGTCTCCATAATGATAATTTTATTTCAACAACAAGACGGGACAGCGTGCAATTATTGTTGAAACGCGGAAACGAGCGACGAGACTGCAGTAGCCAAAGTCGTAAAGGCAAGCGTACGTTTCAGTATCGACTACAGCTGAACGGTGTGCTGTAAAAACGACGCGGGCGCATGAACGGCGTAGAGGTATATGGGTGGCGACAAAGGACAAAACAGCCACGCCGCGACGGCGGCACTATGACGTTAGAGGGCGGCGCTTTATACAAAAACAAGCAACCGCTTCATACACTATAATAATATAGTGGCAAGGCCGCGGTGGTGACGGATGGGGCTCGCAATGGGGCATTGTGGTGTCCCGTGGGCGGGAGGCGGCGCGACGAATACACGCATGCGCATTCAAACATTAGACGGGAAGAGTAGTATGTAGGTAAACACAATAGAAGAGAAAAAAAATATACTATGTTTGTGCGTGTGTGAGTGGTGCGCGTGTTATATACGTAAATAATAATAATCAGTACATTAAATTATTTGCGTATGCACCAACGGAACGACACTGCTGCTCCCGCCAATTCCGACCGGGTTCTTTTGGCATCCGGCACATGCCGGTCGTCGCGCCGCCGGTAGCTGATCACCAGTCTACTCGCAGCTCACAAACGCGCGCTCGCGCTCTCGGACTCTTCGCGCTTTACTCCCCACCCGCGTACAATATAATCATAGCATGGCCCTATGCGCAAAACTCGCGTACGCACACTACATAAATACAATACTTGTGTTTTATACGGATAATATAGGTAGGGCTATACCCCCCTTCAGAGACACGGAATCTATGGCCTACCGGATTAGGGGAGACTACACGCAAATACAATAATATTATGTGTGCGCACTCACCAGAGTTTCGAAGGACTTGCATTAAAATAATAATGGATTAAATACCTACAGTTACATATGATTTTGATACGTTTATATACTAAACAGCATATTGTTGTTTTCACAATTGTCAAATTAGATATAATTTCTTGGAGGGGGGAGGTGTTTAAGGGCAATATATTTGTATGACAGTTGACAAAAACTTAGTTGATTATTAATTTCCTGCAGCCTGCTATCATTTTTATTTCTATATATTAGGTATTTTAAGTTGTGTAATAAGAACTCAGCAATCATAGTGAAACACCATTATGACTAACAATGAAATGTATACAACTGTGAAGAAAAACCAGTAATAATGTAACAAAATATCTATCGAAACTATTATTATACTTGTAACAGTAATGCTATTCATTTTTGGAGGGAAACTAAATAGATAGGTACATAATATATGTTGTAAATTATGGACATTTAATTCGTACTGGCATTTTGCTATGCAAAATAAATAAAAGTAAACAATATTACTATAAAACAATATTGAATACTATTACAACAATCTTAGTGATATACCTAATAACAATTAGAATTCAATATTACAAAAAATAGAAGTTTGAAATTAAATGTAATAATTTAACAATAGTCAACTAAAAAACTACAGTAGATGGATTTGTCAAAAAAAATTAAAAATTATGTATATTGGTAATATTATTATGAAGCCCAGAACTATGACCTATGGATAAGGTTTCTTGAACCTAATTAATAATTCATAAACTGCATTTTCTCATAACCACTTAGGTATTACAAAACATTTTAATTTGTACTTATTAGGCACTTATATAATTTTATAAACATGCATTTAAATAAATTAAATATTTGAACTTTTAGTTGATTTTAATAGATTAGATAGATCGATAAAAGTAGTAGAACAAAAAAATATGAATACGAACACATAGAATTGACTAAAAACAAAATAGGTCTTAGATGAATGATATACTATGAATTTTTTTTATCACAAGTCCATTACACTGTATTTTGTTAACACTATTCATATAAATGGTAGATTTCAATATATTTATTCATGCGCTTGATAATATTAGTTTATGAAAATAATTAAGAACTAGTTATTTTTTGTATCAATAAAATAAATATTTATTTTGAATCGTATACTTTCTTCAATAAATATATAGGCAAGTGTTGGTATTTGTTTATTTAACAGAGCAAGAGAACCTAGGTGTATATTTTTTAATAAGTATAATATGTTATGTATTCAACTATACTTAAATTATTTCTATAACATTTTAAATCAAATTACATTATTTAATACAATTTAAAAAAAAATATTATTGCATAATTTATGAATATTTTTTTAAAAAAAATGAAATCATTGATTTATTATTAATACACATACCTACCTACTAAACAAGTTTGAAACTAGATAATTTATTTTATTATTATCTTAAAAGTAATATTATAGATATTTATTGGTATCAAATTATCTTGTTATTTAAAATGCTGAACATGATTATAGTATGTTACCATTTTAACCCGAAATAAAAATTTAATAGAAATAGGTTAGGTATGAGTTTACATAACAGTCTATTCAAGTAGAATATAAAAAAAAGGGATCAGAAAACTATTAGTTACTATAAAGATATCTAATTATTGTTTATTTTATTGACATTTACAAATTCTAAAAATATTTTTAGTTAAACTTGAAACAAATGCAAATAAACAAAAGTATTAAATTAATATGAAAGTATCTGTAGGGATAAAATGAATGTATTATGGAAGTGTAATATTTTCATAATAGAATAGGGGAATTATAATTGTCCATGTGTAATCAAGTGATTTGATATAAAAAGGTTTAAAATGTAACATATTGACTGTTTGAATGTGCTTGTAACAGAAGATCATCACATTAGTATAGGTTATGTATAAATATTAAAAGTAATAAATAAATTGTATTAAATGAGATAAACTTCAAACTTAAAATCTTTTGCAAAATATTGAAATTTTAAAAGTATGTATTTCAATACTTTTCACACGACAATACAATATATTCATGTTCTGTTCATAAAATTGGCTAATTGATGTAGTGTAAGAACTAAATAGTGAGAGGTTAAGGGAATTTAATTTGTAGCCTATAAACCTGGCGAAAAGTTAACAATATGTAGGAAAACTTGAATAAACATTACAGACAATGCTTGGGAATTTTAAACCGGCAAACAAGTGATAAGCAGGGTAAATTTAGTATTAAAATGAAAATACCGCCATTTCATTTCAGTGTTCGTCATATGAAATATTGCATCGCAAACACCGGTGCCGAGGGACCACCGAGTTCCAAGCAAATACTGACGGATGTGTCTTGATATTGGATGGTTTTTTCAAACCAACTACATACTGGAAACCCACGAACATTCGAGTAAATGTCAAGTAAATAAAACATTTTCTACATGTACCTGGAACGTAAACATTATGAACGTGTCGGCTTGTGTCGCCCAGGAAATACGATTGTGGTGGCCGCGGCCCTTGTCGCACAAAACACTTGATTGTTGGTGATGTAAACTCGAATATTTCGCATAACATCTAATTTAATATACGTATAACGATAAGTAATCGATATGAAAACTTTTAAAAAAACACTGGCTTAACCTAATCGGCCATCTTGTCCGTGTTCCCGAAGAATAACAAAACATCATCGATTCCGGGGGTTATGAGTAGTAGAGTGGGGATGCGCCAAATGACCGGCGCATTGAATGAAAACAGTGAATGGCGCAGCATTAAATCGTTTTTTCCATGGTTTACTGATTAAATAGTCCAATAACGTTTTGTATATCTTCTTTGGTATTTTTTATAACTAAGAAATTCTTTTAAATATTTGTTTATTTTTTTAACATATTACCTACTATTGTAATAGATAACGTTTACGATTATAATATTTTTTTTTGCGTAACATCAACGTTGCTATTTTTATATAATTTTTCTTTCCCGCAGTATCTAGTCACCTAAGTCACTTTTATCTGTTATCTATTGTAGTAACGTTTCATGATTCCAAAATATATTGTGTAGCCTGTGTGTGTCTTAAAAATATTATTATATCGAATAATTAAAAACTGAGTTAATAAGATTTTATATAGTTTGAATTTTAAGATACAGATTATTGATTATTTGTATACCTATGTCATTGTTACATCATATTAGATATATATTAATGAATTTTGAATTTATTTGCTAAATAATTTTATTTACATTATGATAGTTACTAGCAAGTTATTTGCAAAGTATGAGTAAAAATCTGTGTGACAAGATACATAATTTAAACAGTGACAAGACATCTCTAATCAATAATATACCCAATTGACACATTTTGATTTTGATCTGCTGTTTTTGATACGCGAAAAAAAAAATTCATTAAATTATTTATTTATATTCCAATTTATTGGAATATAATAATTTTAAATATTATAGGTACATGGATAATTGTTTAATATTTGAGATTTCCAGTAGAAATACTAAAATGCTTTTGCTTTTAAAAATTAAAAATACCAGTACAATATAATCAGTTATAAGTTATCTGTCGAGATAAAAAGTTGAAATTGGGGGATTATTAAGATTGTATAAAAATACATCAGTAATATTGTGCTGAATATTTCTATACTTAGTGCCGAATTGTGTTGTGACTTACAAACTGTAAGATTGGAACCATGGATATTATAAAATCAAATATAGCAACAAAGAAGATTTTGTTTAAGGGGTATATGTATACATTAAATCATGCTGGAAAACAATACTCTTTTTTTTACTGTATATGATATATAGAGTTTATTGAAAATTACATAGCTATTTATTATTATAATAACATAATAATTTTCAATATTATTATGTTGTTAAAATTATATATAATATTATTTATATTAAAATGTTGATTTTTTTTTCTGTGATGGGGAATTTTGTAGTTTTTCCTGTAATTTGTTGAGTTTACCTGTTTAAAAATTATTTTTTTAAACATATTGTGATTAATTATTCAAATGAGCTCTATATTGAAGGATAATAAATAATAATACATTATTGATAATGCTTAATAAAGATGAGGCAATAATTTTATTAAAATATTATTTTAATAGTTGGTAAGATAATATTTTTTAAATTAGGATGAACACAAAAATGTTCCATTTGTAAGTATTAACTTAAGTGTGGAATTTGGAAATACCTATTCTATTGTATATTTTTTGCAATTATTTTATTCCTTTTTAAAAGTAGTACATCTATAATTATTAACAATGTAAAATATAAAATGTATTGACTATTTTTAATTGATTATTATAAAAATGCACTGTCTTATAATTATTATTATAAATATGAAATGTATTTCTTAGTGTCTTATTAATTAAGTATATTGAAATACATTTTGTATGTTGAGCTTACCATTAAAAATTTTATTTTGAGTAAATTAGTAAAAAATTATTATTTCGTATGTAATTCAATAATTCAGGTATTGGATTTAAAATGAAATAAGTAATAGATGGAAACAAAGATTTGAATCACATATAAATTAATTTTTATAATTTACTACAAAGCGGAGAATCAAAGTACCATTAGTTACTAATTTTCACTGTAAATCAATGGGCATCTTCTTTAGAGCCCAACTCATTATTGGGTGTAAACCACATCTCATAATTCAAACTATTAGAAAAACAGAGCGCATACACAAATAAATTTATGAAGTAACTAACACTAAATAATAAATATATCTATAATAAAGATATACATATTTAGCATGACATTATGCTAAATTATAGATGTAACTTAATGGAATTTTAATTCGAAAATTGTGTCCTATTATTATAGTGAACCTAGGTTACATGAAACATTAATTATTGATTAATATATTTTTGTAATTATTATTATTTAGGTTTTAATCCAACCTAATTTAAAATTTCAAAAATTGGTAGTTTTATCAAATATAAATAATAGATGCCATAGAGAAGTAAAAAAAGGAATATTTATTTATTTTATATATCAATATATTAAGATTAAATGAGCCAAGTCCTTTTGATATAGGTACAGCATATGCATTTATAATTTATAAATAACAAATAGTGATACAATTATTTATTACAAATTTAAATAATGTAATTAATTTAATTAAAAGGTGAAGTATGGGTCAACATTGGTAATGGACCTTATAGATTATGCCTTATGAATTAATTTGACATTATTTATGATAGATAGTAGAATGTAAAAAAAGGACAGTATACGAAACTGAAATATGAGAACTTTAAAATTAATTTAAGACAAGAGTGTGGGTGAGTCAATATTCCCAGTTAAGATATTGAATAAAAACTGAAGATTGAGTATTTGTCTCTGAACAAAATTTCTACACTAATGGTCCCCAATATATTTTTTTTGCATTTTCCAATATATTTCTATAAATAAAAAAAAAATTTACACTTTTTAAATATGTGGTTATATATTTAATACAACTATGTAACTACATCTTTAGATTCAAAGGAAATTAAAGCACATCACTACTTTATACAGCCTTTTCCATTCTTCTTAACTTTTGCACTTATATTAGATTATTGACTCTTGGTCAACTCATAGTCTGGTCCATTTATCCATCTTTTTTGAGGCCCACTTAGTGGTAATTTTACTTCTGGTTTCCATGTTAGTGCATCTTTCATTACAGAATACAAATCATTAATACATTGTATTTAATATTACACTATTCAATTTCCATTTAATGTAATTATAGTAAAATATAGTTATTATATAAATTAAAAGATTTGGTAAAGAATCAATAACCAATTTCAAAATCTAATTTTTAGTTTTTATTTAAAAGATAATTTCTTAAAAAAGAATATAAAGGCAATTAATAGGTAGTTAATTTAATATTATTTCAATATTGAAATTAGAGAATAAATGTAGATAGTTCATACAATTTAAAATACATTTATAAAATTAAAATAATAATTCAATTTTTTTTAAAACAAAAGCCCTAATGCTATAATAAACAAATAAAACTTAATTTTAAAGGAACAATATTAAAAATATTTAATAATTAGTTTATATTTTTATGTAAACGAATGAAAAGAGAAAAAAATATTTATTATGATTTCTAACATTCGAAACATTAAAAACTGCAAGAAGAAAATTGAAGAATTATCGCCTTTTTTTTTTGTCTTGTTTTCTTGACCGGTGATGGGAATATGGTCGCCTAGGAGATGCAAATGTACTACCATCAGAATCATATTCGCTTCCATCACAGTTATCCTAGAATGTGAATTATTCTATTTAATACATATAGATAATACATTTAAGATTAAGCAACTAAGTTGTGTATAATAAAATTAATGTTAGCTAAATTTATGTTTAGTACTTAATATAAACATTTTTTGATAAAAGAAATAATAAACAATAACTTTATTATTATTAATTAATTAAAATAGTATAAAATATAATATATTACTAGGGTTCAGGACTTCTTGCATTTGTTTTTTTGTAGTGGTCATATTTTATTCTAGGTTAACCAGTGCCGTAGCCAAAATTCCTCAATGGGTGGCGGAGGGGGCAATTAAAAAACTTTATACAAAATTAATTTGTATATTTAATATATGACCACATAAAATACTAAATACATCCTGCTGAAATGAATAAAATATTTAACAACTCTTCATTTATAATAATTTATTGCAAACAACTTAAATAATTTGGAAAAAGCTCTGTGCTCTGTGCTCAGTGTTGAATTGCTTTTACAGCAGTCTCTAATAATTTTTTTTTCAATTGTCATTGCTTTCTCCATGTGAATAACTTTGATTTCATACTAATTAAAAATGCATTAATATAAAAGAAGCAGCAGCTAATATTGATTGGTCGTCATAATGGGTCAAATTAGATGGTATGAGTCCTTCTAGTAGTATAATTGTTTTTTAGTCTTTTATCAAATCTAGAATATAACTGAGTAATTAGATTATCAATAACTGTTATAAATATTGCTATTTTATAATATTCCTCTGCGGCTTTGGTATTTATATTGTTTCAGGCAGTTTGTCTCCCACAAGTTCGAGGCATGCATATTTTAATGTCTATTGCAGAAGCTTTATGGTAACATTTTTCATTATTTCCTTAAAATATTTTTCATCTTCTGATTGAATGGCTTTTTAAGGTTCTCAAACAATCATTACATCGTTTAAAGCTTTAGACAATTCTTGATGTTTGCTTTGTAGTACTTAACTTAATTATTTAGTATATAAGAAGCAAGTAACAGTTACTTCAAGAAAGACAAGAAAATCACTCTTGGTTATAGCACTTACATATAACAACGCTTTGGTTGAGGTTTCAGGATTTGTATCATATTTTTCAAGATGTTCTAGAGTAGCAATTATATAAATGTAAAATTCTTTGAAAGTAGTAAGTGAATCATGTTGATCGACCCATTGTATTTTACAAAGTTTTTTCAATTTTGTTTTTTTTTTCTACTTTTATTGGAATTACTATATTCATTAAAATCACCTTAATGTAACCTTAATTCCATGGCTATAGATAATAAATACAATTTTCTATCATTTTGAGTGCAACAAGTCCCAAACCCTATATATTACTATCAAAGGTAGTTAAGTAGACAATACAACTCATAAAATATTTAAAATTATAACACACATTATATTAAAACTTAAAACTAAACAATTTATATTAAATAAAATAAAATAATTTATTGCTTGGTTCTAGCAGCTAACTTGATTTTAAGTAAGGTAGGGAATAATATAGTACTAACTGCGATAATAATCATGAAACCCTAAGTTAATATTTAGTTCAGATTTGGTAACTAAGCTGTATTCAACTAGATATACTTAATACAAAATTTAACAAAAATTTAACTTATTATTCTGTCTTTTTATTTTATCAGCTTTAGCTGTAGCCCATGGCTTCAAAACAAACTTCCTTCTATCTCTGTCTTAAGCTACTTCATTAGCATTGTCTATATCTCTTATTGTCTTAGTTCTATCTTGCTTTTATTAATCTATCTCTACTTTGATTTTTGGATCAATCTCTTTTCCTGAGAAGTTGAGTTTAGTACACTATTTGCAGTTAATTTAGTCCTTAATAAATGACCGAGTCAACTCAGTTTCTTGTGAAGTATTTCAGCTATTATGATCAGTTTTCTGAATAATCCTGTACTTTAATGTTAGATCGAATTTCATATGCTTGAGTATCTTCATTTTTTTTTTTAGTCCGTAAATCCTTCTAAGGAATCTTTTCAAATCGAAGCCATGTATCACATGCATACATTATCATTGGTCTTGCTAATATTAGCATCCCTAATATTTCATAATTTTTCAATTTTTAAAACGTTATTTAAATATATTACGTACCTTTGAGTCATTTGATTGATCAGTCAGTAAGAAAATAGTTGTTATGCACACCAATTGAAAAACTGCGACTATGTATAAACCATAACGGATTACAACATCAAATATTTCATCAGAGTCTTCCATTTCAAACATTCTAATAACTATAACAAATTATTATGTTAACAACAAAAATAATCTATACATTATTTAATAAATGGATAAAATTACTTCCGCCTTACCAATTTTTTATTTCTATTGTTGTTTAAAATATAAAAAGTATGAAATTAAATAACACAGCCTTTTTAAAACTAGATTACCACCTAAGTTAGTTTATAATTCAAAATAATATAATATGTATCAAATGCTTAAAAAAAATATACATTAATGATTTGGATTTACATTATAAAACTAATCTTAACTTAACATACTAGTTAGTACCAATAAATTAACTAACGTGTATATATAGTTATTGTAAATAATGTTTTATAGAAGGAAATTGCAAATACTTTTGATATCTCTTTAATATTGTAAGTAGAAGAAATAATACATTATAAATTCATATAAGGAAGCCATGACTTCAATAATCAATTGATCATAGATAAGAAATTGTATTATACAAAAAACATTTAATGGTTATTGATTTTTACACAAGGAAATTCCTCTGTTTTTATAACTTTGTTATCAACAAGCTCAGTGACTATCAGTTGATAATTAGATCTGCGTTGGGAGTTCGGTATCAAAAACATAATATAATTGTCTTTTATAGATAGCCGACTACAACAGCTATGCAATGTTTTGAGGTTGTTCTCGATACCGCCATTTGCCTATACGAAAATATTTTCATTTTTATGTGATACCGCTTATTGATAAAGATAATAATATTTTGATTAGTCAATCGTATTAAACTATTTTTTTTATTCGAAAAATAAAAACTGAACTACCTATTAAATATAATGTTATTAAAATGGTTTATTAGTGTGCTGTGTATGGTTGTTATAAACGTCATAGCAAATCTGGTAATATTCAATCACCAAAAACCCAACATATATTTCTATACCTGCTTAAGTTGTGAAAATGTATCTATATTAAGATTATTTCTTTAATATGTATTTATATTAAAATGACTACATAAATTAGTAATAATAACTCAGTAAAAAAGTTTCATAAAATTCGTTTACATTCGTTTTCAAAAACATAATATGTTTAGTATATTATACTAAATCAATTCATATTATTAGCAAACTTCACAAACTAACAAAAAAAATTTTATTTAGCAATAATAAATAAAATTTAATGAAAGCTGTCCTAGGATGAGAACGGGTGCAGCCACTGTTTTAGGATAAAATAATCTCCGCAAATAAATTGCCAAAGCAATTATACTGTCAAGTTATATGTACAAAATAAATTTTAGAATATTATATTTTGAACAACTACATCTAATAAAAAACTTGCAATCTTTTTGGTGTATGTAGTTATAACCATTAAAACATGTTTTATTTTTTCCTTGTGGGGATTTAATTATTTCCATAGCTTAAATTAAAATAAACGTGTAAATTGTATACTAATATACCTTAGTAAAACGAATATAATGAAAAAAAAACTGTGCTGTACTGGGTTGGTATCTATGGTCAAAACGTATATAGATGACTATAGTTTCTTTCCAATTATGATTTCTTATATGTACTGTCTTCATTATCGTACCGTTTACGTCTACAGTGGATTACGTTTTCGATGTATACAAGTTTTGTTTGTTCTTGTGAACAGCCACGATTTTTTTTTCTTTAGCATCATACGTAATTCATAGGTATTTTTTATTGCTTAACAATCATGTAACTAATTCATAAAAGTTTAAACTGAAAATTAAAGAAAAAATATTTTTAAATATTTAAGGGCAATAACGGTTAACTGCAGTGTTTTGATGGAGATTAAAACGAAAAATCCAAGACAACGTTTTTATTACACATGTTTAGGACGGGTAACGCCGGACGGGACAGCTAGTATATTATAAACGTCTATATTTCAATCGAGATATAGTTATATTTCCACAATTATCGCCATCTTAAAATTGTATTGATTGTCTTTTACCTATATATATATAGTATTCTAGAATATTTTTGTCATTTTTATTTTATTTTATCATATCGACGAGGAGTGTGGGCACGTTGCGATATAATTAATCTCGATATTGATTCTCTCGTAAGAGAAAAATAATGTCAAAAATCGCTTTGATTTTAGTTTAACTTTAACCACATGTTTATAAATCAAAAACAATTTTTTCTTCTTTTTTTATAAAAAATTATTTCTTTAATCTTCTTGTATAATATGTATGGTATGGGTATATATATTGGTCATATGTATATAATAGGTGTCTATTTGTTTTATTTTTACCTTTATATTAGTTTAGTGGGCCTCAAAGTTTTGTTTTTAAAATTGATAGTCCACAACTAAAAAGGTTGGAGCCGCTGTTTTAAACTGTGGTATCCATTATCCACCTAGTACTTTATTTCTTCTGGTACTTAAAATCCAATAGTTATCAGCAAGAATTAAATTGAAGTATTTAATGACAATGTTTGAATTTTACCTTTAAACAATATATAAAATAAAAAATAAATTGAAAAACCAGTTTTACCATAAATTAGTGTTTTTTAAACCATGTCTACTTGCTAGGTCTCTTATCAATTTTTCATGATAGCAAGATTTTCAGTAGAAAAATTGTTCAGTCAGAAAAAAGAAGTAAACACATAGTAAAACAATACTTTCCTCACTTCACTTAAAATCTAAAAGAGAAAGCACACGTAGTAGTAATAATAATGTCCTAGTTTCGCTCAGTATCTAAAATAATATAAAGGCGTCCCAGAAAGATATACTCCTTGAAAATCTCTGGAAATAATAAATCAAATGTTTTTATTTTTAAGTAAACAAATTAAAAGAATAACTTTATTTTATTATTTTCTGAAAATTTTAATGTATCACACATTTATATCTGATGAACAGTTTCTAAGGGTGTATCTCCACTGGCATGTGATTTATATTCAGTTTTCAAGTTTATGTATGATTGTTTGGCTACCAATACACGTAAATTGAATTGGTAACTAAGAACACTATAAGGTATTAATGCAAGTAAAACGAAGACAAAAAAAAGTTGGTTAAAAATAATATTTATAAACTATTACTAATACTGAAAATAGTAATGGACAATGAGGTGTTATTAACAATATTCTAGGGCAAACAAAAATATTATACAATTTAACAAGATAATATTTAAGGTCAACCTATCTAATTTTATAAATGTAAAAATTCAGCACAATTTAAAAAAATAACTAGTACATTTTGCACATAGTTAATAAACCTATACACTATTGATTTTAGGTACAATATAGAATTTGTTAACTTTTGTTTCAACTCAAAAGTTAAATGAATTATTAAAAAAAAAATATATATAAATAATTAATAAGGAAGACATAATTTTGTTTATACTAATCAATTTAATAATTTAAATAAATCAACGGATACAATTTATTGTTAATAGGTATTTTTTAAAATAATTATAACAAAAAAGTATTTTTTTGGCAAATTGGATTGTATTAAAAAAAACTTACTTTTGCGGGTGAACAGAATGGGGATATATACATTTAAAATTAATATTTAGGTTTACAATAACCCATGTCTTGAGTGTAAAAAATGATTGTAACAAAAATGTAAACATAAAAAAAAAAAAAACATAAATAAACCTTAAGAATAATCGTTAAGTATAATATATTGTGTATATTAAGTTTACATAATATGGTATAAACAAGTAAAAATAAAACTCTTATATCAAGTTTGTATTATTTGATGTTCAACATGATTGAAAAAAGCTCAATATTTAAACAATGTTACAAAACTTAATCAAATAAGTAAATAAATATTAAAATTGTTATGGGTAGGTTGAAAATCATACAAATTTCAGTTATTTATACTTATTGATTTAAATTATAAATGAATTGTAGAAATATTAATTTTCTGAATGGAAAGAAATTATTTAGTCACCACCTAGGTAGGGTAGTACATGTTTCATTTTGTTACACCAGTAAAATTACTTATGTACAAAAAACGCATTAAAGTGAAGTATACTTTGATAATCAGTTATTTTCATACTATACTAAATAAATAAAATTAATACATAATATAAAATTTTGGAAAACTATAAGTAATATTTATTATTAATAATAATAATTTGTTATGCCTAAACATTATGTACAAAGTGTTTAAATTGGAAAATACTTTAGAATATATGAACAGTGGGGGGGCACCAACAATATGATGGCACATATTTATGTATGCGGCTAGATTCTAAAATAATTTGTCTTTACATTAAGACAACCAAATCATTGTTATCATAAATTTCTTCTTTCTTTATATTAGTATTATAAAATAAGGAATCATAACGATTCCCTTTAATACTGTCTAAAATATATACTTAACAAAAATTAATCTCAACAAATAATAGTATTATTATAATTTCATTCAAATCGATTTCCAATAATTAGTACACATTAATAATATAATGTAACTCAGACCAAACTGCTTTAAATAAAAATCAATTGGCATTTAACAATCTTAATACAAGTCTTGTTCTCCTTTAATGAAAAACTATTTAAAATTTAAATTGCCTTCAATTTCATAGGTGATCAAAAAACCAATACAATAATGATATGATTCAAAAAGTTATCAGTTTGGTATAAGTCTCACTAATAATATAATTTTATATAATATATATGTATGTAAGTTTTTTTTTAAATTTTACATTTATTTGGGAAGACAAATAAAAGGTAAATGAAATTAAAAATTTTAGCTGCTTATAATTCAAAATAAAATAAAATAGGTTTTTTTTACAATTTTTTTTTTTTTGGAAAGTCATGGTAGATTAAAATAAAAATTGTTTTATAATATAAATAATTTATAATGGATTATTAGATAATGTATGTATCTATGTATCTATGTATCTATGTGTATATATATATATAAATATATATACATAAATGTATTTTTGACTAGAAGTCATATTAGCTCTTGTTTTTTTAATAATTTAAAATGTGAATGGTTTTTAGTGGAAGGAAGTGATCATACAATATTATTATGATAACGTATACTATGTTCATAGGCTCAATTGAAAACCAATTTACGAATATGTAATGTGTACTCATGCATAAAATTCACGATGTGTAGATTTAAGATATGGGTTTGTAGCTGGTGAACGTTTGGTTTCTTCTAAGGGATATGAACCTTCATCCTTTTTACGCATCCTATACACAATGAACATAACTACTAGAATTGCACACAATAATCCCACAACTGCACCTCCAATAACAGCTGAAACATACATAATATAATAAATTAAAAAATTGCATGACTTTATTTATCAAAGAATTTTTTTTCACCTGCAAGTATGCCAGGCTGGGCGAAAAATGAAGAAGTTCGTTCAGGATGGCTGTTGGGACTAATGTAAACTCCATTACCAGAATGCTCATCAATAGTATTAGAAGGAGGTGATGGAACAGTACTTGTAATTGTTTGAGGTACATCGGGTGCAATAGTTGGTGGATTAATATTGTCTTCAATGATGTTTGTTTTAGGCTACATAAAAGTAAAACAAAATTGTAAAAAAAAAAACATATACATTTTTAATAATAGCTATGATTAGAAATAAATATATAGGTACTACAATAGTATAACATACAGAAAATATTGTAATATATTTATATTATTTATACAAGGTTTAACACAAAAATAACAAGATATTTTCAATAACCTCAAACTATTAAGATTGTATACATAGTGATCATTTAAATATTATTATAAAACAATTATCTATGTATAAATGAATTAATTACATTTTTTCTTATATTTATTTGTCTTGCAATTAGTAAATGTTCAATAATTTTACAGAAGTAATATTAAAATCAGAAATTGAATGTGTTAATATTCAATTTCTTGTGAAATTAAAGAAAACTGTCGTGGCTTCATTTTGAATGTTAAATTTAGTTTATGCATATTACGAGCACATATTTTTTTTATGATATTGATGGTTTTATAGTTTTTGCTATTGGAAGAAGACATTAAAGATTGTCCTAGCACGTCTTTTTCTAACCATATCTTTGTCAAAAAAAAATTATGGTAAAAACGACAGAATCATTTGGAAAATGTTCAATCAGTCGATCAATGTAATAATTGTAAAAATAATTTTTTAAATTTAGAAATGTGTTAGAAAGAAACGGATTGTATCTGTGGAAGAATGGCTGAGTTTTTCATCAAGACAATGTTTTTGCTAACAATGCAATTAATATTAAAAGTATTTAAATGAAAAGAAAACTATTTATATTTCAACACCCCCCTTTCTAATCATTAGACTTCACTCCTCGTGACTTCTATCTATTTTCGAAATGTTAAAACTTCACTGAAAGAAACATATTAACAAATGGTTGATGACATAAAAATAAAAACTGTAGAAATGTATGCAATTGTATGTAGATGCTGAAGAAACTACATAGCTTTTTTTTCCCTACAAAATCCAAGACTTGAAACATGATTTTGGTGGTACAAATGTTAAATAATAATGAATCATTAATTTTCTATGTTGTTTTGATAATCTAAATTGTTTTAATTGCTACTATTAAATAATACCAGTTTTCTATGAAAAATAATTTTTTTTTTTTTAATAACTTCCAAAAATTGTAGAAACGTATAATCGATGATTAGTAAATATTTGTAACAAACATTCTTTTGGAATTTTTTTTTTTTTTATAAAATGACTATCTTGAATTTCGTAAAAACAATTTTATATTTTTAGATTTGAAAAAAGATACAAAATTGTTATTATAGTGCAAGAAAAAAAAACTTAAAAATATTGAACAGAACAAAAATCATTACATTTTTCAAATCTCCGTGTGACACCCTGTATAGTAAATGTGAATATGTATTTTACTTTTAAGTGTCAGTTAGCACATTATAATTAAAATTGTTAATGTAAACAATTTTATTGAAGAAGAAAAAAAAACACCTACAAGCAAACAATAAAAATATTTCAGATAAGCATTGCAAAATAATTAAAAATATGCAATTCATCACATAAGTTTAATATATAACATATTAATAATATATTAAAAGGTCCTAATGGACATCAAAGAAGTAAGATTTAAATAGTACAACAAATTAAATTAATATATGTTTACACAGGATCATAAAACTTTTTGGAATGTGTATAAATGCAAATACTTATTATAAAGGCTAAAATTATAAATTATTATAAAATCAGAATATAATAGAATAAAACCAACAAGTATGCATATTTATTATTTATATAACACAACTCACAAGAGTAAAATTTATAGTTAAAATTTAATTACAAATTAATTATTTACTTTTTAAAGAAAAAAATAATATTTTTGAATCATTTAAGCACCTACTATTATTATTATTATTCATAATTAAATACTTATGTCAATAAAAGTATTTAATATAATAAGAATAATTATAGAATTTACCAGACAGAAAAAAAATATAATCCTAACAGTAGACACCATGTCATAATCGAACAATAGCCTACTTGTTAAACAAATAAATATTATGCTTAACAGTGGTTACCTACTAAATGTAGTAATGATAATTTTATATAACATCATCAATGTTTGATTTATATAAAAAAAAAGATTAGAAATGTTAACCAGAATTAAAAAAATAAACACATGGAGTTACCTACAACTATAATAAATTCCTACATAACATTGATGTTAATAAATATTTTATAGAATATATAGTTTATTATAAAATAACAATAGCTTGATTACCTACATAGTTATGTATATTTTATCTAACACTTTTATTAGAACTAATTATTAAGAATTTGAATTTATTTAGATATAATAATTATAAAGTATTGATTTACTAAAAAAGAATTCTGATTGAGTTTTAAAAAAAAAAGATATGTATGCCACTATTGAAGGTGAAAAGTTGGGAATATAGGATATTTATTTAATTTATATCTGTACACAACAATGTTTATTTAAACATGTTTTTAAATGTCGTGGTGTTTATGATTTAAACAATTTAAACTTAAATGTAAAATTATAATATTATGTTAAAATATTCAAGCATTTAAAATGATAAATAATTTTTTCAAATAAAATAGAAGATATCAAATACCTATAAATAGCTTAAAAAATACCAGAATGTTTTGAACATTAACCACATCTAAAAAGTCAATATAAATATTCTGTAAAAATATCAAGTTTCTTTCTACATTATTTTTAATCAAATTATAGTTATAAAAAAAAAAATTAAAAATAATAATACCGTTATTATATGTACTTTCATATTTAACTATACAGAGTGTAACAAAACTATTTGACATTTTTACATTTCTTAAAAGATTACTAGAAAAAAATGAAAATAAACAAGTGACTACATTATTGTACCAACTACACAAAATTTGCTGGTAGAAGTTGTTTACAGACCAAAAAATAATAAAATAAAAAGCACACATTATAAAACTAATACATTCCTCGTTGCCAATGTATTTTGATATAAATTGACTGAAATATTATTGCAATGTAAATTATAATAAAATTGTCAAGATGACCATTTGTATCAAAATCATAATAAGTATAATATTATTAAGGCTGGGTTGATAATATCGGTATATCAAGATCAATTTTTTTTTTTTTGAAACAATGCAAGTTGCATATAATTTGTATGCAATTATAACAATAATGCCAATGTGTATTTATTGGTATGTGATAATCTGATAAATATTAAATAAGTTTTTGAAAATGCTTTAATTATTATAATATAATCAATTATCATTTCAGAAATCCAAGATGTTTTGATATGTTACAAAATTTAATATTTATATTGGTTTATGGGTCCAAAGAAAAAAACTATTGGCCCAGCACTAAATATTATAATTCCAATTTCAAAGTTTTCAATTTGAATGATTAATATGTAATAACTCATAATCCATTGACTTTATACAAAAATGAGAGAAACTTAGAGAATGACAATAAATATTTTAAAATATATGCAATGGAAATCATTTGTTTTTTCAACTAGTAGAAGAAAGGGTTAATAATTTTAAAATTATTTATTTATATCTCGGAAATTAATCACTGGTTCATGAACCATTAATTTATGATAAAGTAATTAATATAATCAAGAATTTTTTGTCTTTTTCTTACAGAAAAACACATTGTGACATTTTATTTTAAATAATACAAAGAAATTTGATATAAGTATATAATTACACACAAGTGATTATATAAAAGTGATTTAAGTTATTGCTTTATACTTGATTTTCATTTAGGTATAACAGTTTAAATTATTTCAAGAGATAATTGTATTATTTCTGGTATTAACTGGTATTCTAATATTATTAGAATACTAAAACAGTAACTTTATTTCTATAGAAAGTGTTTAACAATATACCTACCTAGTTTAATTTTTTTATTTGACTAATATTGGAGGTAAAACAAATTAAATAAACATACCAGATCAGGAATTACAGGTTCTTCTTCATAACTTTCAGTTGTTGTGGTTGTAGTTGATGTTGTTGATGTTGATGTAGAAGCTACAGGACTACCTTTGTGTGCCTTTTCAAATTCTTCACCATCTTCACCATCTTCTTCTTCTTCTTCTTCTTCTTCTTCTTCTTCAATATCATCTTCATCTTCCTCGTCATCAGTATCAAGTTTTTCATTATTAGATTTAACCAGTGCATCTTCATCATCTGGTCCATAACCTGAACCACTAGATTCCATATCCTCAGCACCTGTTCCTTTAGATGATGCACCCATACCACTTCCTTCTTCGCCCAGCATCATATCATCAGGTTCTGATTTATCAGTACCGCCATCATCTGAATCAGTCTCATCATCAATAAATAATTCATCTTTTAAAGATGGTTTAGATGACTGGCTGGTGGTAGGATTAGCCAATGAAACATTTTTATTAGGTTCTGCTAGCACCTAGAAACAAATAATAATAAAAAAAAAGCTTTATTTATTTATTTGTAATAAATTAACGCCAATCAGGCAATTTAGACAGGAGTATTTTACTAATTAATAACATTTAAATGATCATTATTATAATAATAATAAAAAAATAATTAAAAAGGATAGACATACTTTGTACGTGGGGCCACTCTTGTAGGTTGGAAGTTGGGAAAGTAGGCTACAGACGGAAATTTAATATATATATGTAAAGCCATGATAAACCATTTCTAACGAAAAAACGATTCTGAGCAGAGTTTAATTGATAATGTTGCTTTGTCAACAATACAATACACGATATATATATATATATGTATGTCATATAATGGTAAAATGATTAAAACAAACAATGTGCGTTTTCATGACAACAATGATTGTTTAAAAAATATTAAAATAATACAAATTTAATAATAACAAAAAAATAAAAAATAAAAATAGTTGCCAATGACAACCTTATTTTTAGTCTTTCAATCTTTTTTAATCTAAAGACTAAAATTTTCCACATTATCTTGAATATTAATGAGAATTTCAAAAAATGGCCTCTCTAAAGTGCCAACCAAAGAAAATTTATTTTCAGAAAATGTGCTAAACTTGATAATCAGAGTATGCTCTGATAGAGTGTTCACATAAAAAAAAAAAAATAAGCATTATTGTAAAACCAATAAATTTCTTGTTCCACTCAGAATCTAAAATCATAATACTGAAATTAAAAATTAAAAATCATGTTATTGATTTAAAAAAAACTTACAAAAGTGAAATGTTCTTTTTTAAAATTGACTAAACAAATCTATCTAGATATTACAAAAAAAGTTTTGTTAACTTAACAGAAATATACAACTGATCAAATTTTATTTAGAACTTTTGAATGTTTGACAATAAATTAATTGAATGTTTTATTATGTTTGAATTAAAGTACAAACATTGTAGTATGTCAATAGTTCATATCAGCCAATGAAAAAAATATTCATTCATTACTTTTTTTTTCCAGATTTTGGTAACCAATATTGATTTACATAGTATTTAATAAAATAATTTATTTTATTGAGTACTGCAATTTTAATATTTCTCAATGAAAATAAAAAAATAGCAATACAATTTTTATTCTAGGAGTAAAGGGTAGAATAAATGAGTACATATACATTAAGAAGATACTGTGAACATTTTTAGAGAACAAGAAACAATGAGATTGTCAAAAGGATATGAGATTAAGAAATGAGATAAAGACTATTAGGGGAGATTTAAGAGTATATGAAATAAATGAGCAAGTGATGGAGATATGTAGAGGGTAAAAATAAAAGTAGCAGACCCTATGACCTACATGTGTGGGATAATTATACATTTTGACTGTGACAAGGAACCACATTAAACTAGATAAATTACATTTTTTGATGAAATTGGTTAAAATAGACAGAATTTAATTTAAATTGGGTAATGCATCTAACATCTAATAAGATTAACTAACCTTTTCTATGTCCCTACAACATCTACAAATTTTTGTATGCAAATGACACAATTCAAATTATGAAAGCCTTTAATAAAAATATAATGTTTTAATTAATTGTCTATCTTTTAATAAGTGTAGATATAATGTTTTGTAACCCTAATTATTTACAATTTAGGTAGATTTTGATATATTGCCCGTTAGTTAGACTGAGACAACATACACGAGTATAATGTCCTTTTAACATCATTATGTTTTATTACACGAATGGTATCATGTTAGTGTTACGACAACATTGTCATTTTTTTTTTCTTGTGAATAATTTAATGAACTTAGAATAGTGAAACAAAGATAAAAATATTTATCTAGTTATGTCCTACAAAAATTTGCTTATCAATAGCGATTTTCATTCAAACTTGCTAATTAAAAACAAAACATTTTTTAGTAAATGCATATATTATAAAATGTCCATATTACCAAAAACAAACATATTTTATTTAAATAAATAATTTCATAAAAAATTATGACACTGTTAGTATCGTGTGAGTGGGAACTAACATAATCAATAATGGGGAATTTAACTACTCATAAAATTTACAAATAGAAGTTTATAATTTGTTTTTGTAGCTATTTTATTAAAAGATATATTATAAGATTATGTCAATAAGAGGTCCATGACGTTTCAAAACAATATTATTTTATTTGAACAAGTGGTTCCTAATATAAGTTTAATGCTCAGTTTAATGTTAGCGAAACGCTATCATCGATGCCTATGATGAGTTAAGAGTAACAAAAATAAATAAATTAGGTACTTATTTGTAAAAAATGTATAATTTTAACTCAACACATATCAATTTAAAATAAATAAGAAAAATTAAATTAAAAAAAGCAAAAAAGAACCAATTATTTAGTTTAAAAAATATTGAGATGTACACTTTTTAATTATTATTTATTAAAATATAAAGTACATTGTTAATGTTAGATACCTAAATATTCAGACAAATATTCATTAAACAAAAATTTGGAATTTGAATTATAATGTCAAACATACTAAATAACATTTTTTTCTTTAATTCTATCACTGGTTCTAATTTATTAATTGTTAGTGTAATTGCACATGAGTTAATTAAAACTTAACAACTATAAAGTATGTTTATTTATTATCAAAGAGTTAAGAATAATATTATTTACAGTAATTAACTAATTAATATGACAATTTTTATTTTATGAATGATTGTTTGTTATATATTTAAATAGTATAGTCATTCCTCAATGTTTTTTTGTTGTTATTTACAAATTAATCATATACATTGGCTTACACACCTACACTTGATTTTTATCAATTTGAATAAAAATGAGTAGATAATATTAACTAGATCGATAGGTAGGTAGTTACTAAAAATTAATTAATAAATAATACCTATACATTATTTATCAAAATATACACTTACAAAATGATTAATTCTAAAAAATTTACTAATTGCAATAATATGAAAAGTTTTAGTAAAAATGCTACAATTTTTTATTTTTTTTAATCACTTGTGCACATTGAAAAATTAGATATAGCTTTTTTAGTAAATAAAAATAACATTATAATAAATAGTATAACATTTTAAAATATATAAGCAATTAAAAGTGTATATTTCCCAAATATTGTATAGTTGATTAGGTAACTAAAATGATTTAGAGTTGAAATGAGCAATTCAAGTAATGCAAGGATAAATATTTCCAGACAAATTAACTCTATTTTTCTTATTGGATTACTCTGTACAGATTTATACCCATAAACATTTTGCATATACCAACACTAGTTTGATAATAACAAATGCAGTTTAATAGATGCTGAATCAATAAAATTATGAAATAATGTAAATACTCGGTAAATAGTAACAGTTTTCAATAATAATATTTGATTTGGGAAATTATACAATTTCCAAAATAAAGCACCTATACATTCAATTATTTAATAGTAGTTTTTGTAGGTACGCACATAGTAGTAACTAAACATATTAATAAATAAAATTGTAATTCACGAAAGGTAAATGACCTATGAACATAATTAAAATGTTCTCATTAAATTATAATAAATAGGAAGGTACAATCATTATTGCATAATAGGTATACAAAAATATATTTTGTACACTTTTTATTTATTTTTTTATGAGTAAAAGGTCAAACTGATGGTTATTGAGTAGTGAAAATATTAATAAACACATAGATATGGCTAATTTATCTGATATTTTAAATTATTTACTAAATGAAACATTGTTTATGGAAATGATGTATAATCAGACCACAGTAAAATATTAAATATATATATATATATCTATAAATAGAGAATAGATCCAACATAGATGCCTTGATTAATTATCAACTCTTATTGACCTTACAGGGAATCATAAAATTACCATCAAGTTATAACTTAGCTACCTGTTGGCTGATTGTAAGCTTAATGGATAATTAGTTTACGATTACAAAAAGTTGCAATGGATATGCAAAGTATTTCAAATTAACTACTTAGGTTTTTCTCAAAACTCAAGAAAACATTGGATGATCAAAATATAATAAAAATTAGTCTCGTTTCAACATACTCAGTATTTAATGCACGTTGTTCAGAAATACTGATCAACCAGTAAGACAAACGATTATAAAGTGGATATGTTGTGTTGTACTTACGTTATTTGTGCAAAAAACAAACACCAGGCAAACCACCGAGCAAAGGAATTTTGGTTCCATGGTAGTGATGATCATGCAGTATGTCAACTGCTTTGATGCGGTGAAAACAATTCAGTGGCGGCCAATGTTCCTGAAATCCGTATAATACTCGATAATATTATATAAAGACGGTGCTGCCTACGGAACGATAAGAAACGATACAGCCACGGAGTTCGTGGGGATGACGGCGGCGGATCGCGTTGATATTGTCATGGACACGATTGGTGTGTGGCCGTGTGGCGATTAAACCAATTCGTGTGTGCGCGAAAAGGGTGTAGGTATTGAACGGACCGACGGAACTTACAGAACAACGAGTTAGTGACACAAAGGACAACGAAATGCAATAAATTAATGCGGTTGTGTATATGATTATTATTATAAGAGTTTTTGCGGTTGAATGGAATGTCAATCTTAATCAATGAACGAAGAGGTGGTTTTTTTTTCCAATTTTTTTTTCTGTTTACCCTCTCTCCGTCAAACGACGTACTCGTAAGCACGCACACACACGATATCTTTCTCGCACTCTCCGACTGTCTCACTCTATCCGTACGTGGTCTTCGTCTTCACTTCCTGACGCGTACACTCGGAGTAGAAGCAGCACCACCAACACGGCAACACCGACACACCATAGAATAAAGATAAAACACTGAGCAACACCAGCGCCGACACCAACAGATGCAGACAACAGACGGCAGGCACCACGATATACGGCGGCGGCGGTGGTGTACGGATGTACGGCGGTGGCAATAGTATTTTGGTATTTAACCAGTTAGGACGGGACGGTCGTAGTGGTTGGCACCACGACGGCGCTGTCCCCACCGCGGACCGTGCCCCGCCCCGTTGATGCACGCCTGACGACGAGACGCATATACGTCACACGCGCTGCCGACGCCAAAGCCTTCGCGTATTACCAATTTTTCCATTGTGCTCTGCCGCCTGTGACCCATATGCGGCGCCCGTGTGTGCGCGACCACTGCGAACCCCTGTAGGCAGTGTGAGTATTCCGGAGCAAACAGAAAACGAATGTATTATGAATTATAAAATATTATATTATGATTATATTATTATTATGATATTATTGTTAAACGTCGACGTCCATATTATTAAATATGCCTAGAACACCACGTTCGACCGTCGTTCAGGTAATCTTGTTTTTCCGTCCTCTTTTGCTGTCATTTGCCCTCGTACGTAGCGATTTTCGTCACGGTACATCTTCAAACCATTGAATATTAAATATTAATAAATGTACAACATTATTATTTGTTATTACGGAGGATACGTGTAACGCAAATCTTACGGTGTATGTCCTTGACGGGCATTGTTTGTTTTACGATCTCGACTAGTGATCCTGATTTCGTAATTTATCTACCTACCTACCTGTCGGTAAACAAGTTTACATAGCTCTTCGCGCGCACGTGACTAAAAGCCGAAATCGCCGTAAAATTATTAATTTTTCAAGACCTCGGTCCACGACTATCGGTACAAAATGTATACAATGTTAAACGTAGGTATTGAATATTGTACGCATTGTAATTTTTTGAAAAAATACAAATGGCTGACGTTAAAATTTGTATAGAAAAAAAATTGAATTTTAAATACATTATAATATACTTTATAAATATATACATTACTTGTACAATTTTAAGTACCCGCATGTTAACGCTACCTAAAAAAATAATGAATCTGTATTATGATATAGATAATAAATTAGATTGCCAATTTTAGTTATAAGACGTGTAGTCAGTGGCGTCATTTACGGGATACGAGGGTATGCAAATCTAATTCGTGAATTTATTTTAACACATTTAAAATAAGTATGCGTGTGCAGATAATTTCATAGAATTTCCAGAATAATACAATCAATTGTAAAAAAAAAATGTTTTGCGATTTTATCACAATAATTTATCGACAATCCCGTAGATAGATAGAATATGCTTAATTTTGAACGTTCCTCAACTATAATAAACAATATCTTTCCAATGTATTTTTGGGTTTGATAACCCACAAACGATCCGGACGCCGAGATTGCACCGCGTTTCGTTTTCATTTTATTTACGTTCTTTCATAATTTGTGCCTTCAACCTTGTACTAGTTACCTACGAAAAATTTGATTAATTTATATTTTAAAAATATACAATTTTATAATTTATTTCATACAATTTGTATAAAAAGTTAGTTATGTTCGATACTGAATAATTTATTGTTGAGTGTGTCGAATGAAGAATCTATAATATAAATCCTACTGATTTTGCTGTTGGAATTCTCATCCATTTGAAAGAGCACTTCCTGATCCGCTTTAGTTTTCAAAAATTTAAAAAACCATATTCGAATTTTTGAAAATCTATTTGTTGTAGAAATAGAAACTTTACAAACGGAGATTCAGCTTGAAGTCATCGAGCTCACATCAAATAACCATTAAAAAAACTATTTCAGAGAAAATACACTTAAACAATTTTATGCCATGTTGCCAGAGGAGGCTTTTACAAATATGAAAAAATATGTACCTGAAATAAATTTCAATATTTAGCTCCATTTACTTATGTGAACAGACGTTTTCAAAAATTAAATACGCCTAATCTTATTTAATAGACGAACATTTGCAAGCGTTGTTGTTGATTGGAACTACAAAGTTTGATGCAAACTGAAAAATGATTTTGAGCGGAGCTCGGTCAATAGTATTGCTCAGGGGCATCTTCGGGTCAATTCCACGGGGGGGGGAGAGGGCGAAGATTTTTTACTCTTGAATATCACCGTTTTGGCCAACAAAACCTTAAAACCTTTATGTCTGATGTTATTTCAACTTATATTAGCTAAGAAGACTTCAGATATATTGTACAAATAAATTTTACTGTTTTAGTGAAATTTATTTTTTTCACATTAAATAAATAATAAATAATAATTAAACTAATGATAGTATGAATAACAAAAAAAAAAAAAATAATAATTAATAAAAGTTAGATGACCAAGTCCAAAATACTTTTATTTTAAGCAGCGTTTTGCAAGCAGTTTGATCAACAATATTTTCTATAATGTTTTCATTTCGATAAATATTTAAAAATGATACGCCAGTTAGTCTCTGCTCAAAATTTCTTTTTTTCCACAAAGTACAACTTTTAATGAACTTCATGTTAAATTATCAAACATTTCTGTTTGGTTTAACCATTTTATTCACAGAGTACCTACCGACTAAAAATTACGTACAAAAACTCGCAAAATTAAAAAGTATAAAAATTGCTGAAAAATGTAACCACGTCAGGAAAATGCAAATATAAGATGTCGGTCCAAATTTCAAGTCTACGAATATTGTTTACTGAAATAAAACAAAAATCAAAATTGAAAATAATGAAAGCATTATTTTCGTAAATTTTTATGTTTTTCTTAAGTTTTATTCTGGTGAAATGAAAATTGCTTGGAAAATAAAAAATTAATCTTCCTAGAGGAACCATTCATTCAATATGACAATATTTACACACACATATTGAAGCAAGATTTCTGGTCTAAATTTTTGTCACAGTATATAAAAAAAAAAAAAATCATAATTGTAAATCCAATAGGTACATTCTTCGCTAAATTCAGAATCTAAAATTTAAATTAGATTAATCATTTCCAATTTTAATTCTAAAAATATATTGTTTTATTATATCTTTGCAAATTGATTGTTCCCACTTAGTTCTTATAAATGAGAGGTGTTTTATTCTTGATTTAATGAAAGTATTTCCAAGATCCGGAATTATCTTTATGGTATTTGGAACGAATTGCATTTGTACTTAAGAATTATGGATTTTTTTTGTAAAACAAAAAAGAACATGACATGGCTTATGGGGAAGGGGGTTTGGAGATCACCTGCCTCAGGGACGCGGCTAATTAAATAGGTATTCTTGAAAAATAATGGTATAAAAAAACTGTTAAATGTTGAAATCAAGACATTGTAATATTTAATTGTTTATAGTTTACATTAGGTAAATAATTGAGTAGACAATTATAAGTAAAAGATAATTATAATATTAAATAGGTAAATAATATTTAATGAAAAAATAATAATTTATGTCTACCTTCACGTACAGACAAAGAAATTTCTGGCTTTTGAAGTAAATATTATTATATTTCTTCTATATAGGTACTCATTTCAATAAAAGTATTAGAGAAAATAAATAAATTAACACTGAAGACTAAACACATTATGTCAATGGGCAACACACATTTTTAATACTTATTACCTAACTAATTTCATATTTGCAATTATATATTCGCCCATACAATGTAAAAATCACTATTATATTATTCTATGGTTATCTTAGAGTATATCGAAAAAAGATAATAGAAAAATCCTATTATCTAAGCTGAGCACGTCCGGGTGCCATTGACGCACGGCATATAATAATAATGTGCGTTCACCGATAAAGTGATACGCAAAAGTCTATGGTTACCCGGTGGCCGACGAAAATACGTTCGTTTTTGCACAAGTGTTTCCACTCCCGGTTATCAGTATCGCTTTATCTACTCAACCACCCAACAATTTCGCTTATTGCCGATACACATGGTACACGACAACGTAGAGAACAAAATATCGACAATATTTTGTGTTAATGTCTTTACCGCGTACAGGTATTTTCTCTCACAAATCCTCTGTTTTAATTTGAATAAACGCTACAATTTACTTCTAATTTTTCTATATTACTCGTTAATTTGCTAGTCCGATTATATAGACCCAATAAGTATATAATTAGTTACATATTGAAAAAATATAGTAAGAATTGATTTTGGTATTATTATAAACATGCACATAGGTTAAGTTAAATGGTGGTCAAACGTGTTAACGGTCATGGGGATAAGGATAATTTTTTAACAATTATTATTATTTATTTTACATTAATTTTTTTCATAAAAATGTAATGTCAAAAGGCAATCATAATATTATATAAAGATGGTGTTGACTATAGAACGAAAGGATATAATACGGCAAAGGAGTCTGTGGGAATGACGGTATTTATATTGTTATGGACATAATTGATATGTGTCTATATGGTAATCAAACTGATCTGTATGTTCGTAAAATGAGTGTAGATACAGAGTGGACCTAATATCGGCCATACATAATACGTCAACCGGACGTCGGACGTGTCTCCAGTGTACCGGAGCGATCTTCAGTTTTTTTGCGATGGCATCGAATAAGGACGCACTGGCTTTGTTTAGGCCTCGCGTTAATGTTGAAGAAAAATGAAACATAAACAGTGAAAAGGAAGCGTAACAAGTTTTGTAAACATGAGTTATTGAAAAGGTGAACTTAAAGTCATGTCAACTTATTGAAAGAATTAAAATTTGAATCTGAAGTTTTTAAAAACTATCTCAGAATGGACGAGAAAAGATACCTAATATTACTTGCAATGGTTACTCCTATGATAAAAAAAAAAAGATACTGTTATGAGAAATAGTATTTCTGAGTACGAAAGATTATCAGTTACTTTGAGATTCCTCACTACTGACAGAAGTTATGAGGACCATAAATTTTCATCAGTTATTTCACCTCAAGCCCTTGGGAAAATTATTCCTGAAACATTTAAGGCCTTGTATCAAGTTCTTAGAAGAGATTATCTGAAGGTGAGTAACTAAAACACTGTTATTTATTATAATATTTATTAAGAGTAGTATTTATATATATATATTAAGAAAATTAATCAAAACTTTAATTAAACAACAAAAATGTAACTGTCGCATACAAATTATACATTATCAGTATTTAAATTACTAATGAATGTCGCTGCAGAATCTGGAATTGATGGAACTGCCTCTGTTTCATCAGGCTGAATTCCCCGAATTGTAGGTGTTTGCATTTGTGTATAGTAGGTATTGGCTGGGTAACTGTTGTTTAGATGGCTAGTTTGTAATAATTGGGAAATATGCTGTGAATGTTGACTGGAGGGAAAAGGAAGGCCTAAGATTAAAAGGGTGGCCTAGGACTTCCTGAAGAAACAAAACTTACAGGGGTATATGATCTATTGAAAGTACTAGGAAACGATTCATAATGAACCTGTTGTTGATATTGTTGAGCAGGAACATAGCTTCGTTGATTTTGTCTCAAAATATCTCTCATGTTATTGTAGACATGATCGGGAGTGAGGTGTCCTATTTCTGCTTCAAACAGTAAATCATTAATAAGCTTTTCTATGACTAATATTTTGTTGGAATCTAAAGCCCACAGTTTCATCGTCACATTTTTGCCAAAAACATCACAGCGGTCTTCTGTTTAGTCACATTTAAAATGATCTCGTACCGATTCTAATAATTCATGGTATGGTTTCATTTTTCCTTTTTACTTCATCCGGTTTTGGTGGACGTGATGAATAATTATTTTACTATCTTGATTGGGCTTCATTATTGTCAGTTGTTTCACTGTTAACTGTTTCACCATTAGATGAATATTGTTGATTGAAAGCCGAAGATTCTTGAGTGTTGTCTCCCTAAAAAATTTACATGTTAATTTCTTTTATAAGCTAGTTTTTTATGATAGGTCAAATATACGATAATGCTGTTTTTTATATTTCAGTTTCCTACAATCGGAGAAGAATGGAATGAAATAGCAAAGATGTATGAAGAACGATGAAACTTCCTTCATTGTCTTGGTACAATAGAAGGGAAGCACATAGCGATTGTTCCACCGGGAAACTAAAATTCTGAATTACAAATTATTTCACGCCAGACGTGTTATAGAAAATGCTTTTGGGATAATGACATCACAATTTCAGATACTTCATACTCATATAAATTTAGAACCCGAAAATATCGATAAAGTAGTTTAAGCACTCCTGCGCATTGCATAACTTTTTTTATTGAACACTCAAAACAGTCTTATGCATCTCACAAATGTTTCGTATTATTTCTATAATTTCTGAAGGATATAATACACAGAATATAATAACACCGCAAAGATTGTCCGAGAAAATTTTATGAATTATTTCAATTAGGAGGAAACAGTAGCAAGATAATTAAATTAGTTAAACTATGCTAAAATGAGTGAAGTAACTAATTCTAAATAGTTATAAGCTTTTGTGTAATGTTAATAATAATGTGTTTTATTCAATCTAATAAAAATAATTAAAAACAAAAATTTTAATTTTTTTGAATGTTAATACTCATAAAATGTAAACAATTTTACTGACTACTTTATTATGTTAACTGTTATTTTAACAATTGCTCATCTGAATTACTATGTTATTTAGTAGTTCTTTATTGACACTACACATTGGTGAAGTCTATGCTATGTATGCTATATACATTTTACTAACCTCACAACTATTTTCGTCATAGTTATCCAAATTGGATGGAGATTCCCTGGGAGAGCATTGATCATGTAAAAAATAAAATAAATTGTAGTACCACAATTTGACACAGTATACTTCATAAACAGATGTCCTAGACTTTAAAGATTGTTCATGTCTTCTTTTCCTTTCTAACGTTGTTTCTCAAATTATTAGTTTTTCGCATAACCACTGCTTAGTTTGCTTTTGTCTCAATTTCTCTCAGTTTTTATATGAGCAATTTATAAACAGATTCTTTTTTGTCTCGATTATGGTATTCTTTGCTTTTAATTTGCCAAAGACATGGATGAGTTCTAAATATTTTGATACAATTTTCAAGCACTTTAGTTAAATCTGGTGGTGCCATTTTCCCGTGTTGATTTTTTGATACACGTGACAATATGATGCAACAGCCAACAACGACGATGCTATAAAAAAACCAACACGACCGGAGTACATGCATACACGCACAGATACATCGTATGTCACTCGAAATAATTAATTTTCGATCTTGCATCAGCCGCCTGTATAGGTTAAAAAACTGCACAGGTTTTTTCCAACACACGCTCTGGCCTACCTGCGTAGACCTCTCTAGTAGACAGTATCGTGTATGACCAGCATAAGAAACATAGTTTAGAAACAAGGTCCCATCATGTATATCAATCAATATGTACATCAAATTAGATAGGTAACTTCAACTCTATGACCTATATATTGTATTTTCTCAAAGTTGTTTTACTAGAAATCATGCTTAAATCAAAAAATTATGTATTAGGGTAATTATTTTTTAGTACTCCTTATAATTTTCATAACAAATAAAAAAAACTAGTAACTTTTTGTTGATTTCTGGTTACTTTAGTACCAAGGGGAAAAAATAAGACTCTTAATACTCTGTATAGTTGCATACTGATAATTAAATTACTTTAGGGTAATAATTACTATTCCAAAATCATTAAAATATCAAACAAGTAAGCAAAATAAAATAAATACTTTTTTTAAATAAAACAACTGTATTAAATTTTTTGAAAATTATATATTAAAATATGACCATTTTTTCTTTTAATTATTATTAATAATAATTTTAAAATTAAATTTGTATTAATAAGGTCATTTAATAACTACGGATATATAATTACACCTAGTTTAACCTAATACACAAAAAGGGACCAAATTTTTCAGTTAGTTGTAAGTATGGTTTTTAAATAAATAGTTTTATAATGCAAATAACACAGGTTAGTGGTTAGTCTAATAAATAATTTTTTAGACTACCTAAGCCATCTTTTATCCCAAAAACTGAAAAATGTCTATTTAAATTTATCAGTAGGTACTCAAATAAAAAAAAGACTGACATACTTAGCATGATGGGTGAGCTATTGATGTTGGTGAAAAGTTATGAAGGTAGGATATAGAGAGAAATTTAATGTATATATATATATGCAATGATTAATCTTTGCTAACGAAAACGATTCTGAGCAGAGTTACACATGTTCAAAAGATCATAATACTTTTTATTTTCATCAACATTTGATATTAAAATTCATATAAAAATAAAATATTAAACTCAACTTTTTCTTATTGAAATTATAAGTCATACCACCAAGTATCTAGCTGCCGGTTCCCTACTCAAGGTCACTAATATTTTCAAGGTTACCATTTTAAAAAATATATAATATGTTATCAGTTATTTAAATACCATAATATGATGGAACAATAATTATTAACTAACAGTCCATAGTTATTGTTGTCTAACTATTTACCGATAAACATCTATTAGTAAAAAAATATATAGATTATACCTATAAAAGAGGCAAATCATTTTTATATTTTTATTAGTTTACTAAATACATTTGTACAGTATACTTTAACGTATCACAGTTTTATTACATTTTTAAAATTGAGAACTTTTATGATAGTGACCATGGATACATCTCATCTAAATTTTGACGAGGAGAGCTAGATTTTGCTTCTGATGAAGAGTGGGTGACATTAGTAGTACTTTAAGAGCTTAGCGACTTCAGCCAATATATATAATTGGAGTATAAACATGTCGTGTTTATACACAATGTGTCCCGGGCATTGGTACTGATAGATTCTATTGACAAAGTCTCTAATGATATACCGCATTTTTGCACTTCTTTCAACATCTTTGAGAACGCTCCCTCTGATTCGTCTGTCAAAACTAGATCTGCTATTAAATTTTCCAGATCGGGAAATAATTTACACTTCTTTGGTATCAGAAACAGAAGATACTTGTTGTCCAAAGTCATTAATAACATGATCAAAATACTTGTTATTGGATAACTCCCTTTTACGCATTTCTCTTTCAGCGTTCTCTGTACCCAAATATATAAATTTGTTGATTCTATTATTTCCTAGATATTTCTAAGCCATCATTTTCCTCATATTCACTAAAGGGGTCGTTATTTGAGTTTTTATTTTCGGATCTATCATAAATTTTTTCGAGGATAGGGGAGTTGAAGATTCAGTTATACTCATTTTGCACTTCATCATTCGAGCCTCCATTCCATTCATAACTGTATTCGGTATGCTCTGGCTTGGTCTTGGTTTTCTGTACAGTTTTTCTTTTGGAGATCGAAGCAGAGGTAGTGAATGTCCAATGGACACTATTTCCTTCGTTATAGTTACCTTCCCGTTGTCGTCCACTATTAGTTGATTGATTGGTAAGTTTTGTTTGTAGTTTTTTAGTTTCTGAATTCGAGGAATAGGTATTGAGCGGGACCTTCACATCCTAAGCTAGCTTAGTCATGCCATTGGCCAATGGGCTTGGAGCAGTCGGCGGCTGCTAGCTTAGAATCTCCTGTTAAATCTTTGAGTATTTTTGGTCTAACAATTTTATCCACAGAGTACCTACTGAATAAATATTATATATAACAAAACTTGCAAAATTAAAATGTCTATAAATAGCATGAAACTTGATCAAATATTTTGAAAATTTGACCATGTCTAAAAAAGGTAAATATCAGTTATATGTCCAAATTTCAATTATCTATAGATATTTTGAATTGAATTACAAAAAAAAAAAAAAAAAAAAAACAAAATTTAAAATAATAACAACATAATTTTCATAAATGTTCAGGTTTTCTCTCATTTATTATCAAAACCCATGGAAAAAATAATCTCACTAAAGTACCATCCCAGGAAAATTCCCTTTCAGAAAAATTGGATCAAAATTTCTTGTAGAAAAGTTGTTTACAGAAAAAAAGATTGTAATGTTTAAGATTATCAAAAATACATTTCGAACATTTTCTCGTTTTTCTTTTTTTATCCCGGGTTCCCATTTATTGAGAAATCTAAAAATGGGCACCTTAAAGTACCACCTCAGGAAAATTACCTTTCAGAAATGGTGATACTTGACACTTCAGAGTAAGATTTCAGGTAGAATTTTTATAGTTTAAAAAATAAACATCTCTATGAAAACAATACATTTTTTACAACACACAGAATCTAAAAAAACTTAATACAATTTGAATACAAACTTTCTATTTCTCTATTGTTATCTAGTTAGTTGGTCCAATGTTATTTTCTAGTGAACAATGTTCCTCTGATGTTAATTTTATACTTTTTAATAAAAAAAGGCTTTTCACTTAAGATAAAATAATAAGGAAAATAACTACTTTACTTGAGTATTATTTTGTCATTTATTATAGTTATTTTTGTATTATATTTTGGTACATTATATGGTAAAATTTTAAATGAATATTGCATAAACATTCAATAGAAAACTTTATAAAAGATAATATTTACATGGGGAAATAAAAAAAAAGAAGTTTTTTTTTTAAAAACCACAATTTAATTTATTATTACTAAAAATAATATTATACAATAGCTTAAATTTCTCACGGAAAAAAGATTAAATAAATAAAAACAAAACCCCTTAAATTCTACAAAAATGAATATAAAATCTTACCAATAATCAAAATGCGTGACAACTAAGTGATTATATGTTATATATTGATTTATTTCCACGCTTGTTTTAATGCTTTTTGCGAGGCAAGATTTTTTGTTACATAAGCACTTATTAAAAGAACAGTTGTAACAATAATTATTACTAAGTAATCAAAATCTTCTTTCAAAACATCAAACGTTTTTGATGGTGCAACTCTTGTATAAAATAAATCTAAATCAAATAAAAAAAAAATAAATATATAATTTATGAAAAATAACTACTTATGATAATAATACAATTACCTAGACCATAAACAAAAACTAAACATGTAGACTCAAGACTACTCGGTGTAGTATATATGCCATCAACTCGCATAAGACTTTTGTTATAATTGATCATAGATTCAGATGACATAGGAAGTTCAGGAATATAGGGTATAGCACCTTCTTCTTTAGGTTCCCCTAATGGCCTACGAGGATCTAAGAATGACCAAGGCATTTCTAATAAATGGCCAGTTGTAGTAGCCACTTAAAATAACAAAAAACCACATTGTTGTTCATTAGTTAGTTATGTTGGTATAAATGTAAAAAACTCACTTAATATATGTTTGCTTGTAATTCCTTTCTCCGTGATTGTTGGTTTCATGGCTTGTAAAAATCCGGGAAGTATATATGCTTGTTTTTCAACAATTGGAGGAATTAAGCTACCTCCCACAGAAGAAAATTCTATAATATACATCAAACAGTTAATTATATAAATGATTATTTTAATTTGAAAAACTCAGTAAACATACTTTGCTATAGGAGTGGTCATATATAGGGTATTTTAAATGCTGAATGCAATAATAAATTATGACAAATAAAAAATGATTGTGATTAAGCGTATTTTCTACATTTAAATTACAAAATAATTTTATGATTATGGTGAATATTATCAACAATTTTAACTTTAAAAACTAATATTTTTTTTTTTAAATAAGCCTGTGCAATTTCAATAGGCATTTTTACAATTACCATAATTTTTAATAGTACCTTATTTTACGATTTTATATAATCTGTTCTTAGTAATGATACTAAGTGGTGCTGAATCTCCTATGTTAAGGTCAGGTTTTGGTTCAACTTCTTTTAAAATTAAGCATAGGGCTTCACTTTGGCAACCAAATAGTTGTCAAATTTAATGAATACTTATTAAAGAAATAAAACCTACACTAACCATAATTTTAGACATAAAATGAGCCGTGTTTAGTTAGTGGGGCCTCTTGAAATGTATTTTACCAGACTACATTTTTAGTACTTATTACTTACTTTTTAGCCACTAATGGTACTTATATAAAATTTGCAAGTCTTAATTATTTAAATTGTATCAAATTTAAATAGAAGAAAAACTAAAAAATAATGTGAAAATTACATCATTTATAGAAAATACTACTAGAAGACTTAGAATTCAGTGCAAATTTAAAATATCCGAAATTAATATTTTTTGAAAATCAATAAAACAAAAACTACTTTTATTTAAAACTAATGTTGAGTAATTATGCCCTTTTATATTTATTATAAAATTATAAACTGCAATACACCAATTAGATCAAAACTGATTGATGTTAATGACTGGAGTAAGCTCAAGTCTATAAAATATTGTAATTCAATACCTGTAGAATTTGATTGTTGATTGCCATTGTATAGCTCGTATGATGCTATTTCAGTCCGCCTAGTTTTGTCATTGTAGTAAGAACATAATAACCAATTTTCAGAATGAACCAAATGTATCGGGTGGGAAGCTCGTTTATGAACAACTGAGTAAATAATTATACCACTAACAGCATCCAATAAATGTAATGTTAAAACACCTAAATTAAAACTAAATTAAAAACAATTTATTTTGTCAAGTAGAACATACTTTTATGCATTGTGTCTGGTGCTAAAGTCAAAATGGCCACCATATTTGGATTAATATATTTATATAAAACACTCCTATCACTCAGTACTCTGCCCTGAGAATGTATATGTTCCATTGCATCTCGTGAACCGATTGCTATAATATGAGTTGGTTTATTAAATTGAGTTTTCCAAACTTCTTTGGCAGAAAATTTCTAAAAATGTATTTATACAAATAATTTAATTTTAAGTTAACAGTAACGTTAAATTTAATATGTCTCACCTCTCCTGAAATTGGTACGTCAACAGTAAATCCTTGGATCAAACCATTTGTAGAATTAGCAATATATATATAAATAGGGGGTGGTTTTGAGGACAATGGCACATTAGATGGATATAGATGAGGAGTATAAGTACTGTCAAACAAAACAAGACTACGAACTGAATCAGTATTTAAAACTGGTAAGGGAACCGCTTGTACAACTTTATATGGAAGTTGTTGAACACCATCTAAGTCAATTAAAAAAACATATTAAACACATTGATTTTGGTAAAATATGAAATATTTTATTTGCATACTTTTAGATTCACCATTTATAGGATTGAAAGTAAACAAAACTGTATTTTCTGAATCCTAAAATATTAACAAAATAAATTAATGCATAATAATCAATCTAAGAAAAGTAACAAATTACCTCATTTTTTAAAAACAATGTGCTCATTGGTGAAAATGATAAATGTTTAGAGTTTCTTATCAAATACATAGGTACTAACTGCAGTCCATCAACCTTGTTTTCATAAAATTGTCCAATTCCACACAACAGAACAGACCATAAAATTTCACCACTTAAATTATCAATACCGAATATCTAATAAATTGGGGAAAATATTATTAATTACTAATGCTAATTTTTAAGTACTTGATAAATTGTTCACCTTTCCTGCACTAGTAACAGCTACAATAATTTTATGTAAACCAAATTGATCACGAACTAGATTACTTTTAGTTCCTATTGTTTCAGATGATGGTGTTTCAATAATTCCAAGAACAGTTGCTATTAGAGTACGTAATTGTTGAAATTGACTAAACACTCGATGGACAAACATGCTGAAAGCGCCAGCTATATACAATTAAATAGTTAATATATTTGTTTTCAAAAAATAAATACAGAATTATAACTCAAAAAATAAAATAAAAATGAGAAAAGTTACTAATATTATTAAAAAAATTACTAATAAAAAATAAATAAGAATTAATTAAAATAACAAACTTAGAATAATCAATCACAAATTTTAATTGTTTGGGTGACTCTTTGTTCACTTGCATTTATTTTATAGGAACAAATAATAATATAACTTCTAATTTATAAGTTATACTTATAAAGGGGTTATGTATTGCTTATAAGTTATAAGCAAGAATATTCATGTAACATATATCTAGGAAGGAGCACAAAGTTCATTACGAATTCTATCTCAACATATAAATATATATTAAAAGGCTTAAGGTGAAAAAAGTGAGGATATTAAAAAAATAATAATAATAAAAAGTAAAGTAAAGTAAAGTGACGGAGTTGCAGCCTTGTAAAATATAATACCGCGTAAGTTTGATAAAACAACAACTATTACAACTACAACAAATAAAATTCTACAAAAAACTTCAAACTCTGACAACACTAAAATACAAATAAACCTTTATATCACTTATTATCACTCACTTGTCACATTGTGATCCAAAAATGCTTGAGCACAAACATTTATAAATATATTCAAACATAACTTATATATTAATTTACATGATTACATTATATATTTTAAATAAATCAAAAATTCTTACAATCTTTATTTCCGAATTCTTTTTCAATTGCTGCTTCTATATCAGATACGGGTAAATCAATTAATTCCACATTTATAATACTAGTTAATGATTCTTCTCTGTGCCATTTAATTGTACCTAATTTATAAGAAATGTTTAATAAGTATTAGGTACAAAAATTTAAGTGTTTTATTATATATTAAACAATTACCTGGCATTTTAAGAAGCATCAATGATTGATCAAGTGTAGTGACTAAAGCAACACAGTTAACAGTATTAGCTTTACTACGTCCACAAAAAACAGAAGATATACTAGGATTAGAAATTTTCATAGTTTTCTTAGTCTCCTTTGATGACAAACTTTCAATAACTGTAGCATCCTCTAATATTGAACCTTCAGTTATAATGGTTTCCTTAAAATATTATTCATATTAATTATGTTTAAGGTAGGTATAGAGAAAAATAAAATTATTAATTTTAATTAAATTGATAAATAAAAAATAGTTGTAGTAAATAACATACAAATAATAAATACTTTGGTTGCATTTTTATCAAAATTAATATTAAATGTTCAAAAAAATTGTTTTTTGAATCTGAAAATTACATTATAGCTTATGTACTAGCATTTTAATATATTGTAACCATAATTTAAATATTTATGATTATAACTGCATATTCCTTTGATTTATTATATCATATTATTATTTAAAATATTAATGAATGAGAATCAATAAATAAAAATAGAAATAGAAACATAATTTGTTAGATTATTATGTGTTTACTTTTTACTCTTGCATTATCAAAAACTCATTAAAAAATAAAAATTGATCATGTGACTATTACATACTTGAGTGGGTGAAGAAATTTGTAACAAAATATGCCTATCGGCCATATAGGTATATATAAATAATGATGCTCTTGATTTTAATGATCTTATATGAACTTTATTTTCTTTAGTGTAAACTAGTTTTTCTACATTTTTATTTGTAACAATAAATGCTGGAATTGGGCTTCCGGGAATTGCCTTAATTTGATCACCATTTGTATCAACTTTTAAAAGCTGAGTATTAGCGTTTGTTAATGATCCAATATTTAATTTATTTGCAGTATCAAAACATGCTAAACTTCCAGAAGACAATGCACAACTAAAAAATATTAAGAACACAATCAATAATAGATACATACAAATTATTATTATATTTCCGTACCGATCAAAACCATTAAACCAATGTGCTGGGAAAGTGTAGGTAGCTTTTCCTTTAACACCAGTTTCTATATAGTATGTATCAACAACAATTAAACCATTTGAGGAATACACATTATGGAGAAGACCATTAAAAACAAACCAATACAACACATTTGTAGTTTCTAAACTCCATTCGAAATGTAAATATCCATCATTGACATCCCATCCTCGTATTTTGACAATATTAATTCCACTAAGGGTTATGATTTTAGATTTGGTTGGGTGTATTAATTCAATACTACCATCAGATCCTTTTTCCAAAATTTGGCGCCAAATAATATCTCCTAAATATAATAAAGTAGAAATATTACCTATTAAAAACTTCAAAGTAATAATTTATATAATTTATTTATTACTAACCAGTATCTATGGCTAATGAAGCAACCACATTTTTTTTAGTTGCTACATATAACCTTTTGGTTTTTACATCAACGTCAATTGAAGAAAATTTGACTTCACCAATATAATTTTGTTTCCTAAAGGGAAAAAAGTGTAAATATTTATTATTTTAGATAGACTATTTGTAAAATAATAAATAGAAATATGTAATATGATTTCATAATAATGAAAAATAAATTATAAACAAAAAGTTTAATACTTATATTAATTATCTTAAAAACAAAGTTTTAGATGTCACATTTAAATATAAAATTGAACACTTTATTACCAGTCAAATTTCCCAGCTTGATCTTCGTATAAACCATTAGTAACAAATATAAATGAAAATAGCAAGACAATAATTACGAGTTTAAAAGTCATATTGTATAGTTTTTACAATATCCACATATTTATTAATAATTTAATTATAATATTATACACATATTACGATTACAAAATTAGTAAAAAGTAAGTTTAATTAAATAAAGCACCGGGATTTATTTGGTTAAATGTCAAACAAGTCGTGGGATTTGATAAATGATAAACAATTTATAGTGATTTTAATGGAGATATGGTGGTTACGTATAGATAATAAATAAATAATAATATTTATTATCTATGTGGTTACATCGTTGGTGCGTTATAGCTACGGTCATTATAGATAATATGGTTGCGGAACGAACCGTGATAATGTGAAGTTCAAAACGTATATTGGTTTTCACACCAGCATACAGCGCTCTCTAGGTGATAAATAGTATGACTGCATTAATAAATATATTCTTGTTCAAGCATCTACAGGTTACAGAAGTAAAATGTTGTAAATATTAATTATTGTTTACTAATTAGTATTATAGTAATATTAATGTACATGTATACGAATACGAATAGATATGCAACAAATTAAAAGTCAGGTTCACAGTTCTCACTTAAGTATTTTTATTTATTAATTAATTATTATCAATATGTAGTACCTAACTATTTTCTATTATATTTTATAAATTAATTAGAAATTTAGTTTGAGGAAATGACCAATTTTGATAATTTTTTTTTTAAATTGTTTGGCTTCAATATTTTTTGAATAACAAGTAAACTTTATGTTATTCTCCCTAAAATGTGAAGCACAAATAAGCACACACTCTATAACTTTTTTAAGATCAGTTTTTAATTAATTATCCCATTTTTTTCATATTCGTTTTTCAAAAGCCTTTTCTTTAATTGTTCAACATTTAGAAAAAGTATTACATAAAAATGTATCATTAAATATTTTTGATTTAACTATATAATTTGGACTATGAGTATATATTATTTCATTAGTTAATAGTTTATTTAATGTGTTAACTAATAAAACGGGTGCAGCAACTGGGCACTGTTATAGGTAATTTAATGTAAACCTGTAAGCAACGATTAAACAATGCCAACGAAGAAACGATTCTGAGTGGAAATTAGATGATAGTGATGCTTTATCAATATATTTTAATTAAAGTACTTTCCCAGTCAAATTTCCTTTCAGAAAAAGTGTTATCATTGTAAATCGGAGTAAAATTACTGATAGAAAAATTGTGTACAGAAAAAAAAAATTGTAATATTTTAGTAATATAGGTATTTTGTTTATTTTCTAGTTTTTCCTCCAAAACTCTTTGGAAATTCTCTACTCGCGAATCAATACATTTCTATTTGGTATAATTATACAAACAGACATTTAATAATTAATTAGTACTGGTTGATGTGAGTACAATAATTATTTTTTTCTAAAAGTGACTAGTCTGCCGAGAGTCCACTTGCGCTTCACTACAAAATTTAACGGTGTCTCGTCTCTATCTCTATCTTACTCTATGGTGCAAACAGGGAATATGCATTTGTGGGATTTCTATCACTTCTTCCTTAAAAAACTCAACCAAGTCCCTCAAAATAAAATTGTCTTTAATAGTTTACGATGCACCTATAGTGCAACAATATATAAACAACCAACACACATAATATAATAAGAATACTTAGATATTTATTATTGTTATTAAATCGACACTAGTGCTTTCTGTTTTTAGGTTTCTATACTGCTATATAGATTTCCCATAGACTCATCTAGAAATTGGTTGGTACAAACCGGTGTGTAAAATAGAAATGGGTGCCAATCGAAGAAATTTTTTATGGAAAAACAGACAACTTGAGAAATTCGTTTGCACAAACCGGTGAGCAAAAAATTGACACTGATCTTATTATTTCGGACCATATCGATGATATGGTTCGTTATACTGATTCATTTTATATTATCTTTTTTTTATGTTTGTTACGTTCACATTTTTAAATTAATTTTAAAATATTTTTATTTAATAAATAAATAATTAAAATTATAATGGCAAACATAGATTAGTCCAATGTAGATGATCATGTTTTTGAAATTATGTATTGAATATATAATTAATAATTAATATAAAATGAATTGCATAGGTGGTTAATTTATTTTCATTTTAGCTGTCATGCGGATTATAGTAGTAATCCAAATTGTACTTTTGTTAAAATTTATTATTTAGCATTCTAGTATTACTAGAATAATCATTCAGAAAAAATATCAGTAACGTTTGAATTATTCAGAGAAAACTGTGATAACATAGAAAAGTGTTCTGTGTGATAACAAATAACTATAGACTATAGAGGGGATAATGATATTTTGTACCAACAAGTCAACGAATTTCTTGTATAACCGGTACCATAATATCCGAATCGGTATCACGGGGTATGAAAGATTCGGCAACATCTTAATCGATCTTCTTTCTACGTACCAATGTGTACCGATCCGTTTTGGAATAGCGGCATGATAAATCGGAATCAAAATGGTACACCGGTTCGTATCAACTATAGTGCGTTTCACAACTGTGACTCGACGCTAACGCGCCTCGTGGTGTTTTTTCATCAGGGTTTCTAAAGCGCGTAATAATGCGCGGCAAATTTAAAATTGATAACGAATATTTTACACTTTTTCAAATTATACATTTATTAAATAAGATAATCAACGAATCATATTTTATGTTACACTTAATTATTCTTAGTTATTCTTTTAACGCTGCCTGATACCACATGCTTCAGAAGTCTTTTGTTGCGCTTGTAGAAAAAAATTTGCTACTTCAGGATTCGTCGAGTCTTTAGATAATTTTTTAAAATACGAATATACACTAAAAACCATTTTTTTAGTTTGAGAGTGAATATCTACTGAATGGTTAGACATTTTTAAATAAATAATTAACTATATTAAAAAATATATATAAATCGTACAGACGTAATACGTAAGTAATGCGTAAGGAATAGTCAACAACGAACAATAGTACAACAGTACGCACTTCACACTGGAGACTGGATGGCACAATAATTATAGCTGCAACAGGGGTTGTTGTTTGACCACATTCCTACGCATGGGGGTCGGTAGGGAGTAACAAACCTACTCATACACAACAGCGGTACATAAAATAAACATACTCATAACCCAGCTGCTCTTACTATTTGTTTAGAAAAAACGCATGCTATTTATTTTCTATCCTAGATTGAGAACCCCTGGTTTGAGACAAAACCGCTACGAGTCGCGTTAGCGTCGAGTCGCAGTTTTTGTGAAACTTACTATAATTTCTAGAATAACTAGTTATTAGATCTACGAGATTTCCGGTTCTCAAGACATTTTGGTGCTGCCATATATTTCTCTATTCTTCTACTGTGGTATTTTATCATATTCAGTGATACCGTCCACAGGATAACAGAATAATTTTGATAATAATTTAACAAAAACATTTTCATTCTACTTATCCTTGAATTGTTTAAAATGCTAATTCATTAATTATGTATTCGAAATGATTGTTACATTTTAATACTTATGAATATTATTTCGCTAGTTAATATTTGTATAATAAGCTGACAGGGCATAGTTATAATTTTTAAATAGTTTGTTTAAATAATAATTATTATATTATTACACAGTACACACATAATTTAGGTATATTCAATTTTTATTTGAATTGATTATTATTTTATTTTTTATAGATATTTATTATTATAGTTTGTTAGTTATATATATATTTATTGGTATGTATTTCACAATTATTATTTAATACTAGATATTAGACATGACAATGTAAGTACATTGTTCATACTTACAAACTAATATGTAATATTTGTACTTAAATTAAAAATGTAAAATAAAACCATCTACTCTAAATATTTCATTTTGTATTGAATCTTATTAGGATGTTTCTGGCTTGATAATTGTCATGTCATGACAATAGTAAAATATAAGTTTACAGTTGTGTAATTAATACATCTAACTTAAAATGTGCAAATTTAATATTTTTAAATCATACACGAAATAATATATTTTACTTTTTAATGGCAGTTATTTAACCATGATTGTTATTTGAAAATAAAAACAATTGAATGTTATAAGGTTGGTAGATATTAAAAAGAATTATACTAAAAGCAAAATCAATTGGATATTTAAGATTTAATAAAACCAAAACTAAACTGCATTTTCAAAAAATACTGAGGTTTTCAAATGTATTAATAGTACATAATATGTGTTAATATTTCATAATTTTATTCAAAATTGTTTGTTATTATTAACTAGTATTATTATTTTAGGTCTTGGATACTTTAACTTTTTGTACACAATATGATGCATTTTTTTATGATAAATTTCTAAAAAACATCTCATAGCCACCTCAAAAATGTATATGTATACTTATTAATTAAATAAATGTGGCTATAAATTATCTGAAAAATTTCTAGACTACTAAAATCAGTTAATGAATCTTTTTGGACTGGATTTATTTATTTGTTTACGCATATGAAGAGTGTTTTTCAATTTAAAAATAGTAGTAATAATAATAATTATTATTATTATAACATAATAAAATAATAATAAACGAGTTAAATACAGTAAAGGAGTTCAGTTTTATAATAAAGAGTAAAATTTAAAATTATATTGTAATTATATATTTAATTGATTATTGTATATTGAATTTTAATATATATTTTAATTAATAAGAATTGTATTATATAATATAAGTTATGTATATCAAATTAATATTTGCATGAATATACTTGATATTTTGTTTGCATTAATTATTTAAATGTATTTTTACCTTTATTTCATTGACAAAATTAATTAATAATACAAACACATTTTTAATTTAAATTAAGTCAAACTGGTGAAACTTCATTATTTCTTTTTATCTATTATGTAAATTTCAACTATGAAGACTAGATATAATATCTCTAGTCTTCATAGTTAAATTGACAAATTTATTTGTCAAGTTTATAACCTTAAATTTTATAATACAATTATTATGATATGATTAAGTGAAAACATATATCATAATATAATTGCATTTTGGATAAATTGATTATAATGGTTAAATCCTGTAGTAAGTAGGTATTGATAATTTTAAGTTATTGCTTTAGTAGTAGATTGATAATTGATAAATTAAATTACATTTTAAAAAAAAAATATACAAACTCCAATGTTTACTGTTAAATATAAACAGTGCCTTGTAAACCACAATTTGAAATGTGTTTGTGCTAAAAACATCATAAAAAAAAAAAAAGAATAAATAAATATAGGTATTGAAATATTAAAGGGGAGTCAAATTTCAGACTTTATTAGAGGGTAAATAGTTAAATATACTCGTGTACTCAAACAATACACAAGTATGTAAAATATATACATAAAAGCTTAGTGTATTATTGTAATATGTACCCATGTGGATACCTAATTATATAAATATTAAAAATAATGTACACATGTTGGTTTAGTATAAATTATTTATTAAATATGAAGGTATTTTAATTATATAATTATATTATGTAAGATTATAAAAAAAATCAATGATTTTTTTCTTCGATAAATGTAATTTGTATTATATAATTTTAAAATTGATATATGAAGGTGATTTTACTAGTTATAATAATTAATTTTAATTTTATTAGTTTCGTTTTAAACTTTTAAAGTTGTGCTGTTATAAAAGTAACTGTAGTTCTGAATTTTGAATTGAATGATTAATTAATTAATATTATTTAGTCTATTTAAAATAACAAGTAAGAGTAATATAATATATTTTGGAAAAACTTGAAAATCGTTTGAACTATACATTAATTTTTTTATTCAAAATCCTAAACTCATTTCTTCCGGTTTCAAAAATTTAATTCAAATATTCATAAACTAACATGCCAGTTATTATTATTATTATAAAAAACACTAATTAAATTCTGATTTAAAAATGAAATTATGAAAAATTAAACATTTAATTTTGTTATAGTTTTGTAAACAATTTTTTAAAATTCTGATTTTTGGTACCCAGTTTTTTTAAATTTAATTTGAGTTGCCTTTTAGACATTTATATTGTGGTGTAAATCTATCTAATTTATAATTCACTCTGATTATATTATAGGTTAACAATGAATAAATCTGTAGATGGACCCTCATTTGAAGAAATTGAAATCCCTGTACCATTTGGCCATGTTAGTGGTAAGTATTTTAATTTGATGTTTAGTATCACAAATGTTTAATAGAATTAAGCCTCTACATGGTCAATAATATTGAGTCAGTTAAATTACGTAAATATTTTGTATAATATTCATTCCTACTAAACATATCTATTATTGCCCAATATTTAGTTGAACAAATGTTCAATGGCCTTATCGCTTATGTTTTTTAGATGGCAATTTACTATTAGTATTCTATTTTATAAAGCCTCATTGTTTTAAAAATTATACTGAATTAATCTGCATTGGCAGTAGCCATAGCATTCAGACTCGCCCACAAATTAAGATATATCATAATTTATAGACTCGTACAATATATAAATCTTATTGCAATACAAGTAGTATTTAATATCACAAAATTAGTGTTTATGACAGTAAAACTAATATGATTGAGTTAGTTTTTTATTTTCCTTATAGTTTTCTTAAATTTACAAAAAAAAAAATGTTGAGAAAGTAGGAATGTTTAAAAAAATAACAGTTTCATTATTTTCAATTTGTTATTTAATTTTTGTAATTTAGTTAAAAATAATCACAGTATACTTAAATTAGTGTTTTATTGACATTGTAAATGTTTAAAACATTCTGATAGTTTTTAAGTTATTTACTTGTAGTCTTTTAAAATTTTCTATTTTTATTTATTTTTAGTTTTTATTTGATTTGTCATAAGTTGTACTTAGTGGTAAAAAATGTGCAGTGTAGTAGATACATATATAAAATACAAATTTGAATGGAAATTGTATAAACCACATTTTTTTCATAAACTATTTTTCGGTTTATGTAAATATAATTTTTTAGCCTATCCAAAATATTTTTAAAACAACTGAAATTTAACTGAAATGATTAATCATTGTATACAGATATAAATTTAATAATTTTTTTTCCTGAAAGCAGTGCACTATTAATTTAGTTTTAAATTTATTTCAAATAATATTAAGATTTAGAATGTATATTTAAAGTTTATTTTGAATTTGTTGCTTAGTATATATTTTATTTTATTTTTAGCACATTTTTATTTATTTTTTCGATTTAGGTACTTCAACATAATTTTATTTAAACTGCTTAGTATTATTTGTATTCATTCAATATTATCTTTGCTGTTCATATAGTATATTTTATTTGTTCATAACCTTTGTAATAGCATCTATTACAATAATGTATTTATGTAAAACAAATTTGGTTATTCAAATTGCAAATATTTTTTTAATCATTTTAGTATTTTATCTCAAATTTGCATTGTTAATTTTTATGGTACTGGTTTATTATTGCTCCACCAGGCAATTCAAAAAAAGTATTACCCGGTCACTCAGGTTTGTTATAAACTTGCCACCATAATGATTTTTAATAATAAAATGGAATATAATATAAAATATCCTATTTATTTATTTATTATTTATTCATAAATTATAGGAAAAACGTATTATACAGGTAATTTAGTTATCATAAAATTTCATTGATAAAAATGATTTGGAACCGATAGCCATTATAAACACAGAGAATTATTGTTCTAGCAGTTATTATATTTTTAATATTTCTTACTAAATTCAATGAAACATATGTTGACCTACTTATACTCATATATTAGACACAATTATATTAAAATGTAAGATAGGTGGAGTTTTCACTTAGTAATAATTTTATCTGAACATTGTTTTTCATTTGATATTTATTGCCCAATAATAAGTTAAATCCATTTTATCTTGCTAGTACCTACTTATTTAAATAATAACGTTAATATTAGTTAAGATTTAAATGTGTACAGAGTAAAACACGTGTACAATTTTTTATTATTATTTTACATTAGCTATAATCTTATAGACGAGTAAGAGGGTTTTAAATACTGATGATCTTTTCTACAAAAAAGCAGTAGCTTTAACTAGGTTGTGAAACATATGATTAAGCATGATTGAATAAAGTGGACAGAAGTATTAGATGTTGATAATGTGACAAGATAATTCTAATAAGATAAGATTAGTTCTACAAAAATTGTATTGAAACTGATTGGGCGGTAGGCAGTTAACTAAAACAGAGAATGAATGTAGCCGAGATGAAAATGCTTCAGTGGATCAGTAGAAAGTAAATGATTAAATGAGAAAATAGATTGAGATGGTTTAGGCGTGTCATAAGGAGAGAGAAATTAGAAGCAGTAAGAAATATATTGAAAATAAATGTGGAAGAAATTATCAAAAAAGAGGTGATTGGATGCGATTGAAAATGATATGAGATCGGTGGGTATATATGAAGATAATGTGGGGGATCGAGTCAAGTGGAAATTTAGGACAAGGGTGGCCAACTTCAAATAATTGGGTTTAAGACAAAGGAGTAGAAGATTTTACATTAGTCATAACTAGAGAGAAAACTCCATAGAAATGCACTTTAAAATATCAAAAAAAGAGCCCTGAAAATTTGTCAAAAATGACAGAAGATTCAAAAAATTTTAAAATTCTCACCCCTCCCTCTATAATGACTAACCATTAAATACAATTTTCTGTTACTACAAAACAATCAACACAATTTTTTATAATACAATTTTATTTAAAAACTTGTGTTAATCATTTTTGCAGTGTTCGAAAATTGTACTTTATAAGTTAGAGCCGTTAGAGGGGGACTTTTTTGTTTTTTTTATGTGCGTTTTAAAGGCTTTCTCGACGTTTTAATCGCTTTTTGGTAGATTTTAAGTACATATCTAATCAAGCACAAGTCATAACAAAGTGGATAAAGTTACTTTAGTTGAGTAATCCACTTTCTAGATAGTTTTCTTTACAACTAAAGTCCAAAATTGGCAAATGTGTACATTAGTTAGTTTCGGACTTATGCTGTGACATATATACTATAATTAAAGTATATTTTTTTTTTATATTAAGGTAAATGGTGGGGACCAAGAGATAAACAGCCTATAATTGCAATTCACGGATGGCAAGATAACGCTGGAACTTTTGATCCATTGATTGAACTATTACCTAAAGATTTATCAATTTTATGTATAGATTTACCAGGCCATGGGCGATCGTCTCATATTCCCCAGGTAAAAATATTTTTTTTATCTCCTTCCATGGCTTAATAAAGAACATCCAGGGTCTTTGCTGTAATCATCATACCTCTATGCTTCTCTGTTATTAACTAACTTTTCGCTGTCTTATTACTTTTAACCACAGTTGTATAAATTATATACTAGATAACTGTGCTCCTAGATTTTCCTCTCCTACTCGTACTATTCTCTTTCCATTGTGTATCCATTTTATTGCCTTCTCGAATTGTTTAATCTCTTGCTCTCTATATATCTTACCTATCTAATACATTTACTTTTCAACATTGCCACTATATCTATTTCACCAAAGATTTCCCTACGCTTCAAATTTATTTTGTCATTCCCACAGGCCTGTTGAACAATTTTTTTTTTGGATCCAATTTTTTTTATAAGACCTTCATCTCGAATATAGTTATTTTTGTTTGTCTGTTTTTATAATTGTCCATGTGTTACTTACAAATATAGTAATTGGACATACCATTACTTTGTAGAATATAGTTTTTGTTTTTAGCAAAATAAGATTCTAAAACAAGTTTTAGAACTAAGAAACATCTGTTAGCTGTATTTAAATATGTTCTAGCTTAGTTGGTTTTCTTTATGATAGTATTTATATTTTGTAATTGCTTATACTCAATTTATTAGAATATGTTTCCTTTTTTTAAAAGTATTTACCACTAGTTCCATGTTTTTGTTTTTCTATAAGTAATTTTGATAAAGTATAAGTCTTCTCTTTTACCTTGCCAATTAGCACTATATTTTATGCATGTTATTACTCCTGACATAATCTAATATTCTCTTAAGTCTTGTATTTGTTTTCCCAAAAACATTTTATTAACTTATAATTTAATTATGAAACAGTTGCACTTACACACCAGATCATATTATTTCTTATACTTGTTAATATAAAATAAATGTAATTAAACATTTTTTATAGGGTTTACCATATTATTTATTTTGGGATGGTTTAGCTATTTTAAGAAGAATAGTCAGATATTATAATTGGAGACGTATTTCTATTATGGGTCATTCTCTGGGTTCTGCTATTGGATTTTTATATGCATCATCATACCCTGACGATACAGAAATGTTGATATCCATTGATACTGTAGCACCAGTAGTTTTTGATCCTAGTGAAATTGTTAAAAATACTGGGCCAAATCTTGATAAGTAAATTTTATTTTATATAATATTTTACAATAAATTTTTTATATTAATCAGTATAATAATCTACTTAACTTCATTTTTTTTTTCAGGCTCATATATTTTGATGCACTTGAACCTGACAAAATGCCGGCTTATGGTTATTCAGATATGATAGATTTAGTTGTGGATGGACACCATGGTACATTAACACGTAAATCATGTGAAATACTTATGAAACGTGGCATGTATCCCATAAAAAATAATAAATACATGTTTTCAAGAGATGTTCGTCTTAAAGTAAATATATATTTTTATGGAACAATAAATTTAATAGGATTTACTAATAATTGTTAGTTATAAAAAATGTGTGATTTGGGAGAAATATTTCATTAAATTTAATTTGTATACCTACTGATATCTTCAATATAGGCATTCTGATATCTTATTATATTTTTTTAATTAGACAACTTATTTTCTTTCTACTATTTTCCTTATGTTTATTTAGGATAAAAAATGTCCTTTCTTATCTAAACCATTTTATTTTTATTTTGTTTTAACTTCGCCTTAATTAATTTTTACAAAACTATTAATAATAATATGAGACTTTAAAATATAGTTTAATATAGTTAATAAAATGAGAAAATATATAATACTAATAATAATGCCTGGTATTTTATAAATTAATATGATAATACAAATTTATATCGCACATTAATTCAATATTTAGTAGATATAATACTTTGAGATTCTTAATAGAAATTATATTACATATAATTTTTGTAAATAAAATTATAAATATTCTTTATATATTCATATAGTACAACCTATAAAGATTATGTATTTTATTGAAATAAAAATAGACTACATAGCGTAAATGCTTAAATTACTAATGGGAATGCTACACAATAACATAATATTACATTTTGCATGTACAGGTATCTTGGATGGGTTTACTATCACTAGATGTAGTAAAAGAATTTGCTGGTCACATAACATGTCGCTATATGAATATCAAAGCTAAACCATATAGATCCATGGATAATTGGCCAGTATATTCAGAAGTTTTGGAAATAATAAAAACAAATGCAAAGGAATTTTTTTATAAGGAATATGATGGTACTCACCATTTGCATCTCAATAATCCAGAGTCTATAGCTCCAGATGTTACAATTTTTATTCAAAATCCCATAAACTCATGATTTAATGAAATTATAAACAAAATGTATGTATATATTGTATTTTCATTGTAAAATAACAATTGTCATACTTACTTTGATATTAACATTATTTGCAAAATTTTGGTCATAGTTGTCAATAAGTAGGTTATTTGCTTATATACAGTTAACTCCCGATATAACGAAAATCTCAATACAACGAATGCAACTGTTGGTCCCTTAAAAATCTTAAAATATAACGAAAAATTAGCAATGTATAGGTAGTTTTCAAAATTGTAGGTGATGCACTGCTCCTGTGCACCATAGTACGTGCTACCACTGATCATGCAATAAGATAAAATTTGTAATGTGTATATAATAAATAATAATATATATGTAATAAATAATGGCCTCAAAGATAAACAATTCATTTTTACTATACTATACTTTACTATACCTACTATCTTTATATGTATTATTAAAATGAATATGTATTTGTATTTGTATACTCCGTACCACGAGAGAACACATTTGGCGCTGGACCAAAATTATATTTTCAAGAACCTACTACAAAACACACACAATCGATTCCCACTACGAAACACAACGACATAATCGACAACGGAGCCGGATTGTTTGGATGCATGACCTGTAAGGGTTCTCTTGTGGTATATAGTACAGTGTTGATTTAAATTTTGCATGTTTTTTAAATCTTGATTTAGCAACAAACTTTTGGTATGACTAACTTTTTTCCTTAGGTTCTTGAAATTCGTAATATCGTGAGTAGACTGTAATTGATACATACACTCTACAATTATGTGCCTTAGTAACATCAAAATTAATAAATTTAGTTGTGAAAAATATTGTATAAATGAGTTAATTAGTTAATTTGGCATGTAACCTATAGTAGGAGGTTGACAACAATGAACCAAAATAACCTTAGTTCTGATATGATTGTTTTATTATATTTAACTTGGATTTAAGATAATTTATAACTATATTTTATGTGTATAAACAGTTTTAATTATATTTTTAAATGTATGTATTATATGCGATAGCATATTCAGAATTTTGAAATGGGGGTGGCTAAAGCCAAACATTTTTTAAAAATATACTCAACAGTTAACAATATTTTTTTAATTGCTATAACATATTTAGATAAATATTAAAAAAATTAAATATTTTAATTTATCACTATTCATTTTGACCAAACTAATAATAACAAACGTCAATCTGATTTTGAAGAAAAAACTTGTATAATTTCTTCTGTGGTTTTTTCTAATTTGTTTATCTTAGTTATAGCTAACCCATTAAGCTTCTCTTCATTCATAGTTGATTGCAAATAATTCTTTAATAATTTTAGAGTGGAAAATGTGCGTTCTGGTGTTGTTGATATTACTGGTAATGTTGTAAATAATTGAATTAACAATTTCACATTAGGTCATTTTGATAAAAACTGATTAAAAAAAGTAACTATCAAATAAATTGATAAAATTGAAGAGCACTAATGTGTTGACATGGCTAATAGGAGGAGGAGGCCATGGTCTACTAGCCTCACCCCATGACTACACCATTGATTATACGTATTATTATTTTACATATTCTGTAATTAATCTGCTTAATATATTTTGTTACAGGTTAACAGACTAGCTTTACCATCATTTGATATTGCAAATGAGTTTGCTAAAAAAATTTGTTGTCGCTACTTAATGATTAAAGCAGTTCCGGGTAGGGTATGTGATAATTGGCCACTTTATCAAAGTATTTTAAATACAATAAAAAATTCTTCCAATGACTTTTATTTTGAGAAAGTTGAAGGTTCTCATCATGTTCATTTGAATGATCCAGCGATAGTAGCCCCACACATCTTAAATTTTATGAAAAATATTACTTAATTGTAATTATTATAATTATAGTATAAAATATATTATGAAATATGAATGTAAAATATCTATTATTATTATTATTAATAATAATTAATAATTGTTTGTGAATTTTCTTAGTACTTTTCTAACATAATTCAATTGTGTATTGTGTACTTATTTGTTAATAAATATTAGAAAATTTAGTTTTGATAAATAATGTAATCCAGCAATTTCTTATGAATATATTATTTTGTGAGTACTTATATTTTTTATTTCAAAGCATATATATAATATATTAATACAGGTTATCAGCATTAAAAAACTGAATTCCTTACAATTTAAGTTTATAATAATTTAAAAATAAGATTGATAGTGTATATATATTTTGATAAAACAACTTCTGTATGACTAAATTATTTCCAATCAAATGTTTGACCACTAATATTATTTTGATTGTACATTATGTTAAATAATTGCTTCCTAAATCAGATAATAACCAGATAATGGTAATAATTATCATAATTATTATCTGAAAACCTTTTGACACCATAATTGGGTTCATATACTCTATTCTAGTAAATTAGTTGCACTCATGTAGACTATTATTTAATTAAATATATAAAGTTAAAAATGTAAACATTATTATTGATTTTATAAAATCAATAATATTTATGGGTTCATTCGCATAAATTATTAATAATTTGTTGATTTAAATTCAAAAAAAAAAAATATATATTCTTATATATATTTATCATAAGTAATTAATTAGTAATAGAATTTTGAAACTCTTCATATTAAATCTGTGGGTATTATATGGATTAGTTATTGACTGACTTAAAAATTATGCATGCAGAGTGAAATAAAACACTTCACTATTGAACCAGAGTTTAATGATTCTCAAATCTCAAGTATGTATTGACAATTATTTATGTTTGCTACTGATTTAATATGTTAGTATGTTTAAAACGTTAATAACATTAACACAACGTATGTACATTGAAAGAACAATATATGAACATAATATTACATTAAGTGTTGCAGGGAAAATTATTTTAATTGGTATCTAGTGAATAATATTGTTATTTTAATAAAATATATGGAATACAAGGAAATGATAGGTATTCAATTATTGTAGAATTTATACAAGGTACACAAAAATATTAATTTATTGAAAATATCTTGATATTTATTGTTTTTTAAAATTATTTTTATATTTGTATTGTTATCCCTTGCTACTTATTGCTATCTTTGCCTTTTTGGCTCCAACTTCAAGTTTAATTTTTGAATTAGGTAGCACCCATTGTTGGATGACTATGTGCTATCAAGTTTATAGAGCAATTGTTCCATGATTAACATATATAATTAGTTTTTTGTTCATTAGTTAAAGTGGATTCAAAGACATTCTACCTTTTTATCAAAGTAAGGGATTAGTTAATTTTTCTTAATTTTATACCATCATCAACTCTCTTATAAGAACCATTCAACCATTTTATATATATGATGTCAATGTAATTTAATAATTAATTTGCTTCAGGAATATTTGTTAGATTTAAAACAATCATTTTCTCGTGAATCTGTTCAAGAATACCAGACCACTAATCATTGAAAGAAAATTACCAAATTGGTCAACATTCATATTATTTGTTTGTTAATCCAACTACTGAACTTCACAAAGTGTACTCTGGCAATGATGGTAAAAGTACTCTCTGGTTACTGATTTTAAAGCAAAAACATTTCCAGCTGCTGTAATTAACTGTTTTTTTTTTTTAAATTGACATGTTAATCGACCTGGGATCGTTTGAACAAATTTTATTCACATTTTTAATAACTTTTATTTCTAGTATTATCTATTGTTTTTAATTTAAAGATCTCGTTTTCATGACTAAACAAATCTGTTAAATTTAAAAATACCAAGGATTTCACAACATTTACAAATGACACAGACTATGAACTTAACAGAATAAACCAAATTATAGTCTATAACCCATGAAAATTAATTAAAAAAAGATAAGTAAAGAATTTGGGTAAGCACAATTAAAGATAATACTATATAAATTATAGAAGCTAAGGAAATTGTTCAAAAGTGTACGTTTAAGGTTGTAAAATAAATAATTATATAAGTACATTAGTATCTATTTTGATCTATTTGACGTAATGATTGATATTGATTATACGACGGCAAAATCAGTTCCCGTTCACTTTTATTTGTCTCACATTTTTTTTGACTCATTTTATGATAGATGATATTCCAACAATATTTCGAAGCCAACTGAATTGGTATAATCTTGTAACGTGGTCGGGGACAATCTTTTAATGTGACATTTTGTTTATCTTATCGTTTTATAATAACATTATTGTGAGTGAACAGGTGATTCCGTAATTAAGATAGAAGTGTACGAATATTATTATTAATATAACTGTTGTCATGTTTTTTTTTATTTTTAAATATAATTAAAAATCGTCAAAGAATAATATGCATGTATTAATTTATCGAAAAAAAAGTATATGATGAAGAAAAATGTATATTTATTTAAAAATGTTGGGTGTACGAATACTTTTTACTTTTTACCTACCTACATGATACAGTTTGTAATTTTGAACTCATCAAAAATTATAATTTTGAGTCTAGAAACCGATTGTTATAATGTTATATACCTACCTATTTCTTGACACTCAGTTAAATTAACTTATAAATTATATTATATATTTTTTACCTATGTGATCATATTTTAATGAATGTAGGTAATTTATTCACATACTCCATGAACGATAATGCGATATCATGCTAATAGTTTCATAGTTCAGACATATTCGTAAAATTAATTTACAATATCTTCACGATGTGAAAATTGAGATTTGTAATATTTAAAATATATATAAATATATACCTACCTTGTTCAAAATTAAATAGATAGGTAAGTTATATTTTATTTAAAACCTTAAATTTAATCTTTTATGTGATAAAACTAATTCTAATATGCAAATTATTCGCCAAAATTTAACTCTAAATTTGTTTACAGTCAGCCCATCGATTTCAGAAACCAGCCGTGTCTAACGAATATAATAATACAATAAATAAATATGAAGTGTATGATAAATCTTGTAAGATCTAGATTTAAAACTTGACATTTTTACATAAAATTAACATAGTAAGAATAACATATAATTAACTTATTATTAATAGAATAATATAGGTACCCACCCATATATTTATCTATAGGTATCTACTATGTAGGAGTTTACAGGATTATATATAGCATATATGGCTATATTGCTAATGTAAAATGAAAACATTATTGTTAAAACATATAGGCTTTGTGGTATTGATATAGGTAGTTAATATACTTACGAGTATTATGACCTCGACAAACCAGCAACATCACATTATTATACCGCAACACATACCTAGTGTTTTTGAACTACAGTAGGTACCTAGCTATTATGTGTTAACTTCATATATTTAAACTTATTGTTACAGCATACACAATACACTTCAGTTACCATGAGTGAATTCATTGGCTGTTTCACGTTTATTTTAATAGTAATTTCATCTTTTTTACTAACAAATTGCAGTTTACAACGAGAATCCAAAAATAAACAACCTCATATTGTTCTAATCATTGCTGATGATTTGGTGAGTACCTTATTAAAAAATTAAAATTCCTTTTTAATACCTGGCTCATGTTAAATAAGTTTGATTTATTTTACACGTACTGGTCAAAGTTCAGAATGTCACTAAATTATAAAACTGTATTTTAGGAGTACCAATATTTCTAGAGTTCTTGTAGGTAGGTTTCTAAATCAATTTATACAAATATTATCACATTAAATTTTTACTTTTAAACTAAAAAAACAAATCAAAATAGTTGATACCTATCCAAAAACCTATTATATATTATGTAAAGTAATAATATAGGTCGGTAAAGTAATAATCATATTTTATTATTTTATAATACAAAAACAATTCTTAAGAATAATTTATGAATTTGTTTACTGATTAAGTACTTATAATAATATATAGTCGTAATAAGTTAAATCTTAATTTAAAAATTACATTATATACTTAAAAATATATTATTGGAGCAGATTCTAGAAAATTGTGTCCAATTTATAAAAATTTGAACAGCGAGGTAAATACAGTTATTTAATTATTAATAAATATTGGAATTATATTCTTTTTTTATTATTATTTATTTTAAGCCAATACTTCGATGTAGTTTGGTTCAGATTTAATTGTTCAGGTATAGGTTATTTTTTTAGTTTTTTTTGCACAATTTATATGGTAGGTAATATGTTAAATTAAAATTTAAAAAAATTAATTTTACCTTCCTACATCTAACGATTTTAGGAGATGTTTAAATTTTGATATTATTTTCAATTATTTATTGATAAGTTTGAACCGAAGTAATGGTCATTTTTAGTTTTCTCTTACCTACTTTTTCATTAGGTAGGAATATATTTTAAGATTGTTTCGAAATCAGTCAAACAAATTTGAATACCTACTAAGGAACGAAATAATACGAGAGCTCAATAACTTTGTTACCTGTCCTACCTAAATTAAGCTAAAACTTTAAAATAGAGTCTTATTATTTCTCAATAGAAATTAACAACTTATTCACACAACGGTTAACATGTACGCTATTTGTTTCGTGTGCCTATGTATGGACCAAAGTTTTTAAACTTGTTGTAAATTCTCTATAATGTGAGATATAAAATGCATGAAAGTAATATCGTCTATCTAATATACATATTCCTGTAATATAGTGCATTAAACGTGCATAAAGTATACCTGATTTAATTACCTATATCTAAATAATGAAAAAAATTCCTCTTGACGGTAATAATCATTGCAATTAACATTCATTTGTTTTCATATCTATTCATTACATTGATATCTATTTACTCGTGTTCACCTGAATTAGTATAACGTCTTACAATGAATTACAACGGTCGATCAGGTGAGGCTGAAGAAAATCGGCATTCGCGTTTTTTTTTTTTTTAAATTTTGGTATTCTTAAATAAAATAGAGTGTAGCTGTAACCCGTGACTTCGTTCGGAAATTTACAATGCCTTCTATTTGAGGTGTATGAAAGATGAATAAGCTATTGATGTAGACAAAATTTGAATAATATAATAATCACCTACTTTCAGCAGTCACAAATTAGGACAAATATTTTGAAATATTCTATTATAATAATTTAAAATTACGTAATGATTTTCCCTTGAAATTATATTTTTTCTTCTCTCCCCTTAAGTTAACTATTTACATGGTATTCAGTTTTATATCCATTTACAAAAAAAAAAAATTATTAGTTGTTTAACTTTTTGAAAATGTAAGAAACAAGTAGCTCTAAAATATTACATTTATATCATTTCTTGTCACCTTTATTTTTGGGTGTGAAACGACTATCTATTTTTAATTTTTAAATGACAACACATATTTAAAACTTGAAAGCTTAAATAAATGTTGGTGTTGAAGATATTGATTTTTTTCAATCTGTTGATATATACCACTATTAAGTTGTGGTAGGGGGCGATTAGTAGTACATCATTTGTGTGGTAGCACGGCATGCAGCGTTTTAATAGATAGTGCTGAACTATCTTAATAATAACTTGACGGAAATCAAAAATGTATTATATAGGTATACGTATACCTATCGATATTTAAATACTAAAAATACGTCCTAGGATAATAGGAACGGGTGCAGCTACTGTTTTATGTAGATAATTTAATGTATACCTGTAAGCAACGATAAACCATTGCTGACGAAAAAACCATTCTGAGCGTAGTTAGGTTCGAAAAAGTACCTCCCTAAATACTTCCCCACATCGATTTCCTTCGGAAAAAAAAATAAATATCTTTGTAAAACCATAAGCTTCTCCGCTCTACTCAGAATCTAAAATTCAAAAAATCAAAATGAATATACATTTTAGCTATACAAATTCTACCACGTCTAGAAAAGTACCTACCAACTAGACACAATTTTACTTTTTAAACAGATGCTACACTTCCGATTAAGATTTATGATAAGTAGAAAAGTTGTTAACAGACACAAAAAAAAACACACACATCATAATGAAACCAATATACTTCCATGTCTTGCTAGGCTCAGAATTTAGAATATTATAATATTACTTAGCAATAATATTAACTAGCAATAATCTGTCCAATTTATAAAAAGGGAGACAGGTCAAGCTACCAAAATTACCGAGGAATATCGTTGCTAAATACAATGTACAAATCGTTGCTAAATACAATGNTACTAAACAGAATAAAACCTTACATAAAAGATATCATTGGAGACTACCAATGTGGTTTTATGAATGGTAAATCCACCATAGATCACATTTTCACTGTTAAGCAACTAGTTGAGAAACATTACGAATTCGACAATGATCTACATCTACTATGTATTGACTATAAACAGGCTTATGATTCAATTAATAGAGAAGTACTATGGGACACACTTATAACCTTTGGGATACCAGCTAAGATAGTGAAAATGATCAAATTATGTATGAATAAAACTAGATGTAAAGTTATATTCAATCAACATATATCAGATGAATTTGAAGTTAAGACTGGACTTCGACAGGGAGATGCCCTATCCCCAATACTCTTTAATATAGCATTAGAAATGGTAGTTAGAAAAACTCAAAAAAAATATGGTGGTGTAAACTTGGAAGAGAACAGAAGACAATGCGCAGTACTAGCGTACGCAGATGATATTATCATATTGGAATCAGACAGTCAAGAAGTCAAAGCAGGAACCAAAGAACTAATAATAAACAGCAAAGACATTGGATTACAAATAAACGAAGGAAAAACCAAATATATGGTAATATCTAGGCGAGAAAATCACGAGGAAAATGTAGAAGTTGAGAATTATACATTTGAAAGAGTGCAAAATTTTAAATACCTGGGTGTTACAATAAATAGCAAAAATAATAATCACGATGAAATTAAAATAAGACTAACTGCAGCAAATAAATGCTATTACGGAGTAACGAGTATACTAAAATCAAAACAGGTATCACTCAAATCAAAAATTATAATATACAAGGTAATTATCAGACCAGTCCTTTTATATGCGTGTGAAACATGGCCAACAACTAAAGGAGACGAAGACAAATTAGCAATACTCGAAAGAAGAATATTTGGGCCAAAAATAAATAATACGACAATATGAGAAAATAAATAATATAGAAATACAACAATTATATAAAGAGCCAGACATAGTAGCAGTATTAAAAAATAGGAGAATGGCCGGTCATGTATGGAGGTCAAATGGTCTTATGAAAGAGGTTTTAAAATGGAAACCCCAGGGAAAAAGACCACTTGGCAGGCCGAAACAAAGGTGGAGAAGAATTTAGCAGAGATTGGAATACGAGATGGAGAAACAATAGCACAGGACAGAGACAGATGGAAGCAAGTTTGTGTTGCGGTAATGGGCCTCAATGGCCTTTAAAAAACCGATGAAGAAGAAGATAATATTACTTACTCATATTATTGTTAGGCGTATAGCGCGTGTTACCTGTGTATATATATCATATTGTCTTAATTGTATACACCTATACGTCTAATCATTAGATGTTAAATTCTAACGGTTGGGCACAGTATGTGTTGGCTTCTAGTTTTAACAATAGAACCACAGAATCAGAATTAATAATGTATATACTTATAGATTATAGTACAATAAAGTCGATAATGGAATTTAAAAATATTTCGAGGGTTTGGCTCTCATCCATGGGCATCTCGATAACCACGTTGTATATCACTCCTGCGGCGCGATTCCTATACTAAAGCTGATTTTTTGGACGTATATTGTTGTTATAATTGTAAATAATAATAATCAATGTTATCAATATTTTCCTTAAAACACTCATCTCGAAAAGACAAAATTATTTACTTTTTTCGTGGACAACTTGTGAAACAAGTAGCTCTAAAATGTTACAGTTTTTATTTTTTGTGAACCTAATTTTCGGGCGTGAAACCACTATTTTGATTTTCAAATAGCAATCTATATTCAACATTCTATAATTATTAGATGATGTGTTTCAGTTAAAAATTTAAGAAAAATTAGCATTACTAGACATTTTTTAACGAGATATTCAATTTTTAAGTTATATAAATTGATATTTGAAAATCGAAAGTGGATAGTTGTTTTATCCGAAAATGTAAGTGTGATAAAAAATAAAATGGTAATAAATATTTTAGAGCTAATTGTGTAGATGTAGATGTGTGTAAATGTTTTATAAGTTGTCAAAACAATTTTTGAAAAAGTAAATATTTTCCAACATAATGAATCAAGAATTAAATTACTTGTATATTTTATACGAATTTCTTAAATATCCTGTATTTTAACTATCACTTAATACTAATATAACAATATGTATAATTTTATATTTATACTCGTAATAGGGTTGGAACGATGTTAGTTTTCACGGATCTGTTCAAATACCCACACCAAATATTGACGCACTGGCATACAGTGGTGTGATATTGAATCGGCATTATGTTCAACCAACTTGTACACCATCGAGGGCTGCTTTACTTACTGGAAAATATCCAATTCGTTATGGTAACGTACCTATATATTACAATGATGCTACTTTAATATGATTTCTACCGGCAGTTTTCTTATTCATTATGCAGTTTATATTATATTTTAAAGCTATTAAAAATACGTGAGTTTAGACCCTAAAATATTTTTATTACAAAGTTATAGGGATTTAAATTTTACAGGGATATTGCTGTGAATATGATATGGTCACTCCAAACATAATACTGGTAATTGCAGGAGTAAAGAAATTTTAGTAGTTATCTTAAGTGTAATAAACCTAGCTCTCGCTATTATACACAGTATGTCTGAAAAGTTCTCGAATTAATTTATTTATGGAATACAAATAGCTTTACCTCTCATACAAGAAATGCATTTAGTACAAAGTCTAACAAATATGTAAACAAAATATCAGCACGTTTAGTTTCTTCAGTCTCGAGTTGTATTCTGCTGTGTAAGATGTGTTCAAGATACATTGTACGACCTTGCAACACGGAACAAAGAAGCTCTAAACAATTTTACGTTTGACTTTAAAAATCGTTTACAGAAAGAAACATTTTTTATGATGTAGCAAGCTTTCGGAGATGAAGCTACTTCTCGTACTACAACGTATACATGGTGGAAGCGATTTAAAAACGGTCAAGAATCTTTGGGTGAGGATGAACGAAGTTGACGGCTAGACTAACAAATGTTCACGATAAAAATGTTTCGAAAGTGCGTTCGCTGATGCTCGAACAACTTCATCTTACACTTCGGATCATAGCAGAAAAGTTTAACATCGGTAAGACACAGTACTTACGCACAATTTTAACAGAAAAAATAAACCGTTGAAAGATTAGTTTTCGCTTCGTTCCACATTTTTTGACCGATGAACAAAAACAAACTTTCTTGTAATAGAGACTTCAAATTCCAAGAACTCGATTTGGCTTTTGCAGATTATTTATATTTCCAAAGCTCAAATTGAAGATTAAAGGTCACTTTTTTGATAATATTCCGGCGAAACAAAGAGCTTGTAGAGAACTGCAGTTAAAGGCAATTCCTCAAAATGAGTTCTTCAACGTGTTTGAACAGCTTTACCGGCGCTGCAACGAGAGTATAACTAGACCAGTACTTTATGTAGAGGGTTGGTATGAATAAATTTGTTTATCTTTAAATTGGGTATTTTTTATTTAATTTATTTCGGGAACTTATCAGGTGTACTGTGTACGCAAGATTGGGTTTGCAGGGTATGAAATAAATCTTAATCAATCATTATCAATATGTTTATATTTATAATAGTATACCGCAGTACCTACGTAGATATTTTTTAATAGCACGGACTAGGTAAACCGCATATTCTAATACTCATAGGGCTATAGTATTTATTTTAAATGTACATATTTCTATTAAATTATAATATTCATTGTAATTTTATATTATTATTAATTAATTTTAATATTCATTGTTTAATATGCGATTATCACTGTGGAGTAGTATATTAAGTCCCATGGACATCGAAAGGATTCATTTTGAATATATGCAATATTTGTAAATAAAACCTTATAATGTTTGTATAATTATGTGATTTGAGTACTTACTAGGGAATAGGGGTTACCCGATTGAGCGATATTGAAATAAAAAATCTATGGGTAGTTACAAAAAACTATTTTATAGATCTAAGAATAGAATATTAAACAATTTAAATAAAAGTACAAAAGAAATACCACCGTTGTGAGATTCGAACTTTTGACATTAAATTTAGCTTACTTTGTAATTTATCCTAACATATGCCTTAGTCAATCTTCCCAATTTAACACATGTTGAAAATGAGACTAGATAGTTTCTGTCATCTTCAAGTGTTGATGCTGATACATAGTTGTCGTATAAGTGTATTTAGTTGACAGTAAGTAATTGTATAGGGTATGAGGGTTTACCACTCCAAAAAAAAAATTTTGTCATGTCTTCTTTGTTTTTCCATCTATCACAAACATATGACTTCATAATTTTTCAATCGATTTTTATTAAATTGTGTAGATAGATCATAGGTGTCTTGTGTGAACCTCCATACATTTTTATAGTCAACAAATTATTTAGATATTGTTTCCTATACTTCGTGACTTATGTATATGTACTCCTAAATTCGGTATATTAGCGAGATGTACGTATCTTTTCTCTTAAATTTCTAACCATGTAATTAAAATACGAAAAAAAATCCAGAAATAGTAGCTCTTATTCAATGGAAATTATTTTGAAAAAAAAAATCAAAACATAACAATAATCATTAATTAGATGTTTTTTAAAAAAGTAAAATTTAGAAATATCTATTAGAGGTTTTTGTTGAATGGTGCAATGGGTTTTTACATTTCTGCCTGTCGTATGTCTGCTAAAATCACTTAAATATAACAAAATAAATTAAATTATACCTAATATGTTTTTATCGTTTTATTAGTACTAGCGAATGTATAATTCAATACTTCTTATGTTTGTGAAACTTAATGGCTAATTAAAGTTACCTGTAAAGTCGATCTATCTTTTGTATACACTTAAGACCTGACTTGAAACCAATAATATACAAAAAATATGAAGCGTAATCTACTATAATATTGAAACATAAACTTTATGGAAGTAAAATATTTTGTATTAATATAATATAATATTTACGTTAATCATTTTTAGGCCTTCAAGGAACCCCTATTATTGCTGGTCAACCTTTATCACTTTCGTCAAAAGAAAAAATTCTACCACAAGTAAATATGATAGTTCAATATTCTATAATATTATATGTTATATTATGTTTTAATGGAATATTAACAATTTATAAATAATAAAATGTTAGTATTTACAAGATTTGGGATATTCAACTCATTTAGTAGGAAAATGGCACTTAGGTGCATATAAAAAACAGTTTACCCCCACAAAAAGAGGATTCGATAGTCATTTTGGTTACTGGAATGGATTTATAAGTTATAGAAATAGTACTCATTCTACGGTAAATACCATTTAATTATATATTTAGTATAAATAACGAGGTAATGAATTCGGTTTAAATAATTATATTTTAGACATTAATGAGTGGAAAAGATGCCAGACGTGGATTTGAACGGGTAGGAAATGAGATGATCGATAGATATGCAACAGACATTTTTACAGAAGAAGCTCATAAAGTTATAGAATCGTGTAAACATCAAGAAAAACCTATGTTTTTAATGATAAGTCATTTAGCTGTTCATACTGGAGTCCCTGGACCAAATCTATTGGAAGTTTCAAATAATACATATAATGATATCAGATTCAATTATATTCAAAATAAAGAAAGAAGACTTTATGCAGGTAAGAATATAATATTTAGAAATGTATAACTTTAGTATTGCTTATAATTATCTGTAATGTGTCATATTTATTTTTGACCAGTTAACCAAATCTTAAGTTTAATTTACTATTCATATTATAGTCTTCTACAGGTACATTCAATATAATTTGTATAATTTAAAATATTTCAAGATTAATTAATTCATTTAAAACCAAGAGAATTATAAATAAAATTATCATACCTAAATGTATATTATATTATTAAATATTTGGAGTAGTTATATCTAGCTAATAGATTTTAATTGTTTTATATTAACGATACAAAATAAGATCTAGGATTTGGCGTAGCTGTTTTGGACGTATGTAAATTTTTATTTATAATATTTTATATAGGATCTCTATCAGTGATGGATTTAGGAACAGGCTAAATAGGCTATAGCCTATGGCGGATTTTTTTTTAGAATTAAGAGTTATTAGGTAAATTTATTTCTTCTTTTTTTTCTATATGTATAATTTAAACACAAATAAAAATAATTTTAAAAAGTTATGTTAATATGTACGATGTACCTGGTAAGAATATTAAAACTATTATTAAAATTTAAAAAATACTCCATGTGTAATATTAGTCTGCACATATTAGGAACATCTGAATATGGGTATTTTCTAAAAATATAATAGTTATTTGTTATTTTCGGAAGATTTCACCACAACACTGCCTACGACCGGCGACCGTGCGTGATCATCATGTTTTAACTATTGATAATATTATGTCCAAAAATAGAAATAAAATAAACTTTTAATTTCTCACATTTAAATTAATTTGAATGTTGACACTTAACGAGTGACGATGGGAGTAGCTTGCAGTTTATTCGTCTGGACTGGATGGCAGTTTAAAAGGTAATAAAGTACTTTAATTACTTACCAACTTATTCATTATCTTATTTAACCTTCTAGCGGATACGCTTTTGAAAATAGTACAACAATTTTGTACTTGTGGATCTTTTTGTCTGATTTTATTTCTTTCCTTCTTTAGTAGAAATTTTGATTTTGATTTCATTACATACTTTATATAAGTTTAGTAGTGTAGTATTGTAGATAGTCATTAAATATAACACGCATCGTACCTTATGTAGGTATCTAATTTATTATTTTATGAACAAATAAACTACTATATAGTTCGTATGGCTATAGCCTATATTAATATAGAACAGAAAAGAGTTTAGACCAAGTATTCTTGGTTTCTTAGTTGTGTGAAGGGGGGGGGGGGCGCCAGAGTGATTAAGCCAATGGGCGCCAAAATGGTAAATCCGCCACTGATCACTAGCTGATTCTGCACGAAGTTGCTCGTGACGAATTCAATGGCCGTGGATTCACCCCCTTTAAAACTCCATTAAAAGTCAGCACTAAGCTACATATATTTTTAATATAGCTTTAAAATATATACCCAAATATATATTTGGGTTGTTTTGATCAAATATAAAACAGCGGATACTTGACGTGTTCTACTACGCTAAAAAAAGAAATACATTTTGTTTATTTATTAACTTTTTTATCTTAATGCTAGAGGATAAACAATATTTTGAGTTTTTTCGGTAGATGTGTAAACATAAAGATTATTCGGGATTCCAACTCTGGTGCAAGCAACATATAATTGGCCGTACGAAAAACAGGAATTTTTTAAGTTCAAACCAGCAAAACTTAGCGATTGGCCTTGAGCCTTGTTGAGGGTTATAGTGAAAGACAGACCCACTGGAAACTGAAATCGCTTAAAATCAAATGAAAAATGGGTTGAAATCATTACAATTCGTGGTATCAGCACATCTTTTCCTTTACATTTGCCACTGATGATTGTGGCTTCGATTAAATTCAGCGATAATTTTTTAACAAGTCTTCTTCCGTTGCACAATTTCGGGGGATCTAAGTTGCGAACAAGCATCAACGGTGAATCAACTTTTAAAGTCAAGATGTCAGATGGTTCCAAAGACTTAAGAAACTCTATTGGATAGTTGACAGCTTGTTTCTCATCTATAACAGTGTCAATCGATTTGTACTTAATTTGATGATTTATTTTGTTGACATCATCATTCTTTGGAGCTAAAAATGCTCGTTCGCAAAACCAATCATAATTTAAAAAATTTTCAACATCAGAAAATACTTTCTGTACAACATTTTGAATTGATGAAAATTTATTTGGCAAAAGTTTAGCGGAAAAGATATTTTACGTGTAATCGGATCAAAATGAAGTTTTCCAAAGCTGTTTTGCGTATTTTTGGAATATTCGTGAAATTTTATTTTTCGATTGAATTTCAGAGAGTATCTAATTAAGCAAGAATATTTTTCCAGTGCCTCTAGGAAAATAATTCCATCACTTTCGACTGCTACATGTAAAGCGGTGACAACTTGACTTTACCATTCGATAACATATGTCGGGTGATTCCTTTTGAAATTTCAGAGCGTGGCAGTACAAACAAAGAATGCTTATCGGCTTGCTGTAGCAGCTCTGATTTGAACTTGTTCTAGACATACTGTACGTTGATTGGATGTTTCGGATCTTTTTCGTTTCGCATCTGCTGTATTTCTTCTAATTTCAGGGTTTAAATCACACTCTTTTCGGTGGTATTTTTGTTAACAACACCTCAAAATCATCACCAAATTATACAAAAGCAAATATTTTTTTACTATTAATGAGGTTTTTAATATTTTCTAACTAACCACAAATAATAATAAAACTTTTATAACGGTTTTAAGTAACGTTACATAACAATTAAACACGTTGTTTGTACGAGTACGATTATTGTATTATTTTGTAATTTCGAATTAAAAATTTGCTATAAACTTTTCCCTAAGAATTGCAGATTATATCGGTGAAAACCGCATACTAATCGGTCCAGTAGATTCTAAGTCTATAACGGACATCCAAACATTTGTTGTGTTTTAAATAAATATATTTGTACAAGAACAAATAAAGAATTACTGATTTTATTTAAAATTTCGCTTCCATAAATTTCTAAATAATCTACTATGCACAAATTATTTAATTTCGTTTAAATTCTTTACAAAAATTCCATATTATTTGTTTTATTTTCGTACGTCGGGACGTTGTTTATTCTGTAAAAATTAATTATTCTCTCCCATTATAAAATATAATTCAATATTAAAATAAATGTGACATTAATAATATAGAATCAAGTTTTTAAATTAAATTAAATAAGTATCTATTGTTCCAGGTGGGCTATCTGGTTTTTTTCTATATTCTATACGAACCTGACTTTATTTTCCACTTTGGCTTCTGTTTACTAAAATTATCAGTTACCCAGATTGTTTGAATTGCGTGCCAATTGGAGCATTAAAGAGCACTAAGATTAATATCACTGACTTTTGTGACTCTCCTAAAAAGTTTTTATTGGCATTTATCACATATAAAAAGTTCCTAGCAAACTTGAAGTTGGATTTATTTTTGATCCTTTACATTTCCTCTAAAATCTCGGGACAAACTTTGCTGCCACTTAGTGTATCTGCAGTTTTTCAGTTACAATTTTTGGCACGAGTTATGTAAAATATCACATTTCTCTGCAAACCAATATCCTAATATCACAGCGGAAGAAAAAAATCCTACCCAATCCCTCAAAAAACTCTTCTTTTAGGTTCGTTATAAAATTGCTAATACAATAAATAAAAATATTTTTCAAAGACATCGGTTACATCAAAACTAAGAAGATTATAGATAATTTTTAAAAACAGTTGTTCTCAGAAGTCATAAAAGCCAGTGATATCAATCCTACCGCTCTTCAAGTTTCCGTTGGCCGGAAATTCAAACAGTTCTGGTACTTTTTGATCACTCCTCATATCTTAAAGTCTGATTTTATTTTATAAATCTTGGGATTACTCAATTAGCCAAGACATTGTTATAGATTTTTTTTATTGATTGTTCATAATTATGTCTATATTATTAACTATTTTAAATAAATATATCCGTATATCTAAGATGTATACCTACGACGGTAAGAAAAAATTAATATAAAATATACACTATGAAGGGTAACAATAATATACTTACCTATCCTGAACGGAGTATCCTCAGCAACAATGTTGAGTTTGAATACAGGTATAATTATATTTATTTATTATGTTGATGAGAATAGGTAGTAGGAATGATAAAATAAACACTTGATTTAGTTAAAAATGATGATGTCGAAATGTTAGAAGCCGAAACAGCACGCACTCGCGGGAAGACGAAAAAGATGACGAGTCGCCAAGACAGGATCCGGTGGCCGAATGAATCGAGGAGCCTTTTATGAGAAAGAAAGGGGAAAAGAGTGGAGTGGTTTTGTCCGGTTTTCATTATCATGTATTATTATATGAGATATTTAATTGTAATACATACTATTTTGTATTAATCTAAATTGACTAATAAACTGATAAAATAAAGTGGTGTTCACTATAATAAAATGTAATGTAGATAATATTATATTATGATATAACTAGTTGATTAAAATTATGATATATACCATATTGTATATATCATTACAAATATTATGATTATATATTGTTGAAAAAGAGAAACTATCAACTGAACTCTGCTCAAAATGGTATTTTTGTTTGCAATGGTTAATCGTTGCCTACAGATATACATTAAATTCTCGTCTGTATCTTATCTTCTAATTTCCCACCTAAAACAGCGGTCCACCCTATAAGTATGGCCGTCTTTTTAAAATGTATGTATATAATTATAAATTTGGTTATTTTGTGAGCTCCCCATATAATTGATATAATTTCTATACAATCCCTGTTTCTGGTAGAAAACATAGTTTGCAATTTAGTTAGTTGTATTTGGTAACTTCGCAGTGCGTCGTAAATATTTGCCATCTTTCCGAAAAATTTTTTCAAGATTTTCCCAATATTATTATAAAATCCCCTGGTAAATCAAAAATAATCCACCAATACACCAACGATATAGAATTTACCTTCAGAAAATATGCTATACTTGATATATCGGAGCAAGATTTCCGGTGGAAAAGTTGCTTACACACATAAAAAAAAAAAACATCTAAGTAAAACCAATAGATTATAGATCCCTCACTACACTTAGAATCTAAAAATATATTCAATAGGATTAATCATTTCTTCAATCCGAATTAGACTCATCCATTTACGAATAGCCAGGTTTCGGTTCCTTTTTATTCTAATTTTCATTGACGTGAATATACGCATATATATATATATGTGCAGTATCAATAATTATCGATATATTACCCATTTGTCTTTTTGGGGACTATAATTATTTTAATCAATTAAAATATATATTTTATTTACATAAATTATGTATTTTAATTTATATAAGTACTCATCAAATTTACACTCTTAAATTTCATAATTTATCTTTAATTTTGTAGCATTTTTAGTTCCCAAATTTTTGTTTCTTTCTTTGTTAGTTTTAAATTTCTCCTCTACATTAATTAATTTATTTTTTGATGGACGATTTCGTAAATTTCCTGAAATTTTAATCAATAATTATTTTCTTGATAATTTATTAGCATAAAATTGAAAATGTAATAACAAATAAATACATTTTATCGATATTACCATAAATAATCACGGTCGTCAAGGAAAATTTTTTATTTATCAATTTCATATATTCATCTTCATCTGTCAATTTTTCATAATTATTAAACAATAATATACTAAATAATAAACGGTATATAAAAAGTATATATAATTTATGCAATATTCAGTATACATTGGGAGTGATGAAAATGTATATATAAAATATACAAAGACGTATTATTTTATTATTATATTATTTTTCTTCGATTTGGTTGTTATGGAAATAAGTAAACAAAAATTGTATCCACCTTAAAACATAATATATATGTTAGAGAATGTTTTGAATGTCGATCCAGTAATTCCGGGGATGACCCCCTTTATACAAACTAACAAATTGTATCTCTTTACAATATTAGTAAATAGTTATAATAAACAGACAGACAGTGTCTGTCACACACAACAACGTGAAAAGTTTCTATTTTTGTAAACAATTCAACAAAACTAATTAATATATTATGTTTAAATGTGGTATAAATTGTGATTTATAATATTTATAGTATTATCTATGATTTAATGACTAGCTGTTAATATATTCTAATGTAAAATTGTCAAATATTTTATAAAAAAAAAAAAAAATATATATAAAATGAATAATATAATTTCAGGAATGCTGACTTCATTAGATGACTCTGTGGGTAGTGTAATTAAATCGCTGGATAATAATGGAATGTTGGAAAATTCAATAGTGTTGTTTATATCTGATAATGGTGCACCAGCTGATGATCCTATATGGGGCTATGAAAATTCAGGGTCTAATTGGCCATTAAGAGGAGTATGCAAAAAATAACATTATATACGTAATTGTTATAATAATTATTTTATTACTAATTTGTAAACATTTTTGTTTTTTTTTTTTTCTGGATTTTGATATTGTTCTCGTAATCTGTCAATTTTGGTAACAATACATACGAGGATCGATCAATAAGTAGATAACCGTGTTTGAATGACAGATGACATTGCTAAGAGAAGATTTCATAATTAGACATTTTAAACAATAAAATATTTGTTTTTAATCTCTGGACATCGTGGAGTATAAAATTCATCATACTAAATTCCAGACTGATTCGTAGTTCAGTTTTTCTTTGGCAATTATCAGTCAGCACGTGTTTTGCGCGTCTTGATAAAATGGGAGAAGAGTAATATCGATCCGTAATTTGCTTTTTACTTTTGGATAGAAAACCATGTGAAGAAATAAAAATGAAGTTAAATGCGAAATATTTACCATCTATAGGTATAAGTGTATAACAGTGACTCGAGAGATATTGCTTCAACGAATTTAAACTTAGTCATGCATTTGTTTTTTTATGAGACTTAGTGGTCCAGTTAACGTGATTGTTATCGAAAAAATCGTTGAAAAGCAGAACAAAAGCGGAGACCGTAGGTATGCCATTGGAATTGGTCAATGTGTATTGTGTACACTATTCTACCCATTTTGCCCATAGTTTGTCTCCATCTATATACATTTTATTCTATCTGATTACTCTATTATTATTTTTCTATAATCAACTATAAAAACGAATTATTTAAATTCATAATGTTAACTCATTTGGTTTGTATCTTTACGATGAAAATACTTTGAAATTTAAGTAATTTTAAATCAACTTAAAGTACATAGCCACACGGGTATAACTAAAGTATACATATTTACATATTTAAATTAATTTTTAAAGGTAAAAATTTAAGTAAATAAATACAAAGCTTTATTAATATATATTTTCTACATATTTATATTTATTTATTATTTATAATTTTCAAAAAAGAGTACAATTTCATGTACTTAACACTATTGTTAAGGACATAGGACAATGCATCAAAAAAGAGTACGCCCGGTCACCATACCTATAAGGTCTTTCATTACGATAGGGAACCAGCATATTATTTATTCCGAAATTGTCAAGGCCTAAATGTATGAACCAGGGGCGGACTGACTATGTATGAGGCGAGTCGGCAATTTTTTTACTTTAGGCCATAAATGACGTTCTCAGAAATGTGATATGAAATGGGACAGTGTATAATACAGGAATGAGTGGGTTAAATCAAGGTTACCAAACCCTCAATATACGTTTAAAGGGAATAACTAACTGAATTAGTAAATTTAAATAATTCAATCAAATTTTACATGATACTGCTTTATATAATATGTTTTACTATGATTAAAAATACCATTTTAAATTAATAAATATAAACGAATAATTGTGTTTTTCTTCCAACTTTAAAAAATACTGATTATCATATTTGATATTATCCTACTAAAAGCTTCTTCATTTCGGTTGAAGTGGCAGCCAAGCGATCAATAATTACGTTGTATGGTATTTCCATATCACGTTCAAATGACATCAACATAAATGCTTCCAATTTGTCATCAGACAGTGATGATCTTAGTCGAGTTTTAATTTTTTTCATCATTGAAAAGTTTCTTTCACAAGTTACTTGCGTGAAGGCTAAAATAACTACCAACTTATAAGTCTCTTATAACTCATTATAATCAGATACATGAGTCACTAATGATTATACAAACTCAAATGCATGATTTACACTTTATCCCAACCACTGCACATTTTAGTTCTTCGTTTTCTGTATCTTCGTCACTAATTATATCATCTCCGAATGTATTGCCTTGACTATTACTTACCAGACATTCATCTGAAATTGCATTATAATTCTTTGCGTATTCTATCAGTTGACGTTGCACTACCAAAAACTCAACTCGAGCCATTTCTGCAATTTTGACCATAGAATTTTCAGGAAACATGAATTCAGGCTGTTTAATTTTATGAAAGTTTCTGGGATTCAAAAATGAAGCAACTTGAATTATGCATTGATTATTCATGTACCTGAAATTATACAATTCAGTTTTCTTCATATTTTGTTTTAAGCTAATGTGTTTATTTAAAAAATCAATAATTTATTAATTAATATGAGTTATGAAAACATTATCTATGCTGCTTTACCTGTCTTATAATGTTCCAAATGCACTGTTGTAGATTGTTTTATACACTTCGTTTTCAAAACGTTTTTTTACATCGTTTGGTCTATGATCAGTAGCTAATTCATCTGGTATTTTTTTTGTATGGCGATTTCTATATTTCTTCAAACTACATGACCATGAAGAATTTTCGGTAGTTACCGTCCATTTTTTCCAATAAAAGTTGTAAATATAGATCAAATAGTGTTGCTTTTACAAAAAATAATTCAAAATTATTTACTCCTTCTATTTATTTTTTTTCTGAGTTATTTAATATTGTAAAAGCTAATGTGTAGTTTAATCTTTTTTACTGTAAACATGACAAGGCTGAAGAACTTAAAGCAAATAGCGACTGGAAAACATATGCTATGAGTATCTTTTTAAATTTTAACAAGTTGTTAGCTACACTTTAGGCTTCTGAATCACAATAACGATTATATATTTCATACACGCTGTATAATCATTACCCTATCACAAAAACTAATCAAATGAGAGACAACGCAAACTATATATAGACCCAATCATGCAAAATCGTTCTCCATCCCTTCATCTTAATATTCTCTTGGCGCGCGGGGTACATATCCATGTAATATACAAGTAATAACAATAATATGATGTATAAGTATAATAATATGCTTGGGTTTTGGGATAAGCACATAATATTCTAAAACTCATAAATATAGACAAATTTTCAAACTTTTTTGGAAAAAAAAACAAAGCATAGGGGCTAAACATGAGCGAGGGGCCAGTCGGCGATTGCCGACCAGCCGACCGGGCTAGTCCGCCTCTGGTGTGAACTGCTCTACGAACTGCTGCCATGCCCAATATACTCGTCTAAGGTTATTCCATGCAATTTCTTTCTAATCCCCAACATGAACATTGTTCGAAGAAAATAATATTCAGCTAAGACGAAGAGGTTATCACTGAAACAGAAGCGTATTTTTAAGAGATTCACAAATGTTATTTTCTTGGAGGGATTAAAAAAACGGCAGAAATGTTAAGAAAACCGTATCGACCTAAAAGAAGGTCATGTCAACAAATGTGTAAAAAAAAAAAAATGTTTGAAAAACTTGCTTCTTCATTCCTAATACGGGTTGATTAACACTCTTATTATCTAAATTTCCAGAAATAGGTAACAATTTTTTTTAACTCATGGTTCAAATACGTTACTACGCTATTTTTAGATACTTCCATATGCAATTTTATTATTATATTATACTTATAATATTACCGTTAATTGTATATTATTAATATTTATTATAAATTATACATTTTATTTTATTTAGGTGATAATTAGAATAAAAAGTATGCAAATTAATAATAAACATAATTATTCACCAATACGAATTAATTATTTAAAACAAATTATTTAGGAAAAAGGAGCAGTGCTGGAAGGTGGTGTGCGTGGTGTAGCTGCAATATGGAGTCCGTGGATAAAAAAAAAACACAGAATTTCTGAAAATTTATTTCATATAACTGATTGGCTGCCTACTTTGTATACTGCTGCAGGTAAGTTGTACAGGAGCGTGATCACGGTAGGAATGAGGGTGTCATAACCCCTCTCCCCCTATGACGTTTGAAGAAGTAGGTACCAAGAATTGTACTAAATTTTACCTAAAAAACTAGTTGTATTCAGAGCCCTTTTAATAAAAATGTTGACCATGCCACTGAAGTCGTAAGTAATTATTTTATTAAGTTTCTTTTATGGTAATACCATGTTCAACTAGGGATGTCATTCGTCCCGATTTAACCAGGATTCTACTGGTTTTAAACACGCCGTCTCAATATTCATGAAGTCCCGTGTCTTCCAAAATGTACATTTTTACAAAACTCATACAATTTATTATTTTGGATATTTACATATTACATTTTATTTCAGAAATAATTTTTAACTATCGGGTATTATGCTATATTTATAAACTTTTTCAAGCAGATAATTGGACGTTCACTTTTTCTCTAATCGTCGTACCGAATCTAATCGTATATTATTACTTGTGGCTGTGACACAAAACTATTACTGCGTTATTTCAATTGTTTGTTTTAGTTTGTTAATTAAGTAGAAAACACAAGTAATTAGGATTGACTAAATATGTATACTCCATAAAATAATTTGTTAGTAAGAGATGGTATATCTACTTAGTACCATAACAAGAAAACAAATTCAGTCGGGAGGCACTAATAATTTGTATATTAATATTTAGATTAATAAAACTCTTTAAAATAATTTAAATAACCAATAAATGATTTAGGAGGACTAAATTTGAATGTCCTGATTTTTAGTCTCTAATAAATGGCAGCCCTAATAAAACTAATATACTACTAATTGTATGGTGCCATAATCATAATAATAACAGAATAATACAATTAATGACCTATATTTTCTAATAGTGCACTTCTTCTTTAGTATTATCACTAGTTTTAATTTTATTATTTCTGATAATTGTTCTACAATTACTGGTTAACACCTAAATATATGTTCAATAATTTGAAATGGTTATAAATTAAATATGTTTATTGAGTCAATTAATAAATATTTTCGAATTTATTCACTTTCTAACTATTGAGTATTATATCATAATGGCATGGAAAAAGCATAGTTAAAAGAACGCCATACCGGCATCAGTTATACCTACTGTTTCCGACTTACAAACGCACGATAAAGCAAATTTGCGTTCAGTTGGGCAAATTTTGTACTGTTTGTTTTAATATTAAAATGAATTGACTAACTGGTATAATCATCCGATCACCGATAATCTTAATACCTTTAAGTTTGGTAATAGCCAATAGGTCAATTTGCTTAAATATTAAAATTATTTACGGCATACAATTATTCCTACTGACCACAAATTTCACGTCAAATGTGTATAAGACGGAGACAGTATATGCGAGTATGGCATTCTCTTAATGTATTTCAAAAATATTATAACTACCTTGTTAATTAAAATAACAAATTATAACGGTGGACGCAATATAAAAGGGAATGTAACTTCCGAATGCTACCAGGCGCGCTTCTATAGGTTATTTTGTTTGCATTCTACAAGCATACCTTTTCAGAATACCCTCTTATATTCTATGCTAAAAATTACATTTGTTTAAAATTCATATGAGGCGTATTCCTTGCATAGGTATGAACCAATTCAAATTACGTTTTTTTTCAAATTTGTACAAATTAAAAGTTCTTTTATGTTTTGTGTAGTACATTTTAACCGGATTTTATTTAAAAATAATTCAAAATTATTTATTTTAGGTGGTAATTTTGAAGACTTGGGCCAAATCGACGGCATTGATCAGTGGAAAAGTTTAACTGAAACTTCAAAACATATGAGATCAATAATTTTAATCAATATTGATGAAATAAGAGGAGAAGAAGCATTAATTTTTAATCAATGGAAAGCAGTAAAAAGTAAATTTCTAGTATTATTAACTTATATGTAACTTATAACTTAAATTATACTTTAAATGTAATAATAGTGTAATAGCTCTTGATTATTTTAACAGGTAATCGTACTAGTGATATTGCTTATTATTTAAAATACAGTGGTGATCCTGGAAATTTAGGGCCAGATTACAATATGCCAAATGTAGCAGAAAGTCTTGCAGGTTTACATCTATCGAGAATCAATTGTTTAGTATCTAAAGAAGATTGTATGGATACATTGACCACATATACGTTATTTGAGAATGTCCGTTCTCAGGCTAAAGTTGACACTAAATGTACTGAACGTATTTCTGATTATAATCCTAATAAACACTATGAATGTTTTGATAGTTATTGTTTGTTCGATATACAACAAGATCCTTGTGAATATAGAAACATAGCCAAAACAAATCAGCAAGCTCTTAATATGACAATAGACATGTTGGAACAATTTAAAAAGGAGATGATAAAACAAGTTAATCCAGAAATTGATCCCAAAGCAAATCCAAGTTATTTTGATGGGTATTGGGAAACTTGGATGGAACATAGTGGTTCTAATTATCTCATAGTAAACACATATCTTACACTTTTTATGAGTTTATTATATTTTTTCTGATATAATATAATTTTAGTATAAAATATACAAATTGTGTACATAATGTATTTGAGTTAATTATTTGTTCCTTAATTTAAAATATTTCGATCACTTCAAAAATCGTATTTGTTATGACATCATTATTAAAATAATGTGCAACTAAATTTATCTCCCAATAGGGTATACCTACTAATTAATAATATATATTGTACCCTTAATCGTAAAATTGTAACATTTATTTAATTCATACATTTTTTGATTAATTAGATATTTAGATAACTATCTATATTTTGAATTATATTATTTATGGATTTATAATTTGTTAATTTGTTGATACAACATGTCTAGTAGCTAGTAGGTAGTATATATATACATATAAATCTATTGTATATTATACAGGGTGTCCCACAAAGATATACCTATTGTAATATTTTCAGACAATAAAGATAATCAAATTCTGTTTTTATATTACTCACTGGGATAAGGACTACAAATATTTATATTGCAATTCATTTTTTATGCTTTGATAAAAAATTTAAAATAATAAAATAAAGTAATTTTTTTAATCTTTTACCAAACCATAAAAAATTAATTACAATATAAATGTTGAAGTCCTAATCCCAGTAAGTAATATAAAAAAAAAAAAAAAACAATTTATTTATCTTTATTATCTCCGGAGATAATATTACAATAGGTATATCTTCGTGGGACAACCTGTACAAGCTGATATTGTATGCAGTTATAGGTGGAAAATTTAAAAGATAGGAACATAAAGTTATTAAATTTATATCTGTAAGCAACGATAAACCATTGCAAACGAAAAGCGATTCGAAACGAAGTTCGGTTATACACGTTTTGAAAAGCACGAATATGTACGATATTCAATCAAATTTAATAGTAAAACTTTTATAAACAAAATACTACATTACACTTAATTTTAGATTCGGTGCGTAGTGAGGGATCTATTGGTTTTACTATGTGAGTTTTTTTTATTTATTTCTTTTTCTGTCTGTGAACAACTTTTCTTTAATTATTTATTAATTGTTACACTTTTGACTTTTTTACTGTATACATAAATTATTGTATAACTTTCAAGCATTTCAAATCAATAAGAATTTTTTGCGGAAATACCGGAAATTTTGATTTTTATAAAATAATACTCTTTAAATTTATACAGCGTTATATTTTATTTTTATTTTGTCTGTATTATATTGTAGTATTATTATTATTTTGTTTTCTATTTATTTTTTAACGTAGATTATTGTAATATATCATATATTTATTTTTTAACGTGTATGATATATTAAAATATTATTATTTTGTTGGAATTAGTAATGTATTGAAAGATCAAAATAAAGTAAATTTGATTTATGGCGTATCATTTGAACTGTTGCAACAAAAAAAAAACCATTTAATCCAACTAGTATAATGAATCTATAAAATATTTAGTTGAATTAAATAAAAAATATTTTAAAGAAAATGATAATATTTGTAAAAAATAATAAAATCAAAAATAAAATACATAATTTTTGTATACTTTTAAAGAAAAAATAGATTAAACATAATAAACATTGTAATATATTTTTTCTATTTGTTCAAAAAGAAAACCAATGGCTTACAACTATTTTTATAGTTATTCATTTGGATTCGGCACCCTTTGAAACCTAACCTTATTTTTGAAACATATAAATTGATATAAAAAATACAAATAATGTAAAACTTTAAAAATGACCACGCCACAGCCTCCCTAATAAACAAGTCAATTGTGTAATTTAGTTTAATACATTTATAAAGATTTGAAATTTTGTCAGAAAACTTATATTTATTTTTAAAGACATGGTAACATTTTAAAAATATTTTATCTTTTTTTGAGCTAATTCTATGGCCATTTTAATTTTGCGAGTTTTGTACATAATTTTTATTCGGTAAGTACTAGGCACTCTGTAGATAATATTTTTGGACTAAACAGAAATGCCAAATATAACAGGAGATTCCTTGAATGCTGTACTTTGTAGTCAAAAAAAAATTTAGAGCTTTGCTTTATAAAGGAATTTTGATACCAAATTTTTACAAAAAATCGTTTGAGTAAAAAATCATGTGTAACAGATTCAGGTCGATGCAAATTTTTAAATTTTTTGTTTTGATCATATATATATACCTTTTTTCGATTTTTTATTCGAAATTGGTGACACTGGATTAGTAGAAATTTATTTTTCAAGATTACATTTCAGGTTTTAACATTTCAAATTTCGATAACCGTAAAACCCTGGATTCAAGATTTGTATTTTCAAGAATTGTGCGTCCAGATTTTTACAGGTATTCTGGTAAAGTTGTATGTTGTCGAATGTCTTCATGATGATTTAAATTCTTATACATAGTTTACATTCAGCCGCTATTCACACATTAGCACATTCAGCCATTGCTACTCGCGCTGCCGTATTTACTCCTCAAAATACTTCTGTGACAGCGTCGACGGCAGTGAGTGTTTACATTGCCCTGCTAATTATAGCAGCGCGAGCAGTAATTGACCGGATTGATCGCATTGTCGGTTATGTTGCTGCTCGCGCTGCTCAGTTTATCGCTCTTGACGGGAGCGTCGGACAGCGTCAGTGCGAGGAACATGATCAGCGCGAGTGACGTGTTTACATGCTCGCGCTGCCCATTTTTATGCTCACTTCCCTGCTCACTGCCACGGAAGTGGGCTGAATGTAAACTAGGTATTAAAATGTATAAATGGATAAGTTGGTTGTATTGTATGGTGGTTTTTTGTCAGGTGGAATTTTGTCGTGCTTCGAGGGATACGATGTACCTGGGATGGGTACAGTTATCCAAATCGTGATAAGAAGTATGCTTTATTGCCAACATCAAATGTTTAAAAATATTATCAAATAGGTTAGTTAATGATAAGGAAATGCTCCAAGTGATGTAATAGTTGCTTATACATCCTAAATCAAAGCGCAATTATCATATTCAATACCTCAATACCTATGAACACGGTTATTTCTATAAGGCGATAAATATATTATTATATTTTCCACACATGTCGTATAGTGGATATGCAGTTTATGTAACAAATAATCTATAAAAAACCTTAAATATATTATAGTTGTATAGTTGTATAGTTAAATAACATCTTAAAAATAATTAGTTCAAAATATAATTGTGCATCTAATAATATAATTTTCTTTTATAAGTTTATAATATATAAAAATAATACTAAAAAAAAAAACAACGTTGAAAATAATTGAGTAATATTATATAAATTGATAGAAGTAGAACAAAAACAATATTGGTAATCAAACAGAAAAAGGCTTATAGACAAAAATAATACAATTGGTATAGGTAACTTTATATAATATTAAAATTTAGACATATTGATGTCTCTCTGTTACATTTAGACAATTACAATTTACATAATTTTAGATGAGTGATTGAGTGATTTTAGATTCTGAGTATTGTGAAGAATGTATTTGTTTTACTATAGTGTTTTTTTTTCTATCTGTTACCAGCCAATCTTGCTTCGATTTTAAATGGAGGATACTTTTGTGATAATCATTTTAACATCAACTATCCCGTATTGATATCTATATAGCACGGATTAAGATATATTTTAATTCGTGCTATATAGTATATTCTATACTATAGATTCTACGTACATACCTACTTGATTTTACGGTTATTGTTGAATAGCCCGCTCATATACCTACTAATAATATAATATAATATATTATGATCTAAGTAGCATGCATTCGTCTTTTACATTTCCTTGTGCTGTGGCGTTATGCTCAATGTCACGCGTGATCAGTGACGGATCCAGGGTAACACAAGGGTACGTGCCCCCTGTCAGTATACTACAATTTTTATTTATATATTTTATAATTATTTAATATATAATTTATAGTTAATTTACTGAAAATTTAAATAATGCCCTCTCCCCTTAAAAAAAATGTTTGGATCCGTCGCTGTGTGAGAGATACTGCAAGTACCTGGGTACAAATCTGGAAGGCTTAAGGCCAATAATAATTTTTGCACTTTTTTTTTTAAGAACAAATTCTTCGACGGATATTTTTGTTTTAAAAATAAAACGTTTTCTCTTGTTACCTACCCAATGAAGGATCCAAGAACCTCTTCATCAGTCTCTTTTTACTTACACAAATATTTTAAATTGTGTAACGCATTATAATTAATTACTCAATATCTATTTTTGAAAACATTGGGAAATGGGAATGTGAAATAATTTTGCTTTTAAAAATAACTATTAGATTTTGTATTATAAAAGTTATTTAAAAATAAAATATATTGTAGTATAATTATTATTAGTAGGTTAGTAAGGTACCTAATTAACATAAACGATTCCTAATTCAACCATAATAAAATTAATAAAATTCCCTTAATAATGATTTTTCATGCTTTTAGGAACATGTAAACTAGAAAATTATAATGTATATGACTTAGAAGTAATTTTTTAGGATGCCCCACCCGACGTGGCTTTGCAAAACAAATGAAGTGATATTTTCGTAAAAAAAAAAAAATTAAAAAAACGGCCAACATTTTGTGATAACACGCGATTGCCTTGTATTTGTTTACAATCATTGAATATATACGATTATGGATATCTTTCTAAATAGCTTGTTATTAGCTAATCGAATTACTAAATCTAAGTAAATAAGTTATAAGTTATTATATACAACTACTAATTTAGAATACAAAGTTATACAAACAGAATACAAACATCATGGTAAATTAAATAATAGATTATAAAGTCATTAGTTACTTATTTTCATATTTTGCATTATACAGGTTTATAGCGCAGGGGAAATAGAAAATGTTCGAGTGGCAGTACGTTTGCGACCCTTAAGCAAAAAAGAAAAAGCTTCAGACTGTACATCTGTTGTAGTAGCAGATTCTGAGAATGCGGCTGTCTTTGTACAAAATCCAAATCCATCGCATGTCGGACCTCCAAAGACTTTTATGTTTGATTTGGTATTTGATTCGGATTCAAAACAAGTGAGTTAATATTCGTGTAATAATAAAAATTTCTATTATTTAACGAGTGTTATTCAATAGTTGGATGTATATAATGAAGTGGCACGGCCAATTGTTGACAAAGTTTTTGATGGTTTTAATGGCACAATATTTGCATATGGCCAGACTGGTACAGGTAAAACATTTACGATGGAAGGGTCACACACATCTCCAGAACTTAAAGGAATAATTCCAAATTCATTTGCTCATATATTTGGTCACATTGCTAAAGCAAGAGAAGATGTAAAGTTAGTAAGCTCAATCTTATTTTACTTGAGTGAAAACCAGTATATTTTATTGTTATACTTGTAACTTTAATGAAATAAATATTATTAATCAAAATATCATTCTAAGTAAAGCACATTTGCCAATAATGTAGTTTTTATTTGTCTGCATAAGACTATTGAATCATAATCTCCCTGTGGTAAGGAATCTGAATACTTTCATGGTATATCTGCTTGTTCTAAGAGGTAACAAATAGTGTTGTGTTGGGTCAACAATTGGTGTAAAATTTTGTCAAACAGTCTAAGGAGTTCTAAACAAGAACCCATCTTGGATGTGCACTAAGTAAGCAGAGATACCATTGTGCATGATATTTGCAGATGATAAATTAATATTAAAGCTATTAATAGGAGAAAATCTATAATAATTTAGTAATATACTTGAGGAATGCATAGTAGCAATTAGGACTAAGGATAAGTAAAAATAAAACAGAGTAAGTGCTTCATTAATTTTATTTTTTTTGGGTGTGCGAGGTTCCAAGCAAGCCATTTTAAATATTTCACCGGGCCATATAAAAATATACATATATACCTATGTATATTATCCTGCTTTTAATTGTTTCCATAGATTATGAATCACAATAAATAGAAACAGTAAAAAGCAGTAAAATGCATACAAATATTGAAGATAATAAATTCTGAAAAAGAAAGAAAATAATATAATTTTCAAATTATTATTAATTGGTATGTTCTTATAATTTTTGCACAAGCAAAACACTCAATAATAACAAATTAATTATAGTTAGAGGATATTTAAGAGGAAACCAGCAATTTTTAAGTCCAATAAATACATCCACAGCTTTTCTAATTCATTAGTATTTACTTATTTTTCAACATTTAGCACCTTAAGATTAGTCTTTGACCATCGTCCATGGAAATATGATTTTACATTTCTAAACAATGAAAAAAATCTTTTATTTGATGCCATTGTAATTGCTAAAGTTTTTATTATTGGTATTGGTTTGAAGGAACAGGACAATTCAGTTAAGAACAATAAGTGCTTATAGGCAAGATTGAGAGTTTTAATTACCTATCTAAGATCTTTTGTTCAAAAATATAGTAGCTTTCATGAGAATGTGAAAAATAGGATTAAATGCAGTTAGATAAAGTGTAGAGTAGCATCAAGTGTTTTATGTAACAAGAGAATTCCAATGAGACTTAAAATTGTGTTTTACAGAAGTATGGTGAGAATGTGAGACTATGTTGTATGGTTTAGAGTCTTGAAGAGAGAATTAGTGTAGTAGAGATGATAATGCTTATGTGGGCTACTGAATTCTTTAATTAATAGAAATTTACATGAATTTTATCATTTAAAAACAGCACACCTATTAAATACCATTTAACACAAATATAATTATGAAACCTAAAAATATAAATACTATTTAAACAGTATCATTTCTTATATTTGTAATATGTAGTTCGTTTTAAAATAATTACTTATATTAAACATTCCATAAATAGATAATGTTTTAGTGAAATAAAATTTTAATTTTTGTCAACCCGTTGACAAGATATTCCACTTTTAAGTATTGGAAAATCATTTGTGTGGTATTTGAATAGTTAATGGGAAAAATGACAACACTAAAATTTGTCTTTACTAAAACGACAGTTTTTTTTATGTAGGTAGGTAACTATTTGAAAATCAAAAGTGGACGGCTGTTCCAATAGTATTTTATCTGTTGTCTTTGGTTTTTGCTCTTACTGACTTCATCATATAATGAAATTACAATAATATATTAATAATGATTTATGCGTACCTATTTAAATTTTATTAGATTTTTAGTGAGTGTTTCGTATTTTGAAATTTATAATGAAGGCGTTTATGACTTGTTGAGCAAACATGTATCTACTGAATTGGAAGTAAAAGAGAGACCTGATGTTGGTGTGTATGTAAAAGATTTGTCAACATATGTAGTAAATAACGCAGATGATATGCATCAACTTTTGATGACTGGAAACAAAAATCGTAAGTAATTTAAAAAAAAAAAAATGCTCGCTTACAGTTTGTTTAATTTTTTTATTCTTAGGTGCCACTGCTGCAACAGCTATGAATTCAGAAAGTTCTCGGTCACATGCAATATTTTCAATTACTATAGAAACTAGTCGACCAGATGTTACTGGTGAATATCATGTTAAAGTTGGTAGACTTAGACTGGTTGATTTGGCAGTGAGTTTAATATTGTTGAATGTCAATAATAAATGTTAATATTGATATTTTATTCATTGTATTCACAAAGGGTTCTGAACGACAATCGAAAACAGGTGCACTTGGTATAAGATTTAAAGAAGCGACAAAAATTAATTTATCTCTTTCAACTCTTGGAAATGTTATTTCTGCATTGGTTGACGGCAAGTCTACTCATATTCCTTATCGAAATTCGAAACTCACACGAATATTACAAGATTCATTAGGAGGGAACTCAAAAACTGTCATGGTAATTTAATTTTCAGCCATATAGGTATATGTTCATTTTTTTTAAAAATATTAATCCATCATAAATTATATTTAAATGTACAATGTTTATTCAGTGTGCTACTGTGGGACCAGCCGGTTTCAATTATGATGAAACTATTAGTACATTACGATATGCTAACCGAGCTAAGAATATTCAAAATACATCCAAAGCTAATGAGGATCCAAAGGAGGCATTGCTCAGACAATTTCAATTGGAAATTGAAGCTTTGAAAAAACAAATTGATGACAGCAGTAAAGGTCTTAGCGAAGCAGATGATGATGGAGAAGAGGAGGGAGAGGAAGAAGAAGGCCTGGTTGTTGGAGCTTCCGAAGAAGTAGCTAATGCAGTGCAGAGTAAACGTGAAGAGTTAGATGCAGCACGCCAAGAAATGATAAGATTAAAAGAGAAACTAGAAAATATGGAGAAAAAAATTATTGTAGGTGGTGAAAATCTCTTAGAGAAGTCTGTGGCACAAGAGAAATTATTAGAGGATTCAGCAAAAGAGCTATTGGATAGGAAATCTAGACAGATGAATTTAAATATGCGTTTACAAGAAGTACAAGCAGAAAAAATAGACACAGAAGATAAGTATAGTGGTTTGCAAGAAAGGTCAGCAGCATTAAGTAAGAAATTGAAAAAACTATCTGCCGCTATTTTAGCTGTTAAGGAAGATTTAAAGGATACTGAAGAAGAGGGTAAAAGAGAAATTGTAGAATTGAAACAAATTTTAAAACAAACTTCTAAAGAGTTAAAGATGCAAGAAGTCATTATTGAACATTTTGTTCCTGATGAATATTTGGTAAGATTAATTAATGACAAATTATATCTATAAAAACATTTCCATTAAAATGTTTTTTTCAGGATCTTATTAAAAAAAATTCATTTTGGAATGAAGAAATTGGGGAGTGGGAACTAAGATGTGTAGCATATACTGGTAATAACATGGCAAAAGAATTACCAAATGAAGAAGAAATAACATTTGAGGCAAGTTAATAAATATTTACTTAAATAAAAACTTTCCAGTTTATAAAATATTATAATCTATATACACAGTTGAATCTCATTAATCTGGACTAATTAGGGCTTTAAGTTTTCCAAAATAATAAAAGTCTGGATTAAACAATATAACCAAAAATCATGTTTTTTAGTTATTTATTTAAAAGTTTACTGGCTTCAATAACTAAAAGAAACAGTGTATACACTATGGATTTAAGATTGTGTATTATAATATACATAATTTATAGATAATCGCAATAACATTTATGGGAAATTCATGGAACTTGTTTTCATGTTTATTTTGGTCTTTATATTATTAGACAACTGTCCTGATTAATAAGGTTTTACTTTAATAAACACAGTACAGTATTCAAGAAAACATTTTAGGGGGTCAACATTTTTATAAATTACCTGTAAGCATTAGTTATTATTTTTGAAACAATTGTGAGTGGAAGGATTTTTGGGCCCTTTTATATAGTTTCTGTATAGTTTCTAAATATCCAAAAAAAAAAACTAAATATTTTTCTCTTAATGTTGGTTTAATGTTAACTCTATTTTGTATTTTACAATTGTTGGATATTTTAAATAGTATTCAGAATGATATTTCAAAATGTGTATAAAAAAACTATAAACAAATATTTTACAACATTCAAAGTGCATTACTGGTTATCATTTAGATAGTTTACTAGTAAAAGTTTCTGGCCTTTAAGACCACCTCATAAAACAAACTCTTCTCCATTTATTTTTGTCTTCGACTGCTTCCCTTGTAAGTTGTTATAGTTTTTAATTTGGCATTACTTTTTTGCTATGCATACCTGGCCAACATCAATTTTATTTTTGTGATTTAACTAATTAATTAGTATTATACAATGACAAATCAATGTTTTAATACAATGTTTATTAATTGTTATAGACACGCAGGCCAGATTTTTCACATGTTTATTTAACTTATAAAGACAAAGCACAAACGAGATCTAAGTCAAGAACCGGCAAACGAACTTAAATTCTATCACTTTTTTTTCAATACTGTGTACATTTATTGATTTTTAGTAATAACTCTTTTACCTAGTCATTTTTTTTATTACTAAAATTGATAACCACAAATTAATATTAATTTTGCATTTTTAGTTATTTATTTATGATAATATTATAATAAATAATGTAATTTACTTTAATAATTCTATAAATAAGTAAAATAAGTTTGTTTGTATGTAAGGGATCTTCAGAATTACTGAACCAATTAAACATTTTTTTCCCATAAATATAGGTTAATCAGTTTAAATTTTAAAATGCAAAAAATTAAAAAGAATCATTAATTTACTATTAAAAATTAACATCTCGTACTGTATTTATGTTAGTGAAGTGGCATTTATACTACATTCCATCCAAGTGGTCTAGTAGTCCAAATATATTTTTTTTTCATTTTTACCACTTGTTTTATTTAGACTGATTTTCAAGTTTTTTAAAATTAAACCTAATCTAACTTTAGATATAGGTGGTTAATAAGAAAAATATTGTGTTCAGGAAGTCAGACCATTAAGATGGAATATAATGTGAATACCACTGTGTGGACTTATATTTAGTGCTTTTAAAAATGTATTTCTATATATAATTTGATTGATATCAAGAAATGTGAAGGGAAACCATTATACCTATATATATATTTATTTTGTCACGTGCAAGGCATTGCGAGATTGCTAGTTGTTTAAGGCAATTTAAAAAGCGCAATATATCAGCGGTACTTCAACAAAAAATGTAATTTTCTTATACTATGTCTTAGCTCTATAACCTTTTAAATTTAAAATATATTTATTTCTTCATCTTAGATATCAGTGATAGTTTGCCAAAAAATTGTAATTGGAAAAGTTTGTCAAAGATGGTTAAGGAAATACCAAATAAATCAAAGATTTTTGAAACGTTTTAATAATTATGTAATCAACATCAAAATAAAACACATTTTCTTCAACCTCCACAAAAACTTAAGGATATAAAGTATCTACAAAAATAAATGTACTCAGAAGTCATATAAATCAGTAAATATCAATTCTAATGTTCCTTAAATTCAAAAGATTAGAGTACTTTTAGGTTATATCTCATATAATTTGTAGAGTTATCTATCTATTTATTATTACATATTATAAGGTAAAGAATTTACAAGTTAAAAAAATAATAACAATGTTTTATTTTACTTTACTACAGATGAATGAAAACCGATTGAAAAAGTATTTATTTTAACTATCAAGTTCCATTGTATCTGTATTGACTATTCTTATTTTAGACCATAAATCCTTTTTCATAAATAATATAATTGCATTTGTGAACATTATCAAAATATTTTTGGATTTGAATTATTTATATATTATACATGCATATTTAAAAAATTGCAAGGAATAAAAATGCATAGCACTATAGTACTGTTGAAAATAAATTTTAAACACCAATTGATACAATTATTAATTATCAATTGGACAATCAAATTATTTTAAATAAAGAACATAAAATATTTAGATTTTGTTTCAAATAAAAAATGTATTCTAAAACATAATCTAATTTTGAGTAAAACCAGTTTGCTTAATATATATTAAATACAAGTAAGGTTGAATAGTAAATGTTTTAATGGATATATAATTAGAAATTAGAATTTGATATTAGTTTTCAACTACTTAAAAATACTTGCAATCAGAATATAATAATTAAATTGAACCACTTTATTGTTAAAACATAATAAAAAAACATTTTTAGACAACTTAAAACTGTTTATAGTTTCTTTTTTTTAAACGCATATATAAATATAAACACAAATGTATATTATACAAATAATTGAAGTTGTAATACAAGTGATTTAGAATATATTTAAAATACAACTGTTTGAGGAAAGAGAAAAAAAAATAACTTAAATCTAATTGCCATAAATTTACTAACACTTAATGTTAACACACAATTAACTATATACAAATTATGTATAATATTTACTGTTTTTTTCACCCTACTTAATAATAATTAATGGGTAGCTTTACAAAAAAAAAAATAAAACAGGTAGTATATCTCAATAATAAATGAGATACCGGAGCCAAAGTGCAAGTTTAGCGGCACCGGCTATTACGGAATTTTCATCTAGACAGAGAATGTGACCTTTCTTCCTTGTCATGAAGTCTTTGGTGAGCAGGTAATTTATAAAAAAATTGATGGTCTAATGCTTCCTCCATCGTCATACGTTGAGTTGGCTCATATTTGAGCAACTGAAAGATCAAATCAAATAATAGACGATGGTCTTCTTCTTCTGAGCTCATATATCTCTATAATGATTTATTTTGATATTAATATTTGATTAAGATAATATATAAATGTTTTTATCTTACTAACCTTTAAAGGTTTACAATTTTCTCTAACATATCGCCCAGCAGAGCTTGATTGGTCCCAGTCTAGTTTGCTATGATAGAAATATTTTGTTTTACTTCGTCTGGCCATTCTACACAATATAAAAACTATAATTAGAAAGACGGACATACTTCACACGTGGGCGAGACACTGTTGTAGGTAATAAGTTGAGAAGGTAGTGGGGAAATTTAATGTATAACTGTACGTAATGATTAACAATTGTTAATGAAAAAAACAATTCTGAGCACAGTTTGGCTAATAGTGTTGCTTTGTCAACAATATATCAATATATGTCATATTATAGTCAAATAATTACATATTTTTTTAAATAATATTTAATTAATGTTGTACGTATTTTCCAATTTTTCCTCATTTATTATGAAAATAGCCAAGAAAATCAAAAAATTCCCTTCTTAAAGTATCAATCTAGTCAGATTTCCTTTCAGAAAACTCATTTTAAATCAAAGCGAAATTGTCGACAGAAAAGTTATTAATAAATAATAATAATAAAAAAAAAAAACAAAAATTACAAAACCAATAAAATACTAAATATAATAATAACAAGTATATACTTATAAGGTATTGAGCCAAGAATGCGTTCCATCATTGCGAGGTGTTCACGATTATCATGCGTTTGGAATAATGTTATACCAAGATAAAGTTCAAATATAATACATCCTATAGACCATACATCACATGGCTGTGCCCATCCAAGTTCTAAACAAAAATTAATATTTATAGAGAAAAAAAAATAAGCCTAGAAACAAGATTATTTTACCTAATATAACTTCAGGTGCTCTATAGTGTCTTGTTGATACAACCGTACTGTGATGTTCATCATCAAATGTGGCACTGCCAAAATCAATCAACCGTACTTCTGTGTCTTTGATCATTTTATAAGCACGCTTCTGTGTGACACAAAATTATATTAATATTTATAAAACAAAATACTTCAAATGAATGTAATCATTACTTTTTTCTGATTATATTGTGTGTCATATTCAGACTTGACAAAAAGTATATTTTCTGGTTTTAGATCAGTATGTGTAAGTTTGTTGCGATGTAAAAATCTAACAGCATAACATAATTGATAAGCTATATGTCGCACTTGGTCAATTGTGTATGGTTGATAGTTATTTTCTTTCTGTAAATACAAATTGTTGTAAATACAATGTTATATTTAAGTGGTAAGACTTATTTAGACTTTGCAAATATTGTACAAATTTCTTAGTAAAAAATGTAACATTTTAAAAATTAATTATTATACAAAATTAAACACAATTGGTTTGTATGATTGAACATAAACATGTAATTTATTAGAAATAATTGATTGCATAAAAATACATGTGCCCATAAAGTGTTAATAAATGCAAGTTCTAATAGTTGGCTACATGATTATGAGTAAGATTATTTTAATTGAAAAACCTGTTATGGTGAAACCAATAATTTTTTTTTTAGAAATTGTTCAAAACAAAACTTAAAATTTAGTACAAGGGAATATAAATGGCTTTAGGCACAGTTTGGATTGTAATAATGAGAGTATATAACATGTCCATGGCCGAAATCCCCAGTATAATTGTCATAGTTGTAAGAACCTCTGACATATACCAAGGTTATAATACAAGTATCAATAATAAGAATATTCATAAAACAAACTTACCAAAAAATCAAAAACGCTTAATCCCAATAACTCAAAACCAATGCATACATGTCCTCCATATTCAAAATTGTCAATCATACGAACACAAAGACTAAAACAAAAAAATTTATATAAAAATCAAGTTCAAATAAAGATAATACATTACATACTTTTTACTTTCTGGATCTTTGGCATTTAACTTTTCTAAGGCATTAATTTCTAAGCGCGCTGCTTCTCTATATTTTTCAACATTTTTAATAATTTTTACTGCAGCAATTTGATCACGACTGTAAAAAATATAGCTATTTCAAAATACCAAAATAATTGAAATGCATTTTTCACATTTTCATTTGACCCAAATTAAAATTCAGATTTAAAGGTAATTAAATATTCGGCAACATGCCAAATAGGTTACAACTGAACTTTCCTCCTGCCAGTTATTCATTCTTCCCTCTCCAAATTAAGATATATAAATAATATTCTATACAAACATAGGTTAATTTCTCACATATAATAATCCATTGATTATTTATAGAGAATTTTTTATTTAAAATATAGAGTTAAAAACTATACAATTTCTATAATTTGAATAAGACATAATTTATGAGTTAGAAAGGTTCATATTTACTTTTGTATATTTCTCAAGATTTATTTATATTTTGAATACATTAGAACTACGGAGATTTTACTGCTAAGCTATTATATTTATGAACCTATAGTTGGTTCATATATATTTTGTAACACTATTGTTATACTTTTCTTATTTTAATTTTTATATCATTATCAATTGCTTGAACAACTTAATTTAGAATCTCAAAGAACTTTGTAATTTTGTCAGGGAAAAATTATTTAAAAACTCAATAAAATTGGAAATGTAGTTATTAAACAAATCAACCTAAGTTGATAATAAAAATATCTATTCATATTTTTTTGGTTTTACAATAGAACACATGTGACGCGTATTGGTACTGTCAAATCTGTCAATTAATAACTATTTGGGAATTATCAATAGTGCTATAATTTATTTTAGAAGATATGTTATTATTTGAAGGTATTAATAATATCAAATTAATTAGATTACATTTATATGACTGACAATCAAAATATTATTTGTCTCTATATGTGTATTAATGATGGGTTAATAATAAATACCATCATATTAAATTAGCAATCAATAATTGAAAATAATTTTGTATTAAATTTATATAAATATAAGTATAGCAAATTAATGTTTCTTACTTTTTCAGACATTTGGCACTCACTACCTTTCCAAAAGTTCCTTCCCCAAGAGTTTGGATAATTTGATCTGAAATTTGTCAAATTATGCTAGATTAATATAAATATAATATGAAAAAATGCATCTTCTGCTGGGACATTGAGAATAATATTATTGTAACAATTAAACAATGATTTTATGTTCAGAAGATACATGCAAATATCATATTATATTTGCAAATATCAAGTGAAATTTTAATGAAAAACATGAGAATTTTGGAGAAGAATGTTCTCTTTAAATAATTGAAATCAAAATAAATAAATTTAGCGAAATCTTAGGATAATTGTATTTATTTTTCATAGGTCAAAAGAGTACTAGCATTGATAATGCGATGGATAACTAAAACTTGACAACCAAATATTAAGTTGATGAGAAAAAGTATTTAGTTGTCCCCATTCAACCAAAAACAACAAATGCACGCGCTTAATGTTTCATCCACATTATCATTTTTGTACATTACTGAATTTTTTTTTTTAGAAATAGTAAGTAATCATTTGTAAAATGTAACTGGTTCACGAACATCTATCGGCCAGATTGTCTCCATTTTTGTAAATCAGATGTCCCTCTTCGTCATCCTCAATGACTGGACTTCTTGCTCGCTGCTGTAGAGGGTGATCACACAGTTGTTGTAATTGTACACGTTGTCCCAATATTCATCATGTATTTGGTAGGAATTGATTAATAGACGCCCGGCACACACACACACGCGCGAATTGTTGACGGCCAATTGGTATTCGTACGGGATTTGTACATTCAGATGGTGCACCCATTTTCAGCAGTTGCGTGTTTTATCGCCCGCAATCATAAAGACAGAAGGACACAAGGCAAAGGAAAGCCTCGTTAACAACTTTTTCATATACATATATATTCTTACAATTATAAGTGTTATTTTATATATATTTAAATATAAATATATATAAATTAACTATAATATAGTGTGAAAGTGTATGGGCTTAAAAATAAAAATTCAATAAAAATGTATTTACCTTTTTTTTTATACGTTATAATAAACATACAACAAATGTCACATAAATAAACATTTCATTTAAAAGTTATGAAATCTACATCTTTTACTACAAAATCCAAAACTTTTTTTGTAGTTTTTTCAAGTTGTAACCTTATAGGCTATTTAAATTATTTGTGGTCGTTAGTTATTATTATTTATAACTAATAAGTTTAAGATAATATCAAATTAAAATGTTGTCACGTATGATAAAAATAACAAATAGTTTAAAATATTATTTTTGTTAGACCTGAACATATATTTTCCCATATATATTGCTACAATATATGATATAACTTAATTAAGCATTTTTATTTCAAATTGAATTATGTTAATATTATATACTTAGATAATGCATGATATAATGTAACATTTCAATGTTTTTGGATTTTCATCCGATATAAATTTAAATCAGAAAATGTATTAGCATGAAAATTGTTTAAGCCTAAAGGCAACTAATAACTATTATAAATATTGAGTAAAAAATAGATAGAAACTTCAATAAAATTTTTTTTTAACTATTATAATATGAGAACGGAAATTAAAATAAATCAAATGTACTCGCTCAAAATATAAATCAACAAAACTGTTATTGATTTTATTTTTATATTACCAATGATAATTTAAAACTATCCAATTGTTAAAACAATAAAAAAGTATGCATGTACTACACTAAACACAAACTATACACGTGACAACTTACGCCGCTGCTCACAGAAGAGGAAAGAATGGAAGAATATTTTTGTTGGCACTTGGTCAAAGCACTAGGAGTACCATTATTTTCATCATCATTGTCCAAGGCCGAATATTTCATAATTAATGTCTGTATCTCCTTACGCCTAGCTTCACGCTCGGTTATCACAGGGTCTGTAGTTGGTGCTACAGGTTCAAGTGGGTGTATGATGGTGGTTGTAACTGTTGTAGGTGACCTTTTTAACGGTCGTATGGTTAAAAGAACATTAGGTTTATGACGGCGATATGGGGTCTTTTCACGGGGTGTTTGATGAACAAATGGATAAGCTTTTTCTGATAATAATACTGTGGTAGCACTTTTGGTAAGAGGTCTTTGTTGTCTTCGGTAACGATGAGCATCTAATGCGGATAAATAACAATCTTCATTACGTACGGAGTAGCCAGATGAATGAAAAGGGCTAGGGAGATAAGACGACGATGATGAAGATGAAGGAATATTATGATTTCGTGAAGTTTCAACAGGTTTGAGTTCAGGTTTACGAATACACTCAGAAGGACCACGAGATCGCCCAGTAATACGGTTAATAAGACTTGAACAAGAATCTGTTAACATCTGAGTAACACTGACTGTCGATGATCGTGCGTACCTAGTTCGGCGCTTATCAGACGGAGTGTGGCCAGTCATATCCGGAGGAAACATTACCCGAACTATATATTTATATTAAAAACTAATACAATTAATTACAAATGCAGAAATAAAATTTTTTTAAGATTTAAATGTCTACTGAATAATCTAATGTATCTACATGGCCCTAGTTCGGAAAACTGTTGGTCAATTGTATTGTGGACCTGGCATACATGAAATGGCCCTCGCACATTGAGGCAATCTTCCAAAAAATCTATTTCTGTGTCAACCGGACAGTGTAGAAAAAAATCACGACCTCTTCTGTGTAAGCAAAACGTGGGCCACGCGTCACAGGCTTTGTTGACAAAATTTCATTTTTTCTTCCCCCACAAATTAAAATTAAAAATATTAATCACTAAAACGTAAAAAAAATGTGTACATATTTTTACTTTTATTTTAAAAAGATGAAAATACTTTACAAAATATATTTGAACCATTCCCCCTCTATAAATAATATATAAAAGATCATAGGTAATTATATTTTTCTTCAAGTATTAAATACATTTATTTAATTGTTAATTTATTGGTTGAATAATTAATATTTTTTCTCAATACTTACAATAATTCTTAATTTTGTCTTTCTAAAAATGGTTTACTAACAAATTAAACATACATTTTGAAATCAAAAATGTTATATAAATGAAATAATGAATTTGAAATAAATGTGTATGTTATATTATTTATACATTTTTTATCACTTAAACGTTATATCAAAACGACAATAGATATTTAGAATAATTGATAACAAAATATTAGATATTAGATTTTAAAAGAAAATACATGTAAAAACTACTGGTTTTTTGATTGCCTAGTGAATAATTTGATAGTAAATATAATTTTAGATAATATACTGACTGGGTTTACAGGCCACCAATGAGCATCTACCAATACGGCGGCAGGCAGTTGGGGTGGTCTGACTCTATGGGTAGTTCTGGAGGAACGATTACGACTGTGTTGTCTAACTACTGCACCATCTGTATGATGCCATGGCGGTACAGGCCTTCGCCTGAGGGTATGCTCCTCGACAAACATACGTGCGAACACGACATCCGACAGCCTACTGGAGGTGTGCTGTTATTTTCGATACTGAGCCAGAAGTTTAGAGTGTGTTCGATAATATAAATTATGGAGAGAAGTATACAGTTTATATTTAGAAGGTATGTGAATGTATACGAGGAAACTTAACTGAAGAGGAAAATTCTAAACTAAAAAATCCCTCTCTTTGTGATTCTTTAGTATATATATATATATATATATATTACTAATTATAGAAGCTATTTGCAACATTGTATATACCAATTTAATTTAATTCCAACGTCTGTTTCACACATGTTTAGTAGTGAAGTTTCTGCTATATAGTTTTTATTTTTATTTACTAAATCGTATTAATAATATTAATAGAATGAAAATGGCACAATGCCAATTGTCAAAAAGAGTAAAAATTGCATAAAGATTTTTTTTTTTTTAAATAAAATAATTAATGTGACATTTGTTATTGATTTTCAATATCTCACATATACTTATGTAATATTAAGTAATTTTAAAGAACTACTGACCTTTGAATGAGATCTGTCTTTATGCCTATGGTGTCTGTGATGCATCTTATCATCTCCACTTCCTGGCGATTGATGGCGCCTGAGTCTACGGCGCTGATGATTGGTTGAACCAGGAGATCTACGATGACTGCGCTTATACCGCCGTTCTGCACTTGTCCCTTGATCATGCAAACGTGAACGATTACAACGCTCATTACTGAAACAAGATATTTCATACATTTTTATAATTATGCATAACATTATATCTGTTTGTTTACTAATATAATAAACAAGGCATTTTTACACAGATTTATCTAGGTATTAGGATTAAAATTAAATGTGTTTGATATGGACACATAAACAATGCCATCAAATATTATAATATCTAATAAAACTAAAACTGCACGTTAAATGTATACAAATTGAATATCATATAATAATAATAATAATAATAAAAAAAGTATAGCAAGTACCATATCTATTTTTAAATAAGGTATTTGATTAAGTTCAAACAATAAATATCATTCGCTTTTGTAAATGTTGCATTCTAATAAACGAGATAACTTTGAAGTTTCAGGATATTTTCTTAGTTTAGATAAAATGTGCCCTCTGATCATTAAATGAAAACAGTCATCACTATACAGAGTGTACTTAGCATTCATATTTTATTATATGAATTTTAAGAATTTAGAGAAATATATTTTTAGGGCTGGTGGTATTTTAAGTAAACTGGTTATTACTGGTACCTTTCATTTGGAAATACCGGTATAGTATATCTCGGTAATTAACAAAAATACCTAGTTTATATTGTTGGTGTTTTAGGGGTTTATTCTAAATAAACTAAAGATGATGGTAAATAGTTTGATTAGTTCAATATGCAATATAAATATATAAATAAATTAAAGAAAAAATTAAACTAATAGCAAAACAAATTAAAATAGAAAAAGAAAATTGGTATAGAATTATGATTATAATTCATATTACCCAAAACAAATTATTAGTGTATAAAAGTATTATTATTTTTTAAAAAACGAAAATTTACTCATAGGAACTGTAAAAATATATATTAACAAATTAAGAAAGAACATAAATGTCTACCAGAATAGTTTTAAAATACCTGTACAATAAAATAAGTTCAGCAACAGTAGGCATAGTTTAAAAATTAAAATAATAAAGTCATACAATAATAAGAATGTATCATTTTTTTCATCAGTTTAATTTTTATTTTCAAAAATATTTTTAAAGATGAAGCACAACCGAACAACCTTGTTGATTCAAATGTAGTGATATTGTAACAAGGTTGTATGTAGCAGATAACCCATTATACACATACGGACTGCAAAATATACATTATAACAATTCATACCAAATATGGAAACCTACTTGTAACAGAAAACGTTATCTTGCAAAATATTTACAAAATACAAAATAACATAAAAAAGACTTTGATTTATTGATTACCCCCAAATATTTTTATGATGGATGTAGTTTTTTTAAATGTAATAAATGATTTCAAAAAGAAATGAATAATTAACTTCTGTTAAAAAAGTACATAAAATATTTAAAAAATAGTTTAATTTCAAGGTTAAATTTTCAGTATTATATAATTAAAACATGCACAATATATGTGTGTAGATGTAGATACACATTATGTTGAAGATATTCTAGTTATTTTCAAAATAATTAGAATAAACAAAGTGTCAGTATAACAATTATTAATTATCTTATATACATTTCAAAAAACATATAATTATACCATATATCATACTATTAATTATGCTTAACTTAATTTTAAAATTTTAAATATTATTTGTTGTATAATAATTATTGTAGAATGTAGTATTATGGATAAAAAAACCACAGCTATTTATATTCTTAAAATGATATGAATAACTATTGTATAGTGCTGTATTACCACATATTGCCCAACAGCTATTTCTAATATTCCCAAACATAGAACCCACCAAAACAGAAATCTGCCAGCAGGGGCATGTGACAATCACAGCTCACCTTTTTGCTGGTCCAAATGCAATGTAATAATGTTAATGGTATATAATAATTAAAAAATCAGGTTAAAGATCTTGTAAAAAAAAAAAAAAAAATACAGGGTGATTATTGCTGGAACACAATCGGAGGTCAAGCAAGTAATAATTTTAAGTAGCCAAATTATATCAAGAAATTGATATTTTAATTTGAAAAATAATGTTCTAAAAATGAAGATCCGCAGAACTCTCACATGATTTCCATGGAACCTCATGGTTCTACAGAACACAGTTTAAGAAACAGTGCCTTAAATTAATAAACAGCTTCAATTGAAGCCTTTGTCCTCATTTTAAGCATACCTAAGAATTTTTTAAAAATGTGGATATGCCTAATACTAGTAGAAAATAAAATTAATTAAAACGAAGACTTAGAAGTGGATACAATTTATATTTTTAACAACTATTTCGGCTTATGCCAACTTTAAATTTTATACACTTCTAAATTTTTTATTTATTAAACTTTTAATTCATTATTATTTTATAAGAAATGCAAAATAACACTGAATTTAACCATTTTAAATTTAGTGAAGGGATAATACCCTCCACTATACATTTTGAACTGTTATAACTCTTGGCATTCATTTAGTGTGTGATAGTTATCATATTTTTAGTGTAACTAACCATAAGTAATCTTAATCTTGATTAAATTGAATTTTTAAAAATTTCAAAAACAAAACTGCTAGTACAAGAAGAGATAGCTTACTGTGCCCGAAGGGGATACATAGATTGAGGCCAGAACGGGAGAAATTGAACCACCTATGAGGCCCATTTCGTCAAGAAAGCAAGAAAGATTGGGAAAATCATAAAGGGCCACCCCTTTATCTCTCTGTATCTTCTCACTTAACCACCCTTGTGATTCTACCAATTCACAAATATAGGACTTAATTTTAAATACATTAATATTTGTTATGTAAAATCATGTTGGATAGGCAACAAGGGAGGGGGGAGGGGAAGGAGAAATGATGAAAAGAAAATTAGTCACATTACATCACATCATAATTAGGGTTCGGTACTTGTACTAAAAACGATCGGAATATCCATGCAAATATTGCAGTCAAAATTGTCAAAATATTCAAGTCAATTTTTACTTAATTTTTGACACATAAAACATATATAATAATTATAGAAACAAAAATCTCAAAAATAGAGAGGTACATAATAAAAATCATCGATAACAAGGTTAATTATTAATCAATGAAGATTAAAGACACACACCTACCTACCCAAAGTAATTCATTTTTGAATGTTATCTAAACATGATTTACCTAACAATTAGTTATATACACATTAAAAATATGCACTTTTCCTAAAATATAACAAAATATGCCAATTCAAACTTAGTATTTAATTTTGGAATTTCATAAAACAAATTTATAACTTGCCTAGAATTATCTATGACAGCTACAAAAAAAAACATTCAAATGCAAAAAGTCCCAAACCCTAATTATAATACACAACTTAGAAAGTTTGGGTGTATTATGTGTCTAAAATGACTAAAACAAATGACTCGATAGATCACACACTAAAGCAGTAATTTTCAACTTTTTAAAAATCAACAACTTTTTCTTTTCATGCAAGTTGGCTCCTTTAAAAATTGTTTAATTGAACTTAATTATTATGATATACGGTATATATGATACTTATGGATTTTGGCAACAACCCAATTACTACTGTAGTAAATAGATGAGTAACTCTTTAATAGTAAATCCTATACTAGTGTTATGTGTGTCAAAAATCGATAGAAAAATATTCTCTATTTCAATGTGTTTAAAAGAGGAGTTATTTTAAAATACCAAAACTACTTTAAATCAAAAGTATATAAGAAGTAAGGATAAAAATTGAAAATTATGTTAAAAGGTTTCGTGATTGGATAAACAGAAATCAAATTCTCTCGAGAAAATTGTTGGATAATGAATACTGTATGCTTAGGTGTATGATATTGGACATTTTTTAACGTAAACTTTGCTATTGATATTAAGTTAAAATATAAATTAAAAGATTTTATATTAATAAATAGAATAACCTAAAACTAGCCTACATGGTGTATATGCATTCAATTTATGTTGTTTATTTAATACTTAGTATATATTAGAATAAGGTAAATTATTAAACTATTAAAAATGTTTGTGTTGCTTATTCTAACATCTATAGTTGTTAAAATTGTATATTCATATATTAAAAGATCCTAATATTAAATATAATGATAACTGATAACATAGCTATTTTAATTTCATTCTTACTATCATTAATATTTTTTATTTGTTTATGAAAAACTTAAATATCGAGATATCTAAAAGTAGAACGATATTAAAAAAAAAAATTGTTGTAAAATCCTAATACTTATTATATGTATATTTACATAAAACCTAAAATTTTAAATCAATGATCGGGTCCTTTTAGCTCTCTTGGGCCACAAAAAAAAAAAAATAAAAAAGTTTTCATTAGTATGTTAATAAAATGCTAAATAAAGTAAATAAGTATTGACATACTACTTTGTTTGGAGTCATAATGTTGTTTAATATTGTTTTTTACAACACAGACATTTGTTTTTAACAAATGAGGCACATCATATTTCTTTTTTATTGACATTTATAATTCTTATGTAATTATATAAACAATGTAGGCATGTTTAATGAACTCATTGTAGTACATATGAAAAACATAACATGACTAATAAGTTTCAGAATCAAAGTTAAGAAGATCGGGATAGTTCAGACTATATTAACATCACTAGATATCAGATTTTTATAAAAATATAATCATAATTTTGAACATTGCTAAAATAATTATGATCGTACCAAATTCGAACCAATCATAAAATTAGTGTTTTATTTTTTTTCATTGTATTAAACATTTTAATATTTTTTTAACAGATTGTATTGGAAACTTCAAATTGTTGACGGCTTGTAGAGGACTCTAATATGTGTACACTTGTATTTTATCTTATTAGTAAACCAGGATACAATAAAATAAACAGGGTTTAATTATTTTTTATAAAAAAGTTATTATTAATATAATAATTTGTATTAAGCGGGTCATATGTGCCTAGTTGTCAACTACTGTTTTTTTAATGATAAATTTAACAATATATTAATGGAAAATAGGAATTAATAGTTGGTAAAATTGTATCTTATATGCAAATGAAAAAAAAAAAATAATAATAATAATAAGCTTGTACTTTTAATTATTATTAAGATATCAAATAATATGAAAATATGTATTAAGTTCAATTTAATGGCCTGAATATAATAATATAAAAAATAAAGTGGTCAATTATTTATACAGATAACTGCACAAACCAATTATTTCAAAGCCATAATCGCAGAAGAATTAAAATATATTATTTTGATAAAAGCTGATTTAAAATGTTCCGATTCACTTCAATTATTAACCAACCAATTGTATTTCTTATTCCTCCTAAATATTTATGGTTGATGATCATAGTGCTCAATCTTCACTTGGGTATAATAATCTACAAAATTATCGAGTGATATGCAATTTGCACTTCTAATCATGTCTATATATCTTATTTTTGGCTTCTTCTACATTCTTGTTATTTACTATCACCGCTTTTCTATTTCTACAATGGTAACACAATTATTGAAATTTTTACCCATTGAATATTCTACCAACCTAATTTATTTTCTGTGGTAATTTTACAGACTGTTAAACATATTAAATTATATAATAAGGCTACATAAAACCTTTATTATTCAGTTACTGTTTTATTTAATTGTACAAAATGTTTGATTCATATCTTCATTCTACACTATGGTCATCATCTTTTTTTACTGTTAACTATTTGAAAAAATGTAATTTACTATGATTAAACTTATGAAAACATAACATTTCTTTTTAACACAGTTCAATGCTCTCAGATCTCATAATCAATACACATTAGAAACATTTATTACTTAACTGAATTAAAAGTTTTTATTAAAAATAATTTGTCTGATATGTATATATATATATTAAAAAATAAAAATAAAAAAAATAAAAGAAAAATGAATTCAATTAAGCAATGAGCAATCTTAGCATATAATTTTGTCTTCATTGAGCATTGTAGTTATTAATTATTGCATACAATATCTAAAAATAAAAATATACCCATCAATAATTCTGCTATAAATAATGCTTGATAAGTATTAATTTGTTATTTTCAATAACACATTTCACAAAAAAATTATATAAATAAAACTTACCTATAAGAGGAATTATATTCATCTCCTTCTTCATGACGGCGTTTGCGTCTAGTTGATCGACTACGGGATCTAGAAATAGACTTGGGCGGTTCATATGAACTTGAATTAACTCTCCTTGATATTCTAGGCATCTGAAATGTTAATGTTTATGATATTATTAAAATAAAATAAGTTGTATAGACTACAAATGACCATTGGGCAGAATTATTAATGTTATAATAATGGCTTAGGAGTACTAAAAAACATTAAAATATGCAATCAAAAAAATCATCGCGGAAAGAAAAGTAGTTCGCCGGGTTTTCAAGTTGATTTTTCTATGACAACTATGATATATGATTGTGAAGAGTAGTTATTGTTTAATCAGAAAATATAAACTATACAATTTTCAAATGAAAAAAAAAGACGGATATACTTAGTATGATAGGTGTTGCCACTGTTGTAGGTGAGAAGTTGGAAAGGTAGAGGGGAAATTTAATGTATATCTGTCCACAACAATTAATCATTGGTAACGAAAAAATGATTCTGAGTGGAGTTTAGTTAATAGTATTTCTTCATCTACAATATAATATTAAATATTTTAAAAAAAAATTTCCATATTTACTTTAATAAGATTTTTTACTAAAACAATTTTCGTCAAACTTTGATATTAAAATTCTTATGAAAAAAAAAAAATCTTATATAACAATCAATTTTTTTTTCTTGACCACAAAGTACAAACAAAAATTACGTAAAAAAAACCTCTGTAATAATAAAATACCTATAAATAGCATAAAATGGATGTTTTGAACATTTACCACGTCTAGAAAAGGCAAATATATGTTTTCTATTCAAACTTTGAGTCTCTATCAATATTTTTAATTGAATTGAAACAAACAAAAAATTGAAAAATTTCATTTACAATAAAAATAACTGGGAAAATCAAAAAATGACCAGTCTAAAGTAGCATTCCAGTTAGATTTTCGGTATTTTCCGTTTAAACGAGACTACAGCGGTAATTGCAATAATAGGATTACCGCTTCTTGAATCTCAATTCACAATTATCGATCATTATTTATACTATTAGACAAATCATAAAAAGAAAGTACATTCACAAAAATTTTAAAAACAATAAAAATCTAACTTCCTCCAATAAATAATTACTAATGAATTATGTTAAAAAATAATTAATTTTTATATTAATTACATTTATTATTATAACTTTTTCTTATATTTAAAATTTTATACTATAGTGATAATAATTATTATTGTATTTGTGGATTTACCAATTTTTGTTTACGTCACCATGTCGACAATATATTTTGTATTGTTATTTATTATATTTAGACTATCTATGACAGACTGCCAAGTGTAGCGTGTACCATGTATGGCTTATAAAATATATTATAAATAAAAACTGAGAATTTAAATTTTTTTTCTTTTATATTATTCGAATGTGGCAATACCTACAACACATATTAAACAAATTATCAAAGAAAAGTGGACAAATTTTGGTAGTCTCGTATAACAGGAAAGTACCAAATTTTCTTTCAGAAAAAGTGCTACACTTGAATATCGGAGCAAAATTTCTGGTAGAAAAGTTGCCAAAAAATAAATAAATAATAATAATAACATCATTGTAAAACCAATACAAAGAAAAAAATTAAAGACAATGCAGAAAAAAATGATTGGATAGATGTAAATTTAGGAAAACTGATTATGGGGAATAAAATATAATACATTACTAGAACGAGTAAAACATCTATATTAGAGACCAAGAAAATAAAGTTATAAGTGGTTATTTTATAATTGACTACCTAAAAACAAATATTAATATCAATAAAAATCTGAATTATTTTCCTATCTTGAATTGAAAATAACTACCTACCTGCTAGAATTTACTTGGCACACGTGATTAATACATCTTAGATAATTAGTAGTCTAGTTTGTTTTTAATCATTAAAGAATATTAATAAAATTAAATATAAATCTACATTTTGTACCCTCAGATCTCATAATCAATGCACATTATGAACTATCAATATATTATTTATTGAATTTTAACAAAATAAAAATTAATACAAGTAAAGGTAGATTTAAATATTTTTTATAAATTAATGAATAATTAAAAAAAAAAAAAAAATAATTGAAGTTAAAATTCAATAATAATATTGTAGAGTATCATTAGCTTATATATTGTCTTCATAGGGTAATATTAGATAGGTGAATAAAGATAATTTAAGAGAATCACACACCGATGTCTATTGTTTCCATTTTACAAATGTGAGACATAGATAGCCAATTTGCGTTCAGTAGAACACATTTTGTGCTGTTAGTTTTAATATTAAAGCAAATTAACTTATTAATTGTTATTAATCAAACTTAAAGGTAAGAAGATTATATATGCCACATACTCCGGTCTACAAGAGATCAGTACCTCCACGTGCATGCAGAATGACCGGCAGTGACAGTTTAGAACTCCATTTCACACTGTCAATGGGCCGATGAGTGGGGGATGCACGGAATTGGACGAGTTTTGGTCAAATAGCGGTACTGATATCTCGTGGACAAAAAAGCATGATGTTTGTACGATATTTAAATTTTTAAGCAAAACAATTTTAAACTGTGATATTTAATATACTTATACCTCATTTAAAAATAAAAATATCGAAAAAAACATCAACGCTAGGACACATATAATCTTTTTACTTTTAAGTTAGATGATAGGTTAATTCGTTTTAATATTTAAACTAACGGCACCAAAAGGTTTTAAAAGAAATATTTGTTTAATGAGATTGACTTAGGTGTATAATATGAGCATTATTATTATGGTAGGTACCGAGTAACAGGCAACAGTCCATTAAAATGTCTATGTAAACCATCAGTAAAAAATGAAAGTTTTAAATAATTAATAAATAGGTACAATATATCTGTATAGTGGCAACAATTTTATTTCCAGATATAAGCGACTCAACAGAAAATTGAATAAGGTAAATATTTACATTTTATAAGTTGATGTACATATTATATTAAATACTATATTACACAATATTATAAAAATGTGTAGGTACCTATGATAAATTGTTAATATGTATTAACTATTATTACCAGTCTGTTAACAAATTAAACAAATATATAGACAATAGACAAGTATTTGAAAAAAATTATGGAAAATGAAGTTTACATTTTGTAAAAAAAATAGGGGGGGGGAACTGAATAAAGTGAATGTGTAAATCGTATTTTCCTAACATATAGCTCAAAGAATTTCAACAATTTTACGTCGCAATTTGTTTGAGAAAAATGTGGACGGGCGCCATGTTGAATTAAAGGCTGGAGGGGCGGGGAGGAGGTAATATTAACTAATGACAATTTTAACTTGCCAATAGAAGTGTACTTACGATGTACTGCCACAGGAACTCGGACGTGGACTTAATTAAGTCGAAAATGTCTGCTTTGGATTCGACAATGGGATGACGATGAACAATCAGTATCTCCCGTAATTACTGTAAATATTAAATAAATTACCATGAACTGTTAAAAAACTAACACACTGAGACGAAAAGAAAAAACGTTGATCCCTTGTAAAAGTAAACACGACACAAGTAGAAACTGGACGAAAACAACGTGAATAAAAAATGGACACGGAACGATGAAATATCCAATGAAAATCCTTAATGCACTATTGCCAACTGACTATTTGTTGATACTATAATTGTTATTGGAGATATTTGGCATTGGATAACCTGTATCACTCAATAAGTATTAATTCGTTGATAGCATGGTACACTATACATACAAAATAAACAAAATATTTTGTCGTTTATCAGTTGACCACATTTTATGGCCGAAAATCAAAATACTGAAATAGTTAAATACTAAATTGAGTAAATTGCAGTTAGTTGAATTGTTGGTTTGATTGATCATTACCATGTCATCAGACGAAGAAATATGTTCGGATTATGAAATATGTACAGACGACGAAGGGATCCCGTCTAGTGAAGTATTATCCGAAAGAGAAAACAACTCTGACCAAGGATTATCCGACGAAAGTGAAATAGAAGACGATGAATCCAATGTGGATAATGATGACAAAGAGTTGATAATTGGATCCAGGTATATTTAGTTATAATAGTTATGACTATTTCGTTTAACCTTTGAAAGGGTGTGCTGTTGTAAATAATACTAATACTATAAATACTAAGTTTTGTATTTATTTATTTATTTTGCATATATTCTATTTTTATCTTATCGGCAGTCATAGGTATTCCTCGAAAATGTTTTATCCTTCCACTGTATAAACTTAGTTTTTTACCTATATTTTAGATTAACTAAAGTATTTCAATTTTCCTTCACTTTATCTCCGACAAGTCAACATAAACATATTGCGTTATCGCTAAATACATTACACATTGTTCCGTGTAATTTATTATTTTTTATTTGTGGAGTTTTATCACAATTATTGGATTATATCACCAATTTTTCATATTATATATTAATATTTGATATGTGTATGATTGTTATAAGATATTAGGATTGTAAAAATTTCAATGCGCGACTACTCTTATTAAAGATAATAGCATTTCTGCTCGAAAAGGTAAAGTATGTTGAATAACTAACCATATACAGTTATTCGGTTCATGGATTACAGTATACTTGTATAAATAAAAATGTATGATTATTTTACATACTCCTTTGAATTCCATTGAATAAAATATCTTACTAAAGTAGTATATATCAATATATAGCTTATATTAAATTTCATAGATGGGGGAGGGGTATCAACATTTTTTGATTAACTTATGTGCACATAATTTTGTATTTCAAAGTGTTAGTAAATTACTATACTTTCAAAAATATTGTAGGTGAGGTATGTACTAGATAATATATTGAATCATTAAACTGTACTAAGGTCTGTTTTGGGATTTTAATTAATACAAAAATTAAGTTACATAATACTTTTTATAGCTTGCCTATAAGCTATCAATTTTGAAGCATGGTAGATTTGAAATAAAGAATAAGTTCTAAATTAGTTTTAAATTAATACATAGGTAAAAAACTAAAAATAGCTACAGTGAATGAAAAATCAAAATACCACACTGAATAAAATAATATGAAATTATGTTAGGTAATATAATCTTTGGAATTTATTAAGTATTTACCTATAAATAGCCAAAGGTAGATGGGTAGACCAATAATTTTCAATCAAAGTTATACCTAACTCCATGTACAATTTGCACATTTTTTAATTTGATAAATTTTATTAGTCAAACAGATATGGGGAAAGCAGTTGCTGTTCAAACACAAATAAGTGAGTATAGTGATCTCAATTTTATTAATTTTTTTATTAAAATAAAATTATATTCTGTACCTATCTAATTTTCTAGATCTATATGATAATTTGTTACTTACTCGAATTAAGCTTCAAAAATGTCTCGTAGCTGCCAATAGACTACCACAACCTGAGAAACAGATTTCATCTATTGAATCTGTCGATAACAGTGAAACTATAAAGTCATTAGAAAAATTTTTGGATACATTATTAAATTTAAAAGTTAATTTACTTTCAAACAATAACGATTTTTTGAAAACTATGTAAGATTTTATTATCAAGTGAAATTAATGTATATTATTAATTATTAATAATTATTTAAACAGTGATAAAGATTCATTCACAAGTAAGGTGAACAAACATAGAGGATCTGAATATGTTTTACAAGAAAGTCATGAAACATTCAAACTCTATAGAAACGAGACTATTCGATTTTGGAATGAACGAACTAAACTTGCATCGGGAAAAGCTGCAAAAACTGATTTTTCAGCTTTTGATCAACCAACTTTATCACAAATCGAACAAATAATGTCTGATAAGAATAGGTTAATTGAACGTACTCAAACTAAACGGTCTAAGTATGATATTGTGGGTGATCCAGAAACAATAAAAATGGATATTGATCCAGAAATATTTGATGATGATGATTTCTATCACAAATTACTGAGAGATTATATCGAAAAAAAATCTGCTGATGTCACACATCCTAATCAACTAGGGAAGTTAGTAGTGTATTTTTAATATAATATTGTATGATATATAATAATAAATTAAATCTTTTCAGACAATGGTTACAACTACAGAAACTACGGAGTAAAATGAAACGTAAAATTGATACCAGATCAACTAAAGGAAGGAAACTTAGATATACCGTTCACACAAAGTTAATAAATTTCATGGCACCAAATGATCAATTATCATGGTCAGAAGAAGCCAAACGGGATATATATAGTTCTTTATTTGGTAAAAAAAGTATAACCTCAGTAAAATAAATGTTACTTAATACTTGATTATTTGTGTATAACAAAATAATTGAATTCTGTACATTGAAATAAGATTTAAAATAAATATATTTTATTATTAAAAAAAAAAATAATAATACAAACAATCTATACAAACATGGTGTAATAAGTAAGTCTAATGGCTAATCAGACAAATATATCTAGTTTAAATAATATCCCTTACATATTTATTGAACTTATAGAATTTACAGAAATTAGTATCTGTAAAACGTTATATTGCTTTTTTTTTTATTTCATTCTTATTTTATGAGTAAATTTACTTTTGATTTTTAAATGGCAACCTATGTTAAAAATTTCATAGATTACGAGAGTAGTGGTACATCATTTTTCTGGTAGATTGCGCGACATCTTAATAGTGTACCACCACTCCCTCGCCAATACTTAAAAGTGGAATAGGTATTTCATCAATGGGTTGATGGAAATTAAAAATTACAACACCAAAAAATAAATACTAATTTATTTATAGAAGTATTAATATAGATTCCTATTTGAAAATTAAAAGTAGGTAGTGGTTTTACCCTCTAAGAGAAGTGATAAAAAAAATATTTTAGAGCTATTTATTTCTTGTATGTTTAAAAAGAATTATGTTATGTTGATCACTCTTTATGTATACAATCTTAGCTTTATCGAGTTAATTAAAAAAAACATTTTTTTTTTATTTATTTCTATTATTTTCAATTTTATTAGTTTCTGTTGTTTTTCTTTACACCAATAATTTTTTTTATTTTTTTTTATAACTAAAATTGGGATTAAACTACTTGAAAGTTAGTATACAAGTATAATATGTATAGTTCTGTTAAATTGATGGTGTTACTTTAATATGTGGTTTTTCTATGGAAAATAAGTGGTCTTTCATAATTAGGTGTATAATTTTAAACATGCATACAATTTCTTAAACACAGTATTAGGTTTAGACCCACAGGCTAGTATATCTATATTACATTTAATGAAGAGCGTAAAGAGGCACTTGAGCTGACAAGCTAAGTTGGCAGACAGTATTACACTCATATCCCGATAACCTTCAAACTACTATAATATTGTAGAAAGAATTTTAACCATTAAATATTATAAATATATGTAGATTATATACCTACTGAATTAGAAATTTACTGGTAGTCCACATATTGCAATACAAATGTACTTAATGCACTATAAATGTTTTCTATATTATTTAGATATTAAAATAGGTTATTGTTTTTACAATAATTAATAACTATCTGTTAGAGCTGAATTTGATATGTAAATGCAGATTGAAATATTATTATTTATATTTTGTAATTTATGTTCATACAAATATTAAAAAGATAGTGAAAACTCCATAAACACTAAGAAGATGAATAAATACAAATGATAATAATATGCTGTCATAGATAAAAATTGATATCATAATTAGGATATATTTGTTAGGAATAAAATATCAATAAAAAGTTTTTCTGATTCTGTACATACATTTAAAACTTAATTTCTGGATGGGCTGGTATATTGCTCTTATTTAAATTATTGAAATAGCAATGTTGCAATGCATCTCTTGCATTAATTCGTTGGCTTGGGTCATAAAATAACATTTTCTAAAATCAAAAAATTATATTAATAATATAATAATTATTTGTTAAGAGCTGATTGTTTGAAATCACCTGCATCAAGTCCACTCCATCAATACTAAGATTTTCAACAGAATGTTTTAACACATTGTCATTCCATTGTGGGAATGTTGGTTTAAAATCCTTAAGTTGTGAAACTCCTGGCCATGTACCTTCATTTGGAGTACCCAAAATCCTATACAATTGAATTAATTACTTAATAATAGTAATAACTGGATGAAATAATTAATTATATTTACTTTTTAAAAGTTTTGCATTAAAATAATAATAATAATAATATTAATTTTAAATAAAGATAAATATTACCTAAAAATATGAAATAATTGATCAATTTCAGAATCTCCACGAAATAATGGTTTCCCTTCTGCCATTTCTGCAAATATACAAGCTATTGACCAAACATCTATTGGGCAGCCATAACGCTGTGTGTTTAATAATATTTCAGGAGCCCTATACCACAAAGTTACAACCTTAAAAAAAAAATTTTTAATTATTATTATATTTTACTTAGGTAGAATCTTAAACGTTAAAAATAAATAAATTATTTGTCTGTTTAGTTACAATAAAGTTAATTTGTAAAAGTTTAATTTTTATATTCATAGCAAGAAAATAATTAGGCAGCAATTGAATTGGTTTAACCATAATGTGTAAAATGTTCATGGTGGCAAATTATATCTTGCAAGATCTATTTTAGATTTTATTTAAGAAGTTTTGGATTCAGAGTGTAGCGAGGGATCTATTGTTTTTACTATTTGAGCTTTTTTTTTTCTGTAAACAGCTTTTCCAAAAGAAATCTTGCTTTGATGTATTAGTATCTTTTCCGGAAGAAAACTTTTATCTAAGTGATGCATATTTTGATTTTCCAAAGGGTTTTTGAAATAGTTGGGAAAAACCTTAAAGAAAATTGTAGGTAAAACATCAAATATTTAAGGAGCTGCAACGTTACCATTTTTACTTTTGTATAATTTATATTTTTTACCAGATATATATGTTCCAATTAACATATAGCCACTAAAAATGAAAGTAGTTTTTTAAGATATCCAAATTAGTTTAAATAATTTGGAAAATTAAAAAGGAAAAAAGAAGACTAAAAAAATAACTTTTTTTTATGATTTTGTTAGTTTAAATTTGTAGATAAAATAGCTAGACTTAACAGAAATATTTGAAAATTTGACAAGAGGTTCATAGTAAGATGTTATTGAGATTAATGTAGTATTCTTATTTTTTTTTTTTTTTATACATTTTGATTAAAATCGTAAATATTATGACCTTTCAAAATATGTATAACTGAACTTTGTTCAGAATCGTTTTTTCGATTGAATGGTTTATTGTTGGTTACGGGTATAATAAATAACTTTATGTAATCTACCTTTCCAGCTATCCACTTATAGTGGTTGCATTCATCCCTAGTATCAATTTTTTTTTTTTAAATTCTCTATTAGTGGTTAACCTATTAGTAAAAAATAAATATGAAAAAATTCAGAGAATGTGACTAATTAAATTAAAAATTGTGAAGCCTTAAAATTGTCAATAGTTATTTATTATATATGTAATATATTAAGTTAACATTTTTTATAAGTCGATAATTTTTAGAAAAAAATATAGTATTTTATTTTATACAATTAATACAATTTTAGTTTTTAAGATCTGTAAACAATAATAAAATGAGAAGTTAATATTATTACATGTTAACAAGTTAAAATTTGACAGTTAATTTAATGAATATATAATAATATATAGAGGGATCTATTGGTTTTAAAATATTTTTTTTTGGTCTGATAAACTTTTTAAATAGAAAACTAGCTTTTATGTATCAAGGGTAGCACCTTTTTCATAATGATTGTGAAAAATCTTTAATATTTACATTGTTCTGTGACGGTACAATTTAATTATTTTAAATTATAAATTTAGAAATCTTGCTTCAATTAAAACATACCTATTTTGTTATATTTTTCATGTAGTTGGAGAATAATTAATATACGATATACAAGTAAAACCAAAAAAAAAAAAAAATGAATTTTCTGTAAGAAATGTACTCAAACGGGAACCATTAAGATTATGTTTGTGAATCAACAATTTTTTAAACCTAGTTTTAAATATAAAAAGCTTAGTAATATTAACACTTAACAGTTATAACTATTAATAAAGGTAATATAAGTCTGTAATACCTCATGTGTATATACACGAATCGGTATACCAAATGTACGTCCCAATCCATAATCAGCAACTTTTAATATGTTATGCTTAGTGTCAATTAAGATATTTTGCGGCTTCAGATCTCTATGCAATATTCTTCTCACATGGCAAAAATATAGAGCAACTAACAACTGAACACAATCCACAATTATAAAAGCTTAAGAAACTGTAGATTTCAATTGATATAATGTATTTGAATACAATAATTATTATTACTTGATAAGTAAATGATTTTGTAGTAGCTTCATCCAAATGTTTTTTCGGTCTTGTATCAATGTATTTTTTCAAGTCCATAGGAACAAATTCAAATACAAGGTGTAAATTTGATTTATCCATAAGAATTTCTCGCAAACTAAACATTACATTTTACAAACATAATTTATACCATTTACTTATAATAAATAAGTATGATTATGTAGTTTAAAACCATGTATGAGTTATTAATTACTTTACAATATTTGGATGGTTAAGTTCTTTTAAAATACTAATTTCTCGTACAGCTGTACTTGGTATACCTTCATCTTCCATTTCCATACGAATTTTTTTCACAGCAACAATTTCTTTTGACAAACGTTCTATACACTTATACACAACACCATATGTTCCTTCTCCAATTTTTTCAATTTTCTCATATGCATCCATATTGATATAGTACTTTTAGGTACCTATTTTTAGGTTTCTCTAAACAAATATTGGAAGTAGAATTTGTAAATTTAAATTATATTACCTATGTATAATTTACATTTAGTATTCTATTATTTATTGGTATATATAACTATGTGTACCAATAAATAGTTAAACTGTAAATTAAATTTAGCAGTAGGTCACAAATTGTACAGATTGTCTATAAATTAAAATTCACACAATTTTTTTTCATGTAGAAGCTTTGATAATAATTATTTTTACTAATCTATCCTAACTAAAACATTAAACGCTTAAATACATAATCATAACATTTTTTATTCACCAACTATAAGTACCTACATTTAAAAATAATACAACTGTAATAGATAATATTGTAGGTATATAATTTTAATCCATCATTTTCAAAATTAATAAATAGGTAACACGTTAAAATATTATTAGAACTTAACATCTATATAAGATCTAAACATAGTTTATTTGTATGAAGATGATTTTAAGTAATTACGTAGATAGGTAGTTTATTAAAAAAATAAAATAATTAATTTGAAAAAATCACTTGGTAGCAATATTATTAAACGATTAAATTTAATTATTTATACATATTGACTAAATTAACTCTCAAAGGACAGATTAAGCAGGTAGACCTTAAAAAGAAAATTGATGTAAGCAGGACATATGTAGTAGGAGAAATGGTTGTTATTTTCTTATATTATTTATTCTCTTAAATATATATAATAATAAATAAATAAATATAATAATAAATGTAAGGTATCTAAAAAATCTTAATTTGTAGTATGATAGTAGAGATTATAGATACTTGGTAGATCAAATAAATCAAATTCTTCAGCATTTCTAAATGATGGGAAATTTAATATTTATAATATAACATCATACTTACCAAAATAAATTATTCACTTATAGTATTAATATTAAAGTATATAACCATTAAAAATTAATTTAATAAAATATTTGGAAATCCGACAAAAAATTTGACATTTGACTGTATCTAAAACTTAAAATTTATAAAACTAACATATAACAAAAAGTAAGAAATAATTTTGAATAATATCTTAAGCAATAAGCTATCCAACCGATAAAAATGGCGGTTTTGATTAATGAACAATGGGCAGTGGTTATCAAAATAGTATTAACTAGTAGTTATGTTTATTTTGATTTTGATGTTTTTTTCTATATTGAATATTAAAAGCAGAACTTTCAATTGCCATATTTTTAAGTCGATCAATCATGTACTAATCTAAATAAAACCAATTTTGATGATTAAAATAGTTAAAACGGGAAATTAATTATTTATCAAAAGTTATAGGTATTTTAATCGCGGGAAACGGTACACTTTTAAAAACTGTTTAGTAGAGAAATCAATAATCTTTCAGGAGGCGTTTTTTTACGCCCAGAAATATGAATCTATAATCACAATAAATCAAAGGAGCAAAAATATAACATAATTTCGGGGTTGCTAAAACTATTATAATAAAACGAGAGGACTTTCCACATCTCCCCTTAAATATCAACCAAATCGTTATATTTTGTATTAATTAATATTTAGTAACTTTGTATATAAATATAGATGAAATTAATAAATAATAAATAATTTACATTTGTAGAATATTTTGTATGATTCCACTGGGACTTGGGGTGCGTTCAGAAATGTTATCCTCGATTTTTGGGAAATTTGCCAGAGAAAGATTTAGCACCGACCATTTAAATAAACTAACAAGTTATCAACCAAATTACCCGAGGTATGTTAATCCGTTTATAGTTTTATCAGAAATAGATTAGGTTATGGCGGGATGATACCATATCTCCTACAACCAATAAAAACGCATTAACCCATTATTGCCAACCATAGAAAACCAAAATCCGAAATTGAAATTAGTCACTATCACGATCCCAGATTATTTGATAAGCTACATTATCATGTACATAGTATTGCCTACCAAAATAGGTGCTAGGAGCTTGTGTTGTGATTATTATATAGTTAATTATTGTAATATATATTTCCTGTATATTTTCCAAGAAAATTGCCTATACAAAACCCCTGATATATAGGAGATAGCATTGATTAAATATTATATTGAGTTCTGATTAATGGATTAATAGGGTTAGATATTTCATTAACTTGGTAAGCTAACCGTTACTGCGATCATTAACCGTTGAGGATATTCAGGAGGGATATACGATTATTTGGGAGCATATAAAATCTTGGACGGTACAAATCTGGAATATAAAATTTTGAAATCCGTAAAAATCTGGACGGTACAAATCTGAAATATAAAATTGTATAATGGAGAAATACTTGAACATTTAACACAAGGTTCTTTATAAGTTGTACGCACGGTAGTAATTTAAATATTAAATTCCAAATTTATATAGTCCAGATTTTTACGGATTTCCAATTTTTATTTTCCAGATTTGTACCGTCCAAGTTTTAAACTCCAAGTTTTTACGTGGATCCTGATTATTTGGTATAAGTGTGGTAAGCAGATAAACTCTTTTTTGATGTATTGTCTTGGTGTCAATAGTGATATCTATATGAAATTGTATTATTTTTTTAAATTTAAATATTATGTTTTTATATTATACAATTTTAAATGTCATTAAAATTAAATACATAGGAAACATACATTCATACATTAGAATATTTCTTTTATTTTCAGTGTATTGAGTTTCAAAGAATTTTCTTTATAACGACACACACCAAATAAGTTGACATTGTAATAGAATTATAATTTCAAATAATAAATGTTTATAGTTGATAATATTAATAGAAATCGTAGCGTAATCAAATAAATAAAACAATTTAATATAGATGGATTTGTGTTTATTTAGTTATGTAAAACAAAATATATTTATCAGAACACTAAATTATATAACCAGACAGTCAATAATATGAGTCATAATACATGGTTTTATGTGTTAATCTTATTTCATAAATAATAAATTAATAAATAAATAATAATATTAATAATAATAATAATAATAATAAAAAAATAAATAAATATAGGACATTAAACAAACATATTTAATGTTTAATTTTACACGACTCACAATTTAATTTAAATATTTTTATTATGTAGTTGAGTATTGATTTTACTAAGATGTGTAATTTTTGTTGAATTTGCCCGAAAAATAGACTATTGCACTATACTTTATATGTTACATCTCATTATATAGATGTTACACAGGCCAATAAAAAAACATTTTTTTTTTTTGGCCGGTAATTTTTTTTTTGACTATGATTATATCTATTGTGCCAATTTTAAATATGTAAAATGGTTTTTTTCTATCAGTTCTATTTTTTGAGATTTAGCTAATTTAGGAAATCTCACTAGGTAAACAACTAGAGTGAAATTTCTGGTAGAAAAGTTGATAATAAACAGATAAAAAAATGAAATAAAAAATAAGTCTTTGTAAAACCAATCAATTTCTCACTCTATAATCAGTAGTCATTATTAACAGTCATCAATATTTTAGAAATCGTCGGCATTTCATTATTGAACATCGGAGAATATTTTATTTTGCAAGGTTAAATAATTAAATTATTTACACACATTGTTTGATAACGAGTTAGTAGTAATGTTATAATATAATTGCAGTGCGGTGGATTTAAATAAAAGGTAAATAGTAAATGTATTACTAGAATATTCTTATTTTGAAAGGTTATCATGTATGGTTCTTTATTTTTCTAAGTTCAAAATTTTGAATATTACTTGTATTATAAATCATAAAGGCTTGAGTCAAATTAATATAGGTTCTATTTTATAGGAATACTTACCTATATACTTTTAAAATTATATATATATATATATATATAGGTATTATTTTGGCTCAAAGTTGGAAATGTTACAATTTATGAAATTCACTAGGTTTAGGTTAGATTATTGTTAGCAAATGTATTTTGTTTGCTTGTATATATACCAATAAATACATATATTTTGGCTGCATAAATATATTTAATTTTAGACTTGATGTAATTTATTTTTATAGGGCTATCATAAAAATCACCATGTTGACTTATTTGTCTACAGTTTGATGTTTTTTTTTTTTTTTTTACGAAAGTTACCTATTTAAATAAATGTGTATATTATATCATATAAACATAATTTTATTTGGCAATGATCGCTCTTTTTGAACATTTGAACAAAAATTACCTAATATTCTTCAGAAAATGTTAATAACAATATAAATTTTTAATATTGGATAAATAAGTATTGTAACAATAATAAATTAAGTATTATAATATTAATTATTTTATTTAAACATATAAATTAAAAAATAATTTTAATGATATTCTGTGAAATTGACTAAACACCTATCAGTATACTGAACCTTTACCTGCACGAACCTACTACTGCGTAAATCGGAGCAAAATAGCTGGTAGAAAAGTTATACACAGAAAAAAAAACTTCACTGTAAAACCTATACCTTATTCATCATTCCACTAAGAATCTAAAAAAAAATACTACATTACACTCTACTTTTTATTTTTCAGAAAACAAATAAAACTACGTAAAAAACTAGTAAACATAAAATGTCTATAAACACCAAGATCAAAAATATTTTTAAAATATTTTTAAAATTTGATTACGTCTAGAAAACCTAAAATGTTTTGAAAGGCCGTAATATTTACGATTTGAAAATAATACGTTTTGGATTGAAGTATGGCTTGTGGGTTTGGACAACAATAACGCGAAAATAATAGTGTGTGGTACAAGGTATCGTCGCGAGCTCTCGTCAATCCGCAGTGTGACCAGCATGCGTGACAAATATTGTATTAAACTATATAGGTACTTGACACCAAGCTAATACATTAACGCCGTGATAATAGATATCCAATACATATTGTAACATTTATATCAGAAAAAAATACGTTTTCAATTTTCTCATTTTCTGATCGCTTTTCACGGATGTGTTTAGTTTTAAGCGGTTGATAAAAAAATTCTGGATACCAAAAACATTTATTCAGATACGCGTCTCGTGGTATTTTTTCATTATAGTTTTCCAAAACTAGCGCGTAAATGCGTGGTAAAATTCTTATAGGGATGCTTTTTATATGCATAATAAAAAATACATCTGCTTACACAAAGCAGTGGTTCATAAAATAAACATACCCAGCTGATCTTACTATTTGTTTGATATAACGAACGCATTTTAGTTTTTATCCTAGATTGAAGACCCGTAATTTGAGACAAAACTGCTACGAGGCGCAGCAGCGTCGAGCACGAGTCATAGTTGTTGTGAAGTGCATTATAGTCATATAATAAATTCATTTTAATTTTTTGATATTTACATTTTTCGACCATTTTTCACGGATCTATAGGGCTTTTAGGTTCGAAAATAAATATTGAAATATTAAGCATATAGATTTTCTTATATATTTTGTTATGAACTTAAAAATTATTTGGCCCTGAAGGGGCTCTTTTAATAAGGTTATTCTTGAAAGGGAGAGTTTTAAGTTTATATATGTTTACTGACTAGGAAAGAATATCGAATTTTCTTTTGGATATAAACATATTATTTGTTTAAAATGCATGTTTATGAACAAAAAATTATTAAAGTTATTTATTTGGTTAGTATAATATATTTACCTCAGTATTCTGGGCACTGACAATTCTGCACTGATATTCCGGTTCATTGGATGGAATCCGATTCTGGGATATACTCCACGTCCTCTGTCGCTCATAAATCGTATAAAGTGTTCCTGTACAGAATCATATTTTTAAAATATTAGTGCGGAATATCCACTCACTGATGTATGAGTCACCCCTTGCGTATTGCGCCGAGTCAAAATCCGTTTTAGTTCTCTCCAAAATCGCTCTATGTGTTGCATGTGGTACCGTATTGGGGCCACGCCGTTATTGTATGTATATATATATAATATCAGTGGCGTTCTCAAGAATTTCAAATGGTGGGGGGGGGTTGTGGGTAATTTATAGAAAAATATGTAAGGGGCTATCAGCACACACCTCTCTAGTTATGACATTCAGTATTATTTTAGATTCTGAGTGGAGTGAGGAATGTATTGGTTTTACAATGATTACACTTTCTACCAGAAAGTATAATCCGTACATCAAGTATAGCATATTTTTTGAAAGGAAATTTTCTCTGGATGGTACTTTAGAGAGGACATTTTTTGAAATTCTCATTTATATTCGAGATAATGAAGAAAACTCTGTTCTTTAGGTTGAAAAAAGTTGAAAGATTAAAAATAAGGTTGTCATTGGTAATCGTTTTTATTTATTTTTTGTTATTTTTAAGTTTTTATTATTTTAATCTTTTTTGATAATCATTGTTGTGATGAAAACGCGCATTGTTGTAATTATTTTACCATATTATGACACACATAATATATTATACAGTTTATATTATAAACTGTTGACAAAACAACACTATCAACTGAACGCGGCTGAGAATACTGTTTTCATTAGAAATGGTTTATCGTTGCTTATAGATATACATTGAACTCCCGTATGTATTCTACCTTCTCAAATTCCCGCTATAACAGTGGCAGCGCTCACGTGCGAAGTATGGTAAAATAATTATAACAATGCGCATTTCCATGACAATAATGATTGTTTAAAAAAATTTAAAATAATGACAAAAAATAAATAAAAACGGTTAGCAACCTTATTTTTTATCTTTCAATCTTTTTTAACCTAAAAACCGGGTTTTCCTCAATATCTCGAATATTTATGAGAATTTTTAAAAAAATGACATCTCTATACTTGGTGCTATACTTAGATATCGCAGTAAGTTTCCTGATAGAAAAAGTATTCACATAAAAAAAAAAATCTTTGTAAAACCAATATATTCTTCTGAACTCAGAATTTAAAAAAATAGCAATTCAAAATTTAATGTTTTGGTAAAACAAATATATTTAAATTGTAACTGTAAATATAAACTGTACGACGTGACAATGAATTTTAACATCCATTTTAAATTTATTAAAGAAGAAAAACCGGCCAATGGGGGGGGGGGTCGTTAAATCCCATGACGCCCCCCGGTGAGTACCATCATGTATAATATATATTGTGTATTGTATATACTATATAGTATTAGTATTACTAAAAAGACTATAATATAAGTTATGTATAAGATAGATTTATTTGAATATATTACAAAATCATTTGCTAATTGATTTGTGATAAAGTTAAAAATGTAATATTTATGATTTTTTTTCCAAAATTTCATTAAAAAAAAAAAAATTACTACATTAAACTAATTTATTTTTAACAATTAAGTACGACTTATAATGAACATCCTATCAAATGTTCAAGCATTTCTGTTAAGTCTAACAATTTATCTACAAAATACCTACTAAATAAAAATGATGTAAAAACCTCGAAAAATTAAAATGTCTATAATTAACTTAAAAATAGCTCAAACGTTATGAAAGATTTACCACGGCTATAAAAAGTAAATATAAGTTTTCATTTAACATTGTAATTCCTACGTATATTTTAAATTACTTTAAATTAAATTTTAAATTCTAAATTACATAAAAAACAAAATTTAAAATAATAATTGAATTATTTTCGTTAATTATCCTTTTATTTTTACGTATTTTCGGATTTTTCTTAATTTATTAAAAAAATACTGAGAAATTTAAAAACCGACATTCATACTCACCAATTAGAGATAAAGTGCAACAAAAAATGCCTGTCGTTTTTCTATTTAAAGAATATTTTTGGAATAAAATATAAAGGGTACAAATTCGAAATAATGAAATCGTAATGTACATTTGTCTGTTCATTTTTCGTATTTTTCCGTTTTTTTCCTCAATCATTATAAAAACTTCTCGGAAAATCAAAAAATGGATTATTTACTTACCAACTAAAATGTTTTGTAAACAAATTACAAATGTATGTAACAAAAAAAGGTTATTTTATGTTTTTCTATTCAAGCAATATTTCTGGTAGAAAGCAATTTGTAAAAATTAAAAACAATGAAATCGGTAACGCCGTACGATTTTGTGCCGTAAATATTTTCTGTTTTACTTAAAATTTTGTTTCCTGTTTTTCCCAATTATTTTGAAAACTTCTTGGAAAATCAAAAATGACCTTTTGGCCATTGGTTTTACTATGATATTTGTTTTTTTTATGTGAACCATTTCTATCAAAGCGCTTATTCCGATTATCACCAAATGTTCTCTGGGTGGTACTTTACATAGGTCATTTTTTGAAAATCTCATTAATATTCGAGATAATGAGGAAAATCTGTTATTTTAGGTTAAACAAGATTGAAAAATTAAAAATAAGGTTGACATTGTCAACGTTTTTATTTATTTTTTGTTGTTATTATTTTAATATTTTCTAAATAATCATTGTCACGGAAACACAAATTTTTGTTATAATTTTACCACAGTATGACATATATTGTTAACAAAGTAACACTATCAGCTGAACTTCGTTTAGAATCTTTTTTTCGTTAGCAATGGTTTATTGTTGCTTACATATATACAATGAATTCCCGTCTGTATCCTACCTTCCCAACTTCCCGCCTACAACTGTGGCTGCACCCATGTGCGAATTAGGTCCGTCCTTTTTTTATTTTTAATGCGGTTTACTTCAAATATCTGCTGGGACTTGAATTTTTTGATTTAAGACTTATGTTTGCTTTTACTAGATGTGGTAATATTTTCAAAACAATTGAGCCATTTTCGAACTATTTATAGACATTTTAATTTTGTGAGTTTTTTACGTAATTTGTATTCGGTAAGTATAGTTTGTGGATAAAATTGTTAGACTAAACCTAAGTGTTTGAGAATTTAACAGGAAGTTAAGCAGGAAGTTAAACAGGAAGCTTTGTGTTAAAAAAAAATTGGCTTAATGTACTATTTTTTTTTATAAAATAATTTTAATATCAATTTTTGATGTAAATCGTTTGAGTAAAAAATTATATTGAACGAATCTAGTTTCTGGTCCATTTTGTATTGAACAAATGCATATTGATAATTTAAGAACGATGGTGAAGTTAGAATTCAGCGGACTGATTTATTTTCGAAATTATAGTTTTTTGAAGTTCTGTTATTATGCGGATTTTATTTTATGCGCTACGTTAAATAATCCAATATTGATTTAATTTCTTTATATCTATTGTAGCCTAGTGGTGCATGTTGTTATTCTAGATCACAAGTTCAAACTTGAGCTACGAAGATTTTTTTTTGCAAAACCACGTCCGGTAAGCAATAGGGAAAAAAACAAATGAATTTTGGATCAAAAAATAAAATTGAGTCTTATGTAGTACCTACTTATATATATATTTATAAGAGTTAAAATGAAATTTTACACGTATAACCGAATTTCGCTCCGAATCTTTTTTCGTTATTAACGGTTTATCGTCGGTTTAGTTTGAAATTTCCTTTCACAAAAGGTGCGATACACTTGATAAATCAGAACAAGTTTTTCTTCTGAAAAGTTGTTTCCAGAAAAAAAAAACATTTTACGCGGAAAATTAAAATTTCAAGCATTTGCATAAACCAAAAACAAATTAATCGGATATATTTGTATATTACGTGATAATAGTATACTAGTAAAATACTAATAGGGGATAAAAAAAAAATTGAATAACCGGCGTTTCGGCGTGGTTCGAAAATCAAGAAAACAACCACATTAGCATGGAAATCGCAAAAGGCGGTAATCCTCGGCATACATAAATCAAACTACACGTAATAGTGTAATACTTCCCGAGTCTTGCACGGCGGCGTACATATTCATACACTCATACGTACACACGCGTTGGTTACAAAACATAATACATAGGTATACACAGTGTATTATATGCACGCGTATAAATTAACGATAACGAGACTGTCGCCTCCCGCACTGCGTATGTGTGCACGGTGGCGGGTGGCGATACGCACGCCGCCGCCGCCGCTAAACATCAACAAGTCGGGCGCGCAAGCACAAGCGCACACACGGTGGTGGCGACCGGCCGGTGCGCGAAAACGCGCGTCTCTATGGTAACTGGCGGACGGCAGGCGGATAATATCATTCGCTTACGGGCGGCACGTCGCGTCAGTCGTGTACGTGTACGCGCGCGTGTTTGCCGCTCTACAATTGCATCGGTCCGGTGGTGCACGGTATGTGTATTATTGTTTGAGTGTGTGTGTGTGTGTGTGTGTGTGTGTGTGTGTGCGCGCGCGTGTGTCAGTCTCACGATCGCTACGAACGCGTACCGCTGCCGAATCGCCATCCCTCTCGCCCCCACCCCTCGCAGGCCCGCGGGTGTTCGCGCGACGACGACCACCGTTTCCGTGACCGCACCGCCGTCGCGCACCACCTGATGGATCCGCGCTGGACCGTGTAACACGACGACACCGCGCGCGAGAGATATACGACGCGCGTCGCGCCGTACGATTGCCGACCGTTGCACTGAACCGCGCTGCTGCGGCCCGTATTACTGACGCTTTCGGCCGCTATTAAAATTTACCTGTCCGCCGCCGTTGCGTTACCGAGCGCGCCGAGTACTCGCGGCCTCTGCGAGTACTTGCCGCCTGCGACGACGACGCGTTCTTGTCGCGTTCGGTTCGAATTTCTGGTTTGCGGTTATCTCACAGGGTGAGTGCAGTTTTTTTATGTATACAATGTAAAATAATAATTACGTTTTGTTACTCAGGTCCTCGTTACCTATACGAGTCGTCTGTATAGTGATCCCATTATTTCGAATCCCGCGGAACCAAAAACGGACGGTGTCCCGTTATTGCTGCACTGCGTTCGGACTATCGGTTTTCACCGCATCGTTCGACCGCGTGCAAAGAATTAGGTCATTGCGGGTTTTATTTTCGTTTTTCCGGCGTAAACCAGATAACATAATACTCAACTTTTTTCGTCTTTTTCTTCTTATTATTATTTTTTAATATTATTATTCTGGACGCGCACACCAATCCATCAAACGGAAATTACGACAAAACTAAATATATATATATGTATACAGTTCATCATACCACAATATACAGTTGATATTATAAATCGTAGACGGGACGGAAAAAAAAAAATGACAAATCGACCATCGCAACTTATAGCAATTTTCAAGACGAGTGGACTGCTGTGTGTATATAGGTGTTGTTATGGTCAGCGGACCGGGCCGGGGAGTTGGGCGTCGGGCCGCCGGGGAGTTAGGCACAGGACGGCCTCGGGCAGTTAAGACCGTCGGAAATCGCGTGGAGCGCTCATCGGTTGATCGCGGGCACTTGCCGATTACAACGGCGTAACGTGGTTTTCTGATTTCTACGTTTTATGTTATTACTATTATTATTATTACTTTTTTTTTTTTATTTTATAATATTCTTCACGCGTCCAAAAATGTAAACGTATGCTGCGTGGCCGCTATTTTCACCGCTGCACGCCACGCCACGCCGGGCCGACGGCGACAGGGCCTACGCGTACGCCGCATTATAAAAATAAAATCGCGGGACGTCACGCGCGTCAACACCGCCAAAACTTTGTCGCGGTAGACGGCGGTGGCGGGCGGGCGACATATAATAATATTATGTACGTATAATGTCTACAGGGTGACAGCGTTTTAGATTCTGTACAGCGGATCGAGGAATGTATTGGTTCTATTGTTATGATACGTGACATTTCCACCTCCCTCCCACCTGTATATTGACAACGTGATTTCGATCACCGGAAGGCTCGCACTTCAATCCAACATCCCGCACGTCAGAACGTTTTCTCGGGGAATTTCGGATCAAATATTGGTACGCGGGGAAGTAATTTTTTGAAATTCCTGGTGGGTAACTATACTTTTTCTGTAATGGCGAGAAATATTAACCGCAATCAAAACGGGAATATTTAGAATAGTTTTTGGTTTTTTTTTTTTTAATAGTTATAATTAGAAATTCGGTAAGAAACAATCGTACAAATCTGAAATTTTTACCGAATTAGTACACGCGTGCAGTTAACATTTTCTATAGTCACGGTACGATTTAAAAAATATTTCAGGGTTTTATTTTTGAGTGATTTGTATAGCTAGGAAATTTTAAATTAACGATTCGTATGAACAAAATTTTTTCATTAGCGTACGAATGCTCAAATTGTTTAATAAAAGGTTCCTCGTAAGCTATTCATGTATAGTATAGTAATATAAAAATTTCGAATATTCCGTAGTCACGACTTTTTTTCAATTCGCGTTTGAAATTCAAATTATGACGTAACTCGTTAAAAATTGAAAATTATTTTCAGTTAAGAAAAGGCGCGTATTAATTATTTCCTTCAGGAGTGGATTTCACAATTCATTGATAAATGTTCCAGTAACACTAAATGATGACGGTAACTATTTTGATAATTGGAAAATTTTTGATATTACAAAATTGATAGTACATTTTTCCCTCTAAAATGACGTAATTTTAAAGTAAAGTAAGTATAAATAATTAATATTAAATTAGTTCACTGAATACAGATTCAGGTCCGGTGGAATAAATATTCAGAGAGAGAGTTCAGCCCTATCGTCTTCCCCTTTAAACGACTAATTTGACGTCCCCGGCTAAGAATTAACACGAAGTGTCAATTTTAATTAAAATTAGAATCGTAATAATTTATTTGCAATGGTTTATCGTTGGCCGTTCTGTCTGAGTTAACCTATTTTTTTCAAACTAGTTAATAATAACTTAAAATAATTTAAGAAAAAAAATAACTGATCTAAGTTTAAGTTAGTTTTAAAATATAAACGAATTAGATTTCAGTTACTTTTTTAAAATCACCCTTAACTTCATGCATACATGAATTTTGTACTATAATATTTTATACTTTTATAGATTTACTAAAGAAGACTCCTGTGGATATTCCATAGGCTGCATGTTCGTATTTTATGGGATTATGACATCCACGTAAAAACACTTAATTTTCGTTGAAATGTATTATGACTATACATGCAAAAACATCAAAACTTTGTTACCTATTCAGTTTTTTTTAAAAAACAAATTCGTATTCGTAAATAACGGTTTAAAAATAATATTACATTTTAACAAAAATATTATAAAAGTTAAAATTATTTATTAATAGAAATAACAAAAGTTAATTTTTATTGAGTAAGTTAAATTTATCAAAGAAGTAACTTATAAACTTTTAAAATTTTTAACTAGTTACTGCTCAGGTTTGAGTCAGCATCCACGATTAAATAAATACAAATACTATAATAATTAGGGTTCGGATGTTTATGCACTTAACATAACTGTAATATGTAAGTGTTGATGTACTAAAATATTACTAAATATGCACTAATAATTATAATTTATGCATTTTTATTTAAAAAAAAAAAAAACCAAAATATATACAAACAAATTTATTTTATCTTAGGTATTTAATTTTTATTAGTAGTTTTTTTTGGTACCTAGCTATTTTTATTTATTATTTTTTTAATATATGTAATATTAAAAATATTGATTTACAATATGTGTGAGACAATCGTTGTTTTAATTGTTCAAATATGTTTCAATAATATATATCAAGTATACTTTTTGCTTTATATTTCGTTATTAATTTAAATTGATTTAAAAAAGGTATCCTAGTGTATTCGTCTTAGGGAACGGGTGTTATAGATAATTTAATGTATACCTGTAAGCAAAGATAAACCATTGCTAACGAAAAAAACGATTCTGAGCGGAGTTCAGTTTATAATGATGCTTTGTTAACAATATATATGTCATATTATGGTAAAATAATAAAATAGTCTTTAGATATTTTCATTAATAATATTTGTTTAAAATACAGATTTCCCCGTTATTTCTACGTTTTTCAGATTTTCGTATGTTTTTCCCCGATTTTTCACATTCCTGGGAAAACATTTGGGAAAATTGAAAAATGATCTCCCAAAAGTACCTTCCTAGTCAGATTTCTCTTTAGAAAAAGTGCCATCACTATAAATCGAAACAAAATTGCTGGTAAAATGTTGTCCAGAGAAAAAAATTCGTAATATTTTACTAACATATTTCGTACATTTTATCGTTTTCGTCTGTTTTTTTAAATTTGATGAAAAAACCTCTGAGAAAATCAAAAAATGATCTTCCTAACGTACCTCCTCAGTCCGATTTCCTTTTTAGAAAAGTTGCTACACTTAAAAATCGGAGCAAAATTTGTGGTTAAAAAGTTGCGTACAGATAAAAAAAAAAAAATAAATATCTTAGTAAAATCATAAGCTGAGAATTTAAAAATATGCAATTTCATAAACACCCGAACCTTAATAATAATAATATTTCACGTATTTGATAAGGTTGTTTCTTTATACAGTACTTATCTCGCGTGTAGACTGCAGTAAAATACCGACCGTACCGATTGGCGATACCGGCATGGAGTGAAATTTGACACATAATTATTATGTTCATCTGGCCGATAGGACGTGAGCAGATACGTAGCCGGGGGGGGGGGTCCATTGGGTCCGTACCATGATATATAGAAAACTATAAAATAAAAAGTTTTCTTTTTTTGGTAACGGGGTGGCACTAGCCTTCTAAATCTGTCCTTGATTTTGTATTCATTAAATAATTTGTTTCTGTCATTTCGTCCTGGGGTGTCCAGTGTTTTCTTTTCTCATCGAAACGTGTTTTTATCTACCACCGCTACCGCTGCTATAACAATGTTTTGGCGTTTATTCGTAAACTGGATTAAATTTACTCAAATATTATTTTCCATTAATCAAATTAATCAACAAAAGCCTTCAAAATAAATGAACTTAAATAAAAACTATTTATCAAAAAAGATAAAAATATATCTTCACTCCTTTTATAGTGCTGCTATTCAGCAATATTTTTGTTTTGATTTATGTATGTGGAGTATAAATACTTTTACGGTGGTACCGTAAAAGTAGTAGGTATATAAAATATTATATTGTTTAGTTTTGAACTATTATAATACATCCTTATAACAATAATTATTAATATACAATATTTTTTGCAAATTATTTATGTAATATAACTATTATAAGGTACGATGAACACTAAAACGTTGAGTATTATAAACAAAATTTGATGAGCCTGATATTATACTATATCAAAAAATGAAACCCATCATATTATGTTATTTGTTGAAAACTATATTTTCTTTTCAGAAAATAAAAAATATTATATTATATAACATACAGGGGCGTCTCCAGACCAACTTGGGTAAATTTCATGGAGGGGGAAACAAATTTTACTCTTGAATACTACCGCTTTGGTCAAGAAAAACTTAAAACCTTTATGTCAAATGTCATTTCAAATTATATTAGTTTAGAAGACTGCAGATAAATTGTAGAAATGCAGTAAAATAATACAATTAAAAAGATAAATTAATTTTTTTCACATTAAATAAATAATAATTAAAATAATGATAATATAAATAATAAAAATAATATTAATAATAATTAATAAAAGTTAGATGACCAAGTCCAAAATACTTTTATTTTAATCAGCGTTTTGCAAACGGTTTGATCAACAATATTTTCTATATTAACGTTTTCATTTC